TGGAAAAAATAAACAATTGCAAATTTTGCTATTCAGTTTGAGACCTCAAAAACCTATTAATGGGATTTTCAACATTGAATTATATTCTTTGGTGACCAGACCGGAAATGAGCCTTATGAAGTTAACATTAAGGTGCGTCAAGAACCGATTCATGATCGGATTCCGCCTTTCCTTGAATCATTCTAGTAATCGTTCTTAGAATGAGACGGATCCCACAAACTGGAATTTGAAAAATTCAACTTTAAAAATGAAAGAGAATGTACAAAAACTATGATCCATTTGAAAGCAAATCCAATGGCATATTTTCAGCTCATTAAAAAATGATGAGTCCTTGAAAAAGTTGAATAATAAACACCAAATCGCATTTTTTTGCAAACTTTTCGAGTGATAAAAAAAATTGTGGATCACCGGCAGCAAAATCAAAATAAAATAATTTTGAAATAGCAGAAACCCACGGAAAATGTGCAATTGAGAAGGGTTGCAATGCAATTCTTCGAGATTCATTGAAGTATGGAATATGAGAATGACACCAAGTTCATATTCCTAATGACGAATCCCTGTCCCTCTCTCAGCAATTATTGTAGTAGTAAGAAACTGAACTTACACAAATTCTGTATAAATTAGAAAACTATTTCTGAATTTCAAAAAGAGTTTTTCGAACTCACCAAATGCTAATAAGGGGTTTGAAGTGTTACGAAAATAGACTCAAACGAAATTGGTTAGTCTAATATGGAATGTAGACATAATATTCAATATCTTAATATTTGTCGATGTCATGAATAAATTTTAAAGAATTTTCGTCTGGAAATTCCTTAAAATATTTCCTCTATAAAATCGATTATTTTTGTTGTTGAGCAAAATTATTTTAAATGAGATTTAATTTCAAATAATATTATTTTCATGTGCGTGTTTTAAATGTGATATGAAAAAAAATATTCTCAAATTTTCTGAAACACCTTTTCAATAGAGAATCTGACGAGATTAATGAGGAGATTTTTTTCAGAAGAGAAGAAACAAATATCTTAAATACCTAATCAAAAGAGAAGACGAGACTCGAAATGACTATTGGAGATTATTAACGAATTTGCGCCAAGTCAGACAAAATCCGGAAAAAATAAATTAAAGTGTGCCATTTATTTTAATCAATTCTGTTTATCGGTTTTTTTTTTTAATTTAAATCAAACAAACAGCGTTTAGATGCATCGGACCAAACTAATTGGCACGTTGGGTTTTGTTATTATTACTGGATGGGCATAAATATAGCATCGGATAAAAAAGGAGTCTAAAATAATCCCATCGGGAGATCTTTAAATAAAATGAATGACGGCACTAAGATAGTTTGAGTCTAGATCATCCGATGGACGGCAATCTTCCGAAGGACAAAAATTGACGTGGTGATTTCAATTGAATAGTTTTATTCGAAAATCTAATTTTTGCTGTCTTATTTCAGTGGGATTGAAGCACTTTCGACATCAAGTTCTCTTTCAGTCCCTAGTCTTGATTAATTTTTGGGATTTTGTCCTTCCTGGCTGAAGTCTCCACATCCTCAGTGATAATCCCGGAATACTCTTTGATCATTTCTAGGAATAATTTCTAGTTATTAAAAAAAACTCTTCAGTTTCTTGCCTGTCACAGTGATTTAAGTCAGACGAAGAGCCTTTTTTCTGTGCTTTAGGATTCTGTTTATAATTGAATTCGGAATTCCAAACAAACATTGGTTGAATTATCAATAATGGCACTTCTGATCGGAAAATCAGCTATCAATTAATCTTGAAGACAGTATGGAAAACTGAACATTGAATTACAAAAAGACGATGGCATTATCCTTTAAAAAAAATTGTTCTTCATATGAGGGGTACTGTAGGCTCTAGAGCTCACTCATAATAATTGCCACGCTATATTTAAGCCCCCATCATGCAATATTATTTTGTTTGTTTTCGATGAGGCTATCGAAAATTGCAAATTTAGCGTTGAAAAAATTGGTAAAAAATAAGCGATGTCTTGTTGTACACAATTTGCAATTCTAATCAAATGCCGACCGACGGACCGCAATAAGGAAGAATGCGTCGGGTGACCGGATATCTTCTCGCGCGCAAAAATGAGCAATGGTTTATTGATTTCGTACATATAAGCAGCAATTTTTGATGCAATTAAAAATTGTTGAATGACAATTTGTGTTCATTCGTACATAAAGACTAGCTTGATTAACATGCATAATGCGGGTTTGTGTAGGCGCAATGAGTGTGCATGAGCAGTGAGCTTAGGGTGTAAGCGAGTTCAAGGAAACTCGGGCTCGAAATGGGTTGAAAATGTGAATAGTAGTGGGTAAGGCATTTAATTGGTCTTAGGATGACAATGAAGACAGAGATCAGTTTCTTTGATGAATATTTTACAACCATCTGGATGAAGCACACCAATTAACTATATTGCAAAAAACCATATATGTCGATTGCAAAGAGAGAGCAATTATGAAGAGTCTCGTCTGGCGAAGAGTCATTGCCGAAACTCTGCTTTTTTCAGATTGCTTTTAGCCTTTAGTTGACTAACGATGTTTTTATGGCATTTCGCCATTTATTTAAAATGAAAATTGACGACATAAAAAATGAGATTTCATTTTAAAGAAACCTTGTAAATGCTTTGCATTTTTTTACAGAAAACGTGATTTTTTGAAAATGAAAAATTAAAGAAGGATGGTTTTAAGTCTTAATTCTAATCAAAAATTGCACAATGATTCATATTTTGGAAGAGTTTTAATTAGTGCTCGCTAGTTTGGGTGTGTATGTGTGTGTGCATAAACCAACCAACATTTCCAGAATTCCTTCTCATGACGTCATCATCATGAGAATATTCTAGCTCAACTCATATTGGCTAATTAGTCGAATGTGTTCAATGGAAAGTTTCCAAAAAAAATTAATTTTTGTAGTTCAAAAAATGAGCGAAGAAAATAAGCGAAATTGTTGGCAAAAAAAATAAGATAAAGAAGGAAATACTTGCAAAAAAAAGGAAGTGCGAATCTCAAAAGCAATCAAAATCAGACCAATTTAATGAAATTTCCAACACTAGATACATATATGAGGAATCTCGATTTTCGCAATTAAAATTTGTCTTGCGCGGAAAAATCAAGAGACAAACAAGCATGTGAATACAATAGTTGGGAGGGTTTTCAACAGAAATTGAAGTTCGTTGAGCAACAATGCGATGAGCTCACCATATTTTCGCAGTAATGTGGACATAAAAAGCTTGAAAGCTTTTAATCTGGGCGAGGGGGCATAATTGTGTACCATTTTTCGCAAACAGGCCATTTTTTTTTAGAAATTTAGTCAATGTGTTCCGATAGGTACCAATCAGCGTTGTGCTGGAAATTTCTCGTGCTCCTGGGGTGGGGGCGACAATAAATTTCCGGAGTTTCCAGCCAATATTCTTGTAGAAGATTAAAGACAGATGGGGGAAAAGCTTAAAATATTCATTAGCGAAGAATAATTGAAAAAATTTAGGGTTTCGCTTATTTTTGCAATTTTTTTGCCTTCCAATAACATCGTTTTAAATAAATTAATTTTTGGCCATACTTTTGGTAAAAAAAAATAATTAACTGAAATCGCCCAACGCCGAATCTTTCCGATTTTCATGCGTTTTTCGAAAAAAGCTTTTCGAGAAATATTTTTCGAAGCGTCTTTCAAAAATAGCTTCAACCAATAGCAAATGAGCAATCATCGCTTAAAATTTCGAGATGCTTGGAACACGAGGTCTGCGCTTTCAAAAATTGGCTAATTTTCCCAAATCGTTTTCCAAAAATTGGCACGTTACCCTAATTTAAATTCTGACAAATGGATCCCCCCGGTCCATGTGAACACTGATCGTTTGATTAATTGATCTAGGAATCACAATCGACTCGGATATGCAGCAAAACTCTGCGTATCCTCGATTTGATATTCTGCCATAAGTATGAATTCGAGGGATCCATTGGTGGCGTGTGTTGACACACTCACCACTTTCTTTGTGTTCCATTCCCACTATTTTCTGTCAACACAATGAAAACAGGCATTTTTATCGATTTGATGCTATACATTATAAGAAGACAAATGAAAGTCTAAAAACTAGCGAAAGCCGAAGCTAAAATTGTGTTTTTGATGCAAACTGCACAATTTTGATTTTATTTTTTCCATAATCTGGGGATTGTTTTTACCTAGGGGCTTGGAATTTTTTCTAATTTTCCACACAAATAGTTCGCGAAAATTCCTATCGTGTGTGCTATGCCGTTTTCGGCAGAGATTTCAAAAAGTCTAACAATTTTGAGTCCAAACTTTCCCCTTGCTTTTTCCATTAGTTTTTTTTACTCCAGGCTTCCACACACATGATCGTGTTTCCTTGAACAATTTTCGACATCTTCCTAATTTTCACAATGACTATTTGAATATAATATGCAGCTATGTATATGAAGGATGAGGGATCGTTTTTTTTACAATTTTCAAAAAAAAAATAATTCTCCACAAAATTGTGAACAATTTTTGATGATCAAAACGTCCATGATTTCTCGCCAAATTGCTGAGATGCCATTCTTTAATACAGTAAATATTCATGTTTTTGATCTACCTGATCGCGAAGGATCAAACACAAAGACACGCTGATAACAACACAACCCGTCTTCTTTCCATATTCTCTCAATCTTATCCAATTTTTTCTCCACCTTGTTTGGCATTTTTGCTGGCTCCTTCATATTCTTTAAGAAAATTATTGGAGACGGGTATAATCGAGCTCGTCAATTGTACTCTGCCAAATACTCTGCATTCCGTGCACTATTTCGCCGCTCCGTGTTTTTTTCGCCACAATTTTCTCTTTTCCGTTTCTTCGCAAGTCTTTGAGCATCATAAAACTGCTGCTCCATCTTTTTCTTTTCCGTCGTTTTCGCTGCGTATTTTTCTGTCGGTGTATGTGTATGTGTGTGTGTTTTTTTTTCTTTCATCATTCGTCAAACACATTTTCTGGTTGTAGACAATACTCGAATGGACGGCCAACAACCGCCAGAGTCGCCACCAAACTCGCCCAACTGTGAGAAAGAAGCGGCGAGTTGCATTTGCTCATCAGTGCCAATCGGTAAACGAAATATGATAAAACAAGACGAATCCAGTTTTGGCTCATTTCCAGCGCTATCGGCTAACACACTCGCGGACACTTTGAAAGTATCGCCGCTTTACAAACAACAAGAGTATGTCGTTTTGATTTCAATTAAGTTTGGAACCGGAAAAATTCGATCGCAATTTATTAATTATGTTTCGCTTTAAATTACAATTCTCATATCAACCATTTGGAAGGAAAAAAAATTACTTACAAAATTAAATTTCGAAATTTCTAAAATTTTGTGAAATTCGCTATTTCGTCATATATGTATATGTATATTAATTTTGGATTTTTTTTAGTTTTATATTTTAAAATACAAAAAAATATAATTGAAACATTTGTGTCATAAAAACGTGATTGATGTGAAGCTCTGCTCGTTGGACGGCTGCTGCTCAAGTCTACCGTTCATCACGAGCTGTTTCTCCAACCCAAGACGAGAAGTTTTCATTCGATGGTCCGCCGTCTGAGTTGATTAATCAAATCAAAACGCCGCGCGTTGGTGCAGCCAGGTTTCGTTCGATTTGACTAGCCTAATTATTCAATTTATTTCTGTTTAGAACCCCATTATCACTTGAAGATATTGCTGAAATCAATAGAAAACGTCATGGCAAAGTATTCTATATTTGAAAGTTAGAAATAAAAATAATAATATTTTTTAGGAAGGCGGTATAATTGCCCCATCGAGCGATGCGGGACCATTGGAGCTAGAGGCGATCGCTGCCGTTCACGAATTAGCTCATGAAGTCGAGGTTAGAAGCGGCAGCGCAAAATTTTTCATTTCTTTTTTTTTTAGAATATTTGTGTATCGGAAATGCTTCCAAGAACCAGCGACTTGATTTTTGTGAATGTGAAAACACAAGAAGGTTGGCATCATTCAGAAAAAAAGAAAAAAATCAAATTTTGCATTTTTTTCCATTTTTCAGGTGCTCCCTACACGTTAGAATTAACAATGAAAGGTTGGCGGATTGCTTCGACTCATACCGATTGCATGAATGGCGACTACACTCGGGTATTTTAACAAGTTTAAACGTCAATTGAAGAATTGCCCAAATTTAGATTGAGCTTCACACAAAGTATTTCCAAAATGCCCGTGAATTGCTCAAGTTTATTTCTCCGGATCATGCGACGAAATTCAATGAATGTCTCGCGAAACGCCTTCAACAGATTGCTGAGATTTCCGCACAATAACCATGTTTTTAATATTGAATAATGTGTACTGGTAGATTCTTGAAATTTTTGCGAAGCTGCTCAATACAAAATTTTTTATTTCGAAATATGACAGTTTAGTGAGCCGTAGAACGATGTGGGGTACCCGTAAAAGAAAACGAAAAAAGAACTCTACATACACATACAGTTAGTTGAAATCGGGCCGTATTGAGTGATACACTTCTCGCAGCAACCGCATGTAGGGACCACAAAGCTCGCCAGTTCCAGTCTTCAGTCCATTGGCGAGATAAGCAACAGAGAGACCTGTAGCCGGATCGACGTGCACAAATTGGCCACCGTAACCAGGATGACCGAAAGTGAATGTATTCTGAAGTGAAATTAATTTGGAGCCTTCGAATAATGAACGAACCGGTAGGAATGGGTGTTTCTCATAGAAAAATCCGTGGCCTTTAACAACCGGCCAAATAGTGACTTTCTCCAAATGCCAGCTATTCAATGTTGGCTGCGATATTTCGTCAAGGGTTCGATTCGAAATTAATTCGCTTTGAGCAATCATCGAAAAGAGACGAGCGATGTCATGAGCCGTTCCAACGCCAGTCACCGCCGCCAAATTCAACGAGACAATCTCTGGATCATTGAGAACAATCGTGTCCTGATGGATCATTGATTTGCGTTGTTGTTCCAATCGAATGACTTACGTAGTTTACTAGAAGCCAATCGGGATTATTTCTCATTTTTGAAATCAAATCATCGAATCTCATATACATGAGATGAAGCATTATGAGAATCTTGGGATCCTTGATGATATCTCGAGTGAACTCCCACAACGATGGAGTCGTAACACGCGCCAAAAATGGAGCTTCTTCGATTTTGGCACCTATCGAAATGTCCAAATCTGAAAATGAATGAATTGAGATCAACAAATAGTTGGCTATTTCTGGACAAACAAAATGAATTGTTTAAATATAGTTGAAACACCAATAAAAATAAAATTCCGACAATTTTCGGATGGCAGAGGAAAATTCAACAAACCATTGGGTTTCGCGATTTCCTCTTCAAAAAACGTCTTGACATCTCTTCGTTTTGGATCCGCATGTCTGACGATCCCATCCAAAATGAATCCGAACGTGACCGCATGATATCCACTGGCAGTACCCGGTGTCCATGCGGGAATCGTGTTCTCAACCTTTTCGAGAACTTTCGATACATTTTTGACGTCTTCAATCGAAATGTGATCGGTTAAATATGGAAGACCCGCCTGGAAAATGCCATTTGGAAAACAAAATCAACCGTCACAAATTGCCTTATGACTCAGAACATCTTCGATTGTTGTCTCATTTTTGCCATATTTTCCATAAGCGGGCCAGAAGTCGACGACTTTATCCTCATATCGCAATATTCCGCGATCGACCATCACACCAATTACAATCGACGAGATTGCCTAGAAATAATTTAAAAAATATATATATATATATACTAATTGAACTGAGTTTAAAGATACTTTTGTTGCGGAAAACATGATTCCTTTTGTATTCTGTTTCCATTTTCGACCAGCTTCCTTATCTGCATACCCACCCCATAAATTGATTATTTCTTCGCCTAAAGCAATTCAAATTTCGGAATGTTTCAGCTACGTATTTCGAATTCTCACCTTTGTAATAAACCGCAAATGCGGCACCTTCTCTCTCAAGGCCTTCTCCGAAGTTCCTTCGAAATGCTTCTAACACATTCAGGAACCTCGGATGCACATATCCACTGACTTGATCGTCATTCACATACGGATTCAATATGCTCGACACCAATGATTTGAGAACAATTGGCATTGCGAATATGCAGAATAACCCGGGCGTGTTGTAATTGAATTTCAGTTTCATCTGTGAATTCAAAATGAAAACATTATGATGACAAAACGTATTTGAACGCAAACAATGTTTTGTCACAAGACGAACGAAATTGGGAGCAAATAGAGGGAAATCGGTTACTTCACACAGAATATATGTATTGGGCGTGAAGAATCAAACAATGACATAACGAAACTATAAGCAAAAACTAATTTTGTGAAGTGCCATTAATACACAGAGAGCCGGCAAAAATGGCACAAAAATGACCAAACACAATAAGGAAAAGTTCGAAAAGGGGGCGGGACGAGTGCGGACGAGAAGGGACAGTTCGAACCGAACTACAACGACTAGGACACTATCGAAGATGTTGGGGCTGATAACGGCAAATTGTTTGTTATTGTTCGATTTGTTTTTGGCAGAAATGAGTAGTGTTCGATTCAAATGTGGACAAAAAATGGGAATGAGGAAAATCGAAAATTCTTGTTTCATTATATTCTGGGAATTTCTGCCTCGAACAAAAATGCGAACGCATGCGTCATTATTGTTGAACACCAATCGTGTATTTCTTTTTTTAGAAAAAGAAAAACTATTCCGAAATTGTTTACCGGTTGTAGATCAAAATTGTAGAAGGCCATTGAAATCCAAGCAATCACCGATTATTATAAACATTTACCTGCCAGAATAACATAAAAATGATGAAAATATTTTTTTTTGCATCAAGAGCTCACCTTACTATACACGGCGAGTTTTTGAGCAATGCTTTTTGAATTTAAGGAGTTTATAGTTTTTCTTTAAACTTAAAATTTGAAATTCAAAAAATTTGAGTAAGAGACAAATGATTTAAAAAAATAATTAAAGAAACTGGTCTAAATGGTTTTTTCGCAAGCCCTCGATCGTAATGGTTTTTTAATCTTCATAATTTTACAAAAATGTTGTTTTAAAGCTTAAATGTGAGAATTTTATCATTCAATGATTCTTTATATTACCGTTGCGAAAAAAAAAACGTAAATCTACACTGATTTCGCGAATTTGAAGGCTCCGGCTACCTTTTAGTCATTTGATACCGACAATAATACAAACGTTACCCGTCTGAACTACAAGGCCTTTCAACGAAAAATTTTGCTAGCTGTTTTTTTTTTTGGAAAACGCGCTATAAATAATGATGCTTAATTTAGATGTAGACATTAATCAAATATGAAAATAAAACGTTTAATGAGCTATCAAAATTTGAATATAAAATCCGAAGTGAAAAATTCTTCAATAAAAGTTTTTATAAAAGAATGTTTAAGAACTCTAATCAGAAACGCAACACAAATTCAAGTCATCAAGATTTTGCGAGTTCACACCGAACTCGCCACACTATACAATGATAAAAATGAGTATTTGGGAAAACATCGAAAATCGAATTCAAAACTGATCTCATCGGCACATATTTCCTCAAGAACACACCAAATTTGTTTGACCTTCAAATCACATGAACGCTTATTTTTAAACGAAAATGAATTGCAAAAGTGAAAATCGTTTTACTTCCGGGACATCCATTGAATGCATTTTTGCCAGTGAGTCAGATAAGAATTGAATTGAGAAAGAAGAAATCTTTAACAAAAAATTTTTGAAAGATGGTTAGAATTCGATCTAAACGTTTATGAGGTTCTTTTTTTTTTTAATTTTTTATTCCATGAGTAAATCGATTAAGAAGAAACCGCAGAATTGCTCTACAAAGAGCGCTCATGTTCTTATCAAACTACTGAGCATCAGCATACCCTAAAAGTACTTAAAAACAATACAACAGTCTCTACTTCTAAACAATTCAAAATACTTAGAATGTGATTCCGAATCAGTTTGTAATCACAGATAGTGAACATGGAAAGAACGAAGATATTGTAGAGTGTTCTACGGCCAATTGACGACTTCGTCCCAGTAAACTCGAATTTCTGTTAAATCTACTTATACGGCATTAATTACGGATCTCATAGTAACTTAGATTTAAAAAAAATCCCAAAGTTGCCAATGAAATCGATTTCTTTCCCGGATCGTACCGAAATGTTTCGAAATCCAAAATGTGTCGAGTTCGTCCCCGTTCGAAATGCTGCGGACGAAAACAGCCGAAGTCGGCAAACACTTCTCTTCGAGCTGAAATTCAAACGACTTCCTCATTTCTTGGAAATTTTCGGGTTTTAGTGATATCTTTAAACAAACCCATTTAATTCGTGGGATTTGATTTTGACACAAAATATATTTCAATACTTACATGGTTTCATTAATTTGAGTGAAATCGACCAATATCTCTGTCAGTATCTCGAACTCATATGAGCCTATCAAATCATAAAATTGGATATGAGCAGGAATTGATTGAAATGCCATGACAAAATCGAACAACAGTCATGTTTTCTTCAATATTTATTGTATGGCCGTAGAATTAAAGCAATAAACTGGGTAGAAGAGCACTATTCGAAACTATTTATCCGCGACGCATGCTCTTTGGCGTCGGCTTGTACATGACAAAGTTGCACACCATGTTCTCGTCGACCTTCATGGTGGCCGCAAAGTTATCGAATTGACCGCAATAATGTGGAGCCGAGAAGATGGTGACCATTTTCTTCGAAGCAAAGAACTCGTATCCATCTTGAACAACCTGAAGCAAAAATCTTAAACTGCAAAACAATGATAATGAGACAAACCTGGTGAGCACGAGCGATAAGATCAAGATCAAGACGAGCGCAAAGATCAGCGACGACATCCTGTCCGAAGACATACGAGACTCCACGAGTGTTTGCTTGCCATCCCTTCACCCATTGATCTGGATCAGCCCACAGAAGATCAATTCCGATCGATGGATTTGGTGGATCTTGTGGACGAGCCAAATTACGGAGCTGGTCGAGACTCTGAAGATGCGGCGAGAGACCTCCGTGCATGCAAAGGATACGTCCTAAATTATGCGATGCATTCAATTCGAAAATGTGAATCAACCTCCGATCAATCCGCAGAGTGGCATCCAGTTGAAGGTGTCTTGGAATGTGGTCCAGAGTCTCGAACTCTTGTAGCGGCGATTGCACTCCTCGTAGAATCCGTACACACGGTTGATGGCTGGGCATTCGTGGTTTCCGCGAAGCATGAAAAAGTTCTCGGGGTACTTGATCTTGAACGAGAACATGAGGCAGATCGTCTCGATGTTCTGGCGTCCACGATCGACGTAGTCGCCGAGGAACAAATAGTTGATGTCTGGCGGGAATCCGTTCTTGTCGAAGATACGCAGCAGGTCCGAATATTGTCCGTGGATGTCGCCGCACACGATGAGCGGCGGTTCGACTTCGAGAAGCGACGCTTGCGATGCGAACACCGTCTTGGCGATGCCGCAACACGCTTGAAGCTCTTGCTCGTTGACGGACGTCGTCAGCCTTCCGCCGGCCATTCCGACGTTGAGCAGACGGCTCATCAGGTTGTCGATGTCGAGTTGCGCTGTCATTTTTGTTCCTTACCTAAAGGCTTTCGAAAAATGCACAAGAAATCGATTCGATGATGACCCCACGACTTACCCTGAGTAGGCGTCTTCAAAAGTGAAATCTCGTTTGGTGGTTTGTCGCCGTTCGAGAGGAACGTCAAAATATTTTGAACTAACCATTTCATGTCTCAATTCAATCTTATCGATTGGCAACCTCATTTTTGAATATTTACGTCAAATTTATTTTTGATATTATACTTGATAAGAATGCTTGTATAAATGACTGGAAAGGAAACAAATAAAAAATGTGTATATTTCGAATTCGAAATGTTTTTAATATGCAGTATATGGGTATTATATTGAATTATTTTTTTAAAGTATCAATTGTCGAAAATTGACTGAATTCCAAAAAAAAATATTGGATACTATGCAGATTTTAGGAAAAACATGAAAAATTCCAGCAAAGAATTTCATGCAAATTGGGCAAAAAAAATATTTTTCAGCGGTTTTTTGGGGATTTCGATAGTTTGCTGGCTAAAAAAATAGTTAGCTTAAAGCGCGCTTTTTTTTTCATCAAATATTTTTATCAAGTGCTATTTCATTCGAAAAGCTGAGAGTTATTATTGATGCATTGACAAAATATTTAAACTTAAATTTCAGCTGAGATCCCGATATACATAATTGTGTCTTATGTTTTTGAAGACCTTTGTTAGATTCGTTGCGGGAAATCGTTTATTCTTCTTTATAAACTGAAAAAAATTTATTAAAAGATCCCTTTTATTATTTTAAAAAAAATGCGAGAAAAGCAGCAACTGGTGTCGAACGTTGATTATTGTATTTCTATCTCTCCAACTTGTATTAGTTTGACCTGATGTATTATCAAATTAGGTTCGAATGTAGGTAGCAGATCAACTCACATTTGTTCGATAAATCAAACACGTGGTGGTGATGAAATCTGACATATTTTGGGTCTGACACAAAAATAAAATTTCCGGAATACTTTGATTCTTAACCTTTATCCTATTCAATTCGAATCGATTCGAAATGAATTTTAGAACAAAAGAATATTTAATATATAGAGTTTCGAAAGAATGGATTATTTTCACTTCAGCTAAAACCATTGTTGGTTGACTCGAACGATTATTCCGATTGGGAATGCAATTCAATAGAAGAATACAAATTCATTTTTGAATGCAGATTTTCTTCCATCTTCTGATGTCCAGAATCTTTTCTTTCCTAAATATTTCATCAAAATATTTGAGAAATGTCGTTTGAGTACTCGTAAAATTACTACGGTTTATCCCTAATCAAATGATATCCGTTTTCGAAAACACGCCGACGAAAGCCCTCGACCTTGAACCATGTTCGAAATTTTGTTGGCGGGCTAATTGCTACCCGAATCATAGTAGATACAATCGACCAAAAGACATCGTGGAGATTCGCCCGTCATCCAATGAGTTCGACATTCCTCCTTGCCGAAATTCGATCAGTCCCTGGCCGAATTTTGTGGTACTCTTCGAAAAAAAAGGAAGTGTCAACAAGAATGTATTTCCTTTCGAAAATGCAACCAACAAATATGTATGTAGTTTACCAGTTTCTTGCTTACAATTGCACTTTCCAACCATTTCGCCCTTTTAGCGAGTCTTTCTAAGCAGTCAGAAAGAAAAAAGGAAAATCGAAAAAAAAACGAAGAGTGCAAGAGAAATTACAGTGAGTCATTCAGCGGGATCCTTTGATGATTTTGTAATTTATTGCCTCTTCAAGGATTGATGATTGGTTGGAATCATATCAGAATGTGTAACGTGCTGATCATCAGAAAGTGGTTTACAATTTCTTTGATATTTTCAGATCGTTAGATTGTTTTTAAGAAATCAACTCATCTGGAAATTAAAAATATTATTGGTTTCTCATGCTTTGATAAGCATTTAAAAATTTTATTTTGCGTGGGTGGATGAGAAATGCGCATTAGGTGTTGAAAATGTGAAAAAAATAGAATATTTAAATTACATTTGGATTAAAATTTATTATTATTTTTAAATTACGGTAAAGTAAATTAGTCAATCTGAAGAATTCGTTTTTTTTCGCACTAAACTCGAAAATTTCCAAGCAAGGCATTCGAATTTTCACCAAAAAATTTGTTTTTGCGGACTAGAGATATTTTTTTTCGATTTTCTCTGAAATTCATTCCTATTTTTGGTGTTTGGTCTTCATTTATTATTATTTGAGATCTAAAAATGCGTGAAAAACACCGTGCCGCAAATTGTGGAAAATGCCCAAAAAAAAATCGTTTGAATTGTTTTTCGATCAATTTTTCCTCCAGCAACTTTGAGATTTTTTAAAATCTTTTTTAATCTCGCTTCACACTACTATGTGACCCATAATTAATGCCGTATAAGCAGTTTTAACAGAAATTCGAGATTGCTGGGGTTTTTTTTAAAAAAGCGTCGAATGCCGATGTTGCGCGACTTTGGAAAATATGCAAAATGCCAAAAAAAAACCTATGGCAAATGGTTTTTGTGTGAATTTTAATAATATTTATTTTCGCAAATTTTAAGACGAACTGGAAAAATACCTTCCTTGTTAGCCTGCGACTTTGAAAATATGAAACTTGTAGCAAAATACGTGAACTAGTAGAGAATATTTTCGAAAATCATTGCCAATCATTTTAAAAAATGTCACGATTGTGCGTCCGAATCTTCTGCAACTCCGTGTCTCCGACAAGAATCAGTGAGTTGAGATAATTTGAATTTGATAAATTCACCACGCTCATATTATCTTTTGCATTTTGATTGCCCTTTTGATGCATTCAAGCTCAAAAAAAATGTTTAAAACGAGGAAATGATATTGAGTTTTTCTAGTTTCACAGCAAGGTTTTCATTTTGTTTTAAAACTTTGATTTTAAAAGAATTTAGTTTTTATTTGTAATAGAAAAACAGATAACCAAAGTGAGTTGAATGAAACTTTTCGAACGTTGCTTCACCGTATTTTCCGTCCAGATAATTCAATTTTGGATTACAGTTCGATTACATAAATTACGGTTCTCGGATTTTCTGCAATTTTGAGAAAATTGTTTGACTATTGAGTGTTATTTGATCCGCGATGGGGAATTCAAGATTTTTGGTGAAAATAGCGGTCAATGCATATCGAAAGAATCATTAGCGATTTTCTAGAAATTTTCCGTTTTATTTTGCAAGTTTTTTTGGTTATAGTTATAGAGAAAAATGAACAGCAGTTAAATAATGCTTTAAATCAAATGTGGGAAGGGACTTTACCCTCAAATCTCGGGTTGATATTTGCTGGAGCCACCGGATTAAATGGTGGAATTGGCAATAAATTGCATATTTAATGGGAAAATTAAAGAAGCCAAAATAGATTTTAAGAGTCCCCCTTGAAAAATTGAATTTTAAGGCGATGATTCATAGATTTTGTCGAAATTTAAAAAAAAGAGTTGAGATCCAAAAATAAAAAAAAACATGCAGATTTCGGAAAAATTAAAAATTGCCTTTCAGTTTGCAAAGCGGACGTCTCAAAAAAACTCGGCCACGGCCAGGTTTTTCAAAGCCTACAGTACCACAGTTTGTACAATTAAAATCGCTGCAAGAACGAATTTTCAGAAATTGCACTGTTAATTATAACGATGTTAGTTTATTGATAATTGAAAGTGCATATAATTAAATTTCATTATTGTTGCAGTGATTTTATCAAAATTGTGGTATTGTAGGCTTCGAAAAGCTTAGACGTGACCGAGGTTTTTGAGTTTTTTTTCCAGCTATCTGCATTGCGATTTTTATCGCTTTTTTAAAATTTTTTTTTCTTGAGAAATTTTCATAGTTCCATTAAAGGCGAAGAATTAAGTCATTCCCATTATTGGAGTTTGATTCCATTGCCACATTAGGCCCTAATTGTCACATTCTCAATCCGAACACCAACATAGTAATAGAGTGTTTCTCTCATTCTAAGATAAGGCAAATTGTGTAGCACATTTTATCGCGGCTCCCCAAATCCATACGATTAGACGAATTCGACAACAAACTGATAATGTCGTTCAAGTGACAGGCTATTAATTTTTGTCATTTATTGTTGGCACATTTCCGTTTCAAAATCAAGTAGGAGATCACAGACCAATCTTCACATTGAAATTCACCTAATATGGTTTCGAACTCTCCGGTGTTGACGTACCGTTTAAATTCAGAAGGCAAAAGGAAACACATTTGGATTTTTTGTTGCTGTAAAAAAGCTACAAGAGGGCAAATATGCACAGTTCGCAACAGTTGATTTTATAATCAAATTAACTTTTTAATTCATTAAAAATCATGACTTCTAGGAAAAAAATTGTCGGCCGTTATCAATTTAACGAAAGAAAAAGAATAAAAAAAACACCTGAGAATGTTGCGAAGCGCAAACTAGAAAACCATGTGTTTCAAATTGATGAAAAAAAAAATAAAAGAAATGAAATGAAATAAAGACGAATCATTTCGTTGTGAATCATTTGGTTTCATTTTTTTTTGTTATATATTTCTCGTAATTAAATGGTTTGTCGATGCACATTCATTCAATTTGAACGATGATTGAACGGCGATTTTTTGTAAAAATAAAAGAAACACCTGACAAGCACAATAGGCGAGGCGACCAAAAAAATGTCTGAGATGGTTTCCAATTTCACATTATTCTTATTCTTGTATTCGTTTTTGAGCAAATAATGTTCCTTATTCGATATAGTCGAAGTGTGAGTGTTCGTTTTAATCAAGCTTGAAGTAATACATTCATCATATTGAAGATGTATTCATGCATTTCGATTTTTGGTAATTTTTGAAATTCTATTCCAGCGAATAATACGTAGAATTGTCTTCCGAAAACCGTTGTTGTGTCTTGGTTTTTACAAATCCAATTTTGTGCAAAACATGATATCAGCTCAATTTTTAAGAAAAATGAAAAATAATTGAGAGAAAAACGTCAATAATCATTTTGGCATAAAATACTGGCATGTGATATTAAAGTCCGCGTCCGGCGGCTGTTTCACGCGCGGCTGTGCGCCTTTCGCTATGGTCCCATGCGGACAAACAGTCAGCTCGATAATTTTTAAGGTTTGAATAGAGCTTGAAATTCAAGGAAATACCAATCTCTTCCAGAAAAAAAACGAATATTTCTCGTAAAAAAAAAACTGAATAAAGTAATCACGTGTGGCCAGATCATTTCGTCCTTAAAGCTAAAGCAGTCGCATACAGTAATTTTTCTGATTTTTTTTTTACCAAAAAAAAAACAATTCTCAACTGTACAATAAAACTCAGTCACTGGATGCTGGAAAATGGATGAAAGGTGGATATGTGGCAGATCATCCACGTTTGATCCTTGTTTCATTAATTTTGAATACGTTTTTTCGTCCACTTTTGAAAAAATTCTTGTTGATAATTGAACGAAAAAACAAATTGATAAAACATGGATAAAAACTGATCTGCCACATATCCCATTTCCATCGATTTTTCATTCATGTTCCAACGAGCCGTGGCGCTAAACAATCTCGCAGCTCCCAAGCTCATGCTCCATTGTCAATTTACGATCGTAGAAAACTATTGGAAATATGGATCCCTTCATAAGCATCACTTGTTTGCCTAAAACCCCTTTTAATAGAATCGCTTAATTCGTTCAAACTACATTCTTCGAATTTGGGAGGTGAAAAAAATGCTAGCTAGATCAATGCCTCGCCTCATCTCTCTATCCAATTCCCACAATCTTACGCATTTTTTTGCGAATTGCAATGTTCGCCACATCTACAGATGCGCTCTCCGTGGCCCCGCCCACAATCGCATCATGTGCCGTATTACGGTATTTGGGCGTCGCGGAACAGAAAAAATAATGAAAAAAGTGGGTCGGGGCGTGGTCGAAATGAAATGTTTTTTAAGCTGCTGTGAGGGGCCTCCGCCGCGTCGTTCATTCATCACAACAACTCGCGTTCTCAATGGCGACTGCTCCGATGAAAATTCTTGTCACCGGCGGAACCGACGGCATAGGTAAACCGATAAGATTCTAGTTTTCGAATAAAAAAAAACCCACGGATTCAAGGCCGCGAAACTGCCATCCAACTTGTCGACTTGGGTCATAACGTCACCATTGCTGGAAGAAGTCAAGAGAAAGCGGATGCTCTCATCGATCTGTGCATCGACAAATACGTAAGCCACCAAAATGCGAGCTTCTAATTGTGAGCCGAATGGGTTCGTTTCCAGCAGCGCAAGGTCAAGTTCATCAAGGTTGATCTCTCAGTAATGGAACAAGTCAAAAGCTTTGCAAATCGCGTTGCCGACGAATGCTAGTAAGTCAGCGAAAAACAAGGAAAATGAGGCGATGCAAAAACAAAAATCAAGACGAGTCACAAATAATAATAATCTTGTTTTCAGCGACATTTATATTATGAATGCCGGCCTTATGAATCCGGAAAAAACAGCAACTGTCGATGGATTGGAAATGACTATTATGGTTGGAAATCTTAATAATTAAAAAAAGAATCAAGAATTCTTTCTAGACGAATCTCATTTCGACATACATTGTCGTCAACACGGTGCTCAAGAATCGACCGGATGAGAAGAAAATGCATTTTGTGTTCATGACGTCGATTCTCATCAAATTCTACAGTGCCATCCCAATTGGCAAAAAACTTTTCGATCCGACCGTCGTCGAACAATGGGAGAAGGCGGTGATTCCAAGTGACAAGAGTGGTCCCGGAATGTACACAATTTCGAAGATTGGAACGGCAATGCTGGCTGAATGGATTAACTCGAAGAGCATTCCGGATGTTACTGCTACTGCTATTCACCCGGGATGTGTTCACACCAACATGCTTAAGACCCTTCCGGCTAGACAACAGTTCTATTTGAAGATGTGCAGCCCGTTCACTACCAAACTGGTAATAATCGAATGAACGATTCCAGATTCTCAATAGCTTTATATTTATAGGGACAAGCTGGAAACAACGTGGTCCATGCTGCTCTCCACCCTCTTCCGCTAAACGAATACTACGTTACTTCACGAGTGGAAAAATTGCCGTCATTCATGCAAGATCCGAGCACGATGGCTGCCTTCAGCACGTTCCTTGAGAAATACTTGTAATAATTGAGTAGCAGCAGCAGTGTCGTGTTCAGCTTTAATAATTACTCAACATTGCTGTCATACTTTAATCGATATTTAACTACATATATGTATTATATTTTTGGCACATCACAATGATAAAACTGTTGATTTTAATTTGGCAATATCGTCGTTTAACATCTCGCGCGAAACATCGTCATCTTTGTTCTTAATGCAAGTCACTACGCCCTTCTGGCACGACGAGAGAAGTTCGAAGGTATCCTGAATAAGAACGATCGTGTGGATTGAACAAAAATTATCCATTCAGAAATGAAATAAATATTTTGATATTTCAACTAAATAGACATTTATATAAATTTTAATAACGCTATTTTACTATGTGACACCCGCCAAAACACCTATTACTCAGTTGCTAAAGGCATATTCTAATTATACGAATGTGCCACCATAGTAACTCACTATTCCTAAAGGTAAAACTTCAACACTCTCGTATATCGCCTTTTGAATTTTTAAAATTTCACTCATAATCTTCAAATTACCAATAGAGCCTAAGAATAAATGTTGAAACTTCATAAAAATATCGCTTTTAAAGAAACTCATAGAAATTCAATTGTCTTCCATAAAAATTAATTTTCAAACAGCGATTTTAAGTGACGTTTCTCTGAATTTTTAAAACATTATTTTGTGTATATTTATGAAATAAATGAAATTCATTAAAAAAAAAACTAATGACACATCTAATGAAGGTTGATAATCAAGAAAAATTGAATTGATTATTGAGCATTCTAAACTAAAATTATTTTTTAAAATATTTACTCCATAATTTTTTCTTTCTTTTGCAGCAAAACAACGGATATTGACTTGTATCATGAACACACACTGGCACGGCAAAACAGTTCCCAATAAACAATATTTCAAAACAATCTAAATATAACAATTAAGCTAAACAGACAGTATTCACATTTGTCATTGCTGAAGCATTTTCTCTCGAACAATTACTTTGACACGAGGAACATTTTAAGAACCATAATGATTGTTCAAATGCCACTTTCCTATAATTAGAAGAGAAAAACTGTCCCTTTTCGGGTCGTGAATAAGAATGCGCTAGGGCTGCTTACGTCAGCAGCGCGTGTTAGGAGTTGCCGTACAAAAGCATGTTTTTTTTCGGGGGCTTCTTATAGGATATAATCTAATTCAAAAAAAAATGTGTTCTCCGTTGCTCCAGAACATGTCGATATCAGAAAGATCGTCTTCGAAAGAATTGACAAAACCATTAACGAATAACTCCAGGCCAATTCGATGACGACATATGTCAAGTTGCAAACGTCAAGTTTACTAACGCACTCTACTTCCGGTCATGGAATCCAATAATTGATAAAAATTGATATTGCAAAGAACAATAAGCGAAATGAAGTAAAGTAAAATTGGAGGATAGAGGATTATTAGTAAAATTAAAAATTAAGGGAAAAAAAAATGAAATTTCAAGAAAATGAATACGCATGCAAGGAAGAATGGCAATAACAAGATGAAAATATTGTTTCTTCATTCACATTCTCGTAAGAAAATACAGAACGCAATTCGTAATGAAGCCAAAGAAAGTAGTATATATGAAGGTGTTCCCGAACGCCGGATGATATAATCTATTACCCGAAATCCGGCCTCCTACAGTAACTCAAGAATGTATCTCACGCAATTATCACGCGTCCCTCACTCATGTTCGCTCTGAGCAAATGCCCCTTGTTGCATATGGTGCATATCGACCTTTTGCCACAAATGGTGTCCTAGAGGGTCCAATTATCTTGTCGGCATTGTGGTCACTCTTTGAGTCTACAGGAACGCCCGTCACCACAGTATTTGACAAGTTTACTATTATCTATTTGCTCATTAGATCCCACCTGTTCATTTTTCACACAATTATCGCCTCCTCTTCGAAACTACAAAATGCATCTATACCTAATTTGAAATCTAACTATTTATCTCCTCCGAGTGATCCAAAGAATACCTTTTTCGTGCCATTTCTGGTAAAGCAAACCAATTGAATCCCATAAATTATGACCTCGAAATTCCGATTCGAATTTGCTCGCACTCGATAGTCAATTTTCAGCATCCGTTTGCAAAATTTATTCTATTAGGAACTTATATTTTTGATTTTCATTGAAAATTCAGTTTTCCATTTTCTTCCTACATTTTCGAATACACTGCATCACTATCATTCAAGTCTTCGACAATAGGAAACCTAGACAGAAGCTTAATGTGAATTGTCGTATCTCCGAAAAGCCTGAATTGATATTGCTGAAGATAGGCGCATTTGATCAATACCATTTTCGATCTTAGATCGACATGAACAAATTTGTTGATATGCGAATTTCATGGCTACGGTGTTTTTTTAATTGCATAAACGATCAATGTGATTGCAAGACCAAATAACTAAAATTTGAATCATATGCAACACTCCATAAATTCGTATGTCTTCGACAATATAGTTAAACGATTTTCGCTGGGCGTGACATTATCGCTGTTGTTCGTTTCTCTTCTTAGCTATGCGATGATAGCACATCAATTAATCTATTTTCGTTCCAAATGCCACTGTATTGATATAGTCACAAGTTTTCTGCTAATTGAGAATTTCGAGAACAATAACTATCGCATACTGTTTGCATAGTTAGAGCGTAACAGATACCCATTCCTCGTGACGTTCATGATTTCTGACATCGAACAATTTAAATGCAGTTTGATCGCCTCAAGCATTGTACAGTTCCTTCTGCAAAAAAACTATGCAACGAAGACGCCGTTAACTATGCGCATCAAACGAAAGATAATCGCAAAGGCATTTAGATCACAGCGGAAACAGTTCGAATTAGATCAACGATTTTGCTGTCGAGAGATCATACGTGGAGGCAATTACGCTTCATACAAAAATACTGTAGCGTCGAGTTTTAGGCGATTGCGGTACGATCAAGACACAATGACGATATCTCTCCGGACCACGCAATTATCTATTGAACGTCAAATATGTTACATCTATGATTACGGTAGAATCGATAGAAGCTACGATAAGAAGAGTTGTGTTTTGGTATTTATGGCATATTACTTAAGAACATTGCATTTATTGGAACGACTATAATTGAAAATTCAGGAAATTATCGCTTCTGTCAGCAGTTTGTCGATTTTACAAGTAACCAGGTTAATTTAATTGAAAATAGATACGATTAGATACGATACGATTTTGAAATCACCCGAAAAATCGATTTACGGCCATAATAATTATATTTTTTAAAGCTTAAGTCTTTACAGCTATACGTATTTATAAATGCTAGTGATTTTAATTTTTCTTATTTGTTGTTTTAAAGTCATTCTGAATTTATGTTCGGATGCGTACCTCTGACACCAACTCCTTGATTTGCGCGATCAATGGCGCTACAAACTTTCCGCTCGCACTTGTCGGTTTCCCATTTTTCGCCAGAATGTACAAAATTGAAACGAGAAGTGTCGTCGCTGCGTCGCTGTGAGATTCGAGTTGCTCGCGCAACTCCGAAATGATTCTCGCACCGACATTAGCTTTAGTCGTACGATCAGCTCGTTTTAAAGCAAGCGAAGTCGCCGATGGAACCGAGCAATCATATAGAGCGTCATGGAATGCATCAAGATTCGAGGCATCGGATGTTTTGAGAGATGCATACAAGTTTTTTATTGGCTCTCGAAGATTGGATGGAAGCGATTCAATTTTCTCATCTCGTTGCTGAAAATTAAACGATGTAATAGAGAGAATGGCAAAAATAATATTATGAGAACCTTTTCCTTGAGAGATTGCACATCATCAACTTCAGTGCAATAAGTAAAAATGGCATTCGCTATTTCCAATCCAAGGGATTTCAGCAAATAAAGACGTAGGTCCGAGCCAAGAGGATCTAGTAAAATTGACAAATCATTTCATATAAAATTAAGAATGTTAGTTACCAGAAAATGAGGTGGTCGCAGTTTCAAATGTGCAGAAATTGTCATATATTCCGCGGATTTTCTCCGCCATAGCAACTAGATTCTTTTTTGTCGAAGCAGCCGAAGCCGTCAATTGACTGATCGCAATTTCAGAGACTCGTTTACGAAGAGCCTGCGTTGCCTGAAAACCAAAAACTAATTGGAACAATAATATTTGGTTCTCACTTCTTGAGAAAGCTTCTCAACCACAACTTGGATAATCTCGTCTGGAACACTTTTTGATTCAGTCAACCATTTCTCGAGTTCCTAGAAAGATGTAATCTCATTGTAAAACTTTTTTCGATGTTTGTTAACGAATTCCTTCATACCTCTTCAGAAAGAATCACCGGTGCTCCAGAAGCGGATTGCGAATTTACAGCCTTAGAAGCAGTTCCGGATCCTTTTCCTTTTCCTTTCTTCCCTTTTCCCCCCTTCTTGTCCCCCCAATCATCATCTTCAACAACTTTTACTGGTTTCCCGCCTTGTTTCTTTTCTTTTTCCAATCGATCAACCTAAAATGCCCCATTTTTGCTCATTTAAATTTTTAAAAGAATTCACTTCTTCATGAGCTTTAGCCTCAATTTTATCCGAAATCGATTTGAGCGCATCGGTAAGAATCGAGTTCATGAATAAGTATCCTTCGGCGAAATGAGCGTCCATCGCCGCATTTTCACCAATAATATCCTCATCGGAATCGTCGAAAGGAATGTTTAAAAATGATAGAGTTGCTTTCACTTCACAAATTCCACTTCTTTTCACTTCCTCTACAAAATAATTTACCATGTAATTTTTTTAGATCGTTTCGAATAATTTACCTTGAAGAAGACTAACACAAGTTTCAAGGATCTCCGGAATCACGTACATCGAATTGAGCACAAAGAGCTTCGAAGCCGCTTGTTTCCCAATGACCTGCTCCAATCCTCCTTTCCCATCGATTCCCAATTTTTTCAATGCAGAAATCGCTGGAAAAAAAATCGAATTTTAAGCCAAACATTTTGCAGAGATTCTTACGAATAAATTCATTTTGTCTAAGAGAATGTAAAACGCATTCCTTAACAAGCATTTCATACATATTCGGAGTATAAACACAAGCTGGCGAAGTTCTCGAACCAACGATATGCCCCGGAACTTCTCCGGCAGCAACCAATTCGTCAAAAGCAACCCAAAATCGTTTGGTTGTAAGTCCAACACGCTTTTGAATATTCGAAATTGGAGTGATCCTGAATTTTCAATACATTTTGATGAATTGAATTTTTAGTGGATAATGTTACTTGGTGACAGCGGATAAAATCGCTCTGAGAATCATTTTTCTCGAATCCAAGAACAAATTCGTATAGATTGTGTCTCCATCGACAACTCCTTGAAAATCGGCGGGCAATTGATCAATGAGAAGAGATTTCAACAACTCCTAAACAGCTTGATGATAATTATTAAAAGATAAAACAAATCAAACATTAGATAAATTCCAATGCTTGCAAAGAGAAACGGTTGTTTGGTTTCCTTGCTCGTCGAGAAGTTCGCGAAGCTCATTTCGGAGTTGGTGAACATATTCGCTAAATTTTCCAAACATTTTACAATTCATTTTGAAAGATTCAAATTACGTAGAAAAGAGTTCGGCATTAGATAAAGTATAATCCTTATCCTCAGCAACAACATTGCGAACAGTTCGCTCAATATGATCGTAATCAATGTTTAATGAAACAGCGATTTCAGTTAAAGGAACACGACCACCATTGGCGAGGCATTCATTTTTAACCTGAATTAAAAAAAAATGTATTGGGACTATGCAGATTTTGAGGAAAACTCAAAAAATCGAAAGAACCTCTAATGTATGCAGATTGTGCAAAACACTACTTTTATCGCGGAATTTGATTTTCATTTTCAAAAATCTACATAGTATTAAGAACCTTTCGACGAAATAACATAACATTTCGCAATAATAATAATTACCTCGGTTTCCAAATGTTTCTTGGTGACATAAGAATGACCATCTCGAGTGAAAACCACATCGACTAGTTTATTTCCAATCAATTTCGATATCACTTCAACGCAATTTGCTTCCGAAAGCCTAAAATTCGAATAGAAACTCAATTTTCACGTTTATCAATACTTTTTCGATGATTGCGAAAGCTGAACACGCTGCAAATCAGAAGCGAGTCTTTGAATATCCGCCCAGCTAGCCATCTAAATTAATAAAATAGTAACATTTAAAATACAAGTGAGATATCGAACGTGAACTGTGCAACTTCTTCCAAACATAATTTAAAATTGGCCATACAATTAAAAATAAATATTTATAAATTAGTTCTATTAATCACAGATTATTATATCTCGTTAAAAGGCAATTAAAATAACCCAAACAAATCCCAAAACAGAAACAAAACGATGAGATCACTAAGCATCAGGTTCTGGTGTGCCATTAATTTTTGAAATTATATCGCTGAATCGATCGACACATTCTACGAGCCCGTCTACAGTGATATCAAGTTCGTGGCTCTTCTCAAGAAGATACGAGGCGTCGTGGTGAATCTAAACGAATTATTCGGTTCATTTATTATTTACATTAAATGCACTAACCTGAATCTTGATTTTGTCATCATCCGAAACGGCTCCTTCCATCGTGTTCTTTCGTTTGAATCTGGATAAACTCGATCCCGTTGCTTCAACACTATCTTGAACTTCTTTAGCTTTTGCGGCGAAAAAGGAGAAAGCTGATTTACTGACGTCTTCGATCATTTTCTCAATATTCGAATGCGCCAGATTTCTGGAATTTTGGTATAAATATTACAATTAGAATAAATCAACGATGATTACTCTAAATTCTCCCTGAACTCTTCAACTTGTTTCGTAGCATTTTCAACATAGGCTGAATGAGTCGTCGGCGGCGCTTTTTTCGTCCAACGGTAATGCTTCGGAACGTCGGTAACTAGTGCAAGCTCCTGTAAAACGCGTTTTTATATTATTTTCAATGAAAAAAAAAACAACCATATTTAAGACACTTGCAAAAAGCGAAATCGCCTCATTATCGAGGGATGTGCACACAGAATCCACAAACTGTCCATGTTTAGTAAGACAATGCCCAAACTGAGTAGTATCGACTTCGATATCTCTATAAAATTAGTTGATTATTTCATATTTAACAAAACCTCACTTAAGTTTTGTCCAGATGCTTTCCAAGGCGAAATCGAAGACTTGTGCTTGCAATTCCGTTGCATCTAATCGGATATACAATAAAACTTTCCACGTGGGAATTCCTTCAAATTCATTCTTGTCCTCAACGAAATGCCTGAATTTTATCATTAATTTTCCTGATTTTCAACTCGATTTTCTCACTTTTGCAAAGCCTTACACCAAGATGAATGTTTCAGCAACAGTCGAAGAGTGAAATCCCAAAGTTTGTCGACAATAGATGGAATATAAACATCATCGCTCCATACATGCTCAATTGCGTCGAAAATCAATTTGGTTACTTTACAATGGAATTCCTATGTTAAAACTAGAACACAGACCATAACAGAGTTCGATACCTCATTCGTTTGTCTTTCGTTCAACGAAAATCGATCAGGAAGTATAGAATTGTCGATTTCTCTAACAAATTTGTGTGTTTCAAGTTTGAAATAGACTACAAGATTGAATTTGTCACGAATTGACTTCAATTCTTGTCTGAAACATGCAAAAATGTTAAACGTTTTATCGGCGGATTATTACCTATAACGACCTGCGTTTGGCCAATTATTGATGAATTCCTGAGTCGCCATGAAACATCGGTGAAACAATCGAGTATCACTTGGAACGGCAACTGTTCCCATGCACTGCAAAAATTCGATTTTTAAAACAATAGTTCCTATGATGTTTTTTTTTACCTTATCGATAAACGTTAAGACAAATGATAGTAGAGTCTCATCGAGAAATTTGCGAACTTTCCCGCAATATTTGTTTCCCAACTTTTGCTGCCAAGTATTCCGCATTTCATTCACATTTTTATACACATCGGTCAACCACAAATATTGGTCATTGATGGAAGATTTCACAAGCTTCGGATACAAGACATCGGATACAATTTGGCCAGTCAAAGCATGAGAGGAATTCGTAAGATGAGCAATGGAAAGGATCAATGGCAAATTGGCACAGTCGCCAGAAACGCTTTGAATTCCTTCACGGCACAGAATGGATTCAATTTTTCGCATGATCTTAATAATAACAAATTTTTCAATTATTAAAAAACATTTTAAATGGTTTTTGAATATATACAATTATTTTGGTATTTGTTTTCCATAAATTAGCTTACCACGTTATACGCATGTTTTTCTTCATCAGAATGCAGATGATCGATTGACTTTACTTCGACCAAATATGACGAAACTCGATCAAACCATAGAATGGAGCATTTTTTCGGCGGAGCTCGCAACATTGCTGCAAGTTGCTCCATCGCTGACAAGAACGCGATACGATTACGAAGTTCAGATTGTCGCTCTCGATTTGCTGTCAGTTCACAACATTTATTTTCAATTTTCTCGGCTGTTCCAACAGAATCGCGCGTTGATTCGCAAAATTCCTCCCAGATACTCTTTAACATTAAATTTTGAATAATTCGTTGTGATCATGTGAATTACCTCAATATCATTGTTGATTTTCGTAAGTGAATCGTTAAGACTGACAAGATTTGAGGAAAGATGTACGAAATCAGCATAATCGTCATTGATGAGCTCTATCATTGAATTTTGAACACTTCTGAGATAAAGACGCAGGTCCTGCTGAATGGTTTTCAAATCAGCTTTTCTAAATTCAGAATTTACCACAAGTATCGCATTGCTAAACTTACTGCCTGGCAAGGTTCATGAATCTCTCAACATTGAAATCGGGTCGGTTAAAATGTGTTTTATTGAAACACAGTTTTGATTCATCAATTGAGAACGTGCTCGATGATTGAAATGGATGCTGTGGTGATAATACCCCATTTTGAGAAGATGGCATTCTGAAAAAACTGCCTTTTTGAAAAAAAAAAAAACGAAATAAAAAGCTTTGAAAATAAAAAGTTGAAATAAATGGCGAGTTGGCAAGCAGCAAAGACGCTCTAATGCAACGACATATAATTTGAATAATATTGGATATTTTTTGTTCGAACGTCAAAATTTACGTATTGTGAAGAACGTTGGAGCAGAAATTAAAAAAAATAGAATAAAAATAATAATTTTCAATTTCGACTTGCAGTTTTTGGATTAATACAACTAGCAGACGAATGGAGACTTACATGTTTCACAAGTAAATACCACGTTATTAAAAATTTATGGTAATCGGTGAAATAAAGTTTTTCGTATTTTTTTGAGTTCCCATATATTTGCAAAATAATGTTAAAAAAAAATATTTTTATTATACGAGACATCAATCTTGATGGGCCGAAAGCCAGCCGCTCGTAATGACGAGATCTCAGGAATCTCCATTTTCCCGCAAAACGGGAAAAGTGAAGGTTTTGGGGTTTTGAAGTTAAAAGTTTGGAAATTTTCGCCTTATAAACCTCTCAACAAGAAAAAAGTTCTGGTTATAAGCTCGATGTGAGCACATGAGCCGATTGAAACCATTAATATGTCCGGGTAGTGCTTTTTAATTCAATGAAAATTGTAAAAATTACACATTTTTCCAATCCAAAGTTGTAAAATTGCACATTTAATGAAATTTTCACATTTAAAAAAACATACATTTCATGAATAGGTCCATAAAACCATTCTTATTGTCTTAATACAATAAGAATTTGGTTCTAATAACCGTAATTGATCTGGACCAAAATTCTACAACGTTAAAGTAAGCCCAACATAGCAAAATTAATCTCAAAGTGTAGACAAACCAGTTGAGCTTCTCTAGATTGTTTCAAAATTTCATTAAGCATTTTTGTGCGCGCGAAAGTTGCGGATAGCAGCCAAGATAGGAAAATTTTAAATGGGACCTTGTCATATAGGGCCAAGTGACAAAATGGGCTAAACTGACAGATAACTTTTCATTTAGAAATTGGAATTTTGCGAGTAACGATTCATCCAAGCGTGCTATTTTTTGTGCTCAGAGCGAATTGTTTAAAAATATTGTAAAACCGAAAAATTTAAACTAAAACTTGATTTTTAAAGACGAATAATTTATTCGGAATATCATAAAATGGACTCAGAATATGATACATAAATCGAAATGTCGATTAGTTTGATATTCGTGAGATCTGCAAGAATATCTACAAATTGATTAGAAAGATTTTTCACGAAATGCTTGTATTCGTCAAGATTTCAACTCTTGATCCATCATTTGGAAAAAAGGGTGTCCTTCATTCTTTTAGAAGTTGCCTCCATTTGTCATTTGGCATTTGGCCTCCAGATTAGTTCAACTTGATCGGTCCCATTTGGAAATATATGAATAGAAACCAAACAGTTTGTGACTCTGATTATCATTTCCAGATGTCGGAATCGAATCTAAACTGGGAAGATCAATCAGAAATGTTTTTGATTTGTCTGCAAAATGCCCTCGTGCGAATGTAGACCTGTTCTTCTTCCAATCTCGTTTAATGTGATAACCATCTAAACATTTGTGTTGATTTCGAAAAATTATTGAGTCTTCTAGCCGAAAAGTATTGTTTGTTGACCCGGCAGAAACGAATTATGACATGTTGGCAAACTTCTTTTCATCATGTTGTTTGCATTTTCATTTTTTTTCTTCTTCCTCTTCTTCCTTTTCGTTCCCCAATCAATAATCCTGCTTTTCTGAAATTTATTTCTACATACGTCCAATATTGAATTTGTATCATCATTCTCAATTTTTTATAGCAATTTCAGGGAATGCGACAGAAATCGTCGGCGGTCTCGATTGCAGAAGAAGAAAATGCAGGTAGGACCCTCGTAGTTTAAATTTTTCTTTCTCAGTTATTTTTCTTTTTAGTTATTTTATCATGATGAAACCTTATGAAGAAAATATGTTGTCGAAACCGCGCGACATCGAAAAATTGGCTAAATGCCAAAAAATCTATGAAAGAGGTCATAATGCGCCTTTAATCTATCCTTATGCTAATGCCGTAAATCTACACTTTTACTTCTCCGCCAAAACCACTGTCATTGTTTTTTTTTACATTTAGCCAATTTCCCGCAGTCGCTCGGCGTCGACAATACATTTTTTTGATATGAATATGCTTCAAATTAAAATGATCTCTGAAGATATTTTCGAATTTTTTTCATGATCAAAACCGTTGAATAAATAATTTTATTTGTTAAACGCGTTAAGATGTTTAGCACTTAAAAAACGTTATCATTGCTTTAATGATAATACGATGGTTTGAGTGTGTGCTTAAATTGTGCAAATTTAAGGAGCAATCATAGTATTGCTTTCGAATTTAAATATTACAATACAATGTGTGTGGTATTGATTCGTGTCGGAAGACCCATAAGCCGCTTACACACGCGACGTCCAAATTTACATCTCTTCTCCTCTTGCAATTCTTGTCGGTTTTCCGTGTATGATCGGTCGCCGAATGATTTGTTGTTTTTTTTTGCCGCCCTCCCACTTTTTTCCCGTTGCCGCCGTCGTTCATCGAAACTTGATTGGTTTCATTTGTTGTCCCGCGTGCTTGTATTCACAATTTCATCTGGTCCCATTAAAAAATCCAAATGGAAGATTTAACCATTAAAAAAATGACTTCACATTGTGAATTGAAACGAAAATTATTCCACTGATTAAGCGCGACGCAAGCATAATGGAAGCATTGTGGGAAATCTGTGGAACGGAAGCATAATGCTTCCATATAGGAAGCATAATGTAATTCTTAGTGGCTGTGGAAGAATTATGGGACGAATATGGATGGAATGAAAACGGGATGAATATGCTTCCGGTGTTTGCGAGCCGTGGAACAAATATGGATGGAATATGGATAAAATAATCATATGTCAATAAACATTATACAATTGGCGTCTGGACGGCAGACCAAGACAATTTCTAGAAAAATCAATACAAAAAACTTATGCTATCATATAAACAATGAAAATTTGAAAATTACATGATACACAACGGACGAAATTTAGCTTCTACCATTTAATGACTTATGTTACTCAGATTTATGTTAATTCAGTCAACTGTTCCTCACTTTGTTTAAAGATTGCCAACTACAATTTAGTCGTATTAATATATTTTTGCCGGTTTTTCCGAAATTGGCATCGCAAACTACTCACAATTTGCTCCAAACTGGTAGCAGACGCGCGTAGAAGAGGCGTGCCGCAGCATTGCAAAACCGTGCGCCGCTTTGCACAATGCGGCCACGCCTCACATTTTCGAAATTCGTTTTCAAAATTTTTGTCCTTTTGCTTTTTCTCAATGAATTTTCAAGATTTTTTGTGTTTTTTTTTTTTGTCAAAAATTAAAGAATTTTTTTCAAAATTAAAGGAAAAATGTTTTTAAAAAATAAAGGAAAAATTTTCATATTTATCATCAAAATCGAAACCAAAAATAAATTGATAGCATTCGAAAATTTTAAAATCGATACGATGTTTTCAAATCGTTTCCGACACTTTTAAAATCGAATTTAAATATTTTCTCAATCGAATTGTGTTTAATTTCTCATCGAATCCGTTTTATTTTTATTTACTTTAACATATTTTTTATTATCGCTCGCTTTTTTCTTTTAATAAAACATATTGTTTTGAAATTTTTTACAGATGAAGACAAGATCGAGAGTGTTGTCAGATATAACTGAAACTGCTCTAGAAGTCAATAACAAAGAACCAGAAGTCCCTAACATGGAACCAAATTCGCTCGACACTTCAGATCCAGATAGTCCAATTTACTCGCCAACTCAGCAAAAAAATTTTTCTCCACAGTCCTCACAAACAACAAAATCAACGCCAATTCCTAAACCTTCGTACGCCCAATTTGTAAGTTGTTATCATCAAAAATTGGCCTGTTCGACTCCAGAAATGGTTTCAATTAGAAAAATATGCGCAATGAAGTCTTTATAAAGTACTTCCTAAGTTTAAAGCTTGTTGATTATTTGGTTCCAATCAGGGCTGTGCGGCAATGGAATTGCCGATTGCCGAAATTGCCGGTTTTTCAAATTGCCGAAGAAAATTTCGATCGGTAATTTGCCATTAGCCGAATCGCCGAAATTTCCGATTGCCGTACAGCCTTCGTACCAATATCATTCAGTGGCATTTATCTTTTTAAGTGGGGCTCTAGTACAGAAGTCGCCAGACGCCGACTATATAAAGATCCTATACTTTATTGCAAATATCTATATTACAGATGCTCTTATCCATGGCTTTGGGCAACAACCGACAAATGACTTCAAAGCGAAAGCATTACGCATGGTTCGAGAAGTCATGGATAATCTTCTGTAAGATTTTGAGCTATGACTATTAATTTATTTATTTGATTAAGCGATAGAATGCGCCAACGACTTTAAAGGAAATTTGGTGTAGCGCCGGAAGCGCTCGCGGCGCAATTAAGGAAGCTGCTTGATTCTACCAGCAACCCTCAGATGTGAGTATTCATATGTCTTTGAAATTTTAACCAAAATGCCTTTTTGCTTCAAATTTTGGAGTTGTTCTTTCTTCCGCCAATTCACTTTTTATTTTGTGCACTAAAGGGTTTCCAAAAATGCAATAAAAATAAATTATTTTTATTTTTAAGAAAATTATTGATGTAAAAAAACTGATTGTATTTTCTCGAAAAATTTAGTTTACGTAACAATGGTTTACAAGTTTTTCAAATTAATAGGCCCATTATAATCTACTTATTACAGCGTCCCGCTCGATGTCAGTACTGACAATGATTCGAATAGTTCGGCAGTTGCCAGTAACTAATGGTTTGATTATATCTTAATTGAAATTCATTTCATTGTTGTTTTTTTTTTATTTTAAATTAAATAAATGTGTTAATATGAAATAAATTTTGAATACAGCAATCAAATTGTTTTCTTATTTTCCCATATGGAAGGCATACGGCTCATTCCATATACGAAACACGCGGTTCCGCAAAAAAATGCTTCCATTATGCTTCCATATAACTTGCATATAAGATTCCTATGATATCCACAGCCGTTCCACTATGCTTCCATTGTGCCTATGCCGCCGTTTATCTGTGTCCAGGCAATATTTAAAAACAATATTTTTTTTGTTTCAAAATAAATATTTGAGAATTTCTTAGAAAAAATAACGATGCCTGTCTGCAATTTTGTAAATCGATATTTTGGTAAAAAAAAAACAAATTTTTGAAAATATATGAATTACACGTTTTTTATTTAATCAAATTTGTCATTTTACAACCTGTAATAAAACATTAGCCAGATTTTTGAGTTTTTTTTGCGCTAAATATAAATTATTCTTTATTTCAGGAAACCTGTAATTCAAAAAAAACAAATAATTGAAAAATACAGCATTTTTTCTATACTATATGGTTTATTATAAACTTAATATAATTTTTTTTAAATTTAGACAAATTTGCACAAAAAACAAACCTCATAGCATGTTTGTGCAATAATTTTCTTGTACGATTATTTTTTATTCAAAATAATTATTGAAAATAATTATTATTCAAAATAATTATTTTTTTATTCAAAATAATTATTGACATTTCCTATGAAAACTGTGTACTGATTCTCCTTCTTAAACGATGCAAAATTTCGCTGAAAATAATTTTTTGTCACAATTTTTTTTAAAAGAACCCCTAGTCATAACAGTAGAATAATCGGATTTTGTTCTCAGCGATAATGATAATTTATGACTGAATACGATGATAATTTGGGTGTTAATTATGTGTCATAAGTACTTCTTCCTAGATAAATGTTTGAATGTGTCTATTGCAATTCTTCTCCAGTTTTCTGCATATTTCCATAATTGTTTGTGAGAAACTTGACACTTGAATATCGATGATCAGCAACACCTCTGATGATCGGAGAGGCTCACTTCCGTCTCTTCTCAAGTTGAAATGCGAATATTGAAATGCGTTGTCGAAAGCAGAAAAAAAAACGCGATCGTTAAATTCGTTTATAGTTTCTCGTCTTTCGTTTGCGCCATTTTGTGTTCACGAGAGGTGTTTGTGGTCGTGGTTTTCGTCGTCGTCGTCGTCACGCTCTTCGTGTCGCCGCCATCACACATTATTATCAGAATATAGTTTATGCAGTTTTTTTTTCAAAACACTTTTATTGTCCATGATGTATATTTGATAAATATTGAGGGTTTTACAGACGGTGACGACGACAGATGCCAGCGAATTGATGTCGACGAGATTGTCACAATGAGGAAACAGAGGTAGGCTATTCATGTGAATCGAATAGAAAATGGGATAATGAGGTAGGGGGGAAGGAAAATGATAAACTGGAAATTATAGTAGCAATAACATTTTAACAAACAAATGTTCTAGAAAAAGTTGAGAAGATTCATCTGGAAAATATTTTGCACATCTGTCCGACAAGTCTTTTTCAAAATTTCGATTTGGGAATTTAAGAGGAAACAGATTTTGAGGGAAATCAGTGGTTTGATCCACGAGAGATTTCGACGAACTTCTGACGTCTTTTGAACGTTGATCTAATTCACACGAATTCGCCAAAATAATATCAAGGACGGTATCCACGTGCAGACCAGTCGACGCCCAATAGAATTTACATGTTTTTTCCTCACAAATGAGTAATGTACAATAGTAGAGTGCAGATGGCAAATAGATGCTCGAATAGAAAAAGAAACGACAAAAAATGTTTGATTAAGACAAGTGGTGTCGATTCCCGGCAAAACTAAACTGATAATCTGTTCGTTGAATATCACTCGCTCATCATGTTTGATCATCCTCTCCTCGCAAATGTTTTTCGTGTGCGGACGGATAACCGTTACATGCGTCGAATGCCATTTATTCCCACAGTTTTCTGCGTCGGCGTTGCCCCGTTTTTTTTGAGTAAATTTACCAATCATTTGTGCTTTATGATTTGACACTTTGTGTACTTCACAATCTTATCACAACGCCCTCAATGTTTTGCAAAATCAAAAATGCTTTATTTTTCAATTAGTGCGTTTTAATGATTCATCTGAAGTGTGATTTTCTTCAATTTTCAAATATACTAATGTTTTTATTGTATAATTTGCATAATAATTGATAGGCATTCAAGATGAATAATTTTTGTGCGGGGAGCAATGAAACACTATATGATGACAATTTTTGTCGATGTTGTGAACTCGAAAAGCAGCAATCAGGGACCATCTCTGAATGCAACAGACTTCAGTTAGTAATGATAAAATATTGTACAAGTGTTTCGTCAGAATTTCAAGCAACTTCTCAGATCTACTCAAATCAGTTTGACACTACGTAAATGCGTCATTTCAATTTTTTCTATCATCATTCTAGCTCTGACGTCATTGTCATATATTATTGATTGAAGCATTGAACAACCCCCCCCCATCCGCCCACGATGTCGTCAAAAATGGACTTCGGTGTGATCTATCAAGAAGACAAATGATTAAAGAACTGATAATCGGCGACATGTTCACACTGGCGTTTATCGTTTTAGTACCCCCAAAACTTATTATTTTTTAGTCCCTCATTTTTATCACCAAATCTAATATAAAACCGTAATAAAATTGGCAATAATCCGGGCGCGCATCAAAATTTGCTGTCAATGGAACTGCTTTACTTCACGTTTTTCTGTTGGCCTCTTTCACTTTAATGCCTATTTAATTCAATTTTATATATGAATTATCAATAAACCTCACTCGTCGCCCACTCGCTCTCTCACATTCTCGCCAATTTCGGATGATAACAATAAAAATCGATAGAAAGAGGCGCGAGAGGTGTGGTGCATCTAGAATTTTGCATTGCCTATCACAGAAGGGAAGAAAAAAAGAAGGATGCGAACCGTCTTTGTATATATTTTTGTTGTGCTTCATCGTTGTTTGTATATGTTTGCTCTGCCATCTCACACATCTCGGCCACGTTTTCTACAGTTTCCCATTGTTATTTCTCGTATTCGATGAATCACGCCGACAATTTCCCTATGCTTCTTCTTCTTCTTATGGTTTCGTCATTTTCCGTTTCGAAACGTCTATAGCGAAATTTTGAACAATTGTGATTCAGCATTGATACACATTCTACAATAATGAGGGCAATTCTAATAATAACTTGGTTTATTGAGGTAGTATGATGAATACAAGAGTTCAATTGGGTTTCTCAATGCTCGCCGCTCCATTCGCAACCTTCTCGTAGTCCTAAATCGCGCAAAAATACTCCAACTCATTTTCACGATGTACCTCTTTAAACCGGTTGTATTCTTTCGAGTTTGTCGTCGTATACTTTTTAACCAAAAGGTATTCAACAATGCATCGATGAACGTAGAGATACTGCACTTCGGTCTGAATCGCTTTGAATCGGTCCTCGCGTAGTCTCATCAGCATCTTCGCGGCTCCCGGGAAGTCGGGGTCTTTGATATGTTCGATTATGAGCATTATTAGGACAAACGTGCCAGTTCGTCCAACACCCGCCGAGCAATGAACCAATATCGGTTTCCTAGAGGAAGCGTCAAATTCTCAATAATGCCTATTGATTTCAATGTACTTTGTTCCTTTAATCTGGCCAATTATTCGAAATGGCGTCAATAGATTCTCCGGTGCGCCATGGTCTGGCCAATTATGCCAATGAATATGCCTGATTATTCGAATCGAACTCTGGTCGAGTTTTGTTACTCGAAACGTCGACAAATCAACGCTCTTCTCGACTTCGGATGATTGCTCTTTGAGCACCGTACAAAATGAGCCAATTGTGAGTTGTTGGCCGACGACTGATGGAAAGTATTCAACGCTTTTTGGTTTGTTCTTCTCAATCAAATCACACAACATTACTATGAATTCAGTGCCCTGCAATATTTAATTGGATAATTAAACTAAATTAGCGGGGGTATTTGAAGATAATTTAAGGAACATCGATTTACCGATTCGAATATCATCTTCCAAAAATCTTCCAATGAAACAGTCATCGGCGCCTGGGCACACAAAAATCGATTCCTAACGTTTCCAGAGTTCGCATAATTTGCGTGAATGTAATAGTTTGGCTCATCCGGCATTATGAATCGAGTTCTGTCACAGCACGGGACATTATAGTAACGATTTCTAGTCGGATTGTCTCGAAATGCAGTCGCTGCCGTTAAGGGAGCCTTCAAGTAATTAGGTACTCAGAAGTTTCATCAGTTTCGGTAATACGTCATTCGGAATTTCTTTATATTCCTTTCGCAATCCTTCGACACCGAGTTCAAATGTCCTTCGCAGAAACTCGCCAAGATTATCGTTTGATCGTTTCCTAAATAAATTTGTTATTGATTATTATTCGCCATTAGAGTGGGTCTCCAAGCCGACCGATGCCATACCAGGCCTGACTCGCCTGATACCTTGAGCATCATAATCCGGATCAGATCAGGTCAGGTCAACATTCCTCGCTGGCCGCGCTTTCATCCACCCAACTCGCCACTTACTTATCGTCCATTCTTTCTTGATCGTTCGACGCATCCGGTACTTCGACATGCGCTTCGTTTTTATCACCAGGCTCAATGACTCGCTCTCCTGATAGCCGTCGTTTCTTTTGACTAGGAGGCTTAAGCACTGGAGGCCCTGCTGGGATCTGAGTCATCGCAGACGTCTGTTGGGGTCCCGGTGCTGCTTGCTGTTGAAACTGGCATTGATTCATCGGCGGCTGTGGTATCGTGTACGGATTGTTCATATTCACGTTATTCGCATTGTTCACGACGTTGTTGTTGTTGTTTACACCTTGAATAGTTTGTATGGTAATCATGACTTGTCCATTAGTTTTTCGTTCCACTTTTGGCGGCTGTGGCTGTGGCTGTGCCGGTGGAGGTAATGGCTGACCAAATTGTTGCTGCATATACTGATTGTTGGCCAGCGGACCCCCTGGTAGTACGGTCGCCATATTGCTCTTGTTGATGTTATTATTATTATTGTTGTTGTTGTTGTTGTTGTTGTTGTTGCTAGTCGGTTCTTGTTGATCCGTAGGAATAGCTGGTTGCATCACCGAAACCTGACGAGGTGGTGGTGGTGGTCCGCCGCAGGGAACCGGTGGTGTCGGCGGTTTTCCAGTATTCCCTTTTGCTTTTGCATCCGGTCCATTATTCTTCTTTGAAAATTGTTGCAACTTGAAAGAGATTTTTGTGCTAAACATTGTAAAATGTTGAACTTACTAATCCTGTAACACTAGGCATCTTTTTAGCAGCCGCTTTCTTTCCAGGTTGCTTTGAAGTGCTTTGCGCAGCCTCTGAAATTTTTTATTTTTTGTAACTTTTAAGCTTTTGTTGATCAGTAGGAGTCTCTCAAATGCATTCTGAAATGAAGTTTTCGAACGTGATGGGATTCCATCAATCAATCAATCAATCAATCAATCAATGAACATTCGCATTCCCTATTCGAGTCGACTTCCAATTCACTCACTATGCTTTGATTTCGGTGCCATTTTTAATTCTTCAAACTACTAGTCTTGTTCGTCTGAATAGAAATGGCAATCTCTCATCGCCGTGTGCGAACTAGAATTTTTATTTTGATTAATTTCGCGTGTTCTTCTTTTTTTTTATAGTCTGAAAAAAATGTGTTGAGAGATGGCCCGAATTCGTCGCATTTTTGATATTATCATTCAATTCGTTTCACTAATTTCTCAATTCGCTTCACCAATTGATTTATTATTATAATTATTCTTATCAGGTTAAAGAAAATTTTATTTCCCATTTAAGGAGTCGTTCACCTATGAGCCATAATGGAGTATGATTTTCGACGACAAGTGCTCGAGCGAAATCATGCCGGGTATGCGTCCTATGAGTCATCGCAATATTGAATGGTTTGCGATGATTACGTGGCAGAACGAGCAGAAAATTGAAAAAAAAGAAACGAAAAACAGGGTCTTTTGATTGATTTTTTTAGTTGCCGCCTTGAAGAACTTGTACAGTCTATTTTTTTCCGTTTATGAATCAATTTAGTTGAATGACACAAATACTTTCGAAAAAAAATGTCGAAATTAACTGGAAAATGATTCGTCATATATATATATATGTAGATCAAAATGGAATCATTTCCAGCATGGCCTTCAATAGTCGCAAATTGACAGTAGTGAACAGTATCGATAATGGGAATACTAGTCTATTGCACATTGGAGACATTATTTCACTTTACACAGAATCTACTACTAATCATGCACATAGAGGATTCCTTTCTACACTTGGGTAATGGATTTTTCTAGAATTGCTATAATTGTTTTATAATATTTCAGACTTGTTGATGATCGTTGTATAGTCGAATTAGGCGATGGAAGACCTGAAAGTCCACCGAAGAAGTTTCGAGATTGTTTATTTAAATTATGTCCCGTTAATCGATACGCAGCCCAGAAGCATCTCTGGACTGAACAGAAACGCTACTATCAAACAGGCGATTCAATGTTTGATGATGATCTTATGAATAAGCTAAGGGTCGCCGCTGATAAGGTAAGTTGATTATTCTGTTCAAATCGACGCAAAATTCTAGGAACGAGAGGAAAATGAAGCTGAATTTCAAAAGAAGCTCGGAAATGTTATTCAATATGGAACAATGGTGCAATTGTTGCACGTCAAATCGAATAAATACGTGACGATCCAGAAGAATTCACCAGCGAAAAGGGAACGAAATGCAATGAAAGTTTACCTGGATCGAGCCGGAAATGAGGGCAGTTGGTTCATTATTGAACCTGCATACAAGCATTACGCAATTGGCGACAACGTCTCCGCCGGCAACAAAATCTCTCTGATTCCACAAACCGTCGCCAGCAATCAGACAGGACATTGCAAATCGCAACTTCATCTATCGTCTCATACCCTTGCTGATCACAAGACCGCCGCCGAGATCAATTGCCTCAACGAGCCAACCGAATGGCAAGTATTCATGTTCCTTCTGTACAATGAGAATCAGCCGGACGTCGTCAAATCGGGGGATGTCATTCGATTATTCCATGCCGATCAACAGACGTTCCTCACGCTTGACACGATTCCGACGCAGAATCCGCCAAAGGATGTCGTGTTCCTTCGAATGACTAATCGGCCATCGGCAGCCGACGCGACAAGCTCTCGAGCACTCTGGGAAGTGCAAGTGGTTCAATCAAACTCGTATCGCGGCGGAACTGCCAAATGGAACAAGACTTATCGCTTCAAGCATCTTGCCACCGACATGTACCTGACTGTCGAAGCCTCATCAACGCAGCAAGTCAAGCCGGCAACGAATGGACGACGACCGAGTCTGATAAACATAAAGTAAGACGATTGGGTTGGTCAATTCAAGTGTTTTCAGCGCCGCTGCTCAGCGAGATTTCACAAAAGTCAAGACCCCCATTGGAGCGGTATGTTTCGATAAAACCATCTGAGTTTTGCGACTAACCCTAAAGTTATTCTTCAAATCATCGAGAGAAGTTTAGCCCAAAAACTGACTAACGTGATTTGGATTGTTGTTCAACTTTTGCATGTTCCAACTAATTATAAATTCTTGAAGAATTTCTCAATCCATGAGAATTTCAGAACAAATAGTCCTTTGGCTAATGGTTATTATGCGGATGGTCCATCAGATCGTGGTAAGAATTTCTTATATTTTCTGCAGTTAATTTTCTACTCATTCTAGCTCCTGAAGCTCAAGCACCAACCCTCTACTATTTGGCACCAACCAAATCGGACTTCCCTGAGTCTGACAACATGTTGCTCTTCCAACTCGATCCTTCAACATTCATGAAGTCGAATAAAGATGTACCTCGAAGATCCTATGTGCGACTTCTTCATCAGTATACTGATTCATGGGTGCACGCGACAAATCCGACGGAAAAACAAAATCTTCATTACAGCAGGTTTCTCAACATTTTTTTCATTTTTCAATAATCACAATTTGAAGTAAAAACGAGAAAGGATGGGTCAAAGTGATATGCGAAGCAAATCGAATCGACAAGGAGACATTCGCCCTTCTGCCAGTGTCTCCTGATGAAGTTCGTGACTTGGACTTTGCCAACGATGCGTGTCGAGCTCTTCGCAATTTCATTCGATTGATTAAAGTCGGAGTCGTGATTACAAAAGAGTCGCTGAAGTTGGTTTTTCATTTGTTTCTAAGAAAATATCGATATTCGTATTCTATAGCGTTACCACCCAACTTCTCATCGAGTGCATCTTGTTTGTCACCAACACCACGGATCACATGATTGATCCGTTGAAGATCACTGATTTCACTCCATCTCGCGATCGGCAGAAATTGCTTCGCGAGCAAGAAGTCCTCGATCAGGTGTTTCTGCTATTGAAGGCTCCATTCCTTCCAAGACAGGGAACCACTGAGCTAGGACCATTGCTGAACTCGATTTCTGCTCTGAGCGATAGTCGAAACGAAGTGTTCAAAAACATGTTCCAGCTGTGCTATTGTCTGCTGAAATACGCGCAAGTGAACTATCGCAAGAATCAGGAATTCCTCGCCGAGAAATTCGGACAAATTCAAGAGCAGATTGGCTTCGATTTGATGGCTGAAGACACAATGACAGCAGTTCTTCACAACAATCCGAAGCTTCTTGAAAAATACGTGAAGACTCCTCATGTCGAAAGATTTGTGGAGCTTGTCAGGAACAATCGACAAGGAAAGTAAGTGATTTGATGTTTGGAAAAGGGCAAATTCACAGATAATTCTTTAAAGGGAGGTTGTCTTCTCTACGTTTATTAGTAAGTTCGAAATGTTGTATTGTAAAATTGATGTCGTGAAAATTTGACAAATCAATGAAACATCACTAATATCGACATTCCCAGATTCCTCGACTATCTTGCCGATCTTTGTGTGTGCCGTGGAGAAGCGAACAAAAAGATCCAAGAGCTCATCTGTAATTCTGTGTTGAGCAGCAAGCACAGGGACATATTTATGGATACTCGAATTGTAATAGATGACAGCATTTGATGAATTGAAAATTGTTCGCATCTAGGTTGACGATGAAGTCGAGGTTGGATGGGCTCCGAACTTCAAAAGACTTGTGGATATCGCCGACGGGGCTCGAGTGAATCACGAGAGTTCTGAGCTGCTCGACTATTATAGGCACCAATTGGACCTTTTCTCGCAAATGTGTCAGGAGCAGCAGTATCTCGCGATTGATCCGCCACCGGAAAGACGACTGATGAATATTTCGCAACAATTGCCAGCTGAGCTCGTGCTTAAGTGAGAATTGATACCTCTAGGAATTTCAATTTTTTGTATTAATTAAGATGTATGTCTGATCAACGACTTCCGTACGACATCAGAGCCTCATTTACACGTCTTATGCTTCATCTCCACGTGGTTCGCGGAAGTCCGATGTCAGCGATTCGACATGCCCGACTTTGGTGGGACATTCCTGAAAATGTGAACGTGGAAACATACGAAACAATATCGGAAGAGAATTATTCGGATGGAAGTCGAATTCGGATTGGAGACACGATTGCCCAAACTGTTTTGTCGACAGTGGATAAATACTTGATGGATTTGAGAAAGAAGACTGCGGATGAAAGGCATAGTGTCAATTCGAGCAAATTGACATATGAGGTAGGCACTTCTCTGGTAACTCAAAACCAATCAGATTTCGGATCCGGAATCAACCCGATCCGATAGGTAATTCTACGAATATGATTGTAAAATTGTCGGATACGATTCGAATTAAAAGATTAAAACAAAATGGATTCGAATGATAAGCAATCGGATCCGAAGAAAATCTAATCAAATTACCAATCGGATAAAGTTGATTCCGGAGTCGAATTTTGTCGGATCCGATGGGTGTTTGAGCTACCAGAGTTATCGATGAAAATTTTAATATATAAAATAATGTTTGATTTAGATTGTCAACCTTGCGAAAGCCTTGGCCCAATTCAATTTCTATTCCTTCAACGAGTTGCTCCAACTTACACAGAACTTGCTTGCCATTATCAATGAGATTCCACCAACAGAACCTCCATGTTAGTTTGAAAACCATAAAATTTCTATGAAAATTGTCGACTTTAGCTCATCGCACCATGGCGAACGCCCTTCGAAATATGTCCAAAACGATGCTTCGCGGCGGAAAATCGCAATCAAAAGAGCTCCCAAAATCGACGTCACTTTCCGCCGACGATGCAGGACGAAGCAAAGAAGGCCGAGCTCTTATTGTTAAGACGAAGCTGATTGTTGCCGAGATCCTTCAATTTGTCATGGACATTCGCCGAGATTATAGGATCACAATGGCCCTTTCTTGGTTCAAAATGCAATTCCCGTGCGACAAGGATGGATCGCTTTTGAAATCATCGAGTATCAATGAGAACATGGCTTGCCAACTACACGAGGCGATCTACGACTCATCTGGCCACGAACTACATCTTGATGGGCAAGATGGCCGAATCCTTCTTGCTATCCTTCTCCAAATGACAATGTCCGACTATCCACCGCTCACGAGTATCGCACTCAAAGTGCTATTCCGACATTTCACGCAATATCAGGAGTTGCTTGAGGATCTACGACAGGTTCAGCTTCTTGTGTCGAATGATGATGTCGAAAATTATCGCCAAATCGATCGCGATCTTTTTATCTTGAAAAATCTCACTGAGAAATCGGAACTTTGGGTGCATGGTGATCGGCATCACTCTGTGGAAACGAAGGATGTTGAGAACAGCGAGAAGACGACTGACAAAGACTTGAATGATCACAGTCTGACGACATCTCGTGCTTTCGCATCCAAGGATTTGCGGAACGCTGTCGTCACTGTTATCGATGAGCACTATCCGAACATTCGACACGAATGTCTGAAACTGCTCAATCGATTGCTCATTCGAGACGATCGAAATGATGCTGCTGTTGCACTTCAAGAGCTCAGCGACAAAGCTCCTCTGATTGCTTACCCGTTGATCAGGCAAATCCTGGTGCGTCTGAAGAGATTGTGCTATCGCGAAGAGAAGACCGACACGATGAATCAGCAGCTTTTAAAGAACATGCGAGTTTACGAAGTGGTTCTAGAATTCATCAGCATTCCATACGACAAGAAGAATGATGCGGAGATGCCGAAACTTATAACGCTGTCGCACGAATTTCTCAGGAGTTTCTGTAAAGGAAATCGCGAAAATCAAGCTTGCTTGTATCGATTTATTTCCTACGAGAAAGACGCAAAAGAGAAAAATCTGCGAGTTGAGACCGTTGAAGACGTCGGAACGTTGGTATCAATTTTTCGAAATAATCGCGAACTTGCTTCGAATGTCCATGAAAATCTCATCGCACATATTGTGGGACTCATTGAACATCGTGCACGTCATCCAATTTTCCTTGAGCTGCTTCAAAGTCTTGTTTGCGTTTATGGAAAGGAAGTCGAAACGTGCCAAGAGAAAGTTGCAAACGAAATCTGCGGGGCTTCCGATGAAGTTCGACTTCTTTACGTCGACAACGCCTCATTTGAAGAGCTAGAGGAGCTTATGAAAAATGCTCCACCGTACTTGGACGCCAACAATCCGCTGAAATACCATATCGAGCTGGTACGTCTGTTGGCGATGTGCACGAAAGGAAAGAACGGAAACACTGAGCTAAAGTGTGCTTCGCAAATTCCAATGGATCATATCGTCAGAGTTATCGTTTCGGAACACTGTCTCGTTGAGGTATCGGATTTTTGGAAAAAAAAAATGAAAAAGAAAATAATTTTAGGTTAAAAGTGTGTATCTTCAACTTCTTCTTCATTGTTACATCGATACTGATGCCGAAATGAAAGACGCATACAAACCGGAATACGTTGATACAATTCTAAACAATATTCTTGATGATATCAATAAGTTGACCGAAAACAACAATCTGTCAGAAGCGGATAGTGGAGCCTTGGAGACTTATATTTGCCAAACTGTGACTGAGGTTCTCATCAAATTCTTCGAAGCACCATATTCTTCGCTTCAACCAACAAAAATTGATGTTCCGGTGAGTAAAGAAGTTTTCAGTGATAAATACGAAAAATTGAAATACGAAAATGGTAAAGGCATCACGTGGTCTCGACACGATTAACAACAAATCAGTAAATATGTGTTGTCGAAACGGGCGGTACACAGGTTTAAGGGAGTGCTTGAGTTTGAGGGATAGAAATATTTCATTTTTAAGACACGATCTGCTGAGCTTGTCAATTTAGAAATTATTATATAAAAAAGAGACTTGTCGTTTCGGCCGGGCCGGTCGGTCGAAGCAACCTTAAAGTATTCGTCTTATATTCTATAGAGTAATTCAAAATTATTTGGATTAGATACATTTTAAATTTATTAAATATTCACAGCTATTCAATCATTTGTTTCAACAAAATTATTTCGAGCCTCGCCTTCAAAAGTATTTTTCTATTATTTTCTTGGTTTTCGCTTTTTCAATGGAAAATATTAGTTTAAAAAAAAAAACATTTTAATTCCAAACAATTTCAGCATCACAATGAACAGTTCTGCAAAGTTTTCAAGGCACTTCTTCGATTGAAAAATGGAACACTGAAAAACAGCAAACCGCCCAAAAACAATTGGTACCGAGTTTCGGATTGCATCGAAAGACTAAAAAAATGGGGTAATTGTTGGAGCAATGCGTTGCAGTCTTGATTTATATTTAGCATTGGACCATTCAATTCAACTTCCTGCGCAAGTTGCGGTCCCACAAGCAACAGCTGTTAATCCGCGCCAACGATGGGTGAATGCTGCGTTTTCAGCGAAACTCGTTGGATTGAATCGGGTTAGTTTTCATTTTTTTCAGAATTTTTATCACAGATACAAAAACTAATGGAAGAAAAAAAATACTCAAATATAGACAAATAATTAAAAATGCTGTTCGAAAGTCGAATTCAGATGAGTATGGAATCGGAATATTTTGAATATGATTCAGAAGATAGTGATGATTCGATGGTTTGTAAATAGCAGAATTGCGTGGATTTAGAGTTGCTTTATTAACTGAAACACAAGTTTTGTGCACTCTAGAATCACCAAAAATCATTTCAGCCAATTATAACGCTTGTCGTTGAGGTGAGGAGTCTTTAATATCATTAATTTAATACTGTCTATATATGAACTCTATCTGCTTGATGGGTGATTTTTCTCTTCTGAAGTGTTTAATTCTAACGACTTCTCCAATTTCATTTCGCATGCTGTCATTTTAAATTGTTTGATTCAATATTTGAATTTCTGAGTTCAGCGGCTCAATCGGCAAAATACATTGAATACTGGAAGGAATTTGGGAGCCGAACACGCCAACGCCAATGTTGTTACGTGCTATAACGTAAGGAAAAACAAATCGAAATATGAGATTCGAATTATGATTTTTTAAAATTATAAATTTAGATGATGACTGGAGAATTCAAGTACTACCTGGATCCATTGAAATATGCCGAAGGAACCGTGCTTGTTGAAGTTCTACATACTCCAGAACTCCTTTTCCCAGAAGGTTCAGCTCTTCGGGAGCAATGTGCTCGAGGAGGGGTAGTAGTCAAGTATGATATCTTGTTTTGTATCATTTTAATTCAATTCATTTGATGTCTTTAACTATCCAATTGAAGCACCGCATTTTCAGACTTATTCAACATTGCAAGACATTAATGCAGAACAAACAAGAAAATTTATGCGTCACCGTTCTCGAGACACTTCGTAAAATGTGCAGCTGCACGAAATTACAACTTAAAGCTCAGGTATGAATATTTCATGGAATTATTCATTTACAACACTCATATAGAAGAAATCATTTTTCAAAAGCAGCGTTGAAAAGGTTTGATAGCTTGCTTGGGGTTTTTTGCTTAGCTCGTTCTTTTTATTAGCCATTTTCCAACTTTATTCGATATATAATGTGCATTTGATATATTCAGGGACAACAACTTCGCAATATGCTTCTTCGCCGGTATTTTAGCAGTGGCTGCTCGAACCATGGCAATAATATGCACAATAATAATATGAGCAATAATAACAATAATAATAATAATCATCACAAGCATCATTTGGATAGACAGCAATCAAAAATCGGTGAAGTTTTAGATGTCGTCAAGAATGGTGAGAATTGTTTTCTTACCATCGTTATTTGGTGAAATTTAGATAAGAAGGAAGACACTTGGAACGTCGAGCGAGATCTGTACACCATTCAGTGCAAGCTGAACGACGCTGGAGCTTCGGATTTGATCATCGATATTATTGTGATGGATCCGTGCCGAGAAATATTCAAAAAAGCAATTTATCTAGCCAAAGCTCTTCTTCACGAGGGAAATGATAAAGTTTGAAATTCGAGCATTTGATTATTTTTTCGAAATAATCAATTATGATTATTTCAGGTTCAACACGCATTCTATCTTCGATTAAAGCAAAAGGATACTCATGAGCCGTTTTTCAAAACAATTTCGTCGAAAATCCTTGCAGCGCAAAATCGTTTGAAGAGTGACATGATGAGCTGCAGTGAAACGAAACCGAAATCATGTAAGTCTTTTAATGCAAAAAAATACTTGAATAAATTTGTTGAAAACGGTATGACGAACCTTATAATTCCTAATCAGCAACCTTTTAATGATCACCGCTTTCATTCAAGTTTTTTAAAAGTTTGAAACTTTATTGTAATTCCGGAATCAAACGAATGAGAAATGACTTTACCTAGACTAAAATCCAATTGAGCACATTCGCCAAGCGGCTGCAATGATTAACCAAAAATGCACTTCCATTAACTAATCAATCTAACAAATAACCATAATTTCAGCCGTATCAGCAGCCGTCAGTAGACGATGTAAGTTAGCACAATTGATCGAGCTAAATGGATATATATGTTGCTTTTCAATCCCTAACCATCCCTACGTTTATCAGGTTCATTCCAAAAACCGATTCGACACCTGACTCGACAACGGTCTGCGGACGCCGTCCTGCTCTCAACGAAGCATCGAGAGCCAAACAGCGATCGGCGGCGTTCAGCCACCACACGCAAACGTATTTTCTTTCGGGGGAATCCCTTTTCTTTTACATTCACCTTCTTCACCCTATCTCCTTCCCTTTCGTTTATTTTTCTTTAAAGAATACTTGAAATATTAGTTTCGACAGTATTATGATTTTCAGCATCGACCGTGCTCACACCGAATGTTGAAACTGTCGAACACGCATTGTTTGAAGTACCCCAACGACATCCGTCGATTTCGGAGGTTTCCCAGCTGAGCAATGACATGACACATTCAGTGCCGGATTTAACGCCCTATCAGGATGATGACAAGCACGTTTCCAACGAAAGGGCTATGAAAATCAAAGTTGACGAATTTCAGATCATCGGAAGCACTTCCCGAAGAGGTTGGAATCGTGGAACCGATTCTTCGAGTCCTTCAACTCCTCTGTGAGAATCACAACAGCCTTCTCCAGAATTTTCTTCGAAAACAATCGGATCGCGCCAATCATAATCTCGTATCTGAGACGCTCAGCTTCCTCGACACCGTGTGCGGCTCGACAAAGGGAAGTCTTGGAGTGTTTGGGGAAATAGGCGAACACAACTTCAAGCTGATCACGCAAACATTGAACACATTGACCGAGTTCTGCCAAGGACCGTGTCATGAGAATCAGAACACGATGGCAATGCAGGAAAACGGACTCAATATTATCATATCGCTGGTTCTCAATGAAATCAAACCTCTTGCTGATGATCATATGGAGCTGGCACTGGAAATCAAAAGTCAAGCCTCAAAACTGTTGCTTGCAATTATGGAATCGCGACATGACGGAGAGAACGCGAACAGAGTTCTTCGCAATATGGCCAACATGTCTGGAGGTCCGAAGCAGCTCATTCACGCGATTCGACAAGCCTATGAAATGGCGAACTCAAATCACTACATGGTGAAGAACATCAGCCGTGAGTTTCTTCGACAATCCGACAACACAACGTCGAAGACAACAATTTGTCCGCAGATCGCTGTTAATAATCGTAATGCAAACTATTTCATATTGATAACTAATTTGGTTAAACCTTTAGTGAACCTTCCTGAAATATCTGTCAACGCTTCTGGAACAATATCGATTCTAGATGATAAGAAAGGATACGTCGACGATAAGTTTGCAGAAGATGAACCACCGACAGTTGATCCAAGAGAAGTTTGTTTTACCTTTTTCGTTCAAAATGAATTTTTAAAATCATACAAGTCACGCATTTTTTTTTTGAAATAATTATTTATTTAAAGGTCGGCCACAACATTTACATTCTCGCTCATCAATTGGCAATGCACGACAGCGAGCTCGAGATCTGGCTTGATCCGAATGACGACAAGAAAGATGATCTAACACGCGAAGCTCTGAAATACTACAAGAATCGGACGGCGCAGATCGAGATTGTGCGACGGGATCGGACACTCGAACGAGTTGTGTTCCCAATCAACGATATCTGCTCATATTTGACAAAAGAAACGAAGGATTACGTTTACAACAATACGGAGAGAGATAATCAGGGGTCAAAGGTCACCGAATTCTTCGATCAATGGGAGACGATGTACCACGAAATGCTATGGCAGAGGAAGCTTCAAGATCGAAAATGGTTGTCCTGGTGTGCGTTCAGGCTTCATCTCTGGACGAGACTTTCTCTCTACTTTGCATTTATCATCAATGCTCTTATTGTGGTTTATTTCCCATTTTCCAGTGACAGTAAATGTGTGTCGAACTCAAAATCCCCGTAATCCGCTATGTTTTTTTTGCAGCCATGATATCATTCGGTGACTTCTACTCTTGGGTAGCCTTCTTCGCTTCATTGTACCTCGTAAAACACTGCCGGACGGACAAGTAACTTGCGGTTTCTTTGGAGTTTTTCGAAAATTCTCATTTTTTAGGCATTCACTGCCTCGTTCATTGCTAATACTTCTTGCCTGTTTATGCTTCTTGTTAATCAGTATAGTCGGCTCGATTCCGACACTGTATATCTTCGAAATATGTCAACTCGTCAACAAAGTCGTCCATCTGGTCGCTTTTGTGAGCAACAAGGGTTTGGAAGATAAGCCGTGGTCGGAGAGACTCAAGAATACCACTCTTCTCTATATCATCGCCTACATTGTTATTTGCGTCTCTGGAATATTCATACACCCGTTCTTGAACTGTTTCTTGGTAGTTTTGGTTTAAAAAAAATTATTTTATAGAAAATGTTCAGCTTCTGGATATTGTCGCAAGTGAAGAAACTCTTCAGAATGTGATCGCTTCTGTCACAAGAAACTATCAGTCAATCGTATGGACCGGTTACTTGGCTCTTATTCTACTCTACCTGTTCACTATTGTCGGATTCCTTCTTTTCCGTGACGGTTATTGATAAAAAATAACGAAGCGAAAAATAAGTGATAGTTTTAGACTTCTTCTTGCCGGTCGATCCGATTGATCCCGAGCCTGCCATCACAATGAGTACGAAGTTAGCTGAAGACACTTGTCCCAAGAGCGGTTGTCCTACAACTCCTACGATTATTGAAGAAGACGGCGGTAGGGGGAATTGCTTTTTTCAAACAGTTAGACGCGTTTAGTTATTTCAGAAAAGAAGGTCAAATCTTGTGAGACTCTTCGAATGTGTATTCTTCAAACAATGTACCTCGGCCTTCGGAATGGCGGTGGAATCGGCGACGTGCTTCGAAATCCAGCGCCGTGGGAGCAGATGTTCCCATGGCGTGTCGGATTCGATATGACGTTCTTCGTCGTCCTCATCGTCATTGTGTTGAATCTCATTTTTGGTGTGATCATCGACACGTTCGGCGATTTGCGTTCGGAGAAAAATGAGAAGGAGCAGGTGTTACGCAATTCTTGCTTCATTTGTGGACTGGAACGCGGTCGATTCGACAATCGAAGTGTGACATTCGAAATGCACCGCGAAATGGAGCACAACATCTGGCATTACTTGTATTATATTGTGATGCTTCAAATCAAAGACGAAACCGAGTTCACTGGCCCGGAAAGCTATGTAGCTCAATGCGTCAAAGATCGGAATTTGGATTGGTTCCCGAGAATGCAGGCTTTGTCGCTGCAAGACGCCGAACTCGATACCGATCAGCCGGAAATCAAAATTCTCAAGGATCAAGTGGAACAGGTCAGAAATATTTGAATTTTCATTGGGTTTTCGCACTTTTACTTACCTATATATTTGTTCGAATTTCGATTTTTCTAGGTCGGCAGTCTCGTACGTGACCTGCAAGGCCAAATTGAGGAACTAAAACAGTTGCTATGCGAACAAATTCGGTGATTCTAGTCATTATCGTCTAGTTTAGATTAATTATATAATAGTAGTAGTAGTATGTGATGTGTTTGTGTGTGTTTTACGTAGTCATTTACCGGTAACGACATCTCATTGTGCTCATCAAATGTGATATTTTGTTTTCCATAAATATTTTGAAACTGCCCCCCATCAATTTGGATGAGACAATGGGCAATTAAAATCAACGCATCAAGGTCTATGTGTAAAGTAGCCGGTGGTCATTTTTGATAAGATTGCGACGGGGGGTTCTGGTCAAAAAAAAATTGGTCAACTCGCAAGTTCGACAAACTCGTGCCTCGACCAATTCAAATGACTTTCACTTTCCAACTTCCAACAATACCAATGAGTCAGCAACCTGAAATTCGTCTTATGAAGATGGGCGTGGCCTGCGCGGTTTATAAGTAGCTGCAAACGCGATGGGGGCGGTAGGTCTGCAATTGGATTTTCGATTCTGCAAAATGATGAACGTCTATTCGATTCTATTTTTCACAGGTGTGTGCCCTTCTTTTTCTTCTACCTATACATTTTTATATTATTTCTTTAAAAGAAATATTTTCTAGAATATATTGCTCATATATTATTTCGAATGTCGGAATGTGGTTTTCTTTTTAAATTATTCATCAATGTTTAGCGGAAAACAGCAAAGGTCATTTTTTTAACGAATTTCTTTGAAAAAAATATATTTGTCACACGAATATTGAAATCAGGTTCTTCTGATCATATTCGCGATGATTGGTTGAGAATGAAAAAAAAAAACACGTCAATCGGAAAAATGGAGAAATTTGACAGTCGTTTCACTGTGCAACGAGTAGTTTCCTTTTCGAATTCCTTTTCTACGGACCGTTTCAATTTGTGGTTTTCATAATTTTTAGTCATCGGTGTGGCAGTATGCCAAAAAGGCGGCGGAATGGCCGAGTTGAAGTCAATCACTGGTGATGCTCCATACAGCGGCGTTGGCAATGCTCCAGCTCCAGTCCCGCAGCCAATGGGATTTTGGGGAAGACCAAAGTATTACAAATGAGATAGTTGATAAAGTTTGAGTGATTCAATTTTGAGGTACATGCCTAGCCCAGACATGGATCTTCCTTATGGAGGAGGCGGCGGTCTTTATGGTGGATACGGACCATATCCGTACAATCGGTTCACTAGCATCTCCCGCAGCCCATATGGTTTGTAAGTTGTCCCAATTTGAATCCTCATGGATGATCCACTTGCCAAATCAATCAATATCCACAACTTCAGGGGTGAGTGGTACACGAATCTCCAATGATCTCAGTTTCCTCGCGCTTCTTCGTGATCTACTGCTTTAATCACAAACCATTCATCCTAATAATCAGCAATGTACGTATTTGTAAATAATTTATTCAACTATGATATTATTGCAATTTCCTATAAAACCGTAATTTGAATGAATGAGCGTGTTTGGTTGAGTATCAAACGTTGAAAGAGATCGGGATTATATACTGAAGACACCGAGTAGATCAATAATAAATTAGGAATAACTATATAAAATAAATAAGAAAAATAGCTAACAATCAACAATATCTAGTTAATTTATTGCCGGGTAGCCAATGTCCAATGATACTGAAAAAACCATGAATTCAATACCGTAATCACGGCGGCTAATCCCCAAACCTGGATTATAGTTGAAGGTTGCGTGTCTTCCGGTTTTCGTCGAATGACGGGAAGACGGAATTGGTTGTTGTTGTGGAAGGTCGAAATTCACAAAATTCCTATTATTCGAACCACGGTCATTGGGCAGATTCACGAGAATGTTGTTATCGGATTGAAGCGGGTACCAGCGGGCGACGTTGTTGAAAAGATGGCGGTCTGAATATTATTTTCATGAAATCGGGTTTTCGGATGACTTTGTGATCATTCATCTGGAAACGATGATGTGTCCAAATGGTGACAGTCGGCTTTTTTTTGCGTAAATTTTTATTTTTAAATTGCGCACGCTTGGTATGAATTTTTCAAGAAAACTTTATTAAAGTGCAAATTTTGATTCAATTCAGAAGCACTTCAAAATCAACTTGAAAAAATTTCGCGCAAATCGAATCAAAAAACCTTCGTACCGGCTAGAGAGATTTGCACACTTCCCAGTGGTAGATCATCGACGTCTCGTTGATAATCACACACTGTGAACTCGAGGAACATCGTTGCGAGACTCTGAGGCGACACATGATATTCGAGAGGTTGATTCCATTCAGGAGCACACGACGAGTCGACAAATCGAGTTCGTCGCTTATGCGAGACTCTGAAAGAATTTCGAAACTTGTTAGCACTCGAAAAGACGCGCGCGATCTCAAGTGGATCTCAAGTGATGTTTCAGATATGCGAATAATAAAGGACAATGTTCTCACTTTCGTCCAGGAAGTAGATACACCTTGACAAATGGGTTAGGAGCGGAGCGGGATGGATCGCGAGGACGAAGACCTCGAGCGCGAAGCACGTTGACGATGAGGCGAGAGTGTCCGTCGTAGGAGAGAGCGAGCTGAATGTGGCCTCCGCACGACGAATCAGTTATCGACATGCTATTGTTATTGTTATTATTGCTGTTACAAGTGCCATTCATTCGATGCATTGGTACTGGAGGAACTCGATCTGGTGACAATTCTGAAACAAGCCAATCGATGCCTCTCTCTCTCGTAATGCAATTTTTATACCACTTCTGGGATATCTGATATCGATATTTCGGTTTAGAGATTGGCATTCGTACGGAGATTTTTCACTGAAACATGTCAAAGTTCAAACATGACAAATGGGAATTTTCTCACGTTCTGATAAGAATCTCCACTTCGCCATGGCTGGCATTGATAATTCTTTCAACTTCTTCGAAGGTCTTGCCGCGAAGAAGAACACCATTCCATTCGACTACCTCATCACCTAGAATATTTTGATTGGAACAATAAAAATAGGAGAAGCAATTATACCAATTTTGACTTGTCCTAATGTCAAATTGTTGATGTTGCCGCTCAATGATGAAACATAGGCGGCAAGTTCGCCGTCTTTCTGTCTTTTTCCTCCGACAACCCGAATTCCGAGGTCTACAATTTCGAACTGAATATTGACATTGTTTATATTTACCTACCATTATAAACATTGTGATGCTTATAATTTCTTGTAAGCAGAATTCGTTTGATCTCATATTTTCCATCGACATTTCGACGAACTGGTCGGCGATCCTGTATGAATCTTATCATGACACAATTTTTGATACAAATAGTACCTGTAAGGTTGCTGGCTGGCTCTGCGGAGTTCTGTAAGAGACTGGTCGGATCGCGCGACGCTTGAAGTTCTTCGAACCAGTGCTTGTTGAAGAAACAGCTAATGGATCTGAAAAATTATAGTAAATAGAAATGGACTAGTAAACCCCAATGAACGATGGTCGTTGATGAATCTGGGTTGGTGAATAAAAATTTTGGCGGCAATTCGGACGACAAAATGAAAAATTTCAGAAATTCGCTTCGAAACTTCGAACATACCTTCAATTTTTAAGGCATCTCGAATGCCAATTTCCATGAAATTATTTTTATTTCCTCATTTTGGTTTGCTTTATATTTTCAATTTTTCATGATTTTCGTTTCTCGATCTCGAATCACCACATTGTTTTATTCGCCAATTTATTCCCTAATGTGAAAAATGAATGAAAGCAACAGAAACATATATCAATATAAATCAATCATCATTGTCAAACGAAAAATAAAAATATTATGCATAAATGTGAGCAATCATCAACGACCATCGATAAGAAACGAAGGGGATGCAGGATCACCTTGTGTTCGGCGCCTCGTGCTTCCAACGGTTGCGTAGATCCGCGACAGCGCGTCGTCCTTCGCCCAGTTGTCGTCGTAGAGCTGCATTGGGTCGCCCAGCGACTTGCGTGGATGCCTCATATTGCCGTAGTCGACGAGGCTGCTCTGCGCGGGCCGCGATCCGTAGTTCATCTCGTTTCGACTGTACACTGGCTGCTGATCGTAGCGAGTGATGGGCATCATCGGTTGAGGGAGTGTGTTCGTTTGGAATTGGTTGTTGAGGTAGCTGGCGTATTGGCTGATCATTTCAGACGGTCTTGGCTCGTTTAGATTGTACATCGAGGTCGAGTAGTCATTGGCAATTCCAAACGATTGCTCGTTCTCGATTTGAATTGGCATCATGTTCCGTTCGAAATTCCTCGGTAATGATCCGTAGTTGTAATAGGAAGGTTGCGGCTCGCGGTAGAGATCACGATCTCTGAATGTGAAGTCCCTGGGATATTCCATGCCGTAATGTGGAACATGACTACTGTAGTCGGACGTCAAAACCTCGCAGCTAGCGCACATCCTCTCTTTTCTTCTCGCGAGCTCGTGAAGTACTTGCGCCTTTCTCTCTTCTGTCAGATCATCGTCGTCATGGAAATCGAATCGCCGACGATGGGAGCGTTTGGCGCGTTCTCCAAGTTCGCGCAATTGACGATCATAGTCTTCGAAGTACTGTTTAGTAACTTCCAACAGATCCCGATGTTGATCCTTGTTGCGACGTTTGCTGCTCCTCGGCATGCTGTAGAATCGCTGAGGGGGAAGAGGCACTTCTTGCTCGGTCTGCGTCTCCGCACTCCTTTTACCCACATAAGTCATCAGTTGGGCACGAAGACTCGTCGATGGTTGATGGATGCGAGGAATTTCATCGGCTTGAACGGCAACACTGGATTTGGTTGTTGGCGGTGGAGCCGACGTCGATGTGGGATTCGACGTCGAAGTTCCTTGAGTTGTGGTCCTCCTGGCAGGTGTTCTTCGCGGTGGAGCTGCAGGTGATGGTGGCTGCATGGCAATGTGAACTCCACGAACAAGATCCGCCGGCAGCGAACACTTCACAACCGGAGGAACGTCGTCTTCCGACTTCTCGGGAAGCAATCCGGTGACAAGCATCTTTTGAACTTTGTAGTGCCGTTGGTTCGCCTCGATTTCGGTTGCTTCGAGACGTTGCTTTCGTTGGTTGAGCACTTCTTTCAGCTCCTTTTTGAGTAGTACCCGGGCAAGTGTGTTGGGAACCCTCGTTGTAGAGGTGCGAAGGCTGGTTGTCGGCCGAACAGAAACCGTCTGCCGGACATGATTCGAAGTCTTCGACGGATACGAAGCTCCCGGAAGAATTTGCGGATTTCCTGACGCGGTGGTGTACATTGATGAATTGCTTGCCGCAGAAGTGGGTCTCGACATTATCACATCATGCTGATACATTGACAATGACGAGCTTGGTCGGCTCTCAATCGGGGCTGACGACGTGATGTAGACCGGTGCTGGCTGGTGTGGTTGCCGACGACTCACAGGAATCGGATCCATCGGCAATGTGGCAGTGTACTCATCGACATATGTCATTGTCGAATTCGCAGTGCTGCTAGCGATTGGTGGCTGGTGAATTGTGCTGGTTGAAGGCGTCGTCGACGTGTGTTGCGGTGGTGGTGGGAACGCCGACGTATTGGGCGGTATCGATGGCAGCTTGCGGCGACCCATCTCGTTGCTTCCAACGTTTCCATCATCCTGAAACATTGATTTTTCTCGCAAATTGCGTTTTCGGGATTTGGTAAGTGGCGAGTGTTTAGTGAGAGAGACCATAAATCAAATTAAGAAAGCGTCAAAATTTAATTAAGCTTCGATTTTGTGCAAAAACGCCAAAAGCTGAAAGTATTGGCAGAAAAAAAAACGAGTTCCTCTTTAGTTTCCGCAGAATTGCATTACTTTCTTAATTAAAATCTAAAGATGAGTTTCAAAACTAAATGGAATTCGAATTTTCGCCAAAAAAGGCGTCAAAAAATAAATGTTCAAAGAAGAATCCCATAAAGAAAATTTTCAAATTGCTTTGATTTATGATCATTAAATATTTCCTAAACATGTTTTCTTTCGATTTTATGCAAATAACCCACTTTGAGGGGAGACTATAATTATTTCCGGTGTGCTTAATAATATTTAAAAATAAAAATAAAAGAGAATCGAATATTACATAATTCGTATCGTGGAACTAATTCGAATTAAAAAACAAATTCGATTCGTTTTCAGTTCTCACGTTCAATTGAAAACTTCATGTCGGAGCTCGCACTCAAAATGTGCAGAAAATTTTAATGGCGGCATTGAAACAACTTTTCTTTTTCGATATTCTCATCAAATTTTTGCGAATAATTTTTGAGAATGATTTCGTTAAAATTTAATTAGTCTCATATTTTCAAACGACGGAAATTTTTAAAGAAATTTCATTGATTCGAAATCATACGAACGCAATAAAAAAACGGACCCTAATAACTCTCACGAAATGATTTTTTAAACGATGTTTCCGGCGATGCCAATTTTTTCTCAACAAAACTTTCAGCCATGAATTTGAGATTTGATAAAAATAAAGCTCACCGTGTTCCATTCTTTGAATATCAACAGCGAAACACAAATAACAATAATAATAGCGACTATTCTTGGACTAAGCCTAACTCTAGGTTCGACTAAGATATTGGATGAAGCCGTCGGCGGTTGTGCTCGCACGCGCGTATGTATGTATGCGTCTGAGCGCGCGATTCTGTGTGTGCAAGGTGAACGACGAAGCAGAAGCGCGAGTGGAAGAGAGCTGAGACTCGCAGAGGCTGGGCGGCCCTCCGAAAAAAAATGCTCGAATTCCTCTCGCTGACGCGCACACTTTGCGTTTCGCCATAAAAGGAGCGGAGCCGTCGCGGAGCGCAATAAGCGACTAAAACACTCGCTCTCATTTCTCTAAAGACTGAAGACTGCTCGCCTCTCCGCGACCACTTTTGATGTCACTGCTTCCGCTACTGCATCTACTCTACTACTAGCTAGCTCACCAAATATGGGACGACGAGGACGAGGAGACCCGGGGGGGGGAAGGGATTAGTTTTTTTGGCCTTTTCATTTCGATTTACTCCCACAAAAAACCCGGAAACACAAATTGCGAGAAAAATCACGAGAAAAATGATAATTGATCGTACCTCGATATTCTGCAGCCATTTATAGGCGTTCGTGAGTTTATCAATGGTTGGCGGCGGAATGTCGAGCATTGAAGCGGTGGTTGCGCCGATTGTCGCAACTCCGACGCACTCAGAAGCGACTGGTGGAAGTGGGAAGCTTGGAGATGGAAGAAGCATTCCCGGCGAGCGTTTTAGGCCTCTGAAATGCGAGATTGTTATGCTTTTATTGCCGCCGATTTTAGAGCCCTGTTACCTTGGAGAGTTGGCGTCGTTTTCGGCCTGCACCGATTCTAAGCTGCTTCCGAGCGGAGCCGATTTGAGCGGTAAAAGGAACGACGGCGACGTCGAGGTGTCGCCATTATTAGCACAAGTTGTTGGAATTGCATTTTCAGCTGAAAAATAGAATTCGCTTGGTGGAAAGAATCAAAAAATCCAAGTTTCTTTCTTTTTTCAAAATTAAAAGCATAGACTACAATTTCTGAGAAAAAATTAAATAATTTAATTTTCACATTGAATCAACTACTTATAAACTATACGAGAATTACATAATTTATACATATTACGAAAAATATTATTAAGCTTATTTCTTCATTTAATTGCGTTTTTCCTTTATACAGGGTGTCATTTAAGTTCCCGCACAACTTTGAAGACGTATATTTCTGAAACTAAAAGTCCAAATCAAACGAGACTCAAAATATTATTTATCTATAGTACAACAAATAATTATCTATTAACTCTTTTCGATTCGGCCTCCTTTCGCAGCTATGACTTCACGGAGACGCTTCGGGTAGGATGTGACTGTGGTACGCAGGTATTCGATGGAAAGATTGTCCCACTCCGCCAGTAATGTCCTCTTCAGAGCCTCTACACTTGAGTGGGGTTTTGCGTTGACCTTCTCCTGCAAGACCCTATCACGGAAAAGTCAAGCGGTTTCAGATCTGTGGAGCAATCAGGCCATTCGGATGACTTGATGAAGTCGGGAAAATGGGTCTGGCACCACTCCTGAGTAGTTTTGGCAGTGTGGGCGGGTGCTCCGTCCCGCTGAAAGACCCATATCTGCCCACCGAAATGCGTTTGGGTCCAGGGCATCACATGCTTCTCCAAAATGTCCCGAACGTAGACTTCTTTGTTCATTTTCACTCCCTGATCCACGAAATCCTGGGGGCACATCCCGGTTGAGCAGATGGCACCGAAAACCATCACACTGGCAGGATGTGAGGCTCGATTAATTGTTTTTCCTTTCTCAGAAGCTTGCTGGGATGTCTGGGCAAGTACTCAATGGCTTTGTGAGTTGAATGCCGCCTCCACAGTGAACAGCTTCTCATCGGAGAAGACAGTGACGAGGTGTTGTCCAGACCGCGTGCGAGCAAGAAGTCGTTTTGCTTTTTCGAAGCGTCTCTGCTTGTTGACGGCCGATAGAATTGCCGCTTTTTGGACACGATATGGGGTCAGTACAAGCTTCGTTTTGACGATTTGTTCCAAAGCGAAGATGCTCATTCCCATGTCTGACGCTATCTTTCTCATGCTCCTGTGGGGGTTTCGGCTGATCCTCGATTTGACGGCGTTGATCTTCTGAGGAGTGGTTACTGAGACGAGTCTTCCTTGTCTGGGACGGTCACTGGTCGTATTTAGCTCCTTGAATCGTTTGATGGTGTCATAAACCGTTCTACAAGGCACACCGACCCGTTGAATGATGTCTCTCGGGCTCACATTTTGCTTATGAAGTTCGATAATGGAAGCGCGATGGATGTTAGCCTTCGCCGTTTCTCGGAAGCACATCCGAATGAGGTGAAACTTGGAAAGTAAGTAAAATATACCTTGTTCAATAAAAATAAATTGTATTGGTGTACGAAAAGTGCGTTAGCGAAGCTCTACATGGCGTCAAACTTTTGTGCGGGAACTTAAATGACACCCTGTATATTTTTCTACTAATTTTAAGTAGATTTGATATGTAAAAATTTACAAAAATAAAAAAAGTCCAACGTTTTTTTTTACAATTCTTAAACATATTATTTGACCTATTCAGCGTAATCCAAAATATTTTAAATAGTCATTTTTCGCGTCAAATTATTGCTCCAACTCATTAAAAATCAAGGTTTGTCGTCGATTTTTGACCAAAATGTTCAAATGATCTTGGTAATAAATTTGAAATACTGCAATGGGTAATTCTCAGTTTTTTTTAATATAAAGGCAAATTTTTTTTAATTACTCACTCTTCTTTTGCGAATCCTCATCGAATTTGAAGGCGTTCTGATCATAGCACAACAAATTCGGTTTTGCCTTGTCACTAGTGTATACTTGATCCAACTGAAAGCAAAATATTGCGAATTATCATTAAAGATTCGAAAATGTTCGCACCAAGCTCTCAACCTCAGCCATGGTTCGATCAATTGAAGCAGAAATCTCTGGCGGGATGTCCTTTTTCGGTTCCTTCGAAATGTGTTGTTTTGGCTCGATTTTCGAATTCGCTTCGCGTTCAATTCCTGCTCTTTTTTCGGCATCTAAACAATTTCAGATGGTAAATTGAAATCCAAAAAAAAAGCGGCCAGCGAGTAGTACCTGCGAACTTGACGATCGCATAAGATTTCGAGGTGGCTGGATCGCTAGCGGCGCCTGCAGCGGCTTCCTCTTGTTTCCGTTTCAATTCGTACTTCTGCATGAGTGCCTCGGCCGCTTGTCGCGACATTAATCGCTTCTCGCGAGCTGAAATTCGCAAAAATTGCCATTTTTTCTCACGTTCGCATTTGTGCGACTATTACCATTTAGTCGGCTTTCCGAATTCGTCAGCGTTCCATCATCTTCCGATTCGTCTTCGGCAATCGTATACACGGGTCCCGGCCGTCTCATCATTTGATTCGCAGTTTCATAGAATTTCGCAATTTCTGCGAATTCCATATCTTCCATGCTGATCGTCTGAAACTTTATCCAATTTTATCATAATGCAATCAAACGAGCAACTGATTTCTAATATGTTCGCACTCAACGTACGCGAGTCGTCACCTTCATTGCCGTGATGCTATGGTTAAATACCGACAATGGGAGAGTATTATTTTGACTACAAACCGGTACTTTTAAAATAGAGACAAATTTAGAACAATTAAAAACCGGATCATTGCCGGATATGCATCGGGACCACAATGTTGAATGTTTCAAAAAATTCAAATTTGATTGAAAACCGGCGTGTGAAATGAAATAAAAATATAGAAACCGATAGCGAGCAGGCGAATAACGATAGCACTTACCACTTCATCATTATCCGGCGAATCGAGGAACGGATTGTGTCCATGATGCGGAAGCGGTTCAGGTTCATCGAGAATCTCATTGCGAAGATCGGCATTCTTTTTCTCCTCACTTTTCGTCTCTCTGCTCTTCGGAATCTCAATCGGAGCACTGCGTGGAATCGAATTCGATGATCCCGCGATTGATTTCGCCCATTTCACGTCGAATTCATCATTGGCCACTTCACCGAACGCCTGGATTTGTTGTAGAACTTCTTTGCCAAGTTGTTCCTGTCGCATTCTTTCATTCTCGACTTCTTCCAATGTCGGTGGAGGTGCCACCGGTGCCGCGACCACCTTGTCCGGATACTCTTCATCGTCTTCTGATGCGCTTTCCTCGTCGCTATCCGATTTCGATTCATCCTCACTCGTGATTCGTATTTTCGGTGGCTCCTGTTTCGAATCAAATGCGACTTCGCGAGCCGGTTTCACCGTCTCGAATATCTCATCCATTTCAACTTCACTAACATCTGGCTTCGTTTTGACTTCGGATGGTCGCGATTTTCCGGAGACCCGAATTCGTTGGAATTCTGAAGGCTTCTCAAATACTTCATCAATTTCTTTTGGAATCGATTTAGGAGTTTCTGCAAGATGTGGGAACTATGAAAAAGGGAAAAACGAAAAAAAAAAACCTTTCTCTGGAGGCTTTCCAAATACGAAATCTTCTCTCGGTAGTTCAGACTCGTCGCCTTCAAACACCGTTGTCCACATTCTTGGTTTATTATCTTCCGTGGGCGCTGTTTTTGGCTCATCTTTCTGGTCTTGTTCACGTTTTCTAAAAACAAATACATGGATTTTGATTATAATTATTTTCCACATACTCTTCTTCCTCTTCCTGCAGTCCCACAATCTCAGCAAATCTCGAATCGGAATATGTGAAATCGAAATCCGAAGACGGTCTTGTTTCTTCTGGTGTACGCACAACGTCATGATCCTTATCACGAGTTGGAGGCTCATCGCGACTATCTCGACGCGAACAAGCACCTTCACGAATCTTGATGATGTCTTCGAGCAGGTTTTCATCACCGCCCAATTCTCTTTCATATGATGTTGACGTGACGTATCCAGATTCTCTTGTAGGGGATGATGATGATTCGTACGATGAAGCGATCGATGTATGCCGGTCATCATGGATTGGCTGATCTGCGAACGGATCGTGATCCTGAGGTTCCTCCCTGAAATTAAATAGTTAGCCATTGATTATAGGGTACAAGAGTCTTACATGAATCCAGCGGGTTTGAATCCAGAATGTCCTGTTGGTTTTTGATCTTCTACTTTGAATTCAACGATACTCGAAAAGACTGGTTGTGGAACTGACTCCGCCCTCGCCACGACTGACGTGATTCGCTGTCTTTCTTCGGTACTGATCTGCTGAACACCAGACGTTGGCACATTAGATGATTGAATCTGTGAGATGCTAGCCGATCTGCTCGGAGAACGTGAGTCAGCATCAGCAGTTGCGACAACCGAGAGAATCTGCCGTCGTTCTTCCTCACTGAGTTGTTCAAGTCCCGGCGGAATGGCGGCGGTTGGTGGTGGGATCTTCGAAATGCTTGGCGATCGGCTTGGAGTTCTTGCTTCAATTTCAGCGTTCGCCATAACTGATAAGATCTTTTGTCGTTCTTCTTCGGTGAGCTGCTCAAGACCGGGCGGCACTTCGACAGGAAGTTCGATATTGCTCGTCGAGTGGCTTGTTGTTTGCGTATCTGCCTCAGCATTTGCCATAACCGACAGAATCTTCTGACGTTCTTCTTCGCTGAGCTCCTCAAGTCCTGGTGGAATCGGTGGCATCATCGCAATACTTGGTGATCTGCTGGGTACACGAGAATCTGCTTCGGCGTTTGCCACAACTGACAGTATCTTTTGTCTTTCATCTTCACTCAGTGTTTCAAGACCAGGTGGAATCGCAGGTGGTGGAGGGATTCGGGCGACGCTTGGTGATCTGCTAGGAACTCTAGAATCTGCTTCCGCGTTTGCCATAACTGACAAGATCTTTTGTCTCTCTTCTTCGCTAAGTTCTTCCATTCCTGGTGGAATGCCTTGTGGTTGTGGTGGTGGGATTCTGATGATACTTGGCGATCTGCTAGGTACTCTACTGCGCGATTCTTCCACTTCCGCACTTGCCATAACGGAGAGAATCTTTTGTCGTTCCTCTTCGCTAAGTGCTTCAAGTCCTGGCGGAATAATTGGCTCTGACACTGGTTGTAGCGTTTTTAATCCGATTGACGATTGGACTGGTGGCAGCTCAGCTTCAGCACTTGCCATGACTGACATGATCTTCTGTCTTTCTTCCTCGCTAAGCCCTTCCATTCCCGGTGGAATCGCCGAAGGTGGCGGCATTTTGTCGGAACTTCGAACCGGTGCAAGAGTTTTAGATTCTTCAACTTCCGCGTTTGCCATGACGGAGAGTATCTTTTGCCGTTCATCTTCACTAAGATCTTCCAATCCCGGCGGGATCATCGGCGTGCTTGTAACGGCCGGTGCTACAAATCGACTAGGTGTTCTCACTGGTGTTCGAGCTTCTTCCATTTCAGCATTTGCCATCACCGACAAGATTTTTTGTTGCTCTTCTTTACTCAATCCTTCCATTCCAGGCATTGACGACGGTGGTGGCAACTGTTTCGCTGGTTGGGCAGTTCTATTTGGACTACAAATTAATAATAATTACAATGATTTGACTAAATTTCGACATACGTCGATTCGGATTCAGCGGCGGCCATGACGGCAAGAATCTGTCGTTGTTCTTCTTCACTCAAACCATCGAGAGGAATGTGGGGTCTGAAATGGAATGAGAAGAATGAAATTGGATATGTTGATCGAAGAGAAAAATATGTTGCAAGAGAAAAGAAAAAAAACACGATGAGAAAGCGACTCACATTTGCGGCGGAGCTGTTTGGTTTCCAGATGTTGAAATTGATGACGGCGAGGTAGAACTAAATTATTCGAGATTGCTCTTCGATATTTCACCAGCTTATTTTCTTTAATTCGAAATTAATAATTATGATAACTCAGAAAGAAATGCATGAAAAAGAGGAATAAAAAAAGATATTGAAAAAAAAAGAATTTGTTTTTTTTTTAATCAAATAAAACCAAAATATTTCAGATTTAATTCAATCAAATATTTTCAGAAATTTAAAAAAAAAAATAAAGAAAATGATCGAATCTCACCGTGTGGTTCCCATCGGCACATTGTTGCTGGCGATATTGGCGGTCGATGTTGAGGCCTGAAACAACCACATTCTTTTTATTTTTCATGTTTTCCGATTTTCTTTTTGGGTCGGCTCGGTTTTTATAATATTTTCACATATACATATAGTAATGCATCCACATAATTGCACACTTCCTTTTTCGTCAAGCCATCCATCAACACGCAAAACTCCTACCTTGACTTGGGTCTCCGACACGACCGCTTGGATCTGTCCACCAGCTTCTTTGGCCTGCAAAACATTTTTCATTTAAGGATGTTTCCTTTTCCTTCTCTTTTATTTTTCTTCGCCAGCTGTCCTAACGACGTCTTTTTTGATGCATAAATGAAGGTGACACGCATTTTTCGCCAAAATCTAATCCAGAGATAATGCCGATTTAGGAGGGTGCCAGAGAAATCGACAAACATGAATTGGTAATGAATTTTGGGAAGAGTTTTTTTGTGTTGTGAAGGACACATCGCAAAAAAAAAGTTTGCATTAGAGATAATTTTTTGTTCTTATAATAGAGTTTCGTCGGGGATTTGAACAAAGAAAAAAAGAATCGCGAAAGAAAATTGTTTTACTTTTTTTGCTTCTTCTGAATAAGTGCACGTTTGCAAGAAAATAAATGAAAATTTTTCGATTAACAAAAATATTTTTTTAAATTAGCAACAAATAAGTTTCAAATTCCAAAAATCTATTGAAAATCAAATTTGAATCTTGAAAAATACATATGTTTTTCCAAAACTTGCCAACAACATCAATTCAATTTAATGGATTCATGCTTGCATTAGTAGTGCATATATGTATACGCATTTTTTTTCATTTTTTTAATCTTTCAACGATCCATATTTTTGGAGTTTAACTAGAGTTTTCTGATATTCGAATATCTCAATTTTCCATAAATCTCGCTCACCTTATTAATTGCATCGTTGGCGAAATTGGTGAAGAATCCAAAATTGGGTCGTTTTTTCAACATACGACTCGCCGCCGAATCGATAGCTCCATGCTTTTGCATGTAGTCTTCGCTCGACTCCGCCCTCTCGTCCTCCTCTTCCTTCTGCTGCTCGTTCTGCTGCTCTTCGTCACGCTGCTTGTCTGCCGATGTATGCGCCATCGCTGTCGGCGTCTCATCGACACCAACACTTCGCCACATCGTATTTGACGCCATAACATTATCGTTGGTGTTTCCGGTGGCGAACGGCGTCGGGATACCTTGAACATAATGTATGGACCCTTGGGAAACGAAAAAAAAGAACTCAATTGTTTGGTCTTACCTCCAAGTTCGAGTTGATCGCGAACATATTCGGGGGCATAATCTTCATTTGAATCTTGAACATCGTCTTCGTCTTGGATTGATTGCCGCATGAACTCCAATTGTTCCTCGTACCATTTGCCAATTTCGGCTTCAGATTCCCTTCGGAATTCGGAGACACTTCGAATGTCGAACTCGCTGCTCTTCCTTGATGCCATTGAACCGGCAGAGGTCGACGTCGACATTTCCTGAGAAACGAGAATATTAAATGAGGATGCGAATTGTTCTACCTTATTTTGATGGGTGTCAAGTGCACTCTCCGGCTGCCATTGGTCGTTGCTCGGATGCACAGAGCTCGCTGGCTCGTCAAGTGGTTGCTCATCCGTTACGTCAGAATTCACTTGAATTTTCGGAACATTTTCTTCCGTTTCGAGTTCGTGAACTTCAGATTCGTCATCTTTTTTAGCAGCCCGATCTTGCTCCAAATAAACTGGTTCGTTGAATTCATTTGCCATTCTCGAAACCCTCGCGATGTGATCTAATTCCTCTTGAGTTAGACGAGGCTCAATTGGATTTGAAGCATCCATTTGAGAAGCCATTTCATTGATCCGAGCAATATGATCTAGTTCTTCCTGTGTAAGTTTTGTTTCTGTTGATTTCTGAATGACGGGCACTGGTGGAATGGATGATTCCATTTGATTGGCCATCTCCGCAATTCGCGCAATATGTTCGAGTTCCTCTTGCGTCAATTCAGGTTCCACACTCTTTGTTGATTGATATTCTGATTGTTCCATCTCGTTTGCCATTGCAGCAACTTTAGCAATGTGCTCCAGCTCCGCTTGTATAAGTTCAGGATCTGTTGATTTTGGCACCTGTGAAGTCGGCTGGACAGCTGATTCCATCTCGTTTGCCATTGCAGCAATCTTCGCAATGTGCTCCAGCTCTTATTGTGTGAGCTTGGGCTCCGCTGTTCCAGTAGTTTGTAGTTTTTCTCGAATTACAATTGCTTCCATTTCGTTCGCCATCGCTGATATCCTTGCAATGTGGTCCAGCTCTTCTTGAGTCAATTCGGGCTCAACTGGTCGGATCGTTGGTTCGACTCGAGCAGAACCAAGTATTGGGGTTTCTTCGCTTGCCATCGCTGATATCCTTGCAATGTGGTCCAGCTCTTCTTGAGTCAATTCGGATCCAACTGGAAGAATCGCTTGGTGACTCGCATCCATTTGATTCGCCATTTCCGTAATCCTTGCAATATGATCGAGTTCTTCTTGAGTGAGCTCTGGTTCTGATTGTTTCTGAATTGCTTTTTCCTCATCCATTTCATTTGCCAGTTGTGCGACTCTCGCAATATGTTCCAGTTCTTCTTTTGTTAACTCGGGCTCGGAAATAGTTGGTTTCTGTGATGACATCGAAATATCCATTTGGGCAACTTTAGCAATGTGATCTAGCTCTTCTTGTGTCAGCTCAGGCTCCGAAGGCCTTGTGGAGACAATTGGTGCAGACGTTGCTTCCATTTGATCAGCCATGGCCGTCACCCTCGCAATATGATCTAGCTCTTCTTGTGTCAATCCCGCATCATTAGGAGGAATAATCTTTGGAATTTGTTCACTTTCTGCCATTGCAGCAACTCTCGCAATGTGATCCATTTCTTCTTGAGTCAACTCCTGCTTCTGACCAATCGAATGTCTAACAGCATCCGTTGCCTTTCCAATGAAAGACTTAAATCCACCAATAATATTATCCTGAGACTTTGGTTTAAAATCTTGATCCGCCATAGCCGCAACTTTCGCAATATGGTCCAACTCTTCTTGTGTTAATCCATCATGTCTATCTCGTCCATCTTCAGAACCAAACTCTGATGCCGATCCAGTTTCGGAACTCTCGACGTCCGTCAATTCTTCCCCTTCCAACGCATTTTCCAGACTCGCTAATCCCGTCTTGACAGACTGCGTCGCCTTTCCAAATATGGACTGTATCACGTTCTCCCGTTTCGCTGGTTGTCTCTCTTCATCCATTTTCTCAGCAAGGCTCGCCATCTTTTGGATATGCTCAAGCTCTTCGGCTGTCAGATCGCACTGCTCATTCTTTTTAGTCGATGCTTCCGATGGTGGTTCATCGGTCATTTCCTTGACAGCAGTTTTCGCTTTGTCGAAGAATATACGTATTCCGGAAATTGACGGTGTAGAAAATCCGAACTGCGTTGTCGAACCGCCACTGCTGGGCTTCGAAGAGTCAGTCTTGCCCGACTGTGGCGGCGTCGGATGGGAGATTGCAATCGGCGGAGGCACCACTCGCAGGTTATTGTGGTTCCTCGGTGTCGGTGCTCTCGACGGCATCTCCGGAATCGGCTCAATCATCGATTCTTGTGTACCTTCTTCATCAATTCCTTCACTCGACATTCTTGAATTTGTGGATTCGGTTCTCGATGAGAATTGCTTCTTCATCGGCAACCTTATCATATATGGCGTTTTAGATTCAGCCTTGACGAGAATGTTCTGAATGTGTTCGCGTTCCGCGTCGGATATGTTGTCGACTTCAGGAAGAATCTGAAGAGCCGACGAGCATCGTCTCGAAGCGATCGGCGATTGTGAACGATTCGAACGATTTATCACTGATATGATATGCGCTTTTTCAGAATCCGACAATCCTGATAACACATTATCCAATTTCGAGGAATCATTGGAAGCTCGAGAATCAGCACCGGATGATCTGGAAGTATGTGAAGCTTATTTGTCTGAAGTCAAATAAAAGCAGCGCAAACCTTCTGAGCAAATTGAGAATATCTCCACGATCTTCGGATTCCTTTCGAGGCGATGGTGTGTTCGATGTGAACATGGCGAGTGCAGATCGAGGCCGATCCGCTACGTTCTTCTTTGATGAGCTGAAGAATGAGAAGAAGCCATACTGAGGTTCCTGTCTGACAGGCTCCACAACAAATGCCGCTGGTGCGCTGAAATCATAATACATAACTATATGTATAGGTCGCATAGTTAGAAATTGGCTCATTTGGAACTACAACAAGGGGTATTCGGATTATATTTATTAAAAAAAAAACTGAACTAAGCTATCTTAATGAGAAATTTTCTTTAAAAAAAACTGGAAGACAAATACAAATCTATGTTAAAGAAAAATCCTAATCGAAAGCAGTAGAGAATGCGAGAAAATGTCATAATCCATCAAGTTGCATGAATATGCAATCAATTACTGTTGCTCCATCGAAAACAATGAGACATTATTATTTGTATTATTAAATATTATGCTGTTTTGTTCTCATTTTTGACATACTTTCTGTTTCCTTACGTGGCTCGCCGAAATTTTCTCAATATTTTTTGTTTAAACCTTCAACTAAATGAGTTCTTTTTCTTTTTTAATCTAATACAAGTCCACGTATTTCTTTGAATCTCATTTCTTCGAAACTTATAAAAATTCGCTGCAAACTCATTGTACGAAACAGGAGTTTATTTCGTGTTCGGCGAAAACACAACGGCGAATTTTGGGAGAAACGAAATATATGAAAAACGGAAGAAATCGGTTGGCTTCAGTGGAACGCTCGTGTTTCGAGGGTTCCTTCCTGACGATATTACCGAGTTTTCAAGCACAATGTATGTAAGTTTTTCAACGATTTATAGGGAAAAAAACAGAGAAAAAAACAAACTCAATTTCAATGGAGAAAAAAAAGGAATGATTATTTGTTTCTTCTCTTTATTTTTTATTTTTTTCTGCGTTGACCTTTTAAAGAAAATGTTAATCCAATTTTAACTCAGGTAAATGAAAATCAATCGGATGAATGAAATTTAAATTAACCTGATTTGATAGAAAAATAATTGAAATTCGATTAAGGAAATGCTTAAATTCGATTTTAAAATCTGGTTTCAATTCAAAAATCGTCGCAATCAATTTATTTCTCATTTTCAACTTTGAAATCGTTCGTATTCGATTGAAAATTTTTGAATCATTTGAAACAGATTAATTTATAATCGATTTTCGATTGAAAACGAAATTCTTTTCGAAACTAATTTATTTTCATTTACCAGAAAATTCTAATTTTTTTCAAACTTTTGAAGCATAAATCGAATGTTTTACGCGTCTTTTTGACTACTCAATAGTAAACGAAGAAAATTAATGGGCCGTAACGTAGAAATGGAATAAAACTCTAGAAAGAGAATCGAGAAAATGAGAGGCTATTATTTAGTTCAAAAAATATCATAAAATAAAATTTTAAAATTGGTGGAGATCATTTTATTTTTAAAATCTAGTTATTCTTAGTTATAGGCAAGTTTTTAATTGATTCATAGTGAAATATAGTCGGAATAAATATCTAGTAATATGAGTTAAGGAACACAAACAAATATGGGGTAAAGTAATATTCAAGTAGACATACATACTTGAGATTTTTAGAGAAAAAGATTTATACCCGAAAAAAAATGAGAACCGATCAAAATGTAATCACGTTTTTGTTTTCTTGAAATTTTCGAGACTAATGGAAAAAAAAGAAACGAAAAACCAAATAAGAGAACGAGAAAAAAAATGCGTGGCGGTGGATTTCAAACATAAACGTCGAGCGACCAAACAAAACGAACAAAATTACCTTTCGTCGTGCTCCTCCTCGTCGTCGGAGGCTCCGTCGAAATAAGCGTCCGAAAAATAGCGAGCGCGCGGATTGGAGACATTTCGATAGTGGGCACGTAATTCGCGACCCGCCTGCAAACAATTCAATTTTGTAAACACAAATTCGCATTTGAGTTATGCGTAGTATCGCATATTGGAATCACAAAACGAATATTTTGAAGAGAACCCACCTCTTCGGCAATCTCTTCGGTCATTCGGTTGGCGGCGAAATTGAGACGCCACAAGAAATCGACGTTACATAAGAGTGGATGAGCATGCGTGAAGCTGTGTTGCTCACACAGCTCATATGCGTTTGGCCTTCTAATTTGATCATGGCTCTGGGTGTGTTTTACACCCTCGTTGTCAATATTTGGCTGTTGTTGGCCGTCTGCGGCACTCATCGCTCTTCTCAACGCGGTTTCAGATCGCCGAATCTCCGATTGTTCCAGAACGTATTTATCGACAATGTTTGATTTTGCGATTTCATATTCGTAGCTATCAGTGTCCACGTAATCGGTCATTTGATCTTGCGAAATGCTGATCGATTGCATATCGCGAAGACTGTGATCGGTGTAGACGACTTGAACACTTGATTCTCTGTTGAGCTGTCGTCGCGATAAATTCTCCCCATTGTCATCCACACTTGGAAATGAGCTTGATGACCGTAAATCCCGGATGATGGATGGTGAGAATTGCGATGTATATGTGATTGAAGTTCGCCGGAATTCACTCGGCACTCGCTCCTTCTTCTCAGTGTCCATTGATACGATATCGTCAAGCTCTTCGTCTGCCATGGCCTTAACTTTAGCGACATGTTCGGAGTCTTCTTGAGTCAATTCTGTTTGTTCACCAATTGGTGATTCTTCTTCCGCTAATCGCTCAATTCTGGCTATATGCTCTAGTTCTTCTTTTGTTAAAGAAGAACCGTCACATTCGGGTTCTTCAAACTCGTTTTCAGTTGATTTCATCGTCTTATATTCTTCATCCGGTGATACCAGTTTTGCTTCGTATTCATATGGCTGGTCAATACTTTCCGATTGTTCCAAGATCGTTGGAAGAACATAATGAACAATTTCTTCTTCGATCAATCCATCATTATAATAATCATCATAATCTTCATAATCGTCTTCCAATAATGGTGTAGTTCTTTCATATAAAGCATCGGAATCATTAAACAAATCTGCAGCTGATGTAACACTTGAAGCAGACTCGTTTGAGTGTTGCTTCAGAACAGCTGAATTGTCAATATAAACGGTAGGACACGGTTTTGCAGAAGCTTGAATCTGCTGGCTCTCCATCCTATGTGAAACAATTTCATCGTTCAGATTGGTTGATTTGAGTGACGAATGCTCTTCGAAGAGACTTGAATCATCGACATCGTCCGCTCCAGACGTTGCACTTGAATCTTGGCGTTCAACAATCGGGGAATTTTCGCCACTTATCTTCTGGATTCGCTCAATACGATCGAGTTCGTCTTGAGTTAATTCTTCAGAAATTGATTGATCTTTTACGTCTGCTCCAGAAGTTTGACTACTTGAGCTCGTTCTCTGTCTCTCCCAACAATGTCTTCCGAGAATGGGCGTTTCCATGTCGTTTGCCATTGCAGCAACATTAGCAATGTGCTCCAGCTCCTCTTGTGTAAGTTCAGGCTCTGTTGATTTTAGTACCTGTGAAGTCGGCTGGACAACTGATTCCATCTCGTTTGCCATTGCAGCAATCTTCGCAATGTGCTCCAGCTCTTCTTGTGTGAGCTCGGGCTCCGCTGTTCCAGTAGTTTGTGGTTTATCTCGAGTTACTGTTGCTTCCATTTCGTTCGCCATTTCTGCTACTCGAGCAATATGATCCAGCTCTTCTTGAGTCAATTCAGGCTCAACTGGTCGGATCGTTGGTTCGACTCGAGCAGAACCAAGTATTGGGATTTCCTCGGTTGCCATCGCTGATATCCTTGCAATGTGGTCCAGCTCTTCTTGCGTGAGTCCGACGACAACCGGTACTGGAGGCACAATTTTGGACGAGTGTTGTTCAACATGCTCGACATATTCCGAATGAATGATATTCTGTGATAATGAACTTTTCATCGTAATGTCATTGGTTGGTTCTTCATCGACATCAGATTCCATGCTCTTTTGAATTTCATCGGAATCTGCTTCAGAAGTATCCGTTGATTGAGACTGTCTTCCAAGAATCGGCGTCTCCTCGACATCCATTGATTGCATTCTTGATATATGATCAATTTCTTCTTGTGCTAATCCTTCAGCAAGTGGGATTGGAGGAACAATGTTCGAAATATTCTCAGACGGTCTCTTAATGTTTTCAGAATAAATGGAAGTAGAATTGAGGTTGTCGTTCGTAAAGCTATCAGAAATTAGTTTGGCTGCAAATGAGAGGCCGCCTCGTTTCTCAAACATCGTTTGCTCAGCCATTTTTTCAATGCGCGCAATGTGGTCCAATTCCTCTTGTGTCAACTCATTTGTTTCCGCAAACAACGGCGAGCTTGATGTGCTCTCTAGGTCATCTGCTCCTGACGTCGCACTCGAATTTGAGTATTGTTTTTCAACGGTCGACGATTGATGGTCGGCCAATTTTTGTCTATCCCTAATATGAATGATTTCTTCTTGAGTTTGGCCGGAAGAAATTGGCGTTTCTGATTCATTTTCGACATCTGTGTTGAAGAAATTAATGACGTCATTTGACGAATTCCCACCTGTGTTGACATCCATCCCTCGCTGAGAGTGTATTCGAACATTCGAGAATCGATTCATCTCTTGTACACGTACAATATCATCGAGCTCTTCTTGAGTATAAGACTGATTCACTGGAACAACTGGAGAAATCTTGGCGAAATTGATAATGGGATTTTTCATATTTTCTGCATTCGATTTATCCATAGAAATTGTTTCTCTTATAATCGAATCATCGGCTGGTGTTATTCTGTTAAATTCTTTTCTTTCCTCTGCATCAGATAATTCAATTTTCTCCGATTCGTCAGCTTCAGAAGTTGCACTTGATTCAGATTCTTGTCGCACATTCGACTCAATTCCTCCGGATTGAATCAATGGCATCTCGTGATTCTTGCCACCGTGCTCTGACTCATATTTAGTCGTGTCATCGAAAGGAACACAAGCGGGAATGACGTTTGATGATTCTGATGCCCGCGTTTTAACCTCTTCTGAACCAACTTTCTGAGAATCAATTGAGTTGTACAAAATTGTTTCATTGATAGGCTCAGGATCCTCATAACGTTCATATGTTAATTCTTCAAATGACCCCAATTCGTTATTTTCAGATCTTTCGAAATCGGCCCCTGACGTTGCACTTGATTCCGAATCATTTCTCTTTAATACTACAGGGAATTCGTTTTCGACGTGGCGACGGATATTTTCTCTTGACATATTCCTCAAAACAGGTTGTTGTCTTTCAAGAATTGGAACGTCTGTTGATTTCTGAATGACGGGCACTGGTGGAATGGATGATTCCATTTGATTGGCCATCTCCGCAATTCGCGCAATATGTTCGAGTTCCTCTTGTGTCAATTCAGGTTCCACACTCATTGCAAATTGATATTCTGATTGTTCCATCTGGTTTGCCATTGCAGCAACCTTAGCAATGTGCTCCAGCTCCTCTTGTGTATGTTCAGGATCTGTTGATTTTAGTACCTGTGAAGTCGGCTGGACAACTGATTCCATCTCGTTTGGCATTGCAGCAATCATCGCAATGTGCTCCAGCTCTTCTTGTGTGAGCTCGGGCTCCGCTGTTCCAGTAGTTTGTGGTTTATCTCGAGTTACTGTTGCTTCCATTTCGTTCGCCATTTCTGCTACTCGAGCAATATGATCCAGCTCTTCTTGAGTCAATTCGGGCTCAACTGGTCGGATCGTTGGTTCGACTCGAGCAGAACCAAGTATTGGGGTTTCCTCGGTTGCCATCGCTGATATCCTTGCAATGTGGTCCAGCTCTTCTTGCGTGAGTCCGACGACAACCGGTACTGGAGGCACAATTTTGGACGAGTGTTGTTCAACATGCTCGACATATTCCGAATGAATGATATTCTGTGATAATGAACTTTTCATCGTAATGTCATTGGTTGGTTCTTGGTCGACTTCAGATTCCATGCTCTTCTGAATTTCTTCGGAATCTGCTTCAGAAGTATCCGTTGATTGCGACTGTCTTCCAAGAATCGGCGTCTCCTCGACATCCATTGATTGAATTTCAATCCCAGCAGCGGTAGTCGTTGTTATCTCATCGAATGTTGCTGGCCATCCTGTCACTACTTGATACGACATTTTTGCTTCTTCATCCCGTTTTTGTTCTTCGCTGTCATCAAATATCAATTCGTTCTCATCAAGTAGTGGAGTAGTGCGTTCATATAGTTCTTGATCATCGATGTCTGCCCCAGAAGTTGCTTCTGAAGTTGTAGTCTCTGATAGTTGTTTCTGGATTTTGAGGTTCTCCTCTTGCTGATCAGCTTCAACAATTCCCGTCGGATTTTCCAATGATGCTTCTTTATCAAGCCAATCATTGTGAATTGATTCCGTTTCAAAGTCGTTATGCCTCAAGTAATCTTCACTTCCGTCAATATTAAAATCTGCTCCAGACGTCGCTTCTGAATAATCGTCAGACGAATCTTTCTTGATCAAGTCTTCGTTGTCGTCGCTGACAGGATTGAAATAATCAATTTGTTTTTCTGGTGCTCTTTCAACGACTGGTGTAGGTGGAACAATGTTTGCTACGAATTCTATTGGATGCTGTATGTTTTCTGAGACAGCCAGATTCATTGAAAGTTCATGTCTCACAATTGAGACGATGATTGCAGGAGCACTTGAAAAAGCTTCACGCGAGTTATCAATTTCCGCAATGTTTTCGTCGGCTCCAGAAGTGTCAGTTGACCGTCCAAAGTCTTCATATTTTTCTTTCAAATAAACTGGTTCGTTGAATTCATTTGCCATTCTCGAAACCCTCGCGATGTGATCTAATTCCTCTTGAGTTAGACGAGGCTCAATTGGATTTGAAGCATCCATTTGAGAAGCCATTTCATTGATCCGAGCAATATGATCTAGTTCTTCCTGTGTAAGTTTTGTTTCTGTTGATTTCTGAATGACGGGCACTGGTGGAATGGATGATTCCATTTGATTGGCCATCTCCGCAATTCGCGCAATATGTTCGAGTTCCTCTTGTGTCAATTCAGGCTCCACACTCATTGCAAATTGATATTCTGATTGTTCCATCTGGTTTGCCATTTCAGCAACTCTAGCAATGTGCTCCAGCTCTTCTTGTGTAAGTTCAGGCTCTGTTGATTTTAATACCTGTGAGGTCGGCTGGACAACTGATTCCATCTCGTTTGCCATTGCAGCAATCTTCGCAATGTGGTCCAGCTCTTCTTGTGTGAGCTCGGGCTCCGCTGTTCCAGTAGTTTGTGGTTTATCTCGAGTTACTGTTGCTTCCATTTCGTTCGCCATTTCTGCTACTCGAGCAATATGATCCAGCTCTTCTTGAGTCAATTCGGGCTCAACTGGTCGGATCGTTGGTTCGACTCGAGCAGAACCAAGTATTGGGGTTTCCCCGGTTGCCATCGCTGATATCTTTGCAATGTGGTCCAGCTCTTCTTGAGTCAATTCGGATCCAACTGGAGGAATCTCATGGTGACTCGCATCCATTTGATTCGCCATTTCCGTAATCCTTGCAAAATGATCGAGTTCTTCTTGAGTGAGTTCGGTTTCGTTTTTCTTCTCGAATGGCTTCGTTGTCACTTTTCCAAACAGTTCTGGCTGGGGATTCTTACTGCGATTTGCACTTTCAGCAATCTGTGCAATCTCCTCAAGTTCGGCCTGCGTCAATCCAAATTCATCTTCAACTGGTACTTTAATCGATCTATTATCGTCTTCATAAAGCAAACTCTCTCCCCTTGATGGTGAAATAGCCTCGTCGTGTGAATCAATCGATTCAACGTCAGCTGACGTGTTTTGCCGAGTTATCCTATTTGTGGTGCTATGCAGCAGCTCTTGATCACTTTCGTCTTCTTCACCCAGCAGCGGGGTAGTCCGATCATACAATGGATTAATGTCATCCGCACCAGATGTTGTGTCTGACTTCTCATCAAGTTCTTCGTCGTCTTCCAAAGAATTCTGATTGTTAATGCGAACCTCCACATAAGGTATTACAGAGGAATGTTCAAGATTGTCAATAATGGGAACTTGATCCGAGAAGACGGTTTGAACCATAACAATGTCGGTAACAACATTATCTGGACAAGCAATTGGTCGAGCGGAATGAGTGGAAGGTCTCGTAATGTTTTCCGATTGAACCTCGAAATCAAGAGTAGTGTCACTCACAAGGGAATCTTGTAATGCATTCTGAACTATGATCGATGTTTCTGGGAATGGCAACTTTTCAGATTTTGCATTTGTGGTTATCAATTCATTCGTCAAAACATGATCATCCAGCTGAGCGGGCTCTTCTTCTTCTTCTTCTTCGATTTTTAACGTATTCGGTGATTTTGAAAGAACAATTGTTGATTTGAGTTCCATCGGAACTGCAACATGTTCCCATGTCTGGACCATCGATAAACTTTTGTCCACAATCACTTCATCATCTTCGGCGTTCGCATCGATCGAATATTGCTTCACTCTTTGAAGTTTTAAAGGAACATGCACCGATTTCTTTGAAGCTTGAATAAACGAAGAAAACGCTTTTTCTTGAACCATTGCAATGTGATCGATTTCCTCTTGTGTGAGTTCTGACGAGGATTTATCCGCATGGTTATCGCTTCCAGAAACATCTTCGACGTCTGGAAAAAGCGATTCGGAGATATGCAGCGGGGATTCTGCTAGTTGCGATGGGAGTGGAACAAACGCTGTGACTTTCGAAGCTTCCATGAACGACTTCTCTGCTAGCTCTCGTACTCTCGCAATATGATCTAATTCTTCCTGAGTTAATTCCGATAAATTGTCAATACCCATTTTCGTGCAATCTTCTTTGATAGGGGTATTTAAGAATTCCGAGTGGTGACTAAACAAGTCAAAATATGAACTAACACATGAATCCGGGATAGGATTTTGAATCAGCATCGATACTTGCGTCAGTGGTAGTTCGCAAGATTTTGCTACAAAGCTATCAAGACTTGATAAATGCACTTCATCTTCAAGCTGAGTCAGGGCTTCCCCCACTGGTTCAGCAATCGGTCCTTGATCAAATGAGGTTTCGAAGTCAGCTCCAGATGTTGCTGGAGAACTGAGCTGCTCGGATTGTTGCTTCAGAATTGCTGGCTCATCGATCGTCGGGATTCTCATTGGAGGTGGAGGTGGTGGTGGTCTAGATGGTGCCACTGCGAACGTCTGATCAGCCATTGACTGAATCTGAGCAATATGGTCAAGCTCCTCCTGAGTCAGGGCTTCCTCCACTGGTTCGGCAATTGGTTCTTGATCAAATGAGGTTACGAAGTCAGCTCCAGATGTTGCTGGAGAACTGAGCTGCTCGGATTGTTGCTTCAGAATTGCTGGCTCATCGATCGTCGGGATTCTCATTGGAGGTGGAGGTGGTGGTGGTCTAGATGGTGCCACTGCGAACGTCTGATCAGCCATCGACTGAATCTGAGCAATATGGTCAAGCTCCTCCTGAGTCAGGGCTTTCTCCACTGGTTCGGCAATTGGTTCTTGATCAAATGAGGTTACGAAGTCAGCTCCAGATGTTGCTGGAGAACTGAGCTGCTCGGATTGTTGCTTCAGAATTGCTGGCTCATCGATCGTCGGGATTCTCATTGGAGGTGGAGGTGGTGGTGGTCTAGATGGTGCCACTGCGAACGTCTGATCAGCCATCGACTGAATCTGAGCAATATGGTCAAGCTCCTCCTGAGTCAGGGCTTTCTCCACTGGTTCGGCAATTGGTTCTTGATCAAATGAGGTTACGAAGTCAGCTCCAGATGTTGCTGGAGAACTGAGCTGCTCGGATTGTTGCTTCAGAATTGCTGGCTCATCGATCGTCGGGATTCTCATTGGAGGTGGAGGTGGTGGTGGTCTAGATGGTGCCACTGCGAACGTCTGATCAGCCATCGACTGAATCTGAGCAATATGGTCAAGCTCCTCCTGAGTCAGGGCTTCCTCCACTGGTTCAGCAATTGGTTCTTGATCAAATGAGGTTACGAAGTCAGCTCCAGATGTTGCTGGAGAACTGAGCTGCTCGGATTGTTGCTTCAGAATTGCTGGCTCATCGATCGTCGGGATTCTCATTGGAGGTGGAGGTGGTGGTGGTCTAGATGGTGCCACTGCGAACGTCTGATCAGCCATCGACTGAATCTGAGCAATATGGTCAAGCTCCTCCTGAGTCAGGGCTTCCTCCACTGGTTCAGCAACCGGTTCTTGATCAAATGAGGTTTCGAAGTCAGCTCCAGATGTTGCTGGAGAACAGAGCTGCTCGGATTGTTGCTTCAGAATTGCTGGCTCATCGATCGTCGGGATTCTCATTGGAGGTGGAGGTGGTGGTGGTCTAGTTGGTGCCACTGCGAACGTCTGATCAGTCATCGACTGAATCTGAGCAATATGGTCAAGCTCCTCCTGAGTCAGGGCTTCCTCCACTGGTTCAGCAATTGGTTCTTGATCAAATGAGGTTACGAAGTCAGCTCCAGATGTTGCTGGAGAACTGAGCTGCTCGGATTGTTGCTTCAGAATTGCTGGCTCATCGATCGTCGGGATTCTCATTGGAGGTGGAGGTGGTGGTGGTCTAGATGGTGCCACTGCGAACGTCTGATCAGCCATCGACTGAATCTGAGCAATATGGTCAAGCTCCTCCTGAGTCAGGGCTTCCTCCACTGGTTCAGCAACCGGTTCTTGATCAAATGAGGTTTCGAAGTCAGCTCCAGATGTTGCTGGAGAACAGAGCTGCTCGGATTGTTGCTTCAGAATTGCTGGCTCATCGATCGTCGGGATTCTCATTGGAGGTGGAGGTGGTGGTGGTCTAGTTGGTGCCACTGCGAACGTCTGATCAGTCATCGACTGAATCTGAGCAATATGGTCAAGCTCCTCCTGAGTCAGGGCTTCCTCCACTGGTTCAGCAATCGGTCCTTGATCAAATGAGGTTTCGAAGTCAGCTCCAGATGTTGCTGGAGAACTGAGCTGCTCGGATTGTTGCTTAAGAATTGCTGGCTCATCGATCGTCGGGATTCTCATTGGAGGTGGAGGTGGTGGTGGTCTAGATGGTGCCACTGCGAACGTCTGATCAGCCATCGACTGAATCTGAGCAATATGGTCAAGCTCCTCCTGAGTCAGGGCTTCCTCCACTGGTTCGGCAATTGGTTCTTGATCAAATGAGTTTTCGAAGTCAGCTCCAGATGTTGCTGGAGAACTGAGCTGCTCGGATTGTTGCTTCAGAATTGCTGGCTCATCGATCGTCGGGATTCTCATTGGAGGTGGAGGTGGTGGTGATCTAGATGGTGCCACTGCGAACGTCTGATCAGCCATCGACTGAATCTGAGCAATATGGTCAAGCTCCTCCTGAGTCAGGGCTTCCTCCACTGGTTCAGCAATCGGTCCTTGATCAAATGAGGTTTCGAAGTCAGCTCCAGATGTTGCTGGAGAACTGAGCTGCTCGGATTGTTGCTTCAGAATTGCTGGCTCATCGATCGTCGGGATTCTCATTGGAGGTGGAGGTGGAGGTGGTCTAGTTGGTGCCACTGCGAACGTCTGATCGGCCATCGACTGGATCTGAGCAATATGGTCAAGCTCCTCCTGAGTCAGGGCTTCCTCCACTGGTTCAGCAATCGGTCCTTGATCAAATGAGGTATCGATGTCAGCTCCAGATGTTGCTGGAGAACTGAGCTGCTCGGATTGTTGCTTCAGAATTGCTGGCTCATCGATCGTCGGGATTCTCATTGGAGGTGGAGGTGGTGGTGGTCTAGATGGTGCCACTGCGAACGTCTGATCAGCCATCGACTGAATCTGAGCAATATGGTCAAGCTCCTCCTGAGTCAGGGCTTCCTCCACTGGTTCAGCAATCGGTCCTTGATCAAATGAGGTTTCGAAGTCAGCTCCAGATGTTGCTGGAGAACTGAGCTGCTCGGATTGTTGCTTCAGAATTGCTGGCTCATCGATCGTCGGGATTCTCATTGGAGGTGGAGGTGGAGGTTGTCTACTTGGTGCCACTGCGAACGTCTGATCAGCCATCGACTGAATCTGAGCAATATGGTCAAGCTCCTCCTGAGTCAGGGCTTCCTCCACTGGTTCAGCAATCGGTCCTTGATCAAATGAGGTTTCGAAGTCAGCTCCAGATGTTGCTGGAGAACTGAGCTGCTCGGATTGTTGCTTCAGAATTGCTGGCTCATCGATCGTCGGGATTCTCATTGGAGGTGGAGGTGGAGGTGGTCTAGTTGGTGCCACTGCGAACGTCTGATCGGCCATCGACTGGATCTGAGCAATATGGTCAAGCTCCTCCTGAGTCAGGGCTTCCTCCACTGGTTCAGCAATCGGTCCTTGATCAAATGAGGTTTCGAAGTCAGCTCCAGATGTTGCTGGAGAACTGAGCTGCTCGGATTGTTGCTTCAGAATTGCTGGCTCATCGATCGTCGGGATTCTCATTGGAGGTGGAGGTGGTGGTGATCTAGATGGTGCCACTGCGAACGTCTGATCAGCCATCGACTGAATCTGAGCAATATGGTCAAGCTCCTCCTGAGTCAGGGCTTCCTCCACTGGTTCAGCAATCGGTCCTTGATCAAATGAGGTTTCGAAGTCAGCTCCAGATGTTGCTGGAGAACTGAGCTGCTCGGATTGTTGCTTCAGAATTGCTGGCTCATCGATCGTCGGGATTCTCATTGGAGGTGGAGGTGGAGGTTGTCTAGTTGGTGCCACTGCGAACGTCTGATCGGCCATCGACTGGATCTGAGCAATATGGTCAAGCTCCTCCTGAGTCAGGGCTTCCTCCACTGGTTCAGCAATCGGTCCTTGATCAAATGAGGTTTCGAAGTCAGCTCCAGATGTTGCTGGAGAACTGAGCTGCTCGGATTGTTGCTTCAGAATTGCTGGCTCATCGATCGTCGGGATTCTCATTGGAGGTGGAGGTGGAGGTTGTCTACTTGGTGCCACTGCGAACGTCTGATCAGCCATCGACTGAATCTGAGCAATATGGTCAAGCTCCTCCTGAGTCAGGGCTTCCTCCACTGGTTCAGCAATCGGTCCTTGATCAAATGAGGTTTCGAAGTCAGCTCCAGATGTTGCTGGAGAACTGAGCTGCTCGGATTGTTGCTTCAGAATTGCTGGCTCATCGATCGTCGGGATTCTCATTGGAGGTGGAGGTGGAGGTTGTCTAGTTGGTGCCACTGCGAACGTCTGATCGGCCATCGACTGGATCTGAGCAATATGGTCAAGCTCCTCCTGAGTCAGGGCTTCCTCCACTGGTTCAGCAATCGGTCCTTGATCAAATGAGGTTTCGAAGTCAGCTCCAGATGTTGCTGGAGAACTGAGCTGCTCGGATTGTTGCTTCAGAATTGCTGGCTCATCGATCGTCGGGATTCTCATTGGAGGTGGAGGTGGAGGTGGTCTAGTTGGTGCCACTGCGAACGTCTGATCGGCCATCGACTGGATCTGAGCAATATGGTCAAGCTCCTCCTGAGTCAGGGCTTCCTCCACTGGTTCAGCAATCGGTCCTTGATCAAATGAGGTTTCGAAGTCAGCTCCAGATGTTGCTGGAGAACTGAGCTGCTCGGATTGTTGCTTCAGAATTGCTGGCTCATCGATCGTCGGGATTCTCATTGGAGGTGGAGGTGGAGGTTGTCTACTTGGTGCCACTGCGAACGTCTGATCAGCCATCGACTGAATCTGAGCAATATGGTCAAGCTCCTCCTGAGTCAGGGCTTCCTCCACTGGTTCAGCAATCGGTCCTTGATCAAATGAGGTTTCGAAGTCAGCTCCAGATGTTGCTGGAGAACTGAGCTGCTCGGATTGTTGCTTCAGAATTGCTGGCTCATCGATCGTCGGGATTCTCATTGGAGGTGGAGGTGGAGGTTGTCTAGTTGGTGCCACTGCGAACGTCTGATCAGCCATCGACTGAATCTGAGCAATATGGTCAAGCTCCTCCTGAGTCAGGGCTTCCTCCACTGGTTCAGCAATCGGTCCTTGATCAAATGAGGTTTCGAAGTCAGCTCCAGATGTTGCTGGAGAACTGAGCTGCTCGGATTGTTGCTTCAGAATTGCTGGCTCATCGATCGTCGGGATTCTCATTGGAGGTGGAGGTGGAGGTGGTCTAGTTGGTGCCACTGCGAACGTCTGATCGGCCATCGACTGGATCTGAGCAATATGGTCAAGCTCCTCCTGAGTCAGGGCTTCCTCCACTGGTTCAGCAATCGGTCCTTGATCAAATGAGGTTTCGAAGTCAGCTCCAGATGTTGCTGGAGAACTGAGCTGCTCGGATTGTTGCTTCAGAATTGCTGGCTCATCGATCGTCGGGATTCTCATTGGAGGTGGAGGTGGAGGTGGTCTAGTTGGTGCCACTGCGAACGTCTGATCGGCCATCGACTGGATCTGAGCAATATGGTCAAGCTCCTCCTGAGTCAGGGCTTCCTCCACTGGTTCAGCAATCGGTCCTTGATCAAATGAGGTTTCGAAGTCAGCTCCAGATGTTGCTGGAGAACTGAGCTGCTCGGATTGTTGCTTCAGAATTGCTGGCTCATCGATCGTCGGGATTCTCATTGGAGGTGGAGGTGGAGGTTGTCTAGTTGGTGCCACTGCGAACGTCTGATCGGCCATCGACTGGATCTGAGCAATATGGTCAAGCTCCTCCTGAGTCAGGGCTTCCTCCACTGGTTCAGCAATCGGTCCTTGATCAAATGAGGTTTCGAAGTCAGCTCCAGATGTTGCTGGAGAACTGAGCTGCTCGGATTGTTGCTTCAGAATTGCTGGCTCATCGATCGTCGGGATTCTCATTGGAGGTGGAGGTGGAGGTGGTCTAGTTGGTGCCACTGCGAACGTCTGATCGGCCATCGACTGGATCTGAGCAATATGGTCAAGCTCCTCCTGAGTCAGGGCTTCCTCCACTGGTTCAGCAATCGGTCCTTGATCAAATGAGGTTTCGAAGTCAGCTCCAGATGTTGCTGGAGAACTGAGCTGCTCGGATTGTTGCTTCAGAATTGCTGGCTCATCGATCGTCGGGATTCTCATTGGAGGTGGAGGTGGAGGTGGTCTAGTTGGTGCCACTGCGAACGTCTGATCGGCCATCGACTGGATCTGAGCAATATGGTCAAGCTCCTCCTGAGTCAGGGCTTCCTCCACTGGTTCAGCAATCGGTCCTTGATCAAATGAGGTTTCGAAGTCAGCTCCAGATGTTGCTGGAGAACTGAGCTGCTCTGATTGTTGCTTCAGAATTGCTGGCTCATCGATCGTCGGGATTCTCATTGGAGGTGGAGGTGGTGGTGGTCTAGATGGTGCCACTGCGAACGTCTGATCAGCCATCGACTGAATCTGAGCAATATGGTCAAGCTCCTCCTGTGTCAGGGCTTCCTCCACTGGTTCAGCAATCGGTCCTTGATCAAATGAGGTTTCGAAGTCAGCTCCAGATGTTGCTGGAGAACTGAGCTGCTCGGATTGTTGCTTCAGAATTGCTGGCTCATCGATCGTCGGGATTCTCATTGGAGGTTGAGGTGGTCTAGTTGGTGCCACTGCGAACGTCTGATCGGCCATCGACTGGATCTGAGCAATATGGTCAAGCTCCTCTTGAGTCATGGCTTCCTCCACTGGTTCGGCAACCGGTTCTTGATCAAATGAGGTTTCGAAGTCAGCTCCAGATGTTGCTGGAGAACTGAGCTGCTCGGATTGTTGCTTCAGAATTGCTGGCTCATCGATCGTCGGGATTCTCATTGGAGGTGGAGGTGGTCTAGTTGGTGCCACTGCGAACGTCTGATCGGCCATCGACTGGATCTGAGCAATATGGTCAAGCTCCTCCTGAGTCAGGGCTTCCTCCACTGGTTCGGCAACCGGTTCTTGATCAAATGAGGTTTCGAAGTCAGCTCCAGATGTTGCTGGAGAACTGAGCTGCTCGGATTGTTGCTTCAAAATTGCTGGCTCATCGATCGTCGGGATTCTCATTGGAGGTGGTGGTGGTCTAGTTGGTGCCACTGCGAACGTCTGATCGGCCATCGACTGAATCTGAGCAATATGGTCAAGCTCCTCCTGAGTCAGGGCTTCCTCCACTGGTTCGGCAACCGGTTCTTGATCAAATGAGGTTTCGAAGTCAGCTCCAGATGTTGCTGGAGAACTGAGCTGCTCGGATTGTTGCTTCAAAATTGCTGGCTCATCGATCGTCGGGATTCTCATTGGAGGTGGTGGTGGTCTAGTTGGTGCCACTGCGAACGTCTGATCGGCCATCGACTGAATCTGAGCAATATGGTCAAGCTCCTCCTGAGTCAGGGCTTCCTCCACTGGTTCGGCAACCGGTTCTTGATCAAATGAGGTTTCGAAGTCAGCTCCAGATGTTGCTGGAGAACTGAGCTGCTCGGATTGTTGCTTCAAAATTGCTGGCTCATCGATCGTCGGGATTCTCATTGGAGGTGGTGGTGGTCTAGTTGGTGCCACTGCGAACGTCTGATCGGCCATCGACTGAATCTGAGCAATATGGTCAAGCTCCTCCTGAGTCAGGGCTTCCTCCACTGGTTCGGCAACCGGTTCTTGATCAAATGAGGTTTCGAAGTCAGCTCCAGATGTTGCTGGAGAACTGAGCTGCTCGGATTGTTGCTTCAAAATTGCTGGCTCATCGATCGTCGGGATTCTCATTGGAGGTGGTGGTGGTCTAGTTGGTGCCACTGCGAACGTCTGATCGGCCATCGACTGAATCTGAGCAATATGGTCAAGCTCCTCCTGAGTCAGGGCTTCCTCCACTGGTTCGGCAACCGGTTCTTGATCAAATGAGGTTTCGAAGTCAGCTCCAGATGTTGCTGGAGAACTGAGCTGCTCGGATTGTTGCTTCAGAATTGCTGGCTCATCGACCGTCGGGATTCTCATTGGAGGTGGAGGTGGTGGTGGTCTAGATGGTGCCACTGCGAACGTCTGATCAGCCATCGACTGAATCTGAGCAATATGGTCAAGCTCCCCCTGAGTCAGGGCTTCCTCCACTGGTTCGGCAACCGGTTCTTGATCAAATGAGGTTTCGAAGTCAGCTCCAGATGTTGCTGGAGAACTGAGCTGCTCGGATTGTTGCTTCAGAATTGCTGGCTCATCGACCGTCGGGATTCTCATTGGAGGTGGAGGTGGTGGTGGTCTAGATGGTGCCACTGCGAACGTCTGATCAGCCATCGACTGAATCTGAGCAATATGGTCAAGCTCCTCCTGAGTCAGGGCTTCCTCCACTGGTTCGGCAACCGGTTCTTGATCAAATGAGGTTTCGAAGTCAGCTCCAGATGTTGCTGGAGAACTGAGCTGCTCGGATTGTTGCTTCAAAATTGCTGGCTCATCGATCGTCGGGATTCTCATTAGAGGTGGAGGTGGTGGTGGTCTAGATGGTGCCACTGCGAACGTCTGATCAGCCATCGACTGAATCTGAGCAATATGGTCAAGCTCCTCCTGAGTCAGGGCTTCCTCCACTGGTTCGGCAACCGGTTCTTGATCAAATGAGGTTTCGAAGTCAGCTCCAGATGTTGCTGGAGAACTGAGCTGCTCGGATTGTTGCTTCAAAATTGCTGGCTCATCGATCGTCGGGATTCTCATTAGAGGTGGAGGTGGTGGTGGTCTAGATGGTGCCACTGCGAACGTCTGATCGGCCATCGACTGGATCTGAGCAATATGGTCAAGCTCCTCCTGAGTCAGGGCTTCCTCCACTGGTTCGGCAACCGGTTCTTGATCAAATGAGGTTTCGAAGTCAGCTCCAGATGTTGCTGGAGAACTGAGCTGCTCGGATTGTTGCTTCAAAATTGCTGGCTCATCGATCGTCGGGATTCTCATTGGAGGTGGTGGTGGTCTAGTTGGTGCCACTGCGAACGTCTGATCGGCCATCGACTGGATCTGAGCAATATGGTCAAGCTCCTCCTGAGTCAGGGCTTCCTCCACTGGTTCGGCAACCGGTTCTTGATCAAATGAGGTTTCGAAGTCAGCTCCAGATGTTGCTGGAGAACTGAGCTGCTCGGATTGTTGCTTCAAAATTGCTGGCTCATCGATCGTCGGGATTCTCATTGGAGGTGGTGGTGGTCTAGTTGGTGCCACTGTGAACGTCTGATCGGCCATCGACTGGATCTGAGCAATATGGTCAAGCTCCTCCTGAGTCAGGGCTTCCTCCACTGGTTCGGCAACCGGTTCTTGATCAAATGAGGTTTCGAAGTCAGCTCCAGATGTTGCTGGAGAACTGAGCTGCTCGGATTGTTGCTTCAAAATTGCTGGCTCATCGATCGTCGGGATTCTCATTGGAGGTGGTGGTGGTCTAGTTGGTGCCACTGCGAACGTCTGATCGGCCATCGACTGGATCTGAGCAATATGGTCAAGCTCCTCCTGAGTCAGGGCTTCCTCCACTGGTTCGGCAACCGGTTCTTGATCAAATGAGGTTTCGAAGTCAGCTCCAGATGTTGCTGGAGAACTGAGCTGCTCGGATTGTTGCTTCAGAATTGCTGGCTCATCGATCGTCGGGATTCTCATTGGGGGTGGAGGTGGTGGTGGTCTAGATGGTGCCACTGTGAACGTCTGATCGGCCATCGACTGGATCTGAGCAATATGGTCAAGCTCCTCCTGAGTCAGGGCTTCCTCCACTGGTTCGGCAACCGGTTCTTGATCAAATGAGGTTTTGAAGTCAGCTCCAGATGTTGCTGGAGAACTGAGCTGCTCGGATTGTTGCTTCAGAATTGCTGGCTCATCGATCGTCGGGATTCTCATTGGAGGTGGAGGTGGAGGTGGTCTAGTTGGTGCCACTGCGAACGTCTGATCGGCCATCGACTGGATCTGAGCAATATGGTCAAGCTCCTCCTGAGTCAGGGCTTCCTCCACTGGTTCGGCAACCGGTTCTTGATCAAATGAGGTTTTGAAGTCAGCTCCAGATGTTGCTGGAGAACTGAGCTGCTCGGATTGTTGCTTCAAAATTGCTGGCTCATCGATCGTCGGGATTCTCATTGGAGGTGGAGGTGGTGGTGGTCTAGTTGGTGCCACTGTGAACGTCTGATCGGCCATCGACTGGATCTGAGCAATATGGTCAAGCTCCTCCTGAGTCAGGGCTTCCTCCACTGGTTCGGCAACCGGTTCTTGATCAAATGAGGTTTCGAAGTCAGCTCCAGATGTTGCTGGAGAACTGAGCTGCTCGGATTGTTGCTTCAAAATTGCTGGCTCATCGATCGTCGGGATTCTCATTGGAGGTGGTGGTGGTCTAGTTGGTGCCACTGCGAACGTCTGATCGGCCATCGACTGGATCTGAGCAATATGGTCAAGCTCCTCCTGAGTCAGGGCTTCCCTCCACTGGTTCGGCAACCGGTTCTTGATCAAATGAGGTTTCGAAGTCAGCTCCAGATGTTGCTGGAGAACTGAGCTGCTCGGATTGTTGCTTCAGAATTGCTGGCTCATCGATCGTCGGGATTCTCATTGGGGGTGGAGGTGGTGGTGGTCTAGATGGTGCCACTGTGAACGTCTGATCGGCCATCGACTGGATCTGAGCAATATGGTCAAGCTCCTCCTGAGTCAGGGCTTCCTCCACTGGTTCGGCAACCGGTTCTTGATCAAATGAGGTTTTGAAGTCAGCTCCAGATGTTGCTGGAGAACTGAGCTGCTCGGATTGTTGCTTCAGAATTGCTGGCTCATCGATCGTCGGGATTCTCATTGGAGGTGGAGGTGGAGGTGGTCTAGTTGGTGCAACTGCGAACGTCTGATCGGCCATCGACTGGATCTGAGCAATATGGTCAAGCTCCTCCTGAGTCAGGGCTTCCTCCACTGGTTCGGCAACCGGTTCTTGATCAAATGAGGTTTTGAAGTCAGCTCCAGATGTTGCTGGAGAACTGAGCTGCTCGGATTGTTGCTTCAGAATTGCTGGCTCATCGATCGTCGGGATTCTCATTGGAGGTGGAGGTGGTGGTGGTCTAGATGGTGCCACTGCGAACGTCTGATCAGCCATCGACTGAATCTGAGCAATATGGTCAAGCTCCTCCTGAGTCAGGGCTTCCTCCACTGGTTCGGCAACCGGTTCTTGATCAAATGAGGTTTCGAAGTCAGCTCCAGATGTTGCTGGAGAACTGAGCTGCTCGGATTGTTGCTTCAAAATTGCTGGCTCATCGATCGTCGGGATTCTCATTGGAGGAAATGATTGCCGGCATGTTTCTTCTTCAGTAATCTCTCTTTTGACGTTTTCATCTAGTTGAATTGATTTGTGAAGCTGTATTGTGCCTCTTCTAATGGGAATTGGTGGTTGCGATTTTGCAGATTTTATTTTTGATGATAATAATGCAATTTGTTGTATTTGATTTTCGATGAGTCGTGCCTCGCAATTAGCGGTTTTCATAATTTCCTCATCATAACATCCACCGTCTGTGTCGAGAGAACTGCTGCTTTCGCTTGTTGTATATTTAGATTCCTTTTCATAATTCACGGATGGTTTTTGATGCGCACCGTATGTTTCAGTTCCATCACGAATTTCAGTCTCTGTCCAAATTGTAGAATTTGATGCCGTTGGTAATTCAGACAACTGTGCTGAGCAGAATGGAACGTTTGGAATGTAGTCGTCATTGTTTACTTCAGTTGTCTTTGCGTTATTTTGGTCCGGTTTTAAATTCCTCTCGATATCGATTAAGTGCTGAACTTCCTGTTGAAGATCAGAATTTAAACAAATGTCTTCCATAGTTTCCTGGTCAATTTCCGATCCAAATTTGTCTCTATTTGTCTTATTTATTTGAATCAGTTCGGATTTCGCTGATTCATGTTCGCATGTTTGGCCACTCGCTGATGTGATTGCGTCATTGATTATATCGAATGATAATTCATCAGTGTAGCTATCGCAATTTTGATTCAATTTTATCAATTTCGGTTTGTCGTACCAGTTAATTGCGGTCTCAGCTATTTTATTACGGACCAGATTCTCAATCCATTTAATTGCTTCATGAGAAAGGATTTGATCTCCTTGCAATTCCTTATTGAGCTGTTCCGATTGAAGCATATTCAAATTGTTGTAATGAATTGATGTCTGAGATTTTCTTGCGTCGTTAGCATCTCTTTCCAATTCAGAAAAATACTCTTCATTTGACGATTTTGTAGAATTTTTCCCAGTATCTGTTTTTTCGCTTATTCCCGCATTTTCTTCTTCGCTATTCCGATCATTCGTATTTGAATCGTCAAAATACGCTGTTACCTCAATTGTAGGTATTCTCTTCATCTTTGGTTTAGGTGGAATCACAGGGCGACGAGAGTCTCGATTTTGGCTATCTGACCTTTCGAACTGACAAGTATTCGTTTCCACTAACGCAGATTCAGCAACAAGCTTCGTAATCCAATCATCTTCTTCTGCCATCATTGGTTTCTCGCTGATATCAACGACAGAAGCGGGGTTTAAACTTTTAATCGCAAATTGAATAGAATCGCTAACAAGACTCTGTACGGTGTTTTCTAGCAGTATATTGCTATAATTTTCTGCATCATTCATTGGAGATTCTCCTTCTGAAACAACTGAGAAACAGAAATTCTCAGATGACCTTTCCGAATCTGCTCCAGATGTTTCTGGAGAACTGAGCTCTTCGGATTGTTGCTTCAGAACTGTTGGCTCATCGATCGTAGGGTCTTTCATTGAAGGTGGTGGTGGTGGTGGTCTAGTCGGTGCCATTGCGAACGTCTGATCTGCCATCGACTGGATCTGAGCAATATGGTCAAGCTCCTCCTGAGTCAGGGCTTCCTCCACTGGTTCAGCAATCGGTCCTTGATCAAATGAGGTTTCGAAGTCAGCTCCAGATGTTGCTGGAGAACTGAGCTGCTCTGATTGTTGCTTCAGAATTGCTGGCTCATCGATCGTCGGGATTCTCATTGGAGGTGGAGGTGGTGGTGGTCTAGATGGTGCCACTGCGAACGTCTGATCAGCCATCGACTGAATCTGAGCAATATGGTCAAGCTCCTCCTGTGTCAGGGCTTCCTCCACTGGTTCAGCAATCGGTCCTTGATCAAATGAGGTTTCGAAGTCAGCTCCAGATGTTGCTGGAGAACTGAGCTGCTCGGATTGTTGCTTCAGAATTGCTGGCTCATCGATCGTCGGGATTCTCATTGGAGGTGGAGGTGGAGGTGGTCTAGTTGGTGCCACTGCGAACGTCTGATCGGCCATCGACTGGATCTGAGCAATATGGTCAAGCTCCTCCTGAGTCAGGGCTTCCTCCACTGGTTTGGCAACCGGTTCTTGATCAAATGAGGTTTCGAAGTCAGCTCCAGATGTTGCTGGAGAACTGAGCTCTTCGGATTGTTGCTTCCAATCTGCTAGTGAGTTCGATGTGTCATCAACTATCTCAGATGATGAACTTTCGCTGTAGCTTTTGGCAGAATGTTCTTCAGCAAGAATCTCGAATGGCTTGTCGACTTCTGATTCCTGGCTTGTTGATTGTTCCGACAAATCATCAGTTTGTTTTTCCGAAACTTGATCGATCATTTTTTGAATATACTCTTCCACATTCATATTGATTTTCCCCGTAATTTCCGAATCGCTGAATATCACCAAACTTCCAGACGAGCTACTGGTCTCTCCGTCTTCATCCAGCTCAGTAATTTGTCGAAGAGGCCCTCGCTTCGTGTAGTCTGTTTCATAATACAGTTCTTCAACTTCAACTATTGGATCTTCGAAAGAATCGTTGGAGGACACTTCTGATACTCCATTTTCGAGTACTTCATAACACTGCGTTGGGCTCATTTCCCGATCGAAAACGTTATTTAATGAAAACAATTGGACAAATATTAATTTACCGGTTGAAGTGTTGTTGATATTCTGAAGGTAGTCGTCGAGTTCCTTGGCATTTTCAAATGATCGAGATTTGTGGAGTAAAGATATTTCCTGCACAATTGTCTCGGCACTGAAATTTCGTGCCTATTACGAATCGATATATGCATTAATAACTCACTCATCCTCGGCCGGCAGCGTTTTCGACATCAAATTGTAAAATGCGGACTGAAGGGCTTCTTCAGCAATCCTGCCGCAACACTCGTTCAATCGTTTACGTTGCTCGTTGTCAATAAGCTAAAAAACGCCTCTTTCAAATCCAGCGTCGGCGATGAAAAATGAAACAAACCTCTACTGTTAATTGTTCATAGGCTAGTGCAAATATTGATTCACAGAAACGTGTGCACATCAATTGGAACCTTGGGTTCGATGATATCACATGATGTGAGTATTCAATATGAGATGATATCATTATTGCCTTACTCAACGCATCAATGTATTGCATGGTAAGGTCTTCGAGGTGTTCTTGTTGTTGTGGTTTGTTTCCTGAATGATACCATAAAATCTGGAAAAAATTGAAATTCTAGAACCAGTTAATTCAAAAATCGCAAAATAGTCGCCGTCGTAGTCGAGAGAATTGAACCACGTCGTCAAATGTGATTTCATTCGTTGAAATCGACGTCTCATGTTACTCGATGACGCTTCTTCTTCGCTAGTGTCTTCGGATGCTCGACGACCTGGCATTTCTGTGATGACGTCTGAAAAATAATTTCAAATTTCAAAAATTGCATATTGTCGAGAACGGAAATGTTTTCAATTCAATACTCAGAACATCTTTCGGCAGTTTACAGTTTTCGCGATTTGGTCCTACAATCACATCGATTGAATCGAGTATGAATTATATGTAGTAGCAATCAAGAATGATATTGCAAAAATAATGAATTCATTTTAAATTCAATACTCAAAAAATCTTTTGCCAGTTCTCCGGCCCTCCGAAATCTGTGGGGATCGTCGGCTTAAGAATTAGAAAAACTTTTTTTTTTTTGAAAAAGCGTACTGTCTGGAATGGAATCCATTTGCACCAACGAATGTCGAAGTTCGAAAGAGTCTTCTCCGCTTGTCGCTCGTTTTCGATAAGCAGAACGCATTAGTTCAGCGTCTACAACTACCTTTGCTTCGCGTCTCGATGTTTCGGCACGTCTGAGAACCTGAAAAATAAGCGAGTTTCGAGAAACAAAAAACGAGCGTATTCCAACATCTTGTACTATCACTTTTTGGTCTGGAGATAGTCGATTCATCGCTTCAGCGAGCTCATCTTCCACAGTCTGGAAACAATCCGAATTGAGGGACAAAATGAGAAGATCAATGAAGAATACCTTTTCCTCAATTTGAGGAGATGCTTCAGATGTTTCTTCTTCGACCGGATCCAATTGTTGGCCCTTGTTGAAGCTGAATTATGCGCTAGTTAAACTATTTGCATCTTTTTATGCATTTCCACAAAATTTGAGCTATTCGGCTCAAATTGCAATCGGTTTGGTTGCAAACAACAACCGCATTCATTCATAAAAACCAAAAAATCAAATTTGAGAATAGCCGAACAGAAACTTGGAAAATATGTATACATGGATGTTTTTTTGAGTTGCACACATTTTCTCCAAAAATTTGCAAGTAAAAATTCAGGTAAAAACTATTATTTTTTTGAAGGAGACCTACCCAAAATAAGCATACCAAGACGACATTATTTACACAATTTGTGACGATGTTCTCATATCCAATCTATAAAAAAACGAAAATTTCGAATAAAATGGGAAACACAAAAGAAACGGCGTGAATTCATGTGTCATTTGCATGTGTGATGAATGCGAAAAGAATAACAAAAAAAAGAACTCGTAAGATTTTTGAACAAATGTTGAGATATATAATAAGAGACGACTGGAATACTGAGCATGAATTATTCAAACGAATTCTTTATATTGGTGTGCATGCGATGGAAGAAGAAAAAACTTGCTGGGAGCGGCGGCGGCAGCCAAAAAAAATCAGGCGCATAAAGGATTTTATAGAGAGAATGGGAGGCATGTGAAAATGTGCTAATCTCATTCGAAACATGGATTCACATTCAAAAGAATGCCATTTACTGATTTCCGCAATTATTTAAAGGTTTTTATTTTCAAAAGAAATAATACATTTGTATAGTGGCTTAAAAATAACTATTCCAAATGAGCAAAAAATTTTAAGTAATAACTCAATTTTTGGCAATGGAAGTGCGAGTTTGTTAAATTTCCTCTGGCTCTTATGGAAAATGTGCTCACGCTCGTTTAAAAACCTCGCACATGTTCATAAAAATTCGTGCGTTATAATTTCGAAACAAAGACTAATTTCCAGAATTTTTCTACACGAGACCCAAACAAGAAATGTCTCGAATTTGCCGGCTTAATAAGAATATTCAATTTTTTACTGTTTTCTAGATAAATATGAGTGCCATTTCAGAGGAATGGCTGTTGAAAACTCGATTCGTCAAAAAAAAAGACATCAATGTTCACGAGGAAACAAACGAAAACAGAGGATTTGCAACGACTGAGTGCGACACGAAGATGACGAAGAAAAAAAACGCGTCTTTTTCAGAAATTGCTCATTTACTGTTCGAGCCGTTCAATCATTTTTCGATATAAAAGGGCAATTCGAGGCGTTTCGACGAACCTCGCAAAGCAAAATAAAAATGATTGGTTGTGTTTGGCACAATTTAAAGCAAGAAAGATTCGGGAATTCAATAGTTGATATCAATGTTTAATTAAAGCTATTAATATTAATGTAAATTTTTTTTTAAAGTGTATTACTTTGGTTTACTTTTCGACATTAATGCATTTCAGTTGGTTTTGTCGCTTTGTTTTTTTATTCAAAAATTCAGAAATATAAAAATTCATGGTCGCCAAACAACGGCCAATCTAATATTAGCACTCGAAAACATGAGAGAGAATTCACTATTGAGCTGGGAAATACGATGGAATTTTCGAATTTTTGTTATTGAAAATTCTGCAATTTATTTTGGTGCCAGAGAAAATCACGGACAATTATAAAGAATGATGAATGGTAGAATTTGATCTTCAAAAATGCGATTTCAGAAATTTTATTGTTTTGAGCAACTATGAATTTCATTAAAATCTCATATTTTATTATTAGAGAAAACAATTGTGTTGCAATTTATTTTAAAAGTTTTTGAAAAAATAATTTAGCTCCTAATTTAGAAAATTTACCACCAATTTTCTGATTCAAACATTTTATTATCAATTGCGGAGATAGAAAGAAAAAGGATCGTTGGGCCGTTTATAACAATTTCTAAACTTTTTAAAATAAATGTTTAACAAAAAAAAAAGATTTGTATCGGTGGCCTGCTACAAACCACCCTCACATTTGCTCACACCCTATATTTTCCACATCTAGCTTTAATTTTGTTTTATAAACGGATCAGACTAATGAGTTGTAATTCAAAGCAAAGCAATGTTTTAAAAAATGCCAATTTTGAATCTAGTTTTAACCAAAGTCTGGTTTTTGAAAATGATCAATGAATTTGAAATATCAAAAAAATGTGGCCGATGCTCCCGGGGGGCAATAAAATAGGGGGGCAACTTGGGGGTCATCTGCTCCAAGGGGGCAATGTCTCTTAGGGGTCAACGGACGGTGTGTCTCAAGGGGGGGGGTATTCTACAAAGTCTACATGTAAAAAGATTGAATATCGACATCTCAAAGTACGTGCATCGCCAAAATTGCGTACGGAATGGTACCCACGGTAGATACGAAAACACGGAAAAATCGAATAAAAATGTGGATCGACGATATCATTGCACCCTAGTAATGTTTCTTGCCCAACAAGTGACACAAGGAAAAACTAGAAGATGAGCACGACGACTTGCTTAAGAGAATAAATCTGTTGACCCCAATGAGACTTTGTAGAATGCCCCTCCCCCCTTGAGACACACAGTCGGTTGACCCCTAAGAGACATTGCCCCCTTGGAGCAGATGACCCCCAAGAGCACGTGGTCCCCTAGTTGCCACCGGGAGCATCGACCAAAAAATGAGCTCTAAATATGTGTTAAATAGTAATCTCTGGTAGTTTCGAAAGACCAAAAGTACGAGTTAAAGAATACAATAATCGGTAGTTAAAATGTGGAATCAAACAAGCAACCATTCTCTGGTAACTCAAAACCAATCGGATTCGACAAAACTCGGCTCTGGAATTAACCTTATCCAATTGGTAATTTTACGGATAAGATTGGAAAATTGGCGGATCCGATTCGTTTTTTGAGTATTTTCAAATACGATAATAATTACCAATCGGATTCGAAATCTAATCTGATCCGACAAATTCCCAATCGTATTCGAAAATACCCAAAAATCCAATCGGATCCGACAATTTTAAAATCTTATTCGTAGAATTACCAATCGGATAAGATTGATTTCGGAGTCGAATTTTGAATAAAAAAAATCGTAAGTAAATAATTTTCTTGAAATGAATGTTATTGAAGAGTTTGGATGTTTGAAGTATTTAATATTTGATTAATCTTGATAATTTTGGCTTATTCGGACGAATAAAAGAAAAATGTTTTGTCTCAGCTGGAACCAAATACTAGAAGCGATGTTAAAAGTATGAATCAAAGAACATGGACCATACTAATACATATATTAAAAACATCTGATAAGAATTTTTTGTATCTTTCAACATTTAAAATGTAAGAATTGAAAATCGAATTGAAGAGAGAAAATTCATATTTTCAATCCTGATATGACTATTAAGATAATCAAGCATAAAAGATTTTTGAAACAAAAAAAATAAACAAGATTTTAAAAAATATATTTTAAATGTAATATTATTCATATTTTCTTTTCAATAAAAAAACGGAAATTGGGGATTTACGAAATAAATTTAACGTATGACGCAATGAACTAAAAAAATGTAATGAAAACCAATGAAATTTTATTATGATCATATATTGGAAGAGAAGGATATAAATAAGAAAATTCGAGCAAAAAGTGCAGGTCATTTTGATAAAAACATATCTATTCATTGAATTCGGAACAATGTAAAAATAAATAATTACAATGAGCGATGCGATGCGCAAAAAATGATAGATGCTTAAAAAGAGAGAAAAGCGTGAGATATCAAGATTGAACGGACAGATAAATTTAGTAGTGCTCTATAATTAGAAAGAAATCCTCAAATAATAAAACAAAAAATAAAAAGCAGAAGAAAAAGAAGAAAAATGGAATGGAACGGATCAAAATTTTTTGCTAACTCCACTTTCCAGAATGAATCCCTTGAGAATAAAAGAGTGAGTATTTATAATAACGCTTTTGGAAATGGGACCAACGCGTCCGGCAAAAGAAAAACGAACGCACCAAAAAATATAGTAAAGGTATAAGTCGAAGAATGGCGAATACGAAAAGCTGAAAAGAGCGCGCAGACATTCTAGAGATCGAAAAAAGGGAACTTGCGCGGGCAGCGAGACAGCGTTAGATGAATGGAGAGTTCGATGAGCCCGACATCATCGAGGATCGATAGGCGAGACCGACCAACCCGGAGGGCGCTGCTCCACCAAAAACGAAAGTGTTTTTGGTGTAGTGGTGTCGTCGTCGTCGTCGTCGCCACCCTCGCCACCATGCAAGCCGACGACGACGACTTTAATTTGGTTTAGAGTGCTACGCGAAATTGGAAACCCGTAATTATTCTTGCGCCAATATCAATATGTATTGTGTTGTAATTATTAAACACGACGCTTTTTATGTACAAAAAAAATCATTTTTCATGTGAAAAAAAAAACACAGAAAATTTGTTTGTCCATTCTTGACTCGCAAAATCGTTTTGCTAATCCCATTTGGCAATCGGAGTCGCCGAGTGGGTTTGCAACATTCTGAGATTGAGACTAATGATAATGTTGTAAGCAAAACCTCGAAAGGACGACTATTGTCCGTTTTTGCTTCAAATAAATACATTATGCAATCAAACACACTCTATTGATATGCGCTATAAATTAAAATAATTTACAACTCCGACAAAAATGCAGAAAATTCACTATTTCTACCCCCTTCTCAAAAATTGGAGATCACGTTGAGTGCACTTCAAATTTCAGTTTTAATCAAATTTACTTGTCGAAGAATTTCAATGCCACCATTTAAACCAATTCAATCACTGAAATAAACATTCCTCTCTTTTTTTTCCAATACCGAATGTCAAAAAGAAAGATGCAAGAAAAAAAAAACAGTTTCATAACAACAAACAAAACAAGATAACAATTATAACAATTCAACTAAAACATGTTCTGACCGCGTCGCTTGCCAACGTTCAGGTTACCAGGCAGTTTCTTGAGACCCTTTGTGACTCTTGCGTTCGGTCGCCGTGTCACTGCTTTACGTTCTTCAACATGAGCTGCCTGAAAAAAAATGACGAATGGAGATTTCTCGCAGGATTTCTCCTCACCTGTTTCTCTTTAGCCTTTTCAGCTCTTAAATCTTTGTCGCGTTTGCTGATCGTAAATGTCATTTCGCGTCCACCGAATGGCACATCATCTTCATTCGTGCGCTCTTTTCGGCTCTTCTTGACAATAGAGGCTTTTCGACTTCCCAACGCGACCGCTGACTCGACATCGTCACAATTCGCGCTGTTAGCCACCGTTTCATCGACAAATTTGCGGGTTGTTTCTCCCGAACCAATCGTATGCAATACAAATTTCGATGGTTTCGAAAGTTGGCGTTGTTCTCTAAAAAAATCCAATTTGAAATAAACTTAAAAATGTATTTAAAAATTTCTTGCCTGAGTGCCTGTTTTGCGGCTTTTCTTTCTTCATACTTCTGTGCTTTTTCCTCATTCTTCGCAGCAATTCGAGCGGCCTTCATTTTTGCGCGTCTCTTCTGCAAAACGTAATAAACCGATTAAACATTCTGTTTCTTAAATTGATACCTTCAACGACTGATCAGCCTCCTCATCAGAAGATTCGGAACTTTCTAGATCTGACGCCATATCGTCTTCTACGTGCGCTTGCTCATCATTCTCCCAAACTGGCTGAGCCTTTAGTTCTATTTCATGATCTTCATCTGCATCGTCGCTCGAGCCACTTGCCGATCCATCATCATCCGATTCGACAGCGACCACTTCCTTTTCGCGTAGTTTTTCGGCAATTTTCGCGCTTTTCGCAAATTGCTCACTCGTCTCATCGACTTCGAAATCTTCGGACTCGAACAATTTCTTGAAACGATCGTCGGAGAGAAGTGTAGAAGCCACCGACGCCTTCTTGCTGAGTTTCTTCTCCTTTTTTTTCTGCGCTTTCTTTTCAGCAAGTGCTGCTTCTTCTCGCAATCGTGCAGCGAGTGCTTTGTTAATCTTAAATTTACAACGTAAACTCAAAAAAAAAATCAAACAAAAACTTACAGCTGGAAGTTTATCGCTCTTCTTTTTGATTGCAGATTGCTCTCGTTCATCAGCAATAATTGATTTAACCTGAAAAATTAAAACAAAATTTTGTTAGAAAATAATTAAGAAAGAAAAATTTGTGAAATAGGAAGACATGAAAATAGTTTACCTTATTTGCCTTGTATTGCTCATAAGCGAACGGTTGCATTTGAGTCTGAGCCTTGTTGTATAGTCTCGCATCGATAAAGTATCCGTGCATGTACGCCCTGAGTACATTGGTGCCTATAAGTCCCGAAAGACCAAGATCTTCAAGCTGTTTCTTGGTGACGAATCGATAATTATCGTAGACAGTTGGCTCGGCTTCCTCCATTTCTTCGGTGAGATTTTCAAGATATGAACACCATTTCGGTGCGGGACCCAATTGAGGAATGAAATATTGAAGCATTTTTGGAGCTTCATTGGCGAAGAAGAACATTCCAGAATTGGGATAGCGACAGAAATCGTTCAGATTACATGCATTTTCGATTGCCGCCATTGGAGATCCATCTGATTCATACCAGAGTTTCAGCATTCGAGAATCCATTGAAGCAACCACATTTCCGTCATCCTTTTTGATAAATTCCATCTTTTTAATGGGTAATTCATTGTTATGATCTTTAACAAGAAGCGGTTTTCGAGATCGAATATCGTAAAGAAGAATCTAGAATAATTTTAATACAAGAAAAATAAAGCAGGATGCTCGAACTTACATGTCCTGTACTTGTTCCAACTCCAATATGCAAAGGATCAGAAAACGACAAAGATGTGACACCAACCTTTTGAGATTCGCTGAAAATAAAAAGAATTTTCGAAGCTAATAGTATTTAGAATTACCCGAGCAAATTATTTATATGAGTTCCACAATCTAATGTGCCACACAACGATTTGTCTCGATGGTCCCAACATTCAACAATACCATTTGTTGTTCCTAAAGTAATAGTAATTCTTTGTCCAATTAAACATTTAGCTTATTTTACCACAAATGAACAATTGGTGCTCTGGGCAAACTTGACAACAATTTAATGAAGTTGCAGTAGATTCGAACGGTGTGAGCCATTGTCCCTGCTCCAGATTTAGCCGATAAATTTCACTTCTATAATTTAATTAAATAGAAGTGCAAGACCTAAGAGTTTTACTTGGAGCCAACTAAAAATAAATCACTAGACTCCTCGGAGAGTGCCATATCTCGTCCAAAACATGGCATTCGCATTCTGTGATACCTTCCGAGCATTGCGTGAAATTCAATCCATCTGTCTTCCTCCAAAATGACTACTTTTGAGTAATCCTCGCTTAATGGAATCATTTTGATGACTTCCGAATCCAAGCCACGTTCAAATTTAATGGATAAATTGTTTAAATCAAAACATTTTATCCATGGTTTGTAATTTCCAGATGCCCACACGTATTTACCATCCGGAGTTACGTTTATTGTTGTGCTGACATCAGGCATTTCAAAATCCTGAATTAATTGAATTCTCTGCCGAACATCTGCATTTCTTTGTTCGAGTTTTCGCCGAGCCCTTGAGGACATCCACTGAAATATTCAATCAATATAGCATAATACAGCGAAAATGTTTCAATACCTCTGGTAAACTTTTTCCAGCACTCAAATTATAAATCTTAACATCATTAACAGTTGAGACTTCCATTCTGTCTGAAAAAAATAAATTTTAAAAATCTATATAACAATATTAGATCAACGAAACAAGCATCTTAAGGGGAATCATTTTTTTTTTAATTATTTCTAATTTTCTTTTTTTCTGCATTTAAGTTCTCCAATTTTTTGTTTTTTTTTTTTTAATTTTTTTGGTATTGTTCTAATATGAATCCAACGGATTCACAATTAGATTTCTTAAGATAAAAATAGCGATGATGATATTTTTATATTGTTTGATTTCGCATTAAAATAAGTTGAAATATAGCTTGAATAAATTATATAATTTTATATGAATGACAAGATAATGATATCAAATAGTTTAAAAAAAAAACAATGAAAAATATTCAGAAAAATATTTTCGACGTGGACTAAAAATCTCCCGATGGTGGACTAAATATTTTGACGGCCATGATTCTCGGCCGCGCGATGTTTAAAAATTTTTCAGGAAATTCCCGATATTAGTCTATCAATTTTACTGGTGTGAACACCATAAACGGTAATTTCTGTCATAAAATTCATTTTTATTTTGTTCAGCTGTTCGATTTCATCATGTTTTACCCCTATGCACGTCCTCCTCTCCAAGACCATTCCTGATCCACAATTTGATGCGCCAGTTTTGTTGCATTTTCTCTGGCCTAAATCTTGTGATTCCTTTCGAATCGAATACGAAACTTTCGACACAACAAACTGTTTTAATTTGACTCAAATCGTAAAATTCTGTGAAATTATCGTATTCCTTTTCGATGTGGCCGTATTCAATTTTAAAGTCATGTAATGAATTGAAGATTTTGTGTGACGGTTATGTTATCTTCGTGTACGTTTCGTTCGATTTCGATTAAAAAAAACCTACATTCTATATTTCATTCAATTTAATGAACTTTCATTTTCCGTTTTTCAGTGCGATGGTCGGGCGAAACGCGTTTTCGCAGAAGATTGCAATATTTTAAAGGTCAGCACACCTAGGAATTTTGGAATATTTCGTTAATCTAAAAAAATGGTATTTCGTGTGACAAACGAGATAAATATATGTCAGGATTTTCAGATACAAGGAAATCTGATTACGCATGACGTGTTGTGCCCGGCAGAACTTCATCATCGCATTTACAGAAGCGATGATGATATTTTTGCATACTAGTCAGGATTTTGTTGTCGAGTTTATCACGTGAAACATGCTGGAGTGCAGCTCGTTTGTGCATCATCTGGATAGAAGAAGAACAAGAAGAACATTGGAGAAAGCCAGCATCGAGAAAAGAACGCAAAAATTCACAAATCCTTTAAATCAAAGATTCTATTTTTTTAAATAAATTATATAATTATGTATTGTATTCGTTTCACATTTTGTTGTTTATTAATCTCTACATACTTGATTGGTAGGTTTTCAAGCACCAACCAAAAAACAAAAAATTCAAGATGAATGAGGATTGGTTCGTCGAAATGAGACGACTTCTTGCCGCTTCACAGAATAACACTTGTAGAACGTTAGTTGTAAAAGAAGGAACGCCAGAATCAAAAATAAGAAGTACTAAATGAAAATGACAATATTTATAGTTAAAATTCAACCTTTTAGGACTTGAATCTCAACATCCAGATATTTGTTGGCAGTATAGAAGTGCAAGTGCGCTTGTGCTTTATCAATTAGAGCAAGCGAAGAAATATGAGGTAATCGATCGTCTCAACAAATAATTCTACGCTGTTTTTTTTCGATAATTTAAAAGCAAAAAATAGTTTTGAAAATGATGAAAGAGATAGTTGATTTCAGCAAATGCCTAACGATTTTCTGCCGACATTCCATGCTCGTGTGCTCTACTTGCATTCACCATTTGACCTTGCCATTCAGCCGAAATATCTTGATAATGCACGCAAAAATCTATCGAAGTCGATGAATGATTATTTTATGAACGAAGAACCAACAGTTTTCGAACGGAATCAGGTTTTAATCGGAAGAATTGTCCCAGAGCGAAGCCATTGATTTCAGCTTATTGAAGGAGTTGCGTGTGTTGTTCGATTAGACGAAAAATGGCAGCGAGCAAGAATTGATAGAGTTGTTTCACGCGATTTTGTGAGTATTTCGCTTGTGGATTTCGGAAGAGTGAAAGTTATCAATCCGTCAAATATTTATCATTTACAAAAGCAGCTGGGAAAAATTCCGCCATTAGCACTTGTTTGTGCCATTAAAGGAGTTCAATATCATAGCATTGATATTGATGTAATCCATAACTTTCGAAAAACTGTTTCCGATTTAAAGTACCAAGTACAATGCCAAATAACGAACTCATCTCAACCATATTTAGTAAGTGTGATTTTATTTTACCAATTATAATTTCGTTCTTAGATTAATTTATTTCATCCAACTATTCACGGGTTTAACCTGTGCGAGCACATGTATGGACTTTGTGAACCACCGCCGCCTCCTCATGTTCTGGAATCAGCTGAAGAATTGTCGGACGAGGAAACATCGGATGATGAGCAAATGCCAATTCAAATGTATATAAAGGCGTTTCCGCGATCGGAAAAGGCTTCGAGATTTAGCGATACATTTTTTTATGTTGTGCATGTTGAACATGCGAATTTAATTTATTTGGAAAATGAATGGATGCGTGAGAGGCGAAAGCAAATCGAGAGCAGCATTGAGGAGATTGTAAGTAGAATTAATCATGTTGGATCAAAATACTATATTCTTTTTAGTTTGAAGACCTGTATGTGATTCCGAAGGATTGGTACGTTGTTGGTGCTGCGTGCGCAATTCTCGCACCTACGCCGAAGCGAGCTGTTATTCAGAACATATCTGAGAATTCCACAGAATATTTTCTTATTGATTACGGAATTCACGTTGAATTAGACAAAAGCGAGATGCCCAGAATACTGCCTGCCTCTGCCATATTTAGTGAAATTCCGCAAATCACTGTCACGGGACTAACTACGACGAAACCAGTGCATTATTCGGCAATCAAGATCCTTCGAGATATTTTACCTGTGGGAAAAAGAGTTCGTTTTCACCTCTCAAAGAAATCTGACTGGGTAAACTTCGTTTTAAAATATTATTTTTTTAAAAAATTACTTTCAGAATATTGTTCGTGGGGATTTGACAATTGATAGGATACAAGACGTTGAAGAAATGATGAATGAGATTCTGGAAGAGGAATCGATTAACATTTATTGCAAAACAGTGGATATATTCAGATATGTAAAAAGGAATTTTTCGTGTGAAAATTATGTGTATCGTTATCATGCACCTCGTTCATTGACAAACTCTCATTATTGTACTGGTTTCATGGAATAAAACGAAAAAGAAGCTCTGATAGGGGCGAAGTTTTGCATCACATCACGTGGATAAGATGAACTATAACATCATCACAGCTTGAGGAGTCGAACTCGCAAGGGTTCGCACGTGAAACAACACAGTTGCCACTCGGCGGCGCAAGCAGCCACAACTAAGCCAGCAGATTGTGATGAGGAGTAGTTCGCATGGCTTGCCGCACCGCTGGAGTGGTCTAAAAAAAACTGTTAGGTAAGCGATTCGGCCACGGCCACAATACTAGTAGTTATCCTAATTAAAAAACTAAATGAGTACCAATATATTGTGTGTGTGTTTTTTTTTTAAGAAAACGAGATTTAAAATAAATGAGGCTAAAAATACTGAATATCAAAATAAATGTCCCACCTTCGTGCAAATAAAAGAAAATAGTGAAAAATGACCATTCAAAAATTGGTCCGCCTTCGACTATACATATTTCAAACAAGCCTTTTCTACCGGATTCGCACAGACATTTTTTTTCCATATTAGGCCGAGTAAGCCGAAATTATCATGCTTGTTCAAATATTAAAATACATATTTCCATATTCAAACTATTCAATAATGTTATTTTATCAGCGAATTTTTTATTCGGTCTTATCTGTTCAGCTTCAAAACAACAAATCAATCATAAAAAGCGAGCATTCTGTGTAGATTAACGGCGGGTTTGATGTGTGCTTTTTCGAAAATTGCGATTGCTGCTCAACCTTGGGTCGAATATAAACATTGATCACAATATAAACTGAAATTGTCCAAAATGACTCGCTTATTTGTTATTTTATTTTATTGTGGAATAGTCTATTCCGATTCAATTTTGGTCTGGTACGTATTTCTTTTACAAAGTTGGCGTTTTAATGCGTATCGTTACATATCAATTAAGGTGCCCTCCACTTTCACATATTCGCTGTAAAGACGGTTTGACCTGTATTCGAAAATCATGGATGTGCGATGGAAAGATTGATTGCCCGGATCATTCGGATGAGCCGGCCCACATTTGCTTAAAACGGCCAATTGTCAATCATTTGGTATTAAAATACAGTTTACATTCACATATTGACGGTATTGAAGCAATTAAAAATGATGAGTTCGTCGTTGAAATGTCCAATGTCATGGTTCAAATGCCAAGACTCGAGTAAATGCTTGGCCGGAAGTCTGGTTTGCGATGGCCGAAACGATTGCAGGTTGCATGTTATCCGATTCGATCGAATCCTGTTTAAAATGCGTTTGTTTTTTTAGGGATGGAAGTGACGAAGGTGAGCACTGTCACTACCTCAAAAATGTTCTGATCCGCACGCCAAACTAAACTGTCGTCTACTAATAGTTTGGCCTCAATTTGTGGAATGAAAAGAATTTGAAATAAACCTAATTATGCATCTTTCGACATTTTTTGCAACCATTTAATCACACACTTGTCCCTCAGACCACCAATTCAGGTCATAAACATTTATCACCAATTTGTGTTTCACTAACACCAAATATTATAGAAAAAATGAAAATTATCAAATGAAAACGTTTTGAAAATATCTAAAATTAAAATTATTGTGTGATTATTGAAATAAAAAACCATTAAAATATTAATATTGAGAAAAAAAATACGTTGAATTGTAATTGAATCAAATAGAGATGTTGGAGATCCGATTGCATCTGATATTGAATCCTTTCATATCGACCGTTGTTAACCCTCAATTAGTCATTCACTTCCTATTAAATTGGATTACAAGCAGCAAAAAAATGACGCCGACAACGAGAACGAGAAGAATAAGCTTCAAGCAGAGATGTGGGCGTGGTGTGTCCGACTTTCGATGACCACACTTGGAAGCGAGTGGCCTGTGCGGTTCAGTTCGCTGATATCCGATACGAAGCATTCTCCATCGCATTCCGATTATCCACGGCCTCCGTATTCCGATCAAAAAACGCATCGCTGTTCATGCATTTGTTGATACTCGCACTTTTACTTTTGTCTTCGTGTCATGCAAATCCAGATGACATTGTTCTGAAGCTATCAGCCGATAAGGTAGGTCGTACTGTTCAGCAAACATCCTCACACGCACACATTTTTCGCAGCAGGGACAAACTTCTGGACATCATTTCAGCGGAGAATGGCTTGAAGCTCCATGGGGATCTCTTTACCAATTCAGAGCAGGTGATCAGAGTTGGCTGACGGCCAGAGAGCATTGCTTGTCGCTGAATGCTGATCTTGCAGTACTTAACAGCACCGACCAACTGGTTTGACCCGTGTTTGCTTTATAATTGAAGGATTTCACGTTTCAGGACTGGATCTTATCACATTATGCGCCAATCTCGTCAAGATTCTCTCAGCGATTCGTTCAGGTTTGGAAAAGGTGAAAGAAAGTTTTAATAGACTTTCTCGTTCGTTTTTAGATCGGATTGTATGCCGAAGATGGAAAAGTTGATGGATGGAAATGGGTTGATGGATCTAGCGTCAGCGATCAATTGTGGGTTTCCTGTTTTGTTGTTTCTATTGTTCTCACATTTTCTAGATCCATGTTTTATTAAAAAATAGTCAGTAGTTGGAAATTCTCGAAGAAAACACATTTCTAGTTTTTTTTGGTGATCCGTTTATGAGTCATTCCGATAACTAATCTTGTTATCGCCAAGTGCAGAATGACATACATATAGGATCCAGTTTTATCTCTTCTCATTTCAGTCACTGGTCCAACACCGAGCCTTACGATCACTCATCCGAAACAAAAGAGCGTTGTGGGTTGCTGAGTGTTGAGAAGAAGAGATTCCATGATGTTGACTGTGAGGCGACTTCTAAGGACCATCGAGCAATCCGATATATTTGTCAGCGATCCACTGAAAAGCATAAGGAACAGCAGAAATCGAACAACTACATCTGGGGAAAGATTGAACAATTATTCGGCTTTTTTGGCATTGGAACAACGCCGACTAAATATCCGGAGAATACGCAAAACCTCAGTTATGATTATGAAACGGAACTACGAAAAAATCAAAGTGTGAAGTTCACTGACTCTGTCGAAGAAGATTCGAGTGAAGAAGAAGAGCATGTTCTGAATACTCTTTCGAAGTTGCCAAAGATTGAAACCCCCTCTGAAGGATCTGCTGACAATGTCGAGAGTCTTAAAGAGATCAGTGAAGGAAGCGGGCATGCGGAGAAGGCTGAAATTGAAAACACCGCCGAGGATGAGGCGAAGCTTGATAACATGATTGCCAAGATGGAAGAGATGATCAAAAATGTCGACGAATTCACGACAATTTCGAGCATCGAAAGAACAACAATTTCGAGTCGAAGCTTTGCGAATGAAGTTGACGAAGAAACTGAAAATGAGAAAGAACCGGTGAAGAGGGAACTCGACGATAATGAAGTCGCTGCGTCAATCGAAGAGGACTTTAATGAGGAAAAAACAAAGGATATGGTGACATTACTCAATTGAACATTACGAAATTATCCGAATTTTAGCCGAAAGCTGATATTACTCCACCAAAGATAGAGCAAGACAAAGAGGATTGTGTTGAAGGAAGTGGTGATGAAGGAAGTGGAGGAAGTGGTGAGGAAGACGACGACGAGATCGCTGAGAACACTGCTACTGTATGCAAAAATAAATCCAAGTTGGATGAAAATTTTTTATTTCATTTTCAGACTCCAAAGCTTGTGGATGAAACCGAATTCCAAACAATTGAACTATCAAAAGAGAAAGAAGAGCACATCAAAGAATTCCTTGGGGTTCTTAGACTTTTCCTTAATCGTGCCGAGCACGGAGATCTCAAGTCAGTCATACATACATCAGCACATAAAATCCTCTTTCTTCAGGAAGCTTTTGAGCGAGAATAATGGAAAAACTCTTCTTGATCGAATGAAAAATGCAATCAAAGAGGCAAATGAAAGAGAGTTTAAGATGCTCGAAAAAATGGAAGAAGCTAGAACTAAAGGAAAAGGCACTGAAGAGGTTTCATTCATGGCTTGATAGCTGACAGCGTTGTGTTTCAGATAGAAGAGAGCAAGACTCGATTAATGACTGACACAGAACAAAAGGAAATCTACAAGAAGATCAGCACTGCTGTAATCCAAGCGGCCAAAACGGAAACGCATTCGCATGTGGACAAAGAAGAATCTGGAGAGAAGTTTAAGATTGCGACTGAGAAATTGAAGAATCCCGAGGGAGCGGATGAAGGTGGCCGAATTGAGGTATTGAAGTCCGCCAGAGAATCTCACAATGACGACTACTATGGTGATTATTTGGATGAGAACAATGTCGTTAAGGTTGCGAGTAAGAAGAAAAAGGCGTTCCAACATGATGAAGGATCGGTGGCGAGCAGCACGGAGATGCCAACAACTAGCGAGAAAGCCACCACAGAAGCTAAGGAAGTGGAACAGACGACGGCGACGACAATTGAAGATGAGGCCACTACTACCACTGCTGAAGAAGCCACAGCGGAAGCGGAAACTACAACAACAACAGCTCCAACAACAACAACAACCGAAAAGGCAACTACTCCTGCTCCACCCACCACTCATACAGCTCCACCTACTAGCAAAGCTGCTACAACCACGAAAGCAACACCGACGAAACATGTTCAAGCTTCAACGAAGGAGGTGCCGAAAACAACTGCAAAACCGGTGGAGAAGAAACAACCGAAGCCACAGGAAGCTACAAAGAAAGTAGTGAAAGAGGACAACGAGGTTGCTGTTAAGAAGATTGATGCCAAGACCATCGAAGAATTGTCGAAGATTGAAGCACAAGAGAAAGTCACACTTCTTCCACCACTTCCGACATTCACGTTTCCAACAATAGCGCCAGCAAAGCCTTCGAAAAAGACAACTCCTTTCAAAATTCCGACGGGGAAGTCGGCAACTACACCTAAGCCGTTCACGTTTCCAACTATTAAGCCAATAACATTCCCAACAGTGAAACCTGTCACTTTCCCAACGGTCAAACCAGTCACTTTCCCGACGGTGAAGCCTGTGACATTCCCGACGGTGAAACCGTTCACGTTCCCAACGCTGCCTCCAACAACTACACCGAAGCCTCTTCCCACTCTTGATGAACTTCTCGGAAATTGGAACAACACATTGAAGAAGCTTTTAACACCACCAAAGGCTTAAATTCCTACTATGATTCGATAATAATTCTCTTAATAATTGTTGATTTTTTTTTCATTTATTTACTAAAAGGGTATAAAAGCAATATGTAATAAACACGAGTTAACTAAATTTGTGAACACAATTGTTGAATAAAATATATTTGTATTTTCTTGAGAGCTTATTTATCGTCAGGAATAAGAACACTATTTATGTCAATCTAAAGTGATTAAACATCCGACGAATCTCGTATTTATCTATTCTACGCGGATAGATTTACTAGCATTCTCTATGATCTCGCTACATGTTTTTTTCTAACGTTATTCATTTTACAAATGTTTGCTAAATTTTTCTACCTTTTACGTTATACACCGAATATTCAAATTCGCGCACTAAGACGGCCGCGTTGCGTATACGTCGCGGTCGACGTTGGAATTGAATAGAAATTACTTATTTTCGGTATCCCGGGATTTCGGAAAATTGGCTAAACGCCAAAAACTACGTGCAACTGGTTTTACCTCATTAAGGTGTAGATTTACGTGCCAAAGTATATGGATATGTTGAAGGCGAACATCACGCACTAACAAGAATTCTACCTAATCATTTTGGTATTTAGCCAACGTCGATACGCACTCTTCAGAAAGAAAAATTTTGCACACACATACTCCACAAAATGAAAACTACTATCCTTGTAAAGAAAAATAGATACAACTGGAAGTGGCCACTTCGAAATCAGTCTGCTAATCGGCTACCCAACAGATCTACGCCCGGTCATACAGAAACTATGGTACATCTCAGACAACACAAATGACCTACACAGGGGCTTACAGCAATTACGCCCTGTGTAGCCAGCATATCTGCGACAGGGTTTACAGCAAACAAAGCCCATCGCAGAGAAATTGAATGACAAAGCTCGATTATACTGAGCAAAGAAACATACTCAATATAAAAGATTAGTGATCATTGGCGAGAAAGGCAACAGGAAGACCTCATCACAGACGTTGACAATGACTTTGTGTTCCTGAAATAACTTTTGTTGCTGCTCCGCTCCAATGTTTCAAATTAGGCAAAATTGAAACATCTCTATAACTGACGGTATTGAGCGCATGGCGCGACTTCGGAAAATTGGCTAAATGCCAAAAACAATGTAAATGGTTTTGGCGTAAAACTTAAGATGTAGATTTACGGGTCTAAGCATAAGATTAGGTTTAAGGCGCAAATCGTAAACTATGAAAATCGCCTTTTTTGGCATTTAACCAATTATCCGCAATCTCGCAGTGTTGACAATACAAAGGCTCAAATCTACCGTATCAGTTTTACAACAATTTTTGTGGTTAAATTTATATAAAAGTACCTTTTTTATCTGCCATTTTACCCATTTGGAATATTTTGTAGCTGCTGTTGTTAAAATTTAGCGTTAAAATCTGAAAAAATCTATATATCTAGCCGAAAAACACATATGCAAACCAGCCAAACAATTACTTGTTATATGTGTCATTCCTTCAACAAAAACTACATGAATAACAAATCATATCTAAATTTGAAATTGAAACAAACGACAGAATTGCACAAACCTTTGAACACTTGGAAGCCTTTTCGTTGCTAGTTCACAGGATCTTGGCGTTGATTATGCAAAAAAATTGACATTAAATAAATGAAACTGACAAATTGCCGAATTTTTCGATTAGAATAATAATTATATTCAAAAAGGAACCCAATTTCATAAGAACATCAGATTTGCGCGGGAAAATTGAATCGATTCCTCTTTTCGCCAGGTTCAGACTTCCTGCACCGCAGCTTCAAGTTAAGAAACTTGGAACACCTCTATCTAGCAAACATTTCAATTTCAATTCGACTATCAGACTGATAGTGTTAGACTACGGTAGACAAGCCGAACAGGTCCGCAAAATTCGAAGGCTGCGATAGATCGGCGAAAATTCGAACACGACAGCAAACGCTAAGAACTCTAAAAACAGTCGTCGAACTAATGCAGGTTCAGTTTGGAATCAAGAAAAACCAGACACAGCTCGAGGTGGGATCTTTTCGTTTTTTTTTATTTGTTTGTTTTTTTTATTTGTTTGTTTTTTTTTTTTCTGTTTTTTTTTTTCATTTTTTGGTGACAACGCAGCTCCTTGAGTGCTCGTTTATCCCGAAGACATGCTATGCATGATCTGAAGTAGTCGGGATTGATAGAATCGAGCTTGGCCAGTGTTGTTGACTTGACAATTGAGCGCGATTGAAGTCGTTCGCCGTGTCCCGCATTGCCTCTGGATGTCGTCCTTTGAATAACGTCTTGCCATTTGAAGGAATGTTGAAGTATTGGCAGTGATAATGGGAATGTCGTCGGATCATACAGTTGAGATGGAAATGTGGCAATTGCTTTGCGCTCTGGTTGAGGTTGTCAGCTTCTTGAAGATGTCCCCGTCTCGTTGATGCGTTGTGGAAGTGGTTTTGCCTTGTTGTCACCATTTTTTCTTTTTTTTAATCAAATAATTGTCCATTTGCCTCGAGCTGATAAGGATTTACTTGACCCTCACCGATTCCACAAAAAGAACTCGGACCGTATTTATTGCTCATTACCGCTTACTGTGCGTGAATTTGCGCAAATCTCTCATACACACCTTAGAACGGCACGGATATGCTCCGTTCACCTACCGCAGCCAAACACTACAGCTTCAAGTTTCCTTGAAACTTTGCCGAGAGCTAAACTAAGGTGCAACAATATTCTCGACTATAATCATTGGCACAGTTTGGAATTCCCTCGCTCAATTCGGTTTCTCCTCAACTCTCTTACGCATCTCTGATTTTCTAATAACAGAATAATGTTTCGCAAATTATCAAATTTAGCGGTGAAAAATTAATTTACTAGTCAATTATTTTCAAATATTTAAAAACGCACCGCACATATTCCCGTTTCAATCGAAGTAGCTGGTCTATTTGGCAGAATTAATCAATTTTTTGCTCTGTGACATCTGAAAATGATTTTTATTTAAAAAAAAAAAAAGCAAAAAACGACGAAAAATCGAAAAAAATCAGCAACCACTGCCAGCGTGGCAAACATTCAAACGAGGTCAGTGTTGATGTGCGTTACGGTGTTTACACACATACACACTATTTGACGACATTTCTGTTAATTCTTATTTTCCATTATTCTCAACATTCTTAATTATAAAGGGTTTTCCTATTTTTTAGCGAAATTTTCTGAATAATTTTCAAACTGTACGATTAATTATATAAAAATAAAAAAATTTATAAATAGAATCATTAAATTTTTATCGAAATTTCAATTTTTTTTTTACTTTTCCATGATTGAAAATGTTAGAAATTGATTTACTCGTTCAATACTTGCCTTGATAATGATCGACAAAAATATATTAATACAGATGATGCTACCGGAATGTAATAACCACAGAATACAGAATTCGTGTAAAGAAGAAATGGATTTAAATATTATCACGTCACGCTATTCAAGCTCCAAAAATACTTCCTTGGTCAATGTTATTTGGTATGCCAATCAGCGGAATTTTGATATTGTATAATAATTGTGTGTTGTTCGTATTGTCCGTGGACATTTTTTGAGTACTTTATAAGCCGATATTGATCTTCATGTATGTTTTTTCATTGAACCCACGCCCAGACAGATTTGTGTTACATAAATTAAATATTTTCAAATCAGACCTGTTGGAAATGATTTTATAATTTATATGTGCTCGCTCGTTTTTGCACCAACGGCCATGCTGGACAAAACTCTGTTTGTTCCCAACGCATCGATCTGAAAAAAAATCGGTCACAGTGGGATTCAGCACTAAAACTGCATGCCAGAGCTGCACTGAACTTAAATTTTCTAAAAACCGAACACGGAATACTTTAAAATTAACAGTGCAGAATGTGAGAGTTACCGTTAGTTAGAGTTACCATTAGAGTTACCGCTACCCTATCAATAAAACATTTTTTTCGAATCTTCGTTTTTTACTGAACACGGAATCCGGAACAAATTTTTTTCTATGGAACACGGAAGACGGAACAGAAAAATTTCACGGAAAACGGAAGACGGAATTCCGTGCAGCTCTGCTGCATGCTCCTTTGTGTACTGTATCCAACAAACTTCAATTTTTTAAATCATGCCTTTTTTGACGAATTTTTGACTATTCAAAAATTCTCATTGGTATGAGCATTTAGATATTTAGATTGGGAAGAAAAAAATTCATTTACGAAATTCAATAAAAAATTAAAGAAAAAAAGGGAACATAATGCGGAAAATGAGTTTCGTGACAACTGATTTTGGTAGTCGCCTCTCAACATAGTGTACAAATCGCTTAATTCCAATATCTTTCTTTTTTTTTTTACTTTATTTCTTCGTTTCATTTATTCTCATTGTATCGAATAGAGAGACCGACGTAATCCCATTATTTTTGGTGCCTTCCCTTCAATCCATGCGCCAATGATGTCAGTTTCCAAATTAGGGCAGTGGGATGAGTCGGCCGGCGGGCTCTCCCCATCTTTTCCCTCTTCTTTTCAATGAACATCTTCAAAAGAGCAAAAATTGCACTTCAACCCACAACGTCGCCTCATAGTATTATTATTATTTGCTCCTCTTTTCGTCGCAGTCCAAAAATGCCGCGTTCCCATTTTTGGTGCGGTTCATTGTCTCGCCGCTTTTGCCTCTCAGTAATCCCGCTTCCATATTTTAATTGCCTTTGCACACTTTCGATTCAAATCTCGAATTTCTTTCCGTTCGTGAATCAATTAACTTGCCAGTGTACGCGGATGCCCGCTTTTCTCGCATTTGCATTTAACGAAGAACCGACAATTTTCTATGGCATGTATTGGATTCTGTAGAACAACGAACATGAGATTTTGATTATCAATCAAAATGTCCGCAGATGTTTACAATGAAATTTCTCTTGTATGATAAAAATGTGGTTACACCAGACGTTCCTGGTCCCCCCCCCCACCCTATAGGTTTGCGGCCCACCTTTTGACATCTTTAGCCGGCAGTTGACGGCCAGTTTTCTCTCACCGGATGTGCACAGGCAAAACGCGACGGATGAAGTCCGGGCGAAGTCCGGATATTTGAACGTCACGGCTAAAAAACGGGCCAAGTACGGACCAAAAATTTCTTTGAAAAACGCCGCGGTAAAAAAACGGACAAAGTCCGGAGATTTATAGGCCACGTTTTTAAAACGTGTTAATTACGGATCTTGATTTTCAGGATAAAACGCCACGGCTAAAAAACGGGCCAAGTACGGACCAAAAATTTCTTTGAAAGGCATCACGGACAAAAAACGGACAAAGTCCGGAGATTTATTGGCCACGTTTTTAAAACGTGTTAATTACGGATCTTGATTTTCAGTATGAAACGCCACGGCTAAAAAACGGATTAAGTACGGACGAAATATTTCTTTGAAAGGCATCACAGACAAAAAACGGACCAATTACGTGACAATTTTTTCGAGTGAAAATGTCACCGACAAACAAAGGACTATTTACTGATCGACACTTCCTGGCTGAAACGTTACGACACAAAAAGTTAATTAATATTTAATATAACGGCTTCACTGGAAGCTGTGGCGACCGATGGCTGATAATTAAATTTTCTTGTTGCAGGTTGCCCGATACCGATGCGGTAACCATAGCACGGCTCGAGACTTCCTTTCCTAAGATCGATGTGTCTAAGTTCGCTGCTGTCGATTCACCGTTATGCGTTCTAACTGTTCCGCTCCATATTTATATTCGTTGTTTTGTAATGTAGAGATAATGTGGAAATGGGAGAGTGGGCGAGACGATGAGGCGGTGGGCGAGAGAGAGAGTGCGAAATGAAGAGACGCACGCCATCATGCCATCGGGCAATGTCCAGCAAAAAAGAGGGCCGCGGCCGAAGTTCACCTTTATTTAAATGCAAGTCCCCAATCGTAAACACCGATTTAGTCAATTACTTATGCTTTTAGTCGTATTATTTCAGTTTATTAAGTTGTTTCCCCAAGCCCACCATCCACCATATTTAGTATCATCAAGTTTGTTATTAGTTTGTATCGCTTTGTTAACATTTTGTTCGTTTTCGTTCAATAATGAAGGTTTAATTACCCAAGTTTGAGGTTTACTCGACTTGTTTAACGGTTCCAATACCGTATCATTATTTGGAAAAGTTACTGTTTTATTCCATTGTAGTTGAAAAATGAATAGTGTTCCTTTGAAATTGTTTTTTCAGATTGTAAATGGGTCATTAGGTCATTTAAATAAATACAAAAATTTCCCAATTTTCGTTCAAGTTTTGATAAAGACTACGATTTCAGTCATGGGACGGTCATATCGAAGATTTCTACCATCTTTACCAACAAAAAGTATGTTAAAATTGCATAACTATTTGCTATACTCTCTTTTACTACAATAGGATCAAGAGAAGTATCTTCTTCAAGTGAAGAAAACTTATCTGAACCGATTGATGTTCAACTTTCTGAGTCGCTCAATATAGACATCGATGAAGAGGAAGAAATGTTTCAATGGGATGTGAATTGTGACGAAGTTGAGGAAAACGATGTTGAGGAAAACGATGTTGAGGAAAACGATGAGAAATCTTCAGAAGATTGTCCCCACAGCGGTAGGTAATTTGTCTTAATACTAATCGCCATTTTCGAATAGACTTGGCGCAGTATTTAGCGAATGTGTCGGACGAAGTTTTGACATTCGTAACTTCAGCGTGCATAGCTCGAAGTACCGATGCGGGTAAATAGGAAAAAATTACGAAGAAGTAAAGAGGCAATTACAGATTTCAAGAGATTCCTTTCTTCTCATAAAGATTTAACATTCCGTCGGCAAAGCTTCCAGCTATGGAAGAACAATATGACTATTTATAACGCGCACTATGTGTGCAATAGTTGTGGGAAAGAAACAAATAATATGTTCGCAAAATGGTATAGACGTTGGGCACTTTTTATCTATTGTTTGGGTTTTCAGTTGTGGAACTATAATTAAATATGTTAGAATTGGAGGAATTCAGCAACTCTCGGAGATAGTGGAGGAGTACTGGACAGATATTCATCGGATAAGAAGCGAAATAAAAAATGGGACAAACAAGCATCACAATCTGAATGGAGAGACATACCAACAGGCGAGATGCAAAAGGCTCAAAAGGCTTTGTAATTTATTCGGCCGCTTCGTCAACGAAACGAACGAAATATCCCAAAATACCGGACAAGTTCTTCGAAATTCTTGGAAGTAAGTAGATTTGAAGTAACATTGACCGGCTAAAAACTTGCGCCTAGTCCATATTGGCCAATGAGAAATTGAATGGTAAAAACTATGCTTTTTTTCAGAAATATTACACCGAGGCTTCGATATAAAAAGTGAAGGGTGGGAAGAAACCGTCGTCGTTTCTCATATACGAGAAATGACAAGAAACTTCATGTAAGTGAGCAACGCGAATGTTATATATATGCTATATACTGTGTTTCAGCGATGATAAACGACGCGGAAAAACCGCCAAAATCGAAGAGTTAATGGAAATGTTCCAATCCAGGTAGAACACGCGTGTGCAAATGGAATGTGCAAATATTTTTTTTTTGTTTTTAGAATTATTTTTGTTCTAGTAATTCGATTCGAATCGAATACAACAAATTTCGGATACAAACTTGATCGAAAATTAAGTTTGAAATTTGTGGTACTCGATTACTCTTTGGAAAAACCCGAATGTACTCGTATTTGGTGCGAAACTCGGTGTATTCATTTCGAATTTTAATGTATTTGATTGTGAAACAAAAAATTGACTCTTTCGTATCGAATACGAATTAATCATTTTACAATCGAATACGATTAAATTCAAAACGAATATAGCGATTGCGATTCGTAAATAATTTTTTTTTCGATTTTTCTTAAATAAAACTTTTATAATAATGCTGTCTATATGATTTCAATTTTAATTTTGATTATTATACGAACGGAAGAAAAAAAAGCATGTGAAAAACGCCACCGGGCGAATCACGGTCCGTTCCCGGATACGCTAAGACGTCCGTGTCCGGTACGTCAGCGACACGCTGGAACGGTCAATAACGGACCGTGATTCGCCCGGATTTCATCCGTCGCGTTTTGCCTGTGTGTCCTCGGTAGTATAGTGGTGAGTATCCGCGTCTGTCACATGCGAGACCCGGGTTCAATTCCCGGCCGGGGAGAATTGTTTTTCTTTTGCCGAATGGTCGTATAATGCTGCCAAAACTCGTAAGTATCATAGTGGCTCGGCGAATGCAAAGCTCTACGTCTCCGTCTCTCAGTAGCAACGCGTTCTTTATGCGCAATGAATACTTGACGTCTTGCATGCACGCGTTCAAATTTTGGTTCGTTGTTTTTCAATTGGGAAAACATACTTTTTTTAAAAGTACTTTTCTTTAAAAAATACCCAAAAAAAACGAAGTCAAACTACCTAATTAAAGAAATTGTTTGAAAAATGATTTTGTTGCGAGTTCGTTTCTTTTTCCTTCGAACAATTCATTAGGAACGAAATTTGGGTTTGAAACAAACCACTGGTCCATGTCTGCCGTCTCTTCGTCTCACCGGCTCGCCAAAATTGAATTCCCTCGAGACGTCCGCCCATTTCCATGCGAATTCGCTCTACCCCTCATTTTCGCTTTTATTTTCTTGCCAATTTTGATTCAAATTTGATTTATTTGTTTTGCAGATGCACTTTTTCAAACGAAAATTTTCATTCTCCGAGGATGAAGCCGAACCAATGGAGGATGTTCGAGCACCGCCATCAGCTTTTTCATTTCAGAGCATTGCAAATAAAGTGTCAAATACAATTAGGCAAGTGAATTGAATACGAATAATCAGCGAATTATTTTCTAGAGTTCAATGTTTAAACTCATATGCATATGTCGAAATTTTTACAAAATTCGTTTAATGAATATTTCAAACAGTGAGTAACATCGATAAATTGAAAATAATTTTTTTAATTTGAAGTTATTGACCTATCAGATAGTTGATTCACATCTTTTAAATCTTCACATCTTTTTTCAGAAATGAAGCGAATTAAATGTAATTAAAAAAACCCGTCTAGAAAAGCAGGTTTGAGAGAGCTCTAATTTTGAAACTTTTACCCAGACATTTGTACTAACGCATTTCTTATTCCATTCATATCACCATGACAACCAAATTGTTTCAGTGCTCCAACGTCTCCGGCAAAAACACGAGAATCTCTTGCAGCTGCTCTCGAGCGATCTCTTAACAGTGATAGGTTTGACACTTCTTTTCAGCTTTTCCATTCTTCATTTCAGAACTCACGCGGAGCCCATAATGAAAGACGCCAAGGTGCTACTGTGCATCGACTCTCATCTCGTTGATTGGGCCAAATATTTCCGACATCAGACATCTGATGTCGCAATTCGAGTTGAGCAAGGAGACATCGACGAGATCGACGTGATGTGCACTGAGAAAGTTTGCACGGTGGAGATCAATCAGCCCGGAAGGGATGTCCGATCATTCACACCGTCCGCTGTATTCATTGGAGCTGGAGCAACTCGATGCGCCCAACTCAAAACCATCGTCCGTGCATTCATCGCCGCCCACATTCCATTTATCAATTCACACACATCGGCAGTTGCTTTTTTAGACAAAAATAATTTGGTATTTTTTTCCAAATTTCAATTGAAGACCATTTTGGATTTTTAGAAGAAACAAGTGAAAAAGATAACATTGCCAGATGGCGCTCAAATTCCAATGCTGCCCATCATCCACTATCCACACTTTCACAAATTTGTAAGTTTGAAATCAAACCGAAAACAATAACGGTTTGAATCGTTGCGAGAACAACAAAAATGTTTTGGCGCGAATTTGAAATCCAAGACAATCACGTGACAGACAAACTACTGTCATGGACACGCAAAAATGATGCGAGTGTGTACGTGGGTGTAAATGTGTGAATGCGTATGCGTACGAGGTTCAGAGAAGCATCAACGAATGCGATACTTCCTCATTTTAGCATCAAACCACCACGTTTCCTGTCGTTGTGTCGGTGAATGAAGGATTTCAAGGAATCGGAAAGATCAAAGTGAATTCGCATGAAGAATTATGCGATGTGGAAGGAATGCTTCAGATAATGAGTAAAGGAGACACCGAGGTTTAATTCTCGAGGAAACATTGATTCATTTGTTGAATTTTAAGGTCGAAGTCCAACCATTCATTGATGCCAAATATGACATTCATGTGCAGAAAATTGGGCACGAATTTAAGACATTCATCCGACGCGGAATTTCGAAACATTGGAAGAGCAATGTGGGAAGCTCGGTTCTTGAGCAGATCAATACTAATGAGAGGTATAGTTGGCGTCCGGCGACTGCAGTACGCGGGTAGATTTACGGGAATGCGTCATTCGAAATGTCCCGCAAGGACTAACTGGTTACTTCGAATTTTATGGGTCGGTTTGATAATTTTTCAATCGAATAAGGTTGGAAACTCAAGAAAATGCGAAACTCATCAAGAAAAATGAAGCAGTTCAATGAAAACAGCAAAATAAGCATTCACGCGTGGCGAGACCTTCTCAAGGCGCGCGTAAATCTACCCGCGTACAGCAGTCGCCGGACGCCGACTATATTTTTGATAGAGAAACAATCAAATTTTGATATTCCATTTAGACACAAAAAGTATATCAAAGCGATTGTTGATCATGTTGGGCCGATGCAAATATGCTCCATTGATATCCTTGTTTCGAAAGAAGGCCGAGAATTTGTGCACGATATTAATGATGTTATCGGTTTGTCTCATTTATTTTTCATATGAACACTAAAAGCTTTAAGCTTACTTCGGAGAATCTGCTGAGGACGATCGACGAGCAGCCGCATCTCTATTGCGAGCTGTGGTAGCTCCTCGAGTCCATGCAAATTCGCCACATGAGAATGGTAATGGAAAGGTTCATCACGCTGCTGCTCACGCCGAATCCACCTCCATGTCGGCTTCCAATTCGTTCCAAGGTAAGAATTGAATTCCGCTGGCACACCGTTGTCAAACACACAAGTTCTCGCCGTGCTTTGGACAAACGCGATCGTGGTGAATCCCCAAAAATGTCCACAGATTTTTACAGTCAAATTTCTCATGTGTGATAAAAAAAAGGTTAGGTCACCAGACGGTCCTGGTTGGCACCTATAGGTTTGCGTACCCCTTTTGACATCCCTGGCCGGCAGTTGACCGCCAGTTTTCTTGGGTCTGATGTGTCCTCGGTAGTATAGTGGTGAGTATCCGCGTCTGTCACATGCGAGACCCGGGTTCAATTCCCGGCCGGGGAGAATTGTTATTCTTTTGCTAAACTTGATATGTTTGTTTTCAGCGTCTTCACATCGCCTACTACCGTCACAGCCTCCTTTGGATCAACCCCATCATTACGCTCCCCCGCCTGCGATTCCTCGAGAGTCATCAAAAGAATCAATTTCCTATGTTGAAGACACCATGGGGCAGCTGAAAAAGACATTCGCCGGTTTTTTCAGCGATGGATCATAAACTGCAATAAATAAATGACTTCCGAACTGTCATATACGTCTCGATTTGTTGTCTATCGTGTGAACTCAAAAGAAAAAACCATTTTTATGCATTTTTTCGGCGCGCAGTTCGCGTTATCAATTCTCCGTCTTTATTTCTCCCCGAATTCGCTCAAATTCTATCTGATAATCTATCTCTTCTGTGTTCATTGTTCAAGCATCAGTGTCTTCTGCAGTTTGTTACAAAAATGATGGTGTTATCATCGGTGGTGGGCGGAGACCGCTCATATATATACTTTGGGCTGATGTGATCAAACACTGAAGTGACTTCAGCCGAAGATGGACGCGTCCAATATTCCCTACACCCTCGAGGAGAACTCACCAAAGCCAAAACGGTTCGTACCGACGGATCGAAATTTCTGTATTATTGATTATTCAGGTTCAATATTGAATTGACTCCGAGACGACATGAACTCCTCTGCACGTATCTGCTTGGTATTGGAACGCTGTTTCTTTATTCCGGATATTTGTCTCAGTTGTTCATTTCGGAATCCGTCATCCATTCTATTCATCAGCGATCACCTGAAACAATTTCAGAATATGCCGGATACTACGGGTACGAGATAAATAGAGTCATTTCTTATTAAATTTTATACATTTTAGAGCCGCTTTCCATTTCTCAGCATTTGCACTTTTCTCGTTAATCACCCCGTCACTTCAACACTTCGTTCCATCTAAATGGATTCTAACAATCGCCTCATGCTTATTCGCTGTCTACTATTTAGGTTTCATTCATCTCAATCGCTATTATTTCTATTTTTCGCAAGCTCTCATGGGTGTAGGATATGCTTGTAAGTCGAATGGTTTTTCAAATCGAAATTTAAATCTTATAATTTTTAGTTTACAATAATGGCGAAGGGCAATATCTGTCGGAGCATTCGAGTAGAAGAACCATCGAGTCGAACACGGGAATTGAGACGGCAGTTGGACATGCGAGGTAAGATATACGTACTGTGCCTCGGCAATCACAAGTGGCCGCGTGGCGCAATGGATAACGCGTCTGCCTACGGAGCAGAAGATTGTAGGTTCGAATCCTGCCGTGGTCGAAATTTTTTCATTCCCTTCACTTCAGTTTCGAAACCCAATTCAATATTTCAGCATGTTTTTTGGAGGACTCGCACTTTTGGTTCTGTTCATGTTCGTACCAAACAACCAGAATGGAAGTTCGATGACCTACAGCGACGGGATGATCTGGGCTATATATGGAACCATGTTCATCTTGAACATCTTCTCAATTATTGTGTTCGCTTTTCTCCCAACTAAACAATATGACTCGATTGCTTCGAAATCATCAGCAATTGTGTCTTCAGCAGGAGATCAAATAAGTAGAATGACAATAATCAACGTTCATTGACCGCATCTTTTTCTCAGAAATGATGTTCAAAGCTGTCAAATCACCGAATCTCATCCTACTCGTTCCATTCTTCTTCTACCAGGGTCTCGCAGTTTCATTCCTGATGAGCGTTTATCCAACAACGCTCTCGTTCACTTCCGCGTTTAAAAATGATGTCTTCATTATCGCAATCTTCTCGATTTCGATGGGAGTCGCTGAAGCTATCGGTAATTCGATTTTCGTTGACAAATAAAAGAAACACGATGGATTTTGGTCGATGTCGAAATCTGATGCAATTCAGCTTTCGGAATCGTCGTTTGATACTGTAGAAAAATTATTGGCGTGATGGACGTGCTCGCGGGGGATTTGCCTTTCTAGCAATCTCGCAAAAAAAAAAATTTGCCGAAGTATTTGATCTCTTATCAGAGTACAGTTTTCGACGACGAATACGAATCGCATCATATCTTATCAACGAAAATCGACTACTGTATAAATGTATTTTCTTCAGGTGGCGTATTCCTTCGTCCGATGGTAAAACGGGCTGGAGAGAACGGGCTCAACGTGACGATCGGTGCGAATTTCTTGACCTACATCATTGTGCTTGTTCTTTGCACTTTAACAATGCCCAATATGGCAACATTGGGACCAACAAATGAGTCCCCGTTGCTTCTCACGCCATGCCGAATTCTCGTGTTTGTCATCGGATTCCTCATCGGATTCTCGGACTTCTGCATCACAATGGCTCGTGCTGTCATTTGCCAAGTCGCCGTGTCGGAATGCCGAATGCAGACGTTCTCGATTTCAAAGCTATACCAGAGCGGAGCCTCGGTCGCTGTGCTCCTTTTGACGCCATACATGACCGTGTACATATGGATTGCTAGTCTGACGGTCACTCTCATCCTAGGCACCATCGGGTTTGTTATTGTCGCTTATCGCACGAAGTCTGACAGACAGAAACAATCAATTCAACAGCAAAATCAGGGACCATTTGAGGATAACAAAATCTAAAAAACGGGTTTTTTTTCCATCCTCTTCTGTATTTATGTATAGATACACAACCTTACCGGTTCTAGAGACGATGATTTGTTCAATCGATTTCGTTATACACATTCAATTGTTGCTATTAATAATGTTCATCGACCTCTTCCTAATTTGGAAGTTGTTTATTGTTCACATTGAATTTGATATACATGAATGTTATTATATTATTTGCAATCATTTGCTTATATATTATAATGTCACACACCGGTTTCATTCAAGTCTTTTGTTTAAACTGAACACATGAGAATAAGCAAAAGTTGTGACTGTATTCCAGAAATCCTATCTATCCACTAGCGAATGTGTAATAATCAAACAATTCTAGTCAACTCTAGATCGTCAACAATAATTTTTGATGTTTTTGTGGAATCTTGACAAATCCATGTCATCAGTGATCTCAATTAGAAGAACCGTATCGTTCCGCAATGTATTTGATGATGATGATGATGATCGACCGTTCGTCTCTCTCTCTCCCTCTGATCAAAGTATTCGATGTTTTATCAAACACGTGAATGATTTCGATCAGCTAGCTGAATGCATTCATCGTCGTCAACTTCATTTCTTGATTTCGCGAAAAAAATGACTAGTCGAATCTCAGACACTTCCTCGTGTGATGTCATGCATTCCCGCTTTGCTTCCAAGGTTACTCGAGGTCAAATTTTGAACTTTTTGAAGAACTTGTTTGCGATTAAATAATAGAGTGTATTGTTTTCTCTCAACTGAAAGAAATTTGCAAATATTTCAAAAATGGTTCACAAAAATGAGTACTTGAAAAGAATGCATATCACCTAAAAAATCGATATTTTAAATATTTAAAAATTCGGAATATTCGTACCATCCAAAGGGTTCTTCTTTATTCGCTCATCTAGACGCTTCTTAAAGTTCCACTATTTCACTAAATAGAAGTGAGGTCGATATTTCGACTACGTTGGTGTTCTTTCTCGAAATTGTTTCATATGATCTACGAAAAATTTTCTATCGACTGTAGAATTCCTATGTGCGCAAACGAATAAAAAAAAATCTTAAAATCAATGCACTCAATTTTTCTTTATTCTGATGTACTCATTTTTTCCAATTCATGAGTCATTTATGCAAAGCCTAAGTTATCATTGGCCAGCACGTCGGCCTGTGGGTATTGGCGTGGTCCGGCCCAGCCAGCCATGCCTGTTGAGCCGGATCGCCCGTCAGACCTGGCTTACACCTGGGAATTGGAAGTTCTTGAGCTCGCTAGCACTGTTTGTTGAAGGTTGTCTAGCTTTCAGCCAACCTGGCCCGAGCCGGCCTGTTAGCATGACGAGCCAACCTGGAATCCGATCCTACGCTTTATGCCGGTGGACCATCAACAGAATCATGTTTGTCCATTTCGCGGCGTTTGCGACCAATTTTCTCCTTTTTTTTTGAAATTTGATAAAAACCTTTTCCAGATTTGACAAGCCAGATCAATGGGATAAATTCGTCGCGGATTCAATATTCTCCAAGTTTCAATTGTCAACTACAATCAATATGATTTTAGAATTTCAATAGTACATATGCAGTATTGCTCGGAATTTGTTCCAACCAATTTCCGTTTCCGTCTTCCGTTTAAAAATTGTTCTCTTTCGTCCGAAATTGGGCCAAAAAATCAATAATTTTCCGGGATCCTTCAAAACGTAGAAAATGCGGTCTCTTGATCTAAATTAACAGAATTTTCAGTCGTTTTCTTAGGTCAAACAGATCAGAAACTCCAGAACCTGTCATGAAAATCTGTTCAGTTGAGATAGTAAGATTTACATAGCATAAAATTAATTTCATTGTTTTATTTTCTCACAAAATAGATGTGTGCGAATTTTGGAGAAATTCGTACCAATTTCCAAGGCTCAGAAAGATGACTTTGAAATATTAAACAGAAACGTCAACATCATCCGAATCTCGAAGGATCTTCAGTAAAGCGGGTGAAGACTAATCGAAGAAAAATATTGGCAGTCGACACTTTTGAAACTCTTGTTTTAAATTTTTTTAATCTCAAGTTTTTGGATTTGCTATTTATTAAAGGTTTTCATTTCCATCTGAAAAGCGCTATTCCGCTTTGGTCCGTCTTCAGTCTGAAAAATAATCTTTCCGTTTCCGCGTTCCGCTCGAAAAATGTTTTCTTCTGTTTCCGTCTTCCGAAATTCTAAAATGCCCATTCCGAGCAACACTGGTACATACATTTTTGTAGAACCCCTTTCTTTAGGAACCATTTTTTCTTGTAGGACCCATTTATTTATTTTTGCGTGAATTTTTAAATAAAATTCAAATTAAAATTTATGAATGAAATAAATGTTGACGATTCCCCTCCAATCTCTCGTACGTTGTCCAATTCATTCTCAAATATTTTTGTTTCGATTGATTCGTGACCAATTGAATGAATTGACCGTGTCAATGTTTTTTTTTTGTGCCGGCGCCCATATCATGTCATATCCAATTAGCTTCAAATATTATCAAGAATTTCGGTTCACCACATAATTTTTTTTTGTTTTCAGCAGAATTTGCAATTTCAGATTTATCGGTAAAATGAAAACGACGAGTCAAAAAATGGACAAATTTCGATTCAAGAATTAAACGAAATTGCAAGAAATCTCTGAAATTTTTTTTTGCAGATTTTCTGAATGTTTGGCGGTGTTTTTGATCCGCGTTTTTTTCATGTATTTCATGTGATTTTTAATTTGATACAATATCAAAGTACTTTGTTTTATGTGCAGAATTCCAACAATTATGTCTCGTACTGCGCTCTTTGGCATCTGTCGAATTACGGTAATCCTACAATGATGATATCAAATTAAACGGTAACGTTCCGCCCTTTTTTGTACTCAGTTTTCAACGGATTTTCGAGTACCCTTATCAGTTTTCGAATCAATTCCAGACCGATGTTGGGCGACGGAATCAACGTCAAATCCAGGTTAGTCTTCGTCATTCGCTTTCGTTTATTCAGACCCTTTAAAGCAAAATTGGGAAGAAAACAGACAATGATGGATCATAAAGAAGACATTTGAGCTCATCAAAATAGTCGATTATTGAAAAATGATCAAGTCGGTGTTGATCGAAATAAATCTACAAAAAAAAAGATGAAAAATTGAGAAGGCTAAATATTTTGTTTCTGGCATCGTCCGGTTTCGACTTTCGTTTTTTTTTTCATCTGAAGAACTATTTTTTCGGAAGACTCGAAATTGACTCTCATTTCTCTTGAAATCCTTATTCAGTCTTTTCAAAAATTTGAACTATTTTAATTTTTTGCGTCGATAAAAATGATGATGTGTGAAAATAGAACTTTGATGATTTCGAAATGTTCGAATGTTTTTTTAAATAAAAATGCGATTTAATTTACGAGATTGTTTTGTAAGAAAAAAAATAAAACAGGTTTTTATTAGAATTTTCATAGTTAAAAAAGAGCATTAATAATGTCTCATATTCTATTTTTTTTAATCGAATTTCGTTGATTTGATTTTGCAATTGCATACAAATTAATTATAATCATATTTTGGTTAAGAGAGCTGTGATCGAATACTATATAAAATTGCTTTTTTTTACAAAGAAGGGTTAAATTCCAACTTGAAGAACGGATGAATCAATCAGTCGTGTAGTTTCGAACATTATTTGATTTTTTGAAATTTTGAATTTCACGTAGAAAATTTGATTTGTTGAATGACGACAAACTTGGACAATCTTAACATATTGGGGTGAATCAATTTTTTTTGAATTATCAGCTTTAGAAAAGTTGTGTTTTGAGACAACCATTGATCACAATCAAGTTCATTTTGTTGATCGTTTCTTATCTTTTGATTGTGGGCGGAGCCGTCGGGACCTATGAAAGACGGTAGATGGGACAGAGAGAATTGAAACACAAACAAGAGTTGATTTCAATTCGAATGGACACTTCGAGTATTCCGTATAATCTCGAGGAGAGTTCCTCGAAATCCGAATCCAGCCGCCGGTATTCGAACGTGCTTCTCTCATCTCATCGTCACTTGCAGATTCCACGTGGAATTGACCCCTCGCCGACATGAGCTTCATTCGACGTATCTTCTTGGAATTGGAACACTGTTCCTTTATGTCGGATATTCTTGCCAGCAGTTCATCTCGGAATCCGTCATTCATTCTGTCCATCAACGGAATCCGGATGTCATCTCACAATATGCTGGATATTTTGGGTGGGTTATAATGGTCCCTTGATCAATTAAACCAACCCTTTTTTAGAGCTGCATTTCACTTCTCGATTTTTGCACTTTTCTCCTTAATTACTCCTTCCCTTCAACATTTTATTCCTTCCAAATGGATTCTGACAATCGCTTCTGGTCTTTTTGCCATTTACTATTTGGGATTCATTCATTTAAATACTTATTACTTCTACATTTCGCAAGCATTGATGGGTGTCGGATATTCACGTAAGCAGAGTTGTCTTTAAAGTTATAAGCAGAAATTGTTTATTTTACAGTTTACAATAATGGCGAAGGGCAATATCTGTCGGAGCATTCGAGTAGAAGAACCATCGAGTCGAACACGGGAATTGAGACGGCAGTTGGACATGCGAGGTAAGATATACGTACTGTGCCTTGGCAGTCACAAGTGGCCGCGTGGCGCAATGGATAACGCGTCTGCCTACGGAGCAGAAGATTGTAGGTTCGAATCCTGCCGTGGTCAAAATTTTTTCATTCCCTTCACTTCAGTTTCGAAACCCAATTCAATATTTCAGCATGTTTTTTGGAGGACTTGCACTTATGGTTCTCTTTATGTTCGTCCCTACTCATCAATCTGGAAACTCGATTACTTACACTGATACGATGATCTACGCAATATACGGAACGATGTTCATCCTCAACATTTTCTCAATAATAGTTTTTGCATTTCTTCCCACCAAACAGTACGATTCAATTGCTTCTAAAAGCTCGACAGTTGTTCCGTCGATTGGAAACCAAATTAGTAAAAATTGGATTTTTCTGAACTCCATCGATTTCAAATTTTTAGAATTGTTCTGGAAAGCGATCAAAGCCAAGAATCTCATCCTTCTCGTTCCATTCTTCTTCTACCAGGGTCTCGCAGTTTCATTCCTGATGAGCGTTTATCCAACAACGCTCTCGTTCACTTCCGCGTTTAAAAATGATGTTTTTATTATCGCAATTTTCTCACTTTCGATGGGATTGGCAGAAGCTATCGGTAGGGTTAATTCGCAAAATCAGCGAAGATCTACATATTTGAAAATTTACCGCTGGCTAAATAATAAATGCCCGTAAATAGATCTTCAACGTTCCTTTTCCTCGAAACACCACGGCAGATAGTCAATTATTTTTTGGATTTCGATCAGCCAATTAAAATTGACAATACATGTGTAAACTTGTTTTGGGTTCTAAAATTCAAAAAGCGTAGAAACATTGAAAAAAAAAGCCTGAATGATTTATAGGTGGAATATTCTTGCGACCTATTGTTAAACGAGCTGGTGAATATGGACTCTATCTGACCGTTGGTGCCAATTTTTTGAGCTACGTTACTGTAATCATACTATCATTCTTTTCAATTCCAAACATGGCGACATTTGGACCAACAAATGATGAACCCCTTCTCATCACACCAAGGTAGAAAAGTCTGAAGAAAAATATATCGTTGTGTTATTTTTTCCAGCCGCTTCTTGGTCTTCTTTATCGGATTCCTCATCGGATTCTCGGACTTCTGCATCACAATGGCTCGTGCTGTGATTTGCCAAGTCGCCGTGCCGGAATGCCGAATGCAGCTCTTCTCGTTGTCCAAATTATACCAGGTAAATCAGAAAACGCAATTTTCCCTTTTCAACTCTTATTTTCTTTCTCTTTTTTTTAATTTCCAATTCTTCAGAGCGGCGCTTCGGTGGTTGTTCTTCTTCTCACTCCTTATATGACAGTGTATGTTTGGTTGGCTAGTCTCTTCGTCACCTTGATCATTGGAACAATTGGATTCATTATCGTGACCTGGCGAACAAGACTGGCTCGTCAGAAGAATTCCGTGCAACCATCGCAAGCACAATTGGCTGATAATAAAATTTAGAACAATTATGCTCAGATTGTAGATAGAAATTGATCTCATTTCATCGGCCAGAATTTGCGTTTCTTTTGCATTGATTTTATCGGGTTTTACAATAAATACCAAACTCTTCCATGATAATTATGATATCGAGCAGACAGCTGTTCCTCTTGCCTCGCTCCGCCGCACACTTGCCGTACTCTCGACTCCCTGAATTAATGAAAATTGGATAACATCAGCAAATTTTCGAGCAGTTCAGGTTGGCCGCTAGAAATTGCCCATTTTGGCCGACGGCCGTGGTTTAATCAATATATGTGATTGAGAACAGGAGCAGAAAGTTGTATCATCGATTCAAAAAAAATTTTTCATGGTGTCTCGGAGGAAAAAAAGAGACGATGTCTGATCGCGTCTTCAAAATTTACAAAATTCGTAAATCTACGCTGATTAGATTGAAAGTCCCACCCGGATCAGTCGATTGAAATCAACAAAAAGTAGGAATCCTTCTGTGGTCAAGAATGCTTCCACTTACTCTAGATGGCTCTACAACCGTTCCTTTTACAATTGCGATGTCCGCTTCAACATCCGCTTTTGAAAGCGCAATTTTCAGTACTTCAGCAACTGCTTGCCTTAAAGAAAAATTGTCGTCATTGATCTTAAACGAGATCGTACCTAAATGTGAGGAGTACGGTATCGCCCGTTTTGGCTGAAACGTAAACCGGTGTGAGTCCATGATTCGTCGCCATATTATTGTGCGCCTCAACCGAAACCAAACGTTTCTCTTCGAGATCTGTCTTGTTGCCCATGAGAACGATATGCGGCTGCTTCTCCTGAGTTTTGGTGACCCGTCGAACGAGACTCAGCCAATCCTGCGCATTGTCGAACGATTTGAGATTTGTGACGTCATACACGAGCATCACAATGTTCGCTCCGACGAGATATTTGTCAATCATCTCGCCGGCGATACTTTGTCCCCCAATGTCCCAAACCTGTCAAAAAATTGGGAAAAGTCATTTATTGGTTAGCGAATTACCTGAACAAGAGCCTGAACATCACCTGGTAGAATGATTCGCCGAGAGAAAAAGTCGAGACCGAGCGTCTAAAAGAAAACAAATCTCAATTCTACCAGGAATTCGAAATCAATATTTGAGTTTCCCATATTTTCTCATTTCTTTCTTCTTTTTTTATTAATTTCAAAAATTAAAAAAAAATGAATTCGGAGACTTTTTCTTGCAAAATCATTTCCCAAAATTGTTTCAGTAAAATTTTATTAGATATATATTTCCATTTGAGAACTAAGCGATTCGTGCCTGATGATATGATTTGTCGAATGTCTCTTTGGCGAATCTCTGACAAATCGAAGTTTTTCCACTTGCTCCATCGCCAACAACCACTACCTAAAAAGACTCGGAAAATATTGGGAAAGTATTCAATTTAAATCTGAACTTGAGTTTACCTTGAGCACCTTCTCTTCTTCGCTCTCATCGTCGCTGACATGATCGCCCATTATCAAAAGTTAAAGTAATAGAAATGAAATAATGAGAAATGGGGCGGTTGAGCCGAGTGCGCGAGCTGTTCGCCACCAAAATCACCATAGCAACTACGTATTTACGCTTTATGCGAGACAGAGAGACATCGATGAAACCTTATATGGCACACACACATACAAACATAAAATGAGTGAACACAATTGAACACAATACGGACGACTACTCGTAACCAAATACAATAAAAGATAAATATGATTGGTGGATAAAAATAACTGAATATTTGAGATTCTGAAATCAAAGAATACATTTTGATTTAAAAAAAAAATCAATGAAAAAAATTGGTCACCTGGGCATGAAAGAATATCAGCGGGGGATTTTGATTTTTGAAAAAATACACGAGGGACAATAATAAATAGCTTGTAAAAAATGGGAAAAGCAAGGAAGCTTGAAAAGATCAAAAATACATGCATTAGTCATTTTTTTTTTGATTACTCATTTGCACTTTATAATAAAATTTGAATTAAGAGTAATATTGAAAACAAATTATAAACACACAAGTCCATCGGCTGCAAATACGGCTCTCTTCTACCTATAGTCTGAAAATCGACTACCGTCGCTAGACGCGTTGCGGTTCGCGTGCGCTTCATTTATTTTTCGAAATCCTCTTAAATGTGAACTGCAACGCGTCTGAACTACAAGGTTTTGCAGCGAAAAATTCTGGTAGCCGTTTTTTTTTGCGAAACGCACGATAAATTAGCATCGAAAAAATGAACATCGTAAGTAATTATGGACCATCGTATGCTTTCGAGCGGCAATTCAAATTTCGATTTTACCAGGGGAAATTCGAATGTGTAGCGGGGAATCTAATAATTCCGATTTTTTTTGCTAACTTGCAATTCCCCGAATAAATTTAGACGAGCATTTTAGTTAAATACATTTGGCGCCAAAAATTCGCTCGCAAAATTGATTCAAATTCCTTGCTGCCATTCCATTTTTGCATCCAAACGCTTCCGTATTTTCGAACGTCGCCTGTGAGAATCGAAATGCCAATCCTCGGACGAACTGGCTGAACAGTGATTGATCGGACTTTGCGAGACACCAATAAAGATTCCAATCGCAGAGTTCAAAATGCTCCGGATGAGAGTAAACCTGAACACATTTAATTCTACTACTATGAGACTATGATTTTGATAAAAATATACCATATCTACGACAGCTTCCTTAATAAGAGGGCCGTTTTCAACTTGTCCGTTGGCGTAGAAATAACAGAAATCGGAGATAAGCTGAGCACGACCAACTGCTGAAAAGAGCATCGGCTCTTCAATCATGTACCTTTGAAAATTGAAAATAATTTCCAGTTGACAAGGATTCCAAATTACTTGAATATTGCGGTCCAGGTGAAGTGATCATAGTTGACTCTCATAAACGAGGTGAAGTTAAGATTGACTAAAAGGGGAGCTGATTCCGAAGCAAACAGAATGGATTCTGAGAAGACAAATTGAGGAACAGCAAGAGTTGATGTCATCTGAAACATGATTATTGAGAATACTATGACATTCGAAATACGGCGGCCTCGCTATGGGGATTATTCCCAAAATATTCAAATTACCTCAAAATATTAGAAATTCAAAGTTTTCTTGAAAAAAATAGTGAAAAAATTTAAAACAAGTAAAAAAATAATCCTGAAATTCTGAAAACAATTTTGATTTTCGAATCGTTTTTGAAACAAATTCTATTTTCCAAATTTCATGATGATTCAATTAATTTGAGGAAATTTATGAAAATCAAAAGTTCATAGAGTTTTGAGCGGCAGTTATATGTACCTTCAAAGGCCACAACGGTCTAGAAAGTTGTTGAAGCCTCGATGATGGTCCATTGTTCTCAACGAGAATTGCTGGATATCCGCCTTGTGTGAACCAGTATTCGTATATCTGAACAAAACTTGAACATTTGTTCGTAAACTATCGCATACTTGTCCGACGGTTGCATTCCGATCGACACGAATCTGATCGAAGAAGGAGGTGAAGACAGTCAAATTGAATGTTGAGTGAGATGCTGCGAGACTCTTTACAACAGAGAGCATGAACTGCTCCCCAACAACCGATTCCAAAGAATCCAAAAGAACAACTCCTTTGAGATAGCAATGCCGATTGATCTGAAAATGATTATGAATTCAATTAAATCGAATCAATTACCATATCCTGATTGACATCTTCTGGCATCACAAGAGAATGATTGGGACTCAAAAAATCCTCGACTAATTGAATTTCGACATATTGCGATAGTTGGAATCTTTGCAATTTAGTCTCATCAGTGAGAAGCGCTTTGACCACTTTGACGGCAAGCCAGTCTGCGAGGTCCTCCTGCAGACAAATGAACTGCCAATTATCGATGGTAACACGGTTTCCGATCCAATGATGTGCTATTTCATGAGCAATCTGAGTATTTTGATATATTTAAAAAAAAATTTAAAAAAAATGAAAAACCAGGTAGATCAAATGAGCATCATCTCCGTTGTCAGCGAGATGCCTCGAAATGATGACATGTCCCCAATTCTCCATTCCGCCGTCATATTCAGGGACCAAAATAAAATCGATCTGATTTATTGAATTTACATTTTTTTTCTTTCCGAAAGAATTCATCATACCTTATTCAGAGGCAGCGGGACATCTATCAAATTTGCGAGAAGCTCGAAACTCGCGAGAGCACAATCCAATACTCGTATTACCGTTGATCGCTTCTCGCCATGAACACGAACAGTAACACCGAACGAAGTTTGGCGAGAAAGCTAAAAAAAAAATAAGACTAATAAAGAATTGATAATATTCGGAAACAAACCTGCATGTTTTCATCGGGCATAACCGAAAATGCGACGAGGTAGGTTGGAAGTAGTGGAGTGGATGAGAAGATTGTTCGCTGCCATTCTCCGTCTTCGATCTAGAAACGACAAATTCAAAATGTGGCACATTCGGAATATTACATGTACATCCATTGCAATGGTGTTCGATTCAGCAATTGTATTCGTCGGGTGCACAATCGACAAGCGGAAGAGGCTTTTCACTGATGGCTTGTCGATGCAAGGGAACACTTTTCGGGCATGATTCGTTTGCAAATGAGTTGTATAAAGTGTCGGATTGTTCCGCTCAAATAATCCTTCTGATCCATTGTTGATCCTTCCATTATATTCACCTGAATTTTTGTCGCTTTTTATTAGTGTTTAACGTGTTCAGTGAATGTCGTCAAAACTACACATGTGGGTGTGCATCGCGAATCAGAAAGGTTGAATAAACAAATAAATAATTGTCTTTTCGCAGAATAATTTTCATTCTGAATTGTCCCACCTATAGTCAGCAGATATTGTCCTGGATACAAGGTCTTCGCGAATCGGAACTCGACAGATTCTCTCAGAATCCGAATCGACTTCAAAATCGGCTCACTCAAATCACTCGATGAAATCAAACTAATGTTACGGAAACTGTGCAAATCGACCGAATCCAATGTAATATTATCGGATAAGGTGGTCAAATTGAAATGAAGAACCATCGATCCGGTGAATCCATTGAATTCTCGAATTGGAAGTTTGAATAATAGATCATAAGAAAGCGGAATTAATTCCGATTTGGCCGAATGAATAAATGCTAATAATAATTGAAGTAATAATATCAAATAATTGAAGATGTGCATCTGTCGACGTGTGAGATTTCTCGTAATGGTTGAGCTGAGTGTGGTTGAGTATGAGTATGTGTGTGTGTGTGTGTCTGTCTGTTTATTGTCGGCGATTCATTCGTCGGAGGCTTCTTCTCCCACACACGAACCAAGATGTGTCTGCTGCTGTGAAAAATGACCGTAGCAAACCCTCAAAAATATTGCTAGCCGCGAAACTCAAAACTTTTGTTTGCAAACGCCCTTACTGGTCACTCGCACCAATTCGTTTCGTTTCGTTTTCGAGTATTATTTGTTTTGAGACGAGGAAATGCGTTTTTGATGACGAAACAAATGATGGGCCGTCTTGGGAAGTATTTAAAAAAAGTAGGAAAGAGTAAATAGATGGATATGTTGAATTCCCACGACAAACCCTGATAGTTTTTAGGCAATTTCGTGACACTCAAAAACCATTTTGTTTGCAATATTCCATTTCTTCTAAATTGAGTCGCGTCGAGACCCGTTAAAATGCAAGTATCCCACTATCAAATTGTGTCTGTCTTTTTTTTTCAAATCCTTGTTTCCTTGTTTTTATCGATGCCGAAGAATTGAGTTTTATCACGATTGAATCCAAGGCGTCATCCAGACGGTCGTCGTCACAGTGATTTCCATCGAATCATTTCAAGCAAGGTGACACGATGCGCAGAATTAGTTGAAACGAGAAGAAGAAGGGGGGAACACGAACAAAAAAAGAACGTCTGAAACACCAATCTGTCAATTCAAAAGTGAAAACCCCCGGAGATCAAACAACTCGAGGACATGAAGGGGGGAAAGAAGAGTAATGGCAAGAATCGGGCGATGGGGGGCATTTAATTGCGGAATGCCGATGAATAAGTGGAATCAAAATCCTGACAAGTGTTCGCGTTCAAACCAGGAACTTTCGAAGAATTAAAGGTTATTCAATCATGTTTGTTTTAATTTTTAGACGAAATTATGGCTTTCGTGTAATCCATAATTGTTTTTTCGATTCAATTCGATTTTGCATTCAAATCAAACCATCCGATTTGATTGCACTAGGCGATCAGCGATCGCTCACTGAATACAGCATTTTTTCGTTACTGAGATGATTGAAAACATTGCGATCGGAATGTGTGACACTGTTGTTCTTTGGCAACAATAAATTGTGTTTAACATGATTATCTCAACTGATTATGAAAAATGATTCGAACGGAACTGGTTTAAATGACACCATGATATGATATGACACCGTTGCCTTGTTTTTATGATGCCTAATCATAATTCGATTTCGAAACAAAAAAGAAACAAAAATTTTGCATTATTGATCCTTTCGATAGATGATATCTCAACTTGATTTGATTTGAATTTTTTATTGAACTTCAAATCTGATTTTACAAGGATTCTTATTAGAAATTCATGCTTTCAGGGTCTCAGCAGCCCTTTTCCGGCAATTATTTCAATTATTCGAGTAGTCTCTGCAGCGACGTTTAGAAAAAAAAAATACTTTCACAATCATTGAGATGAATAAGACATGGCTTCTATTGTGGCGATTTGGTTCTCTTGTATTTAGTTGGATTTACGAGCACGTGCCATTTCTGAAAATGGGTCTTAGAGTGCTAAATAACATGTGAGACCGCCCAAGGCCATAGCGAAACACGTACGCTCGTAAATCTACCCGTATACAGCAATCGCTGGACGTCGGCTATACAAATACAATTTTGAAGAAGTGCATTGCCATATTGGCTGTTATGAGCGCAAGTTTTTGTCAATGCAGATAACTAAATGGGATAAGAAAAAATCAGAACCGGCTTTTTCGAATTTTCAATTTTTCGATTTTTCTGAGAGATTTGCATATGAAGTAGCCATATCGTTTGAGAGTTTTTCATATTTCTATAAACATTAAAAAATATTGAATGTAACAGACAATAATTCGGCGAAAAAAATGTTGGAGGCATCGAAAAACCTCAACTGAACTGAATTTAGAATATCAAAATTCCATTTACAAAGGCTGATATAATTGGGCGAAAATCAATAGCACGATCTCTCGCGTTACGATATTGCTACAGAAAAAAAACAAGGAGAATCACAAAAAATATAAAAAAAATGTAATTTTCAAACGAAAGCAGTTAACTTTGTAAATTAATTTTCAAACGAAAGGAGCAAACTGTGAAGAAAAAATACCAAAAAATCAATTTTTTAATTGCTTCTGAAAATTAAATGAATAAGCAGCTTGGCGAAGTTTGGGCGAAGTCTTGAAGATCCTTCGCATTCGATTATATATGTATACTTCCAATGTTTGCACACCGCATATAGCGTCTTCAGATTCCAGATTCAATTGCACCAATACAGAAATAAAAAGTTTAAGATGAATGGCATTGTCTCGCTTCAGCCCAGCCTAATCCACCCGAAGCCAATAACCGAACTAGGCAGTAATCTGAGGTGCTTTGTGAATTAATCGGCGCCCGATTCGACGCCATTCAGTCTGCTGGTACTCTTCATCTGCTGGTATACTCACTATATATCCCTCAATTCGTTCTTCTTCATCATTTTTTTTTTGCAGTCACAATAAAGCGAACTAGTCGCTTCACGCGTTTTTATGTTCATTTTTGGCTTGATATTTTTTGAATGATTATCAATTCCAATTACAGCATTATTCTACAGGGTGTCATTTAAGTTCCCGCACAAAAGTTTGACGCCATGAAGAGATTGACTGTCGCACTTTTTGTGCACCAATACAATTTATTTTTGTTAAATAAGGTGTATTTTACTTATTTCCCAAGTTTCACCTCATTCGGATGTGTTTCCGAGAAATGGCGAAGGCTAACATCCATCGCGCTTCCATTATCGAACTTCATAAGCAAAATGTGAGCCCGAGAGACATCATTCAACGGGTCGGTGTGCTTCGTAGAACGGTTTGCGACACCATCAAACGATTCAAGTAGCTAAATACGACCAGTGTCCGTCCCAGACAAGGAAGACTCGTCTCAGTAACCACTCCTCAGAAGATCAACGCCGTTAAATCGAGGATCAGGCGAAACCCACACAGGAGCATGAGAAAGATGGCGTCAGACATGGGAATGAGCATCTTTGCTATGGAACAAATCGTCAAAACAAAGCTTGTACTGACCCCATATCGTGTCCAAAAAGCGGCAATTCTATCGGCCGTCAACAAGCAGAGACGCTTCGAAAAAGCAAAACGACTTCTTGCTCGCACGCGGTCTGGAGAACACCTCGTCACTGTCTTCTCCGACGAGAAGCTGTTCAGTGTGGAGGCGGCATTCAACTCACAAAACCATTGAGTACTTGGTCAAACATCCCAGCAAGCTTCTGAGAAAGGAAGAACATATCATCCAGCCTCACATCCTGCCAGTGTGATGGCTTTTGGTGCCATCTGCTCAACCGGGAAGTGCTACCTGGTTTTCGTGGATCAGATGGTGAAAATGAACAAAGAAGTCTACGTTCGGGACATTTTGGAGAAGCATGTGATGCCCTGGACCCAAACGCATTTCGGTGGGCAGAAATGGGTCTTTCAACAGGACGGAGCACCCGCATACACTGCCAAAACTACTCAGGAGTGGTGCCAGACCCATTTTCCCGACTTTATCAAGTCATCCGAATGGCCTGATTGCTCCCCAGACCTGAACCCGCTTGACTTTTCCGTGATGGGGTCTTGCAGGAGAAGGTCAACGCAAAACCCAACTCAAGTGTAGAGGCTCTGAAGAAGACATTACTGGCGGAATGGGACAATCTTTCCATCGAATACCTGCGTACCACAGTCGAATTCTACCCGAAGCGTCTCCGTGAAGTCATAGCTGCGAAAAGAGGCCGAATCAAAAAGAGTTAATAGATAAATATTTGTTATACTATAGATAAAAAATATTTCGAGTCTCGTTTGATTTGGACTTTTAGTTTCAGAAATGTACGTCTACAAAGTTGTGCGGGAACTTAAATGACACCCTGTAGATATTTCCAGAGACTTTTAATGCTAATTTTGATATTCAAATAATCATTTCAAAAGATTCATGATATTTTTTAAAAAGAAAAATTCAAATCTTTCCATGAACGTATTTTCGGAAATGCCTAAATTAACTCAAAATATCTCTTCTTTAAGCATTTTATTTTTTCTATAATTAATCGATTTTCAAGACGGATTTCTAATTTTAACAAGCTCAATTTTTTTTGCGAAAAATGTTGATATTGCAACAGTCTTTTTCAAAATTTCAAGCCATTCTTTGAAGTACGTGCAACATATATTTAGAGAATATTTGAAAAAAATTGATCTAAACGAATATTACAGCTTTAATTATGATTCTTCCTAAAACATTTGCGTGGATATCAATATATTACACAGTTTGGCCAATTTCTCACTTTCATCCATTCATCATCACACCTTTTGCGGAATGCGGCAAAAGCTGAAAGGATGTTTGGCAAGAGGTTAAGAGGTAGACCGCTTGCCCTTGTTCGATTCCTCATCCTCCTCCTCTACCTCCTTCACTTTTTTCATCGCCTTTTCCCCTTGCCGCTTTTTTGCGTCGGCGCGCGGTTCCGCGTCCGCGGCCGCGCACCTAACCATATATAACAGGCATCCGGTCCGTTGAAGCTCCGCCCACAAATTATATAATAATATTATTAGAGTGAGAGAGTGTTAGATGGCGAGGATCAAGGAGGAAATGATGAGTTTGATGTTTCATTTTGATTCTTTCCTGCCACACCTACTATTTTAATGGGTGGGCTTTCCAACTCTAAAACTATCCATATATATATATATATATATACATACTTGTATATCGTATACAGATATCTTCTTGATCTATTTGATTCAATTTTCACTTTTGTGCAATTTCTTGCTTGATTTCAGGGTATGGAGGATCCTCGAGAAAAAGCCTATAAGGCTGTCACATATTCAGCGGTCACATTCTCCTTCCTAGCTATCTTATCAGGTTTATTTTTTTATATTTTAAAGTTTTCTCTCTAATTAATGCATAATTACTGCTGACTTTTCTGATATGATTCTATAAAATACTAAAAACCATTGAGAAACATTCATTTAATTTTTTCTGAAAAATTCAAGAAGCACCATACATTAATTTATGCAAATTCTCAATAATAAATTTCTTTTGGTTTTTTATTTCGTGTTTTTTTTATGGAAATATGCGTTTTTTTCTGCAATCATCAACAATTTATTGATATTACTAACCGAAATTTCTCATTTTTTAAATCTCACTTTCATTTCAAACAAATTTTTCCCATTCAATTCATTTAAGATAATATATATTTTTTTAAATTTCAGTATGTATTTCGATGCCAGTCGTCTACAATTTCGTCGACTCGATCCATCAGCAGACCAAAAGGGACATGTCATTCTGTAAGGTTAGTAGTGCATCCATATGTTCCAGCAGTGCGACCATTCCGGTTTTTTCGCGCGCTATTCTGTAATACATACGTTTAATAAATTGAATTAACAAGCTTTTTGCGGAAGGAATGCTTTCGGTCGACCTTGCCACAAATTTCGCGCCAATTTCATACATTTTTTATTCAAATTTTTGCAGAATACTGCCAGAGATATCATGTCCGAAATCACACACAAGAAGCCAGTGATGGCCGCGATTGTCGGTAATGCGACCGCCATCCGTGGCAAGCGTCAGTCTGTCGGATGCGCTGGCTGCTGCAAGCCGGGTCATCCAGGTCGTCCAGGTCTTCCAGGGCGTAATGGAAAGCCAGGCGTCCCAGGAGCCCCCGGAAGGCCTGGAACTCCAGGACGGCCGCCAATCGTCTGCGAGGAACAAGAGATCCCACCCTGCAACCCATGCCCACCAGGACCACCAGGACCACAAGGACCACCAGGACAAGCCGGCCAGCCAGGACGACCAGGAAACCCGGGACGTCCAGGAGCGCCAGGAACTCCGGGACCCATCGGGCCAAACGGAGCACCAGGCGAGCCAGGAGCGCCAGGAAACGACGGCGAACGCGGAGAGCCAGGACGGCCAGCGCAATCGACACCAAACATCCCTGGAGAGCCTGGAAACCCGGGAGAGGCCGGACCAACGGGAGTTCCTGGAGACGACGGAGCGCCAGGAAGAGACGGACAACCAGGACAAGCCGGACCACCCGGACCACCAGGACCGCCAGGAAACGTTGGACCAGCCGGAGAGCCAGGAAAACCAGGACAACCGGGATTGCCGGGACCACAGGGAGAGAGAGGTTAGATTGGAATGTTTTGATGGAGTTTGAGGAAATCGATTCATTTTTTGATTTTAAACATAGTTTTTTTTTAATATTTATAGTCAATGAGAACTGATTTTTTATTTTTCAAAAATAGCCCATTAATTTCAGGAATCTGTCCGAAGTACTGCGCTTTGGATGGTGGTGTGTTCTTCGAGGACGGCACTCGCCGATAGAAATATGCCCGAAATTCGCCACAATGCTCGTCTTCAACTCGATCGTCATGTACATGTCACGGCCAACAAAATCTCGGCCTTTCCTTATCACTTTTTAATTAAATTAATTTTGTTCGTTTTTGAGAAAAAAACACATACACACAAACACACGTCTTCTTGAGAAACCGAAATACCATATTCGGGTGCAACCTATTATAATCATTAATTGTCTGTGTATATTGCGCTGCCAGTCGTTGAATTGTGCGTTTCTGCAAACATCACGACGAAAAATAAATATTTTATGAATGAACTTGTAAGAAGAAAAGAAAAAGAAAATAAACTGATAAAATATTCAAGAAAAAATCATAAGAAAAAGAAACAAGTAACATAGAAAAATATGCGGGTATATAGACTTTTTTTTTGGAATACCCGAAAGTTTGCTTCAATTCAACAGATTGCATTGGTGATTTGTCACAATCGAGAAAGAATTAGAATGATTTTCTTAAAACTTTGGTGTAAATACGTGTATATTATACTTATATAGTTATCTGAATCTGGTAGAAGAATGCACATAGTTTGAAAGAAAGGAAGAAACAAAGCAACAGATGGTAGATCACAATGATTAAAACATTCGAGAGAGAGAGAAAAGATAAAGAAGATGAGAACATTATGATTAATGTCTGACTATTCACATTAATTGAATTTACTAAATCGATGAGCCTGATGTTGAAGACGGCGATCCAGATGAGGCTTCGCATTTTTTACACCGGTATTCCGTTAGATCGTTTATCACTGGAAGAAAAATCGGCTGATTTTTGATTTTCGAACACTGATTATCCAGCAATTATTACGTAATAAATATCTTTGCCAAAAGCTTGTTTAACTAGGTGTACAAAATTCGAAGAAAAACTTGAATTGAATGGTGTTTATGGTGGCGAAAGTGCGAAAAAACGCCAACAAGGTCGCCTTATGATGGATCATCTGATAAGCTAATAAGCGTAAAACTCATCATTGAATAAAATAAGATTGTTACCTAACAAACTTTTTTGATAATTTAAGAAGAATTGTACCTTTTTATTGTCGGCATCGCGCAAATGCGGAAAATTGGCTAAATGCTAAAGAAACAATGATAGTTGTTTTAGCACAAAACAAAAAGTGTAGATTCACGGGTAAAAGTATAAGGAAAGATTAAAGACGCACACCGAGACCTCTTCATAATTTTATTTTGACCTTCAGCAACTTTCCGCAGTCGCGCGACGTCGAAAATACAAGAATAATGAATACCCTTTCTTCTAACATAATTTTTGAAAAACTACTTACTTTCATCAGTTAGTTGAACACACGTACAATGGAACCATCGCTCGCAGCCTATGTCACACATTATCCAACGAACTCCTTCGTTAAATTTTCCTTCAAATTTCTAATCTTTTAACTCATTCGGCTTTCAATATATATTACCCATTGGCTGCAAACATACTTCGGCTGAGCACAATTGCTCATCATTCTTCTGCTTGCTTCGCTTTCGCGTTTTTCTAAAATTTTATGTAGTATTTAAAATTAAAACAAAATTGTTGTTTCCCTACTTGGACGGTTCCCTTGTAATCTGCGACGAATTTCTTTTACCGCTTCTCCTTGCTGTCGGCGACATTCGAAAAGCAAATATAGACGATGGAGCGATTTTCGTTGACGACTGATTTTCGCGAAGAACGGCATAAGCACTAAAATTATATAAATATACATATAAACGTTCCGCACTCGTCGATTTAAGCAACTTTGCTTTTCGATGTGGTCTCGTCACAATTAATCGAATGTATTTTGTAATTTGAATACAACTTGTATTCATTATTTCATTCATTTAAGTATTTCATTTATTTTCGTTTTCATATTCCGTAATGTTTTATATTTCTATTGAAGCTTAAAAATATTGAAATGAATAGTATGCAAAATTATCGCGAGACCACAGAGAATAGTCCATCAATCTACTACATCATTGCAGCAAAAATAAAAAATTTGGAAATGTTACCTCGAATTATTATCAATATATTGGCGGAATATCGTAGATGCAAGCTGGTTCAATTTCGGTTGAATATTCAGATCTACAATTTCACAAGAAAGTACGAAACGAGCAGCCGATAGAACACTGAAAATGAATCATTTGCACAATGCGCACGAGATTAAGAATTGACAAATACCTCCCCAAATCATGTGGATTCCATGTTTCAACGGCAGATAGGAACGCGCGAGAAGCTGCATGCGTTTTTTCAATTGCTGATTTAATTATATTAACCTTGAAATATTTTTATAAATGCTGGCTGAGACGAGTTTGAAAGTGCTTACTTCGAAAAAGTTTTTAGGTGCGTTTGCTATAATTGCCGAAACATCTTCAATTATCGGTCGTCGCCCTCTTCGGCATCGAACACACAGAAAAATCCCATCGGGCAAATCATTTAAAGGTATGGTCCATTCTGAGCATTTGACTAAAAAATCAAACATTTCTTCGTTTTGGCACGTGTTTTCCCCCAAAATACCGTGATATTTAGCATTGCAAAGTAGGCATTCAATTTCCGATGACGACTCTTTCGAAGTGGGCGTACCAAGACACACACAAATTTCCTTTTCTTGATTTCCGTTTGTGGTTTCGAGTTTCGTCATATAATCGTTATAGCTATTTTTCAAGGAAGTTTGATGATCCAGCATCTCCTCAATGCTCTCGAAGCAGCTAACCTGAGCCCATTCGTCTTTTGCAGAGGTGTTTACTGATTGCAGATTCAATGGAGTATTACCATTCCGAACCACTTCTGCGAGATCATTACGTTCCGAAATAATCTAAAAAGATTAATATCATTAAATTATTAGAACAAGTTCGATAATTAATTTTTTCAGTCTTTTACATACTTTGGAAAGAACGTCTAAAAAAGAAAATGGCTACTTGAACGCGGTGGTCCAGAGAAATAAAGGAAAACCTAGTAAAACTAAATAAAATGTATTAGTCTGTTTTTGGAAAAGAGCGGCTCTCAATGTCGTAAGACTCGCGTTCGGACGTGTCGTCTTCAGAAGAACGGATTTACAAATTAGGTAAAACACAACAAATCATTTGAATATTAGAGAAAAAAAACTCACATCATACAAATTATAATACGAAAATTGGGGTTTGAAGAGTTTTGCCACCTTTCGATTAAGTATTTCCATCTCATCTTTAAGCTTTCTAATTTCGCTAGTAATAGGCGAATCTGCGAGTAACCTGAAAACAATTATAATTAACCCACGCCTAAATCAATATATTCATAGTTTATCAAAATACTACTTACGAACTGTGTTCCACAATTTTCTTCATTTCCACAATATCGCATATTCTCATCTGTTTATCATTGAACATCGCCAATCCACCATCAGGCTTCTTATTTTCTACGACAAAATCGATGCCAAATCGGTGTTTGATGAGTTCCACAGCTTGGAATTCTTCTCGCAACTCGTCGATATCTGTAGAGATATATTTTAGAAAAAAATGACGGAAAACCGCTCGCACTTTTTTCACTGAACCAATCCGATTCGCGTACTTTTTTCCACACAGAAGCCAAATTTTCAATTTTTGGATCCTCTTCGAAAAACGTCTCGGCCTAAATAGCATAGTAATGAAAACGAAATGAAAAAAAGTACTCACATCCGAATCATGAATGTGTGCTCGTTTCAACATTGTTTGAAGCTCGTTCAGTTCATCTGATGGTTTTTTGTTGAATATTCTGGCTCCTTCTTTCAACAAATCCATCACTTCCTGAGAAGTCCATCGTTTGATACATGAGAAATCCTTTTCAAGCTCCATTCCATCGTATGGTTTCCAATTAATAATCGCCAACGTCTTCGTACGCCATTCCGATATGTCCAGTTCTTTTCTAAGCTCCTTGATTTCTTCGAGTTTGACGTTGAACTCTTCTCCTTTGTTAATCAACTCCTGAATGTCGATGAGCGCACATTTCTTGTCGTCTTCCTTCGAAAGAACACTCTTCGAAAGCGTTTGCCACTCAGAAACTTGTTGTAGGAATTCTTCAAGCTTGTCGGCGATTTCATCCATATTGCACGGCATTGTTCGAAGTTCGTCGATGAACTCACGGAGCCCATCGACATCAAGGCGATTGTCGGCGCGTTGGATTCGCGTTCCAACCCTTAAGAGACAATTTCATAATTTTTAAATTTAAAATAAAATTTCATTTCCAATAAGATTACTCAAATTTGAAAATCAAGTGTCGTGTTATTGCAATTTTATTTTATTTTATTTTTCAATTTCAAATAGGTACCCAATTACATACCTTGTTCGAACTTTTCCGTACAAAATGTGATTGGCTTTCTCAATCGCCGATCGCGCTTTATTTCGAATATTAACCAAATTGTTCATATGCGATGTCATTGGGTAGTGATTTTGTTTGGCGAGATCAACCAATTCTTCAACTTGATCCAATTCTAGAAAAAAAAATATCAAATACATTTTCTAATCACAAAATAAATTACCTGGTTTATCGCCTTCATGAAGAACGTGATCAGTCTTGAGTTTCCACGCATGATATTCGGTAGTTCTAGTCTCCAATTGATCAATAAACGGTATGAGGTCTTCGAGTTCATATCGAATTCTGAATGTGGAAATCATAATAAAGTTTTTTAAAACATTATCTTACTGTAATGTACAATCTGCGTAGGTGCAAGTTTTGCAGAGATGATCATAATGTTGAAGGCACACAATTCGCTCGTGCTCGCAGGTAATCGCCGACAAAAACAACGTGGTCCTGCAGAATCTGCACGTTCGCTGCTCATCGTTGAGTTGCTCAAAAGGCACGTGCTCCTGTTGCGTGAATCCCATTCCATTGACCATCAGACGCAAATGCTGTTCACGCTTCGAAATCTCCATAAGCTCATCGAGAGCCGCAACACTCATCGAAATTCCAAGTTTCTCGCGAGCATCAACCATGTTAAACACCAACTCTTCATGAGAAAATACACAGTAGCGACGAACCGATGCATATTCATCAATGCACAATCTTCCTTTGCTCAACCAATCAATGGGAGCAAAGTTAACAGCTTCGGCGAAATTGAGACCTTCGTTGTATCCGGAATGATAAGACCTTGGGAATGTAATTACAAATTCGCCGGGATTTTGATGAACTGTGTAGATCGGGACTCCCATTGATCGAAGGAGTGCGGGATTGGCTGCAGTCGTCATGTGATGAAAAAGATCGCGGGATCTTCCAGTGAGTCCTGGTGCAATTTTACGAAGAGCATCTTCGAACTTCTCCGCATCATCGCCACCAACACCATACCAGATTTTTCGCTCTCCGAAGTGATTGTAATTGATACTGTACGTCCAGTGATCCTCTGTATGCCAACAGAATGTACTGAAGCACATTCCGACGTACACCCAAGGAACCACCATTCCAGAAATGTCATGATCGACATGTGATAGAACGGATTCCTTGAGAATTGGCAGATTGTTCAAGTTCCACGCATGATTCGCATAATGCGCCTTGAGTTTCGCATCAGGACCCGTGAATCGGTCCTCTTTTCGAGGGAATCCACTACCAACTTTATTCGAAATTAAATCTGCTCCATATTTTACACTGACTGGATCAGATGTGGCGATGAGATTCTTCCAATAAGCGGCTTCAACCTCCTCGCAAGGTACATCTTTCGCATTTTTTACTCCGAAAAAATCGCACTTGAACTTGTCAGCGTATGCAGCGAATGAATTAATGCTGAATTGTTGATCCGAATCGTAAAAGCCCCAATCGAGTCCGATTTTCGCGTCTTCGGCCTGTATGCATTGCGGACAGCGCCATTCGCCTTGCGGAATCTCATTAAGAGGCGGATCGCAACAATACGTGTGTCGGCCATTTTTGCAATCCTCTATGTCACAAACCAACAGAAGATGCTCATCATTTCCTTCGTGGCATGTTATACAGTATACCAAGTCCATTGGGTCATCAGTCTGTTTACTACGTCCTAGACAGGAATTAATTTTTTTAAATCTTAAAGTTATAAACTAACGTGTTTTTCGCGGGCTCGACTGTTTCCTCACTCCTCCCGCCATCATTCTTGTCGGTCTCGGATTCTGCGAACTCTTTTTCTTCACTCTTCTCTTGCCGCCTTGCATAGATACGGGACCATCGTCATCAGAACTCAGACTGCAACTGATCGATGTTCCATGGTGGTGCTGATATCTGAAACGAATCTCAATGGAATAACTATTTCACATATCGGAAAGATAAAATCGTCTACACCAACCCCAGCTTGGTAGCAGAAGCAAATGTTTTTAAATATTCATAAATCGCTTTAGAAATTTTTCGCTATTATATGTTTGAAATAAAACAAAAACTGCCAACAATACAATAATGGCTCAAAGTCGACAAAAGAAAAATTGACTTAAAGGAAATTTTATAATAAGAATATAATTTTTCTAAAAAATTCGAGCACAAAATCAGAAAAACAAAAACGTACGCATTCCCGTAGTCATTTTCGTTTCAAATTTCCGAAAAAAAACAAAATCATCATACTTTTGCTTCAGCTCTTCCATTTCATCATCGCTCTCATCATCGCTTCTCAATGCTCTTTCCTTCACATTTCGTATAAATGGCTCAACATATGTGTTGTAATGATTCTTGAGAAGATTGACGAAAGCGTTCGGAACCGGCCGAGAACTCGTCGTCATTTCCTTCGCAACGTCTTTCCATTTTTCCTCTTCGTTAACCTCAAAGCATCCGCCAAAATTTTGGACAATCTAAAACAAATAAATTGCAAAATCATAAAATCATTATCATTTTTACTCTATGAAGACGATGAAGATCAATTACGTTTCCGTCTTTGTCAACGGGAAGCTCGTATGGATGCCCGCTCATTCTGTTATAGTTGTATAATCGTTCTAAGAACGTCTGAAAGCAATTTTCTAATAATGTAGTTTTACAGTGATAATAAATATTAACCCATATATCTATTTTTTTACTTCGTAAAAAATGAACATTAAAAATTACCTGTTTTTCTTTGACTAAAGCTTCAATCTCATTCAATTTCTGCACTCTTGGAGTAAAAATGAAATTGTCTTTATCGATTGCAAACGGAGGTTTGAATGTTGAAGGCGGTACAATTTTAACAGTTCCATACTTTTCAGCTTCCCCTCGGATTTTGGCAACATATTCTATGGGATCTTGGAATTCTTCCGGAGTTGGATAGTAAATCGGTGCCAACGGGGGACGCTCAAATTTCTGAAAAACATTAAATTTCTATTCGGAATCATGAGTATAGATCCAATACATTGTAGAAATGATCATAGACTTCCATTCTTTGTGGTCCACTCGTATTTGACGATGATTTTCGTTTCTTCACCGCACATGATTTTTGTTTTGTTGCACCAGAACCGGGCGAAACAGCCGTTGATGTTGATGCTGTCGCATCAGAGCGTCGAACCCGCATTTTTCTGTAAACCGTTACATGCAAAATGAAAAGACAAAATCACAACTCGCAATATTGGCAGTTAATAACAATTAAATAAATACAATAATTGTGACTCACCGGTGAATTCTGCGATTAATCCAAAATGGCTATATCATTGAGACTCGTGGCTCTAAAATGCTGACAGTTAGTTTATTAATATGCAGAAAAAGATTTTTAGATGATCCAATACAAAAAAGATTTAGGCGGAATAGGATAATGAGGGTTAAAAAATGCGGAATTTGCGCTCTATCGGCAAGTCGAGTCCGACATGGTCGCTCTCCACGCGCCGCTCGCTATTTTCTACTTCGTCCCGTCAAGCTCCTCTCGGCCGAACACGGCCCGTTGTTCGTCTTCCAATGGCTACGTGAAGTTTTGCACTACGGCACTGTGTACGAGCCGCACGAAAATGAGAGAGAGAAAATGAAGCAATCATGAAAAGAAAAATTGCGACGCGATTTTAGGCCACTATATTTTATCAATTAGAGACAAAGGGACGAAGATGAAAAGGAATGAAAAAAATGTGTAGTACGGTATTGGCAACATTTATATAATCCTTATAATCTGGTTTAAACACAACTATGTTTGAGCAAATTAATGTTAGTAATTACGGTAAGAAAAATATACGCAAACACGGAAGTACATTGTTGCAGATCTACACAATAGAACTATAATAGGCTGTTCTGAAAACTACCAGAATCGGTCGTCGTAAGTCCCAATTTATTTTCCGCGTTGTAAACCATTAATCAATGATTTCATTTTTAAAATTTTACTATTGAATTGTGCTCATTCGCAATTTTCTTAAAATTTCCTGATATTCGAATCTCAAAAATTTAGAAAAAGAGTTGAACATTGGAAGAACGCCCGAAATCAGTGAGATTTTGGAAGAGTTTTCGTAATTCTGAAATCTTTTCGGGTATGGTAATTAAAGGAGCATGCAGTGTTTGAAAACAGGTCTCGCGGCAATGATTCTTTTGGTCGCATTTTTAGTAACAAATTTTACGAATCGTCTTTGTCATGTGAATTTCTCGGTGTCGAGACACTCATCAACTGTCTAGTCGAGAAATTTCGGTAAAAAATAATTTTTGCGGAACATGATGTGCAAAAATAGGCGATTCATTCAAACTCTAAAAAAACGTGCAAATCGGTATTCTCATAAATTTTTCTAGGTCAAAATTAGGTACGCGCGAAGAGGAAAATGGGTGATTTGTGTGCTCGCAAACTGACGTTTACCATTAACGGTGAGGAGCTTAATCACCCAAAAACTCCCATGTAAACCAACGATTATTAATCAGTTTGGTTGAAAATAGACAAAGGCATATGCGAGCAGAGATACATGAGCATATGCGAGCAGAGATACGCAATGGTATTTTCGGCGAGACACAGACACATCGACTCGCTCTTTCTGCTGTGTTTTTGCAGTTCTCACGTCGATCACATCACTCCTCGTCCTCCTCCTCCTTCCTCCTCCTCCTTCCTCGTCCTCCTTCTCATTCAACTACCATTTTTGGGCTGCGAGACAAATGCAAATGAAAAGGCTTTTCGCGAGTGTGTTCGAAATCAGACGCTCATGTTCAAGAGCACATTTCATTTCGAAATCATTACCCAAAAATTGCCTTTGTTAGGCCAACAATGCAAAAACACCAAGATGGAGGCATACTGGATCAAAATACTAAAGCTGAATATCATTCAAAGAAATGGAAGATTAAAAGGGATTCGAATATTAATATGAAGAATTAGAAACGAATACAAAATAGTATACTCGAGAAACCTGAAATTGCATATAATCAGCGAATATAATATACCAAAATTGGCACAACACGTGCCGAAACACGACGATTTTGCGCAGCTCATTACTAATTTTCTATCGTTTACACGGAATTGATTCATTTCAATGTCTTCAGTCGATTTGATTGCAAAAGAGTCATGGTTTCATGGATTGTTGCCACGAGAAGATGTCAAGGTATTGAGTTCAGAATTCAGAGTCGACACATAATTTTCTACTAATTTTTTAAAAGGCAATGCTCAAAAATAATGGTGATTTTCTTGTGCGCACCTCGGAGCCCGTCGCTGGCAAAGCAAGGCATTTGATCGTCTCGTTAATGCAAAATGAGGACGAGCCCGATGGAGGCGGAGTAGCTCGAAATTCTCAAATATGGACCTTTATAATAATTTCGGGTTTTTTTTCTAGAGTAGACATTATGTAATCAAAGAAGAGAATGGGAAGCTCTCGCTCGTTGAGCACATCGTTTTTCCAACTGTTCAAGCATTGCTCAATTATTACAAAGAAAATCGGATAAATGCTGTTAGTATTTTTTTTTTTAAATTTGGAATTCAAAAATCAAAAATGGTTGGAAGCATTTAGAAAGAGCAGAATAGTATATTGATCAATCCGATAAACCGCCAATTTTGGGAATTGAGCCACGACGATATCACTTTAACGAAAACGTTAGGAGAAGGAGCATTTGGAGAGGTTGTCATTTATAGACGTCGCCTACAATATTGATGTATTCAAAGGTGAAAGCTGGGACCCTTGAAACAAAAAATAATGGCAAAGTGAACGTTGCTGTGAAGGTGGCGAAACTTGAAAAAGTGACAAAAGAGCAGATCAAAGAAATAATGGCCGAGGCACGATTGATGAGAAACTTTGATCATAAGAATGTTGTAAAGTGAGAACTATTTATTTATGTATAGAGCTCTTCAATTATAAGGTGCTATGGTGTTGCGGCCGGCATGGAACCGCTGATGGTTGTCATGGAGCTTGTGCCAGGTGGTGGGCTTGATTCATACCTTCAGAAAAACAAAGTGGCGTTGCCGGAAAAGATTGACATTATGTGTCAGGTCATCAAGGGAATTGTGTATATCCACAAGCAGAATGTGATTCATCGCGATATTGCCGCAAGAAATTGTTTGTATGGCAATTTGGTGGTAGGATAATATTGGAATTTTGAAATACATAAAACGAGACAAATTTGGATGGATAGGTCAAAGTCTCGGATTTTGGCCTTTCGAGACAAGGGAAAAGCTATCAGATGAATCCGAAAAATCGCGTTCCGATTAGGTAATTATTCAAAGAGCATCATTTTTCGAGGACTTGGCAGGCGCTTTTAGTTTCGCTACAAGACCTCTCTCATTATTTTTTTAATTTGCCAATTTTCCACATTGACGATAATAGTTTTCGAAAATGATTTCTTCCAAAAATTTCATAATTTTAAATAATTCAGAGTGCGGCTATTTTAAACGAACGTTGTTCATCTCACATGTGACATTTATATATAATATATTTGTTCAGATGGTTGGCACCTGAAACTTTGGCCACATACACTTATACCCCTCAATCAGATGTATTTGCTTTTGGTAGAACTCGTTCCTTTTATTATAACTATTCCATATTAAATATATTAAGGAATCCTTTGTTGGGAGGTATTGGAAAATGGCGCCCAGCCGTACCCAAATATGACAGTGGCAGATGTGCACAATAAGGTTCTTAAAGAGGATTATCGTATGACATTGAACGAGAAAACGCCGCCAGAAATTGCCGATATTATTGCAAGTTATTTTTTAAATTTTAATTTTAATCGAATAGAGCTCAGAAGAAGACGTGGATGGTTCAGCCGACAGATCGCCCAACCTCGGCAGCTCTTTCGGAAATGTTTGATATTGTTGTGAAGAAGCTTGGTCCGGGTGCGACTCCTTCACGAGGAGGAGCTGGTTTGGGCGGATCAATCTCGGTTCAAGCCAGGAATAAGGTAGAATATCAATAAAGAATTCCAATAAGAATGATTCTAGGTGTTCCGCATCAATGTTCGAGATCCTCTTTGTCAAGCAGCAAAACGAGGATCGGACACGAACGTATCCGTTTCGAATGTGAGCCATTCTCCCTCGCAAACAAGCTCGAATGCATTCAGTCCAAATAGGAGATCATATATAGGAAGAACCAGAATTCGACGAGTAATTCAACGAAAATCATCTAATATTTTATGAATTGCTCAAAATTGCAGAGAAATTGAGAGAAATCGACCCGAATATTCGATATGAGTGGTATTTGAGTAATTTATGAAATCAAATAAATTGTGCTTCTTTTTCGAGCAATTCGGCGTCCCTTTTCGATTTTTTCCATTTTCTAATGTCATTGTAGAAAATCGTGACAAACATGAAAGCGATGACAGCAACGCCGAGAGTTGGCAACCCTGAAAATCAATAATTTCGGATGACGGATTTGGTGTTTTCTAGAGTACCAGTGATAATGCAAAGATTCGAAAGAGAGGTCATGAAGATGGCAAACCAAGCAGATGGATTGATAATGGATAACGGAACAGCGATCATCTCGGTGATGAACATAATCGTCGGCATGTCTGGAAATAATCCAATTCCTTCAAGATGTTTTTTTTTTTGAGAATTATATTCAAGGTCTTCTCTCTCTCTCTCTCGTTTCAAGGCTACTCATTTGTTGTTCAATATCATCAGTCCTTATCTCAATTTCTAATCAAAATAAACACCAAGGCTATGCATTTTTGAGTACGCAAATAATGAATATGACTGATAATAATCAAATCTGCTTACCAACTTGAAGAAGATTTGTGTCGTTCACATTATTCCACGAGAAGAATAGTTTGCAGAATGATAAGAGAACTGCCATAATGTAAAAGTGCGAATTTCGATTAATTATCTCGTCAGATGTGAACATTCTGAAAATGAAATGGAATTTTCATTCAAAATTGTGCATTAATATTAGAGAACGGGTTAGAATCAACAACAGAAAAACGCTGATACCGCTTGCTTGTTAGTGTTTTGATCAAATAATGAACGATCGGATGGGCGGGACAGCGATAGTTCAGCATTTTATTGGCTAGGCCGTTATCGAAAAACCCGATCGCAAAACAAGGATGTTCAAAATGACGAATTTGAAAAAAAATGCGATGCCAGAATAGAATTTCATATTTGCCGCCTATCATGAACAAATTAGCGATGGTAGTGAGTCAATAATTTTTTAAAGACACCTCCAAGGTCGAGAAAAAAATACAGCTTTTTTGGCCTTTTTCTGTGATTTTGCGTCGCGCGTTTACACACATTTTCATGTTAATCTCTAAAATTTGTGATTTTTTTTATAATTCAAATGCAAATAAATCGAGATAGAAAATATTTTAACGCTGTTTTGGCGCCAATTCAAATTCCTATTCTATTTTACCAAAATTTTCAATTTGCGGGCTTTCTGCGTGAAAAATTCGACCATGATGTTTCCTACGACGTTTTTTTTAATAAAAATTAGTCATAACTCAATCCCATTAATTACAGTTTATCTGAAACTTCAGCATAAACGTTAAATTTGAATTTTCAAAATTGAAGATAATTCGATTTGGTTAGCTGTGCAAATGAATAAAAAACAAACAATTGTATTATCATTGCAAAAAACGAGCACCTTGAGCAACCGTGAGCCATCGCATTATTTCGGGGCGGCAATTCAAATTTGAATTTAATCAGTGGAAATTCGGATACCGTACTTCGGATACCCGCGAATCAAACAATCCTCTACACAGAGGGCTTGTCTTTTTACAAGTGTAATTTTCCTACGAATAACTACAATATAGATATATAGCGGATTATTCAAATACCAAGAGATTAAGCTTCAGGATGGCGTCGTTCTTGAACTTTTCGAATAGTACGTCAAATATTCTTCGATTCGACACTCCTAAGATAAGATTCGGTGTAGAATGAGAACGTGAAGAATGGTCGATTGAACACTATTGCATTAGCACTGTATTCTGCAGGAATTAACAAATCCAAAAATATCGAAAAAAAATCTAAGACGGCATTTATCAAATTTTCGTTAAACTATAAAATCTGAATTTTTTTAAATTTTTTATATAATCGTAGTAGCAAAACTTGAATGACACCGTCCAAATTTCGTGATTTTCGCGTCAAAAAATTCAAATGAATTTTGCCTAAATTATTCAAATTTCTGACAGCAACATGTGTTCGATTCTTAAAAAAAAACCACATTAAATTTAAGGATCGATGTCGAAGAAACCAAAAAAAATTCTCGTGGGGTCACTCCTAGAACACATATCTAAAAAATGGCGACATTTTATTTTTTTCAGCATTCCGCTGATGAAAAATTATATTTTACGCCCATAAAACATGACAAATATCGGAGAACTCAAGAAAAAAAACAGAAGCCATCATCAACAGAAGGCATCTAATAAGCCGACGAAGAAAAATTGAAAAATGACGTTGTAATAAGAATTTTGATTTTTCATTAGCTCGGGATTCGCTTAAATATGGACAATAATTTCTATTTCTAGCTGGGGTCAACTATCAGAAGGTAATTCGAAAATTTGGTTTGAAAACCCGTTAAAAACTCGAGAAATGCTATATTTTCGAGAAAATGCAGAAAAAAATAGTTTTTGTCGATTTTTTGAGATGTTTTGCCCAGAATCCGCATACGCCCGATTAGCCTATTCATTTTCCTTTGTTCAATTTTCTCAAAGCATCTGTATTCTTGAACTCCAATTGCCGACGTTTTCCGCCATCTGATAAGCTTTCTAATATGACGTCGTCACCGACGGATGAACAGTTCAACCGTCCACCAAATCTACTCCGGTGATCAGCACAGGTGACATTCTTGTTTTCGACACCAAACAAATTTTTAATTTCGAAAAAAAAGACAAGAAACTATAATGTTATTGGCGATTAAACAAAAAATTGTTAAAAAAAAAAGCAATAATCGAGCCAATTACATTAAAATAATTGAAAAATAATGGGATGTTCTTCCAATATAAAAGCGTTGGTTTTCCATCAAAATTTCATATTTTCATCAATGGCTCGTCCAATTCACTCTCTTCTTCTTCTTCTCCTTCCCTTGGTTCGTTCTCTATTCATCTAGCAAATCTCGATGTTTCAATCAATTATTTCAGATGGGACTATTCATTCAAAACTCGGATTGTGCCACCCCCGAGGAAATCAAACTGGTACGCATCGTCTCAATTTTCTAATAATTGGAAAATAAATAAGTTGCAGCTGTGTACAGTATTCCCCGGTGCCCCTCAATGCCCGCGCCCGATTCCTGTTCCGACTATAGCACCACCACCGAAAACGCGCTCATACTCCAGAGTGGATCATAGAATGGTTTTTTTTTTAATTCTTAAGAACATTTTTTAGATTTATTTTTTTAGGCTATGACACCAGAAGATCCGATCTCCAGAAACATTGTCGGATTGGAGTTGGAGTTGAAGAGGATGGATACCTATTTGGATATGGCCTATGCTGCCCGCAACAGATTGCACCGCGAATTGAGAAAATCGGCCAACTCAAATTACATGGCAAAATTCACAAATGAATCTCAAAATCAATGTCTTTCATTCAGACATTGAATGGTATTGATGATAGCGACGACTCGTCAAAGCCAGTGAATCAAGAGATTACGAAGATGGAGACGTTCCTTTCATGGGCATTAAACGCCAAAGCCGAAATGAAGCGTCTTTTGGACACTCTCAAAAAGCTTAATGAGCAAAAAGAAGAGCAGAAATCTCCAGATAACCAGGGCTATGATTTGTATCCGGTAGAAAATATTTCGATTTGTTTTGGCGTTTAATTTTAATTTTTTTAGATGAGAAACCTTGACGCTGGATATGAGAAGAGATCGGTGAGAAAAAATTCTAGAAAGTCTGTAATGTGATATTGATTTTCAGAGAGCCTACATCGACAAGAACTTCAATCCAACACAGGTAACACAAAGATGAATATCAATTGATACTAGTGACCAATTTTCAGCGCACAACTCCAATTGGTCCTCTTGTCTATCGGTCAAACCGATTGTATTCGCCACCAACCGTCATCAACCGTCGCCTCTATAATATAAGAAGAAACGACGAGGACTCAATTCCATACCTCAGAAAATATCCAGTTCCTAATTTCATCGCCCAACAATATTACCAATGAATAAAAACATTAAAGTATTTTATTTGCAATTAGCTGCGACTCGTCCGAGTTCTCGAACATCGGTTTCGACGGCCATTTTTCGTGCGGCATCTTGAATCCAGTTGGCTTATCGTCCCAAGGTTCTCGATCGGGAAGAATGCGTTGATGCTTCCGTTGAATTGCCGACATTTGATGGTAGATCCGCTTATAGGACTTTAATTGGGGTTGCATCATGAATATCGCGGCGATATTCTACAAGCAAATTTCAAGATTCGTTCAACTTTTGACCAAATTAAGAAAAAAAAAAGACAAGAAATTCTTACGATTTTTCGAACTTTGAATTCAATAATTGCCACAATTGCAAAAATCGGAACCATGACAACGGGCAAAAGGCAAATTGTCCAACCAATAATCTAAAAATGGTTCAATATAAATGATTCCAATCAACGAAATATGGGCACATCGAACATCACTGGAAACACATCAGGTCTTCCTTCGAACGGATAGTCTCGAATCGAAGCCAAAACAATCAATATTGATCCGAGAATTGGGGTGATAAGCATCCAGTTGAAGCCAAAATATGGAGAAAGTTTGCCGAAAATTTTCGAAAATTTCGAGTTGGCCGGTCCAAACATTTCAAGCATATCGTCAAGTTGGTTTCGACGACCTGAAACAAGTTTAACTCCAATTGAATTCTTTGTTCCAACTTTTGTAATACCGTATACAAATGAAATAACTAAAACTTCGGCGGTCACAGCAACACACGAAGACACTCCTGCGGCATATTCATCAAACATTATAAACCAAAAATAACCACCCTAAATGGAGAGAGGGAGAGAGAGCCTAATTATTATTTGAATGCTTCTCACGTCCGTTATCATAACGAGGCCGATGAGATAAAGTGTGAGGCACCAAAATACAACAACGATGCATTTCTTCTTACGCAGAATCACAATATGATCGCATAGTGCTGAGCAAAACACGTTCACATACGCTGTAATAATTATTAAAATATAATAATATATATATATGGCATACCTATTTCTGTGCTAATTCCTAGAAGAAATATCATTACAAAGAATAAGAATGACCAAAGCCATGGAATTGGCATATGACTCATTGCTTCTGGAAAAGCGACGAATGCTAACGAGAGACCGGAATTGACAACATCATCGACGGCACATCCGCGTTGTTTCGCCAGAAATCCCAATGTTGAGAACACGGCAGCTCCGCCGATAATACTCATAATGGTATCACCAACAATCACAATAAGAGCATCCTTTAAAAAAAATTGAATCACAATGAATCTAATCGATTGTCTCGAATTGGTACTCGATAGCAGTTGTTGTTTGGTTTATTATACGACGACAATCCAATCATTCCGCCATAGCCGATGCCCAACGAAAAACACAACTGCTTCAATGCTTCTCCCCATGTGTGAGCAGCGAATACTTTCGACCAATCCGGGTTTCCGAGATAGTAGTAAATCCCTTCCGATGCGCCATCCAGAGTGATTCCACGAAGGAATAATGCAAAAATGATGATATATGGAAGAACGACGATGACCTAAAAAAAACATTTCTGCTGCCCAATATTTATCATTATTTACGTATGAGGCTTTTCCCATATAATCGACACCTTTCCAGAGTATCAACGCGACAAGAATCCAGCATAATGAAACACCGGTAAACGATTTCCAATTTATTCGATTAAAATCATTAAATCCACTTGAAGGCTCAACAATATAATTACTGTAAATCGCGACAGATTAATGCGCATTCAAAAATGAAAAACTCACAAAAAGTACTGTTCAGTGGCTGTAACAGTCGAAATATTCATCAAAGTATCAGTTTCATAGCATGAGTTATTGAAAAAAACAAATTTGGTTGAATCTTAAACCACTTTTTGAAGCGCTCGATGATTCGAGAGAAACTTGAAGAGTCGCAAAGATGCTGTCGGCCGAGATCGAGGCACGTCGACGCATTGTTCCACGGATTATCGCAACGATTCCAAAGGGTTGTGTGGCCCTGTGCCACCGACACCATATAAACTGCGGACCATCCAATTATGATCACATAGTATATGGAGACGCACGATGACACAGCGACCGCCATCCAGCCAACTCCTTGGAAGGCTGGAGCAATCCGTCGGAATATCACCGGAGCCGTTGTGCGATGATATTGGCCAAGAAGGAATTCGAGGTAAATCGATGGAAGGCCGAAGAGAAGAGCGCACGAAATGTAAGGAATCAGAAACGCCGCTGAAATTGCTAATTTGTGATTTAGTTGGCTGTTCAAAATAATCACATCCTCCATTATTATAAGCTCGTGTGGGAAATCTCCAAATATTTCCCAACCCCACAGCCATTCCCAATGTGGACAACAAGAATTCAATCTGAACATGTGTGGGCCATTTCGAAAAGTACGAATATGATGACTTTACTTGATTTCCCCAGCTTCCTCTCTCGCGTTCGGTCGCCGAATGATTGCTCTCCGAATGGCTCATATCGCTGATTCTCGACCCTTCATCTTGTTTCGCTGACAATGTCGTGCTATGTCTTTTCGTCGGCGTTCCGTCTTCACTCATCCCGAAACGTTTCTATCGATATGAGAAAACTCAACTAGTAGTCCAATATTGAAAAAGTAAAACAAAAAATAAAAAATGATTGCTTCGAATTTCGTCGATTTGACGTGACGCATCAGGTCACTCAAGCAATTAATAATCACCAATTCACTCAGCATCTAATCATTTATCAATGGCAATATAAAGTGAGACCAGCTAAATATTTCATCCAGTTAACTATTGTCGGAGTCAAACGACTTGACGAAATTTTAAAAAATTATTGGCTATGTGCCAATGCGTCTCAAGTCTGCAATGACCGCGAGAATGCGGACATTGCATTGTAGCGTACGCGCATTTAATGTTCAGTCAACGATAATTTTAAATCTATACTGATTTCGCGAATTTCAAGGCCCCGCCTTCCTTTCTGTCGTTTGACGCCGACAATAAATACATACAAAAAAAAACATACAGAAATACATATTGAAGTGTCATTTAATAATCAACTTCTAAATATATCGTTTTTTGCTTCAAAATTCTTGACCAGTTGAAAAATCAATGAGCGGAAAGATTCGGGATCGAGGTATTCCTGCATCACATATCCGTCCCGTGCTCGGCGATCTTCTGCTCTCACTTCCGGTTGCACGTCGTTTTCGATGTGCTCGATTAAATACACATGGTTGAACACTTCTTCAATGGATATACGGTAGGCGGGATCAATGTGGAGCATAAGACTGAGCAAATCTCGAGCTGATTCGCCTAAAAAAAAGTATTGAAGGTTTATTTGAAATTGTATAACATACATCGTTCCTTACTAGTTCGATATTGCGGCAAAAACGATTCATCGGGAAAAATTTCAATAGCGTTCCTTCTTGGATACCTTCAAATCATTGACTTATTTCGTTTTCTTGATATTCTAAAGAAACTCTGGAAATTGGCGAAGGAAAAGCTTAACGGGTTCGTCGAGTTTCTCAAAGAAGTCCTCATCGGGTGTTCCAAGCATCTCGAGCATTTTCCGAAATTGCTGGACATGGTCTCGCGCTTGGAAAAGAACTCGACCGGTGAGCATTTCGCCCAAAATGCATCCAATAGACCATACATCGACTGAAGTATTTTGAATTCGAGCCAAAACTACCCAAAATCAAGCACCTTTTGGACCATATTGCTGATCTTGATGATAAATTTGGCACAAAACCTCGGGAGCTCGATAGCAGCGATTGACAAGATATGGCGTAAATACCAGCGGATTCGTTTCGTTCGAAATTCCGAAATCGCAAAGTTTCACATTCACCGATTCGTCGATTAAAATGTTTTCCGGTTTGAGATCCTACAAAAAATTGATGAAATAAATTTTGGCAATTCAAATGCAAACTCTATGGATAATTTCGCAAGAATGTAAATATCGAACTCCTTTGCAAATATCGAATAGTATTTTCTGCACATAGTCGTGATCGAGAGCAGAATAATGCTCTCTGCGAAGCTTAAATATGATAAATTAAATAAATATGTTTCATTAAAAAAATCTAATACGATCTCCATTGTTCCGTCCATAAACTCCCTAACGATATAAAAATTCTCCATGCTATCTCGGTTTTGATACGGAGTAAAGACGCTGTAAAATTGAACAATCTAGAAACAATGGTTTCAATGAGCAAACAATCACAACTAACCGCTTCGTGTCGTAAATTGAGCATACAATGCAACTCGCGGTGTGCTCTTTTATGCAAGTTTCGATCATTCGTTTCGAGAGGTAGATCAAGCTTCTTAATTGTTACGTATCGACGTAGAACTGTGTCGAATGCTTGTCTAATTAAACATTCAATTTAATTGGGAACGTTGAAAATTGAGAAAATACATTACATGGCCTTGTGAGCCTCTTCCGAGATATTCGACGTATCGATATCGTTGGGGGACGGTGAATATCGCGATATTTGGATGAACTTGAATATGAACGTAACCCAGCGGCGGCGGCGGCGGTAAATAATCCTGTTGCATCGATTCGGATGGGAATGGAAATGACTTATCGAATTATTACCATTCGGTGATAAGAAAGGTTGTTAAACAACATATAAAATGGTTACAAATAAAAATTCCGTATTCAACGTATTCACTCTCACGGTTTTTATTAAATGAAAATAACATGTCTGTTGTTATTTTTTTCTGTAAATAATGCACATCGTCACTATGAATATTGGATGCAACAATTTTTCACGATTCGAATCGACGCTTCAATGTTTTTAAATTGATAATCTTTAAACAGCTCGGTTTGCAAATGAAATAGGTAACGATAGTCATTGAAGCCACTAATTGAAGAATTTCTGTTGAAACCCATGAAAGTAAATTTGAATGAGATTCTGTATGAAACCCTATGAGATTTTGTAGAATGTCTTCTTTTCGTCGGTTAACACCTAAGAGGGCATTGATCCCATTGAGCACATGACCCCAAAGAGCACGTTGCCCCGAGTTCCCCCCTATAAACCCCCCCCCTGTATGTACGTAGAAAACTAAATTTTTTTGAGTTTTTCTTTGACTTTCCTTATTAAAAATTAAGAAATTTCCGGTCAATTTTCTTAGAAAACCTGCGGCAACTACATATTGGCAAAAATCAATAAGCCGCAATTTGCCGAGAATTGTTTCGATAAACGATACGGTTCATTTCAAGCTTTTACATTTTACAATCAATTTCGAAAAAAAAGACTCAAGGGAGTCTAGTCAAAGATCAAACACCCTATAGTGACTCACTATGATGATTTTAGACACTATCAAAAGAAAATCGCCTATATAAATACACTCAATTCAAATTTGGCGTTTAATCAAATATGCCTTATCATTTCAATATTCTTCTTCTTCTTCTTTTCCTGACATTCGCGAGATTCTCGTTTCAAGCCGGTAATTTTATTTAAATTTTTCATTTTCTTTCAAATATTATTTTATAATTAAGAATGTTCCAATCAAAATGTGACATTGAAAGCCACAGAAAAGTTCAAAATTCAATATGATCCTAACGATTTAACCCCAAAAACGTGTCGATATATGGTATTTCCTTCAAAATCAATAAAAAAACGTCAATCGAATTAATTCAGTTCAGTGTGCCGAAATACTATATACCTGAAATAATAGTGAGTGAGCACATTCTAAATGGCGATGATCGAATTACAATCGAGCAGTATACGAATTATGGTGGAAAAATAATTCAAACGTAAGAAATTTTAAAATATTATAGGAAAATAATAATATTAAAGAGAAAATAATCTAAATTCTGATAACTCAAAAGAGTTGTACTTTTTTCAAAATCTTCATTCTATGTAGACATTCACGTTTAAAACAATAAGTGAAAAGCAATAGTTGAACGAAATAAATATAGATCAAATATAGTCGACGTCCGGCGATTGCTGTACGCGCATGCGCCTTGAAAAGGTCTCGCCACGCGTGAATGCTTATTTAGCTTTTTTCCACATGAACTATATTATAACATCAATATTTACTCAAAACTATTAAATATTAAAACCAGCGTACTCAATGCGGTCAAATCAAGCGCGATATCGACCCGGGAGTCGAGCGGCGAATTTCGCGACGATATAAATAGAATGGCAGAATGTGTTCATTCCAATAATTTTTGAAGTGTTTTATTACAGATTGAATGCGAATTCATTAAACAAAACTGTACTCTGGGATCTCTACCCAAGTGATTTTTCGTTGGAACTCAATTTGTTAAATCGTTCACCAGCCGAAAAATTCGCCATTTCCATCGAACTTTATGACAGTAATATTAATTTGACTCTCATTCGATTCATTATCAAATTGAAATTTTTAAGAAACTCCCGATTTTCAAAATTTGAGCACTTTTCAAGTGCTCCCTGACAATGTCTTTCTGTTTGATTCGATTGACATCAACGGTGATAAAGTATACCAGCAAAACAATGCGTTGTCCGATTATGCAATTCGAATCACCTTATTCGGCGAGTTTCGCGCTGTCGAAATACTCTTGAAGAACATTCATATCTACGATGAGGGCAATTTTATGGGAAGGTGAGTTTTGGGCTTCATTCTAAATTTCGCTAACAAATAATGTGTTTAGTTTGGCTGGAATTTACTTGGCGGGATTATCTTCAAAAATCTGCAAAGCGAGAAATATAACAATTGTGAATACAAATAAGAACAATGGTGGATCATTCACAGTGCTCATTTCTCCCAAATATGGTGCGATATTGTTAAGCATTTTTTTATTTAAAAATATGCAGATATTATCAACGTTTCATCGTTATCAAAACGGAGATAATACTTTAATTCAAAAATTTATGACAGTAAATTAATTGAAAAGAAACGGGATTTTTGGGGGAAAATGAATTATTATGTGCCTCATTTGCAGGTTTTCCGGGAAGTGTTAATGTGATAGCAGCAATATCTGGAGATCAAACGCTTTCTGCGACAAATGGTCCCGTCGTTTTTCACGAGATCACCAGCATGTTTGCGGGATTCAAGATTCCCAAAAGGCTCACAAACATCACGATTGTAATTCGATATGGAATTTTCATTGAAATAGTCAATTTTCAGAGGGGCAACGAGCAATTAAATGTTTTTGCTGGATGTGTGACGACGCCTTTAGAAGATCGCCGAATAGCCACCATTGAACCAGACGATGCATCCAATTACAACGACTTGACCATTTATGGAAGATGCCGCACATTTGTGCTCAAATCAGGAGTTGTCAGTTGGAATAGCGTTAATTCAGGCAAGATTTAAATGATTTTCCAAAAAATATCCCATTTATTTCTTTTACGTTTAGCTAGAACCAGTTTTAATAGTCCTCCTGGCCAAAAAGGTGTCATTATGTCAGCAACATTTCCCGATTCTGGATGGTCCCAACATTTCAATTATCTCATTCAAGCTGAACGTTAGAAACGAACAAAAGAATGTTAGAGGGAAAACTGCCTAATTACAGCAAAGACTTTAATTTTTGTGGATTATGAGGTTGCATATATGGGGCCTGAAGTGACGCTGAACATCATTAGATACATCAAGGCAGAAAACACTCAAAAGTTCAGGTTCGACTCATTCAAATCGTTATCATTATTTTAATCATTTTTCTTCGGTTTAGGTTCGGTCCGGACGAACCAATGCCGGCGTTTTTAAGTGTTGCAGATTCGTATCAACAAATGATTGATTGCAATGTTCCGAAAGAGACGAATGGTGTGCTGATAAGATATACAGTTAAGAAATCGCAGCGAGGTGAATTATTTAGAGGGGTTTTGTCAAACAAATAATTATCATTGAAGGTGCAATGTTCATCATTCCATTTCTTATTGTTTTATTATCATTCAACAATTAGAATCCGAATTTTCGGCCAATGAAAGTGAACACCGAACTATCCAATGTAATATTGCGCTTTTTTGCCGGTTTTACGGGTTCTGGGTAATTCGTCTATAAATATCGATAATTACTGTTTTTCTTAAATATATTTTGAATCAGTAAATATTTACTTCTTCTTGGTTTTGGTGTCGATTTCCAATTGGTATATATTTGGGACCATCACGATAATTCAATGTTCCGGCTTCGTCATCATTTGCTTGATTTTTGCTAGCGTAAATATCACTTGGATAGACGGCTGGACGACCACAAACAAAACCGTGAGTATAAGTGATAGAATCGCCACTCGGGTCGACGTCAATCAGAGAACATCTGAAGCAGAAAAATGCCTGGAATCGTTGTCATCGAATCCTACGTTTTATCATTGATTTTTCCGCTGAGCTCGGAATCGGCCGTCGAAATCAAAAGTTGAACACATTTCTCATAGTTTGATCTGAAATTGAAATTAAAAAATTTTTTGGCTTCTCAATTCTTAACCCCAAATCAATTCCTGGTAGCCATTTGTCGAATAGGAAATCGCTGTACGTAGAGCGATCGGTGAAAAGAAAAATCTGAAAATCTCGTCAGCTTCTTCATTGAATATGTATGTATGTACATTTTCTTTGGCGCAATTTGCCGATGGTTTCCAGGCGGATTTCAAGCCGAGACACGATTGACGACGATAGGCTCCCAGCCAAATTCCTCCGTTTTCAATTCCCTTTTGGGAGAAAATGTGTTTGGTCTCATCCAGAACCCAATTATATTCGTTGTCGTCGTTTACTCCTGACAATGTTGCTCCACCTTGGCATCTGCATATTCTTTCAGCATCTTTGAATGTCACTTTTCCGTCGAAAACCTACAAATCGAAATTAGCATATTTATATATATAGATAATATCCAACAAACCTTCATACACCATGGTCTTGCTGAATTTTCTCGATTGAACATTGTGTAACCGGGTGGACATTTTGGATCGCCCGTCTCTTCGCATTCCTCTATTGGTGGTCTTCCGTGGGCGTTTGAAACTTGGAAAACGCCCGAGAGAAGAACGATCGCCGGAAGCATTTGAGACAAGAATGACATTCGTCACTCACAATTTTATATCGTCAAATCGTTAAACACGGTTTTACGACAAAATGGAACAATTCGATGGAGCCTAATCGAAAAGAAAATCAAAATTTGCGCATTTTGATTGATTTAAAATTTTCGAATTTTTTTTTAGTTTCTTCATGAAATTATAAGAACCCATGGTGTGTCGATAGTCGAGTTCAAAGCTGGAAAAATTCTGAAATGCTTATTAGCTATAGGCGGATTTAAAAAGGTATCAATTGAAAAATACATAATTACCATTTTCAGCAATCGTTAATAATTTCGATTTTCTCTTCTTACTTTTATGTGAGTAAGTAAAAAGCAATAACAATTACCTGATTGTCAAAACATTTAGTAACAGAACTTATTCGGTTATGAATTTAGGTCTCGCAGCGATTTGCACGTTGACTGACTAATAAATTAATAGAAAGTTTTAATCAATAGCGCATTCGATTCATTCCCCCCAAAATCAACTCTAGCTATTCTAATAATTGTGTGCGCATTTGACGATATTTTTTCTCAATAAGATTCAATCTAGACCTCTTTCATTTTGTCTATCGGGATCTGCTTCAATGAAAAATCAAAGCCGTAAAATTTCGATTAATGAGAGCAAACAAGGAAGTATCGAAATTCAGCCTCATCATACACGTTTTTAACGATCGAATATTTATTGGTCGTCATGTTCGAATTTTTACAGCCTCATCGCGACGAATACATATAAAAGGGGTGATCGCCTTTGGAATGGAGCTATCACTCGAAATCAGCTCAGATTTCACATAATGAAATTGCTTCTCGTATTATTGTTAGCCGGAGGAGCTCTTGCCTCGTGGAGGCCAGAACCAGACTGTGATGATTACACGTGTCCGTCGGGATTCCAGATGTTTGATAGAGCCGATACTGGGACCTGGTGTATTAAGGTTATGCGATGTAGTTTCCTTCATCGAACGATTTCAATATTCAGGTAGTAACTGATAAGAAGACATGGTGGGAAGCGGAGAAGGAGTGTCGTTGCAAATATGGCGCTACCCTATCCGGAATCGAGAGCGACGTCGAACACAAATACATTCTCAGTTAGTTTTCGAAGATGCGAACAAAATTTGGATTATTGCTTGATTGCAGATGAGTTGCAGAAGGGAGGTGTCAGCGGAGCAGTTTGGATCGGAGCATATCGACGAGCTGCATGCAGAGGACCAGTTGGAAATTGGCGGAGCAAAAGCGAGTGCACCAACGAATACATGTTCCAATTCACCGATTACAACGCTCGTGGACGATACATTTTCTCGAAGTGGCAATCGAATGAGCCAACGAGCCAAATTCGAGGAAATGAGCAAGAGAATTGCGTCGCGATGAATGTCTCGCCAAATTCGGGAAGCATCAAGGATGAATTGTGGGAGATCATCACAAACAATCATCACCATTCTTATTTTTCAGCTGCTCCGCTCAGAATATTGGATTCGTTTGTGGTGTCTCGGCTGAAGGAGTAAGACATCGGACAATTTAGAATGTCACACAAAAATTGGGAATTTCAGAAAAAATACGGAGCATCAAGACCATAATAATGAGAGGACCATCAATAATTTGGCAATAAAGATTGACTTACACATACATATAAGAAAAAAATATTGAAACTGAGAACACCTAACTTCCTTAAAACTAAAAAACCGGTTCTTTTTCGGAATCTGCAGAGGGTGTTTAGAGTTTTTAAGGATTTTACCGCGTTTTTTTCCACAATCTACATAGTCTCAAAATGGAAAATAAAAGTTTAAAATCCATGTATACATATAACAATGAGCTGTTGACAAAATTCGTCGACCAACTCGTCGACTTTGTCCACCCTAATACCATTAATCCGCTAATTATGTGTGGCATGGATTATATATGTATGTATGTATAGATATACCCTACTAATTTATAAAATTACTTAGGAAGAGCGGTGACTGTCGTCGGCGTCGTTTTGACCGTCGTTGTTGTAGTCGTTACTTTCGAACCTGCCGCTGCAGCCTTCTCATTTTCGATCATATTCGCTATTGATTCAATTGGATGTTCTCTCTGAATGCCCCCTCCCATTATTCGATATAGCCAATTATAGGGGTTCGCTTACATCGTATGTGACCACCATGAGGTTGTCCACATTGAATGTCACCTTATAACACGTATCTGATTCATCGTCGTTATTATGGGCACTGTTTTCCTGATGCATGTCCGACATTTGCTCGTTGAACGCGTTGTCTTTGTCTTCAGAGCTTTTCTTCGAGAATAATGCTCCTTAAAGGCGAGTGTAAAATTCAAAAATTAATTGCCAATCTTACTTGCACAATGATCGACCATATTCTTAAGAGTGTTATAGTTGATTGCATCAATTGTGAAGTAAATATTGTCTCGAGATTGGAGTTCTTCTAAATCAAGGGTCACATCGAATTTCGGCCTAATGCAATAATAATATATTGATTGATTGCAATAAAAAGCCATTACATATCAATTGGAGGGGGAGTCAGACTCAACTTCTTGTCAAGATACATCACAACGTGCTCCGATGTTAGTCTTCCTTCGACTTCGATGCCTTCCTGCAATTCAAAATCTTTCGAGTATTCGGAGATCCCTAAGGTCTCATACCTTTTCGAGATCAACTTGCTCCAAATCAATATCCATCCAGAATGGTTTTCCTGTTATTTTATCGAAAATCTTTTCCGGATTTTCGGTTACTTCTTCTGTTTTCATAGTCTCCAAAAAAAACGCAATTTTTTTTCTTGTCATATGTACATACAGTGCTCCACATAACTATATACCCACCCTAATTTTGTCGAATAACTCGAAAACGCGAATAGCTCCAAAAATGGTTTCAATTCGAAAAATATGCGCATTTATTATTAGTTTCAAGTTACATTCATGAAAAAATTTTTTCCACTTTTTCGTGAAAATGACGAAATTTTTAAAATTGTTATATTTTGTTGAATTTTGTGAATGTAACTTGAAACTAATAATAAATGCGCATATTTTTTTTAATTGAAACCATTTCTGGAGCTATTCGCGTTTTCGAGTTATTCGACAAAATTGGGGTGGGTATATAGTTATGTGGAGCACTGTAGTTTTCTCATCGAACCTTATCGACCCTCGAAATCGGCTTGTGCTCAATTACTTTTACTTTTTCTGGCATTTTGTCCTCTTTCACTTTCTAATATGCTACAATTTCAAAATGCGAACCAATTCGTTCAATAATTACACTCTTTTCGTTTTTCGACTTTTGATTTGATTTCTTCTCTTTTTCTTTCTCCCGATTTGCCACCATTTTCATATAAAATTGCGCAATTTCGTTGTTGATATCGCGATTTTTACCAATTTTTGCTAATTTCGACCTAACTTGATTCGTTTTTCGTGTTGTCGCTGAAAAAAAAAAGAACCACACTAATAAGCACCCCACAAGAAGCTTTCAAGTTTTTTTTTTGGAACCAAAACACCTCGTTTCAGCCATGAACGCTTTAATCAACTCTCGTGCAAAACTGCCAACCTTTTTTGTCTTGTTTTTTGCGAACTGATCGCTTTTTTTCTCTTCTCGTCATCCTCTTCGTCTTCTTTTTGTCGCTTCTTGCTGATTTTTGTTTGCTTGGCCTTTTTCGAGGATCACGCTTTTCATCGTTCGAATTCTCCCCGTTAATTGACTGCGTATGAGGCAACGATTTTGGTTTATTTCGATTCCTTTGCATATTTTGTTTCTAGATATCAATTGATTCTGTTTATCGTTTCAAATATCAAAAACTTACAATATTTAATTGAAGGTTAAGGTAGAAATGAGTAAGACATTTAAGGAGAACAACGCCAATCGAAAACTATTAATTTCCTTTAAGTGAAACACGCTTAATTGTTTTTTTAATTAACTCAAACCTCTCATGTTTGTATTTTTCAATTCTATACAATATTGTCTTTTTAAGTAGCACATTCATAGCTTATGAGAAATTCATAGCACATTAATAATAATAATACTGGTTAGCGGATACGATGGGTTCAAAAAAGAAAAAAAGAATTGGCGGAAGTTGGGCGTTCAAAATGGTCAACGCCTCTATTATTTTTTTGCTCAAAAAGTTTCTAGTTCGTGTTTCTTCAAATTTCTCTTTTTTCAGGAAGTGACAATGATCGAGTATAGCATGGAGGCTGAAATGGGGTGAGTGACATTTTACCAAGCAAATTCAATCGAATACGAATCAGACGAAATAATTTAAAAAAAAAACTCTTCTGTTCAAGATTTTTCAGCACGAAATTTGCCAACATTTTAGAAAAGATTCCAATCAATAAAAATTGAATATCTTTTTTTCGCTCTTGCCAAATTCGTCCAAAATTATCTGCAAGACGTTTATCGGTTCGCTGTCCTTTGAGATACAATCAAGTGCAATTTTCCGCCAACAAACAACCTTTCAATAACAATTCGCTTTTGTTATCAATTTGAGAGTTCTGCGTTGTTTCCTTCATTTCAATATGCTATATTCTGTTTTTTTTTATCATAATTATGAAAACCAAACATAAATTATCATAATTAAGTGTTAAAATTTCAGACTAATATTTCGACCCATTCATAAAAAAATGAACTCAGACAAGCAGCTTGGTAAGCTAACTTTCTCTTTATTCGAAGGAATCCGGCAAGTTTAGCTATTTTATCGGTTTCCGATAAAACGGGCATCGTCGAATTGGCGAGAGGTCTCATAGAGGCTGGATTGAAGCTCGTCGCTTCCGGAGGCACTGCAAAAATTATCCGTACGAATGGAATTCCTGTAAGGTAAACAAATACGATTAATATCATTGAATGAAACAATTTTAAAAAATTATGGGGTTTTTCGTAGCAGAAAATACTCGAAAAAAACATTTAAAACCCTAAGCAGATTGTAAAAAAAAAATTACTTTTAACCATTTTTCAACAAAATCTGAACAGTTTAGCAAATTGATAAACAAATTCTGCGAGTTCGAATTATTTGTCTATCTCAAAAAAATATATATAGTTGGCGAGGGGGGTCCTTTCGGAATTGTCTCGCCAAGTGTGAACTCTTATTTTGCTATTTTTAAGTGAATGGTTGATTTTTTCTCAATGAATTTGACATTTCTTTCAATTTCCAGTATCGTTCGATTTTAAAATTATTGAACAGACCCATGAAATTCAAAATAACCAGTATGTCCGCGCGAGACCATCGCGAAGACGCATCTCCGTAAATCTTGATTTCGAACAGAAATCGCCGGACGCCAACTACATATGTATCAACTACATATGTTTTTTTTTTTTATTTTGAGATCTAATTTGTTGATGAATCATTTCTAAATAGTTATCAAATTGAAGTGACGTCGCCGATGTTACAAAATTCCCCGAGATGCTTGGAGGTCGCGTCAAAACGCTTCACCCAGTGGTGCATGGCGGCATTCTTGCGAGAGACACCGATGAAGACAGAAGCGATTTAAAGGTTTGTCCGGATAAACGAACTTCCGCATTTGGAAGTGAGATAATCCTGCCACTTCTTTTCTCCCCAAATTCATTGGGTCCGAAAGGTGGCGCAAATTGGTAGCGGAAGCTGCAAATTGAATTGCTAACCATATTTAAAGGCGCACAACATCGCATTTGTATCTGTCGTCGTGTGCAATTTATACCCATTCCGCAACACCATCAAACATCCAAAGTGCACAGTCGCCGAAGCAATCGAGAACGTTGACATTGGTGAGTGCGTGACGTGCAACGATGCGCTCGCTCATGCTGAAAAACGACAAAAACAATCGAATGCTCTTTTGATTGAAAATCCGCTCAACCTTGAGAATTGCACTTAATGTTGCCATTTTTGGAGAATTTGCATTAATTTTCTTCCTCTGTCAAAAGAAATTCTTCTGCAGTTTTGATTCGTCTTTTTTTCGTAAAAACGCTAGAAGCTTCAATCTAAAAGCATTAGATTCTAATCTAAAAAAAATCAAATATCATTCATTCTTCAAATTTATTTCAAGGAAGTCGTTTAAGCGGTAGGATGTAGTCTTTCAGAATGAAGCTTGCGGAAGTGGGAACTATGATATACATAATTCTATATTTAAAGAAATCGTATTCTCCCATATATTTTCAACGAGTCTGCTTTCTCAAAATTTTTTTTTAAGAAATATTAAAATTTCTGTCTTTATTTCTACATACATTTTTTATTTTATTGTTGTCATCATGAGACTTGTGCCGAAAAACTATGGAAGAGGTTTTGACGCAAAAAAAATAAACGAGTAGATCTACCGATTAAAAAGAAAATCACGACGAGACCTCGTTTATTTTTTGTGGCTCTCAGCCGATTTTCAACGCACAACAAAAACAATAGCATAGTGGAATTGAATTTTTAAAAATGAGTTAATAATTTCAATTTTTGTTATCGAAATTTCAGGTGGTGTAACTCTTCTCCGCGCAGCTGCCAAAAATCACGAGCGTGTTACCGTCGTCTGCGACCCAAGAGACTACAATTCTGTTCTAAGCGAGGTAACAAAAATAAATGCGGAATACCCTTTTCGACAAAATATTTCAAACAGCACATCCCCCCCCTCACATATTCCCATAGTGCTGATTTATTAACATTGAGAGAAGCCAAAAGGAAAAAAACGTGTTATGACGTTCATCCTCCCCAAGATGATTGAAACGCATTGGGACACTAAACGCGCGGGTCCAAACCGAATAAACGCGAACAAAATTCATATTTTTGTTTTGAATGTTTTTTTGTTTCAGCTCAAGTCTGGCGGCACATCGGCGAGCAGACGGCGATTATTGGCATTAAAGGTTAGTTCTGACCAAACCAAAATAGGGATTTACTCGAAATGAAAACTGCGGCCGTCATTATGAGAAAAATAATATATATACTAGAGAAATTATGAATTGGTAATGTTTGGAAAATGGCAATGGATTCCTGATTTAAGGTCATCCTTAATTGTGCTTATGAGGTCCCGCAAGTTAATGGATGATCTACTTTATCTAGAAACTATTCTTGACTGAATTCTGAAATTAATATATTTCAATCTGATGTTTCAGAGTGTTTTCTCAATTCTCTTTTCCTATTTCTACTATAAAATGTGTGTGTTTTTTTCTAAAACTTGTTTGCTCTCAAAAAAAAACAGCAAAAAAAATGCGGCGACGAGTTCATTTTGTCGAAATTGTTGCACTGGTTTTGGGGCGAGTCACACTCACCCATTAAAGGGACACGGGACCCGAAACTCATAAAATGCGAAACAGATAAACACAAGCGCACCGACCAGTTAATCCATTTCTTTTTCTCAATTTTTTTCTTCTTTTTTTTCGGTAGCGAATTCTTCAATTTTTCCATGTAATTCAACTAAAAGCATTTTAAGGATACACCATGGATTTGTGAGATTTCGAGCAACTTCGCGACGCTCTACCATTAAAATTTGTATGGTTTGGAACACTTACTATTCTATATTAGAATCTGGCTAGATTCTCAGAATTTTTTATTGAATTCAAAATCTTGCTAGAATCACATTCACATTATCTGAAAATCACAATTTTCCTCAAGAATCCTTAATCAGATCTTTGTGTGGAACCTGTTCAAATTATCCAAAAAAGGATAGATTGAATTTAGCTCATTCTTGAGATATTATAGATCTTCGAAACATTGTGCTAATAGAAAAAACAAATTGACTGAGACTATTCTTGACATAATCCATCCAACCGAAAATTAAATATGCCCTTTTCTCTCCTATTTCTTTATTCTATTGAGTTGCTTAAGTTGACCATTGGTGTGTCGTAAATCACACACACATGCATGCATATGTATAGGACGGAAGAATTTAGAGACAGTTGCTCATAATTCAATTTTTCGCAATCATGATCTTGTAATATTTTTCGATTTAACATTCTTTTAGATGCATTCTACTTTATAGTAAACATTAAAGGCGCATGAAACAAATATGTTTATTTAAGATCAAAAAGAGGAATTGATGATTCAAATTGGTCCGTCTTCGACAATGCGTGTTTGTTGTTCGTAACTAATTCGTTTTCTCCGGTTTTTAGGCCGTCGGTGCAAAAAAAATAAACAAATTGTCGTCGTCGAGGCCATTAATTTCGACTGGTCGAGTTGACGCGCGGCTCTTGTCCGATTAATTTCGACGAATATTTCTCAGTGCCACCGCACACTGTGCCTTTAATCATTGCCCACATTTTGGTGCTCTTAACCTGATCAATGAGCGTGGTTTTGATGATTGATTCATGGTGAGACAAGAAAAAAAAAGAAACCAATTTCCCAAAAGGGTTTCCGCCGAATTCTTATCTTGAAACTCGGTTTTTTTTTTAATTTCGATCGCCTTTCAAACAACTTTTTTTCATTTATTTCGAATAATTCGATATGAATTTTTCAACAGGATGCGAAATCTAATAGAGCACTCTGTGGTCTCTGGTTCGCAATTCAATTCGGTTCACTTATTTTCCAAAAAAAAAATGTTCAACTCCATTTTCCAGTTCGTCCATATTTGAGAAATGTCGAAAACGGAACAGTTACCGCAAACTCGAAATTTCTCGTATGAATTGAGTTCCTCATATGGGTTTTTGGTCGCTTTTCCTTTTTGGAGAATACTTTTCGAGCGTGTCATTCTCACCACTTTACCCGGTTTCCAGCAACAATTCTCTTCTGATATTTCATATAAACGTAATTGAAAATCGCTTCTACCATTTGAAAGTGTCGATTTTTCGCGACCAGTGTGATGACTTTTGATTAAACTTTCCGTATTACTTTTTTTCAATCTTCGCTTTCTTTTTAAATTTTTTTTCGCCCTAAATCCAAGTCGTTTTTTTTTTGTTTTTTTTGTGAAAAGAAAATCGCTCAAAAAAATGGACGATTCCTGTAAAATTCTTTAGCAGCCTTTTGACACAAAAAAAAACTAATCCTACCTTCCTGCCTAAACAAATGTCTTTTTTATGCCTTCAAATGTGTCGTCCATAATTTATTAAACGCACCGCGTCGGTTTCCTTTTATGTGGGAACATTGGCGCAGAGTCCTTCCGTCACATGCTCAAACTTCTCTCTTCCTCTTCCTCAAATTGATGACCTTTCGTTTTACATTCGCTTCTCGTCATCAGGTTACATTCCTCCGAATTTTCCCAAAACTATTCGCTTATATGTCCTTTGATAGCCACTCGAAATAAAAATGGCAATAAGGATCGGCGAGCTCAGATGCTTTTGCTTCAAAAATAATTCTGTGGGAAAAATGGAACAGGCATTTTCGATTCAATATTTAGATTTGGGCACAAATGCGAATTAAAACTTAAATTATTGTGATCATTGATAATTTGAAAAGCACTCAAGATTATCCATTTTGGAAGTAAGAGGAGGTATTGTGAATTGCAGTCATTTCGAGCCCCACCTCCTCATGCTTTGTGACTAATCAAGTATGAATTTTATGAGTTTGAACACTTCCTGTATGAAAATTCCTAGAAATTATTTGACTTTTCACTTGTATCCTGAATGATTTGTTTGGTCACATGCTCTCAGTCAGCCATCCGGTCGACTACCTTCTTCATCGTCTTCCTCAACTTGGCTCCCATTTGCCTCGTTGAGCACCGAAATGAAACGGATATCCGTTTTTTTTTTCGCATTGGTTCAAACATTTTGGCTAGTCATCACCTTTTTTGCGTCTTCTATTTATTTTTCTTCATCTTCTTGTCAATTTCGAATTTGAATAGGCGTCATGTCGCGCATCTCATCGATGGCGTACAAGTTCAAACAGAATTCGATCAATGACGATTCGCGGCATCGATCGCAGAGCAACTCGCGGCTCTTTGATCGCATTTACGGGAGTATGCGAGGGAATAAGGCACGCAGTTTTTGTTTTGAGTCATCATCCGAGCATTCCCAACAAAATGGTACATAGAATTATTGGGTTCAGGCGTTTGAACACACAAGTTCCTACGACGAATCAATAAGCGGATTCATGAGGCGACGATACGCAGGTAACGGCGAAAGAAGTATCCCATTGAGATACGGTAAGTCGAGATTTTTTTTAAATGAAGCCCGAGGGAATAATTACGGTAGGAACATTGTAGAACTTTTATATTTAATTTTCAAATAGAAAGAAGCAAAGAAAACAGCGAATCATAAAATTTGTAATTTCACTCTGTAACCGAATTCTGTATTTTTTCCATATATTTTTTTGAAATTAAAAATAGCAAATCAAAAAATAATTATTATTATTATTGTAAAATTAATTATCCTTCCGGATAATTACTGAAACGTTTCTTCAATTCTGTGGATTTATTTTTTAGTTTTCGCACTTCATTTTCGGCATTTTCTTCTACCAATAAGTATTCTCAATTTATTCAAAGAATTTCAAAATTTTTCAAGTCTTCAAAGATCCAAAGTTTTATAAAAACTGAGTATAATCTTTTGGCGCAATCTTTTTTTCGCCTAAAAATGTCAATCACGGCTAAAATTTTTCGAAACAATGGTCACCGATTGACAAATCCTTCGTAATTCCGTCCGATTTCAATTTGAATGTCAATCACTTTTTTTTGTCAAGTGTTCATCAAAAACTGCGAATTTTTTCGGATGGTTTATGTTTTTGTCTTGTTTTTTTTTTGGAATCCCTCGGGCAACTTGTCAATTTTTTGTTCCTATTTCGCCGTGTTTCTTCACAAATTTGCATTTTTCAAGGCACCAATCCACATCAAAGAGATGACGCTGAGTTGTACATAGTTGAAGACGAGATGCCAATTAAAGGTAAGCCACAGTTTTGTTCGTCGAAAAAAAAAACAACCCCCGGGCAAAAGATTGCTTGTATACAAAAGTTTATAAAAACCGGATTAACTATTCAACAAAAGACCAATAGGGTCGAAAGCATGCATATCAAAAATGTATAGACGGTCGTAAAACGACCATTCATGGATTCGAGAAATCTAAAAGGTACCCTTGTTTTTTTTAATTCTCTTCAATTTTAAAATAAATGTTGATGAATTACAGTTCTTAATGGCTCACCTGGTTATATAAATATTTTGGACGGGTTGAACGGATGGCAGTTAGTCAAGGAATTGAGCGATGCGACGAATATGCCAGCTGCGGCATCGTTCAAGCATGTATCACCAGCAGGTTTCAGTTTTGAGTCGTTGTTCGTAATCTATTAAAATAATTTTCCTATGTAGTGCTTATAAATAAATAACAAAAGTTAATATTATCATACTATACAGAAATTGGAGAAAAACTGTTTAAAAATCAAATGTGCATTAATTTTTGTACCGGTTTTTTGGTTTTTTTTTCCTAAATATGAATTAGAATTTTTAATGTTATTTGAGAGTTCTTTGGGGGTTTTTCCGAAATCTGCATATTATAGGAATACTCCTAATTAGTTTTTTTTTTAATATAAAATAATTAAATAATTATTCCCACTTGTTTTCAATAATAAAATTGTTATAGGCGCCGCAATCGGAGTGCCATTAAATACGGTTGAAGCCGCTTGTTGTATGGTTGCTGATCTACCATTGGATCCAAAGAAACCTTCACTTGCAGCAGCATATGCGAGAGCAAGAGGTTAGTTCAGCTGCAAAAAGGAACTGCAAAATGAATTTTCGAATAATTATCAATGATTTTTTATTCACAAATCATACATTATTAACTTTGAATGTATGTTTCACATCTATCCTCACTTGGTTAGTACTATCATTGCCTGACGGTTGATCACCGGTTGCACAGTGTGTTCTCATTTTCATCTCCTATCAACCCAACTACTATCATTTAGTTGCGTTTTACTTTTTGTTTTGATTTTCGCAGAGCAGGAATGGATAACAAGCGATCGGCTCGAGCGGTTTGCACCGATTGTTGGTATGAATGCATTGATGTGTGTCTGTCAGCATGATTGCCTTTTGTGGTGTTCAATAAGCATTTTGGAGGATTTCTCGATTTTTTTGCCAAGAATAAAGCAAATTTGATTGCAGGTGCCGATCGAATGTCGTCTTTTGGCGATTTCATCGCACTCTCCGAAAAATGCGATGAGCTCACCGCTAAAATAATTAACAGGTTCGTTTTTAGCAGAAACCAAATATGGTTTTGCATTTTGCTCATCGAAGTGGAAGCTACTTATTTATTTTAGGGAAGTTTCCGATGGTGTAGTTGCACCTGATTACGAGCCAGCAGCTCTTACAATTTTGGCGAATAAGAAAAGTGGAAATTATTGTGTGCTTAAGGTTAATTCGAAAATTCACCAACATCGAACTTTTTTTTTGAAGATAAATCCTAATTTCCTTCCATCTGAAACGGAAGAGCGTACTGTATTTGGAATGAGATTGCGTCAGAAGAGAAACAATGCCGTTATCAATGCTGACACATTCTCAAATGTTGTTAGCAAAACCAACAATGTAAGAGCAATTAATCGAGTCGAGTTCAACAATCGGGTTTAGCTTAATAAGCAAGCGATTGACGATTTGATTGTGGCGACGATTGCACTGAAGTACGCACAATCGAACAGTGTTTGTTTCGCTCACCGAGGACAGGTTAGTGGCTCGATATCAACTGAGCAAAACGTTTTGCTGTAATTGCGTTGATGAAATTTCTATAGGTGATTGGCATGGGCGCTGGTCAACAATCTCGAATTCATTGTACTCGACTTGCTGGCGAAAAAGCTTCGAACTGGTGAGTCAAGACAACAATTTTCAAATTGATTTATGAGTGTCGTGAACGAAACAGAAAGAGCTTGGCTCCATTGAATTTATTCGAGCCGAATCCTTCACAAATGTCGCGACAGTATTGGTTTTGTGCAATCGATGCCGCATTGATCGCGAACGCGTTTCCAATAGCCGATTGTGTTTCTGCATAAGAATTTGTTTTACGCATTCAAGTAGGCCGAATCAAAACCTGTCGCGACAACCATTTGCTCCTCCATCGTGAATCCGAGCGATTGTCTCGCAATCAGATTTTCCGTAGCATTTAACACGGAAACGAGTAGCCAGGGTCTGAAAACTCCTTTATTTAAAATTTTTATTGAATAAAAAAAATTTCCACACTCGGTTAGATTCTCATATATTTTTCCATCATCTTATTTTCAAGTTGGAGATCTTATCGCTGTAATTGATCACTAATTAATGTTCATTATGTAATTACAATGATTGGTATACTATCATTCCGGTCTGTACTTCCGCCTGATCAATATTCTTTCGTTTCCCATGAGTCACTCTCTGCTGTAGTAGGCGACGCCGGTAATTCTCACAATCAAAGTGCACAGCGGGAAAAAAATTCGCGACCGATCACTGATAAATGTCCGAGTGTGGTCAATATATGTATTGTATAAATATACGTTTTCATGTATATACAATATATAGTAATGGTATGAACCTTGATGCATTGCGCCGAGCAGTGATAGTCTTGTGCGCAGTTCATCCATGCATCCTCTTCGGATTCTTCGTCTTTTTTACCGGGTTGGTAGCATTGCTGAAACGGGTATGTACGATGACATAATAGAGGGTAGGATTTGGTGGTGGCGCCAGTTTTAAGCCTACTGGAGTTATGACGTGTTATGGTGGATTACGGAAAACGTTGACCCTATTGAGAGCCTTTTTTCGAAACGAAGATCAAGGAATTTGAAAAAAAATAAAATTCTCAATTAGTCATGGATAGATAGGTTGTTTTCAACCCTTTCGAAAGATTTTTTTCAATTAAAAATACATACAGCTTTTGGTGGTTTTAAATTGATGAATATATTTCGTTTCGACAAGAGCAGACTCACCTGATATTGATAAATATTCAATCGAAAATATCCGCATCCGATACGATCGAATTGATCAATTGAGCAGCCGATTGGTACACATCCCGAATCCTGATCGCACATTGCCAATAGGCAAGCATTGTCGTCTTCGACTGGAAAATTGTTCTTCATCTAACTAATCATGTCGGTACTTGCCTTTGTCGAACATCAAGAGTGATTGAGCACATTCCCAAATAAGGAGCGATGAGATCAAAAGTTGGGGCAGCATCACCTCACGGGGGCCTCATCTGTGGCTGAAATTTGATCGTCGAATCAAGACGAGCATTCGAAACTCACCGTAATCCCGCAGTCAAGTGTTGATAATCGTCGGTGCGCAATGCGCAACGTTTGAAATAATAATAATAATAATAATGGTGCGGCGAGCACGTCGTCGTCTTCGTCGTCGCGTTGCTGAGACCACGCCCACTTCTGACCGAAGATTCGATTTCGAGGCAACGTCAGCTAAATGACTATTTTGGCGCGTATGTTTTTGACAAAAAAAAATGGTTGACATGAAATGATTGATCGACCGGAAATTCGAAAAGAATGGAAGAAAAATTACGATGTGTTGTAATTAACTGAAAAACATAACGGAACAAGTTACGACAGATTTCTTAAGTCGCAATAATTTTTTTTCAGAAATCACACCTATAAGTTTGAAAAGTGCAATCTTTAATATTTAAATTCATTTTCTTCTCAAAATTAAAAAATTTATCCTAGTTGCTGGAAATGATATTCAAGAGTACAATCGTTAAGGTGGTATGGGATTATAGTTGAATTTTAAAAAAAATTGTAATACAAAAATGAATGGAATTCCCAAAATTTGCATTCGTACTATTTTATTTGTTCGAAATGTGTTTCGCATTGTTCTCGTGATTCCGAACACAGATTAGTTGGGCACATGCGTTTTCAACATTTTATATTTTCGCTAAAATTTCCTTAAAAATATATATTAAAAATAAGGAATAATCCGTTTAAAAATATTTGGAAAAAATTGAGGCAAACGTGCGAATCTAAAAAAAGACGAAAAACACAGACAGTCGCACTTATCAACATGCTGGTTATCACGTTACTTGTCGCCTCCTCTTCTTCTCCTTCTCCTCCCACCAGGAATGAAGTTTACGATGATTTTTGAGCGGTTACAGGTGGCTACGCCAGCATCCGACCGTACTCGCTTTGCCGTGGAGAAATGCGATCAAAAGGTCGGAAATGTCGAATGCGATTGACGTGATGTGCAGTGGAGTACTTGGAGACGAAGTGAGTTTATTTAGCTTTTGGTCATCTCGAGACTTTTTTGTTTTTGAAAAACAATGACCAAAAGGATGGAATTGCAAATATTGTGATCAAATTTCATTTCCCTTATTTGTTCAAAAAATTATTCAATTTTCTAGTTCCTCAGTTTGAAAAAAAGTCAGAGGCTATATAATATGTATATACAGATTTTTGACTATGATATATTTCAGATTCCGTTGGAACAATGGCAGCAAAACTTCAGCGAACCCGTGCAGCCACTTGATGAGGTTCGTTTCCCATTGTTCGATGTTTCGAGGGGTCCGTTGATGACGCACACCACCGACTAATATGTACCCGACTCTCTTTTTTGATCCCCTCACTTCATATTGTTGAGTACCCCCCCCCCATCGTTTCCATTTTCGGAACAAGAGGATGGAGAAGCGACTGCGACGACGTCACTCAAACTGGGTGTTTGATTCGATTGCAAGTGTGCTTCTTTCAGGAAGAACGCAAAAAATGGCTGGCACAGCAAAAGGGAGTCGTCATGAGCTCCGACGCGTTTTTGCCGTTCCGAGATAATATCGATTGCGCGAAACAGGTAATGAGAATAGAAGGCGATGAGAATATACCAATATTGCATCATGATTTCATTCAACGTCATTTTTGCTGAAACTTTCATTGAAATGTATTCGCGAATATTTGAAAGCATATATTTCCGACAACGATTTGTCTCGACAAGTTTCTGGCGTTGAACGGAAATTTTGAAAGATTAGAAGTCGAATGGATTCGTATAATATATTGCCGAAGACAATTGTCGGAAATTCAAGATTTTTGCCCAAATATGGTTTTTTCTTTGTATACTGTAATATTTGATACGCAGCCAAAATTATTGCGTGACTTAATCGTCTAGTTCGAACGTTTACGCTCCGCTCCTCGGAAGAATCTGTCTTTTAAAATATAATCTCAGAAAAAAACTAAGAATCAAATCGAAATTTTACAGTATGGTGTTCAATTTGTCGCCCATCCAGGTGGTTCAGTCCGTGACGAGGAGATCAAACAAGCTTGCGATGAGCACGAGATCACTCTCATCCACACCGGAATTCGCCTATTTCATCATTAATTATTTTCAAATCATATTTCAGTTTTCAGCAATAATTTAGTCAATTTTCCTGCAGACATCGAAAGCGTTGGGTTTAGATTTAGAAGTGTATTTGTGCATAAATTAATATTTTCGTATATTAACATCACAAAAAATATAAGAGTCCTTATCCGAACTAAGGTTAGTTTGGTTATCCGAATAGTCAAAGACGAAAGAATTTGACAAATTTCAATAATTTCCATTTTGATATAGCGCGAAATGAACAAATTGAAAATTTTCATTTCGCGCTTTTGACGTATCCTGTAGTGCAGAATGAATTTTTTTTAAACAAAATCAAATCGAAAAATATTAAAAGATCATGATTGCGAAAATTTGAATAATAAGCAACACCCACTAAATTAGTCCTCAAAAAAATGTGATACTAATTCGCACATTTTCAATCGAAATTTGAATTACCGGTATAAGAAAAATAAACAAGGTGGTTATAATATAAATATATATATATTATGCGAAATAAACAGTGATCTAGGATGAAATATTTACGATTATATCCGTCCAATCCGCAGGCAATTTTCCTTCTTCATACTCTTCGAGTGTCAGACTCCGTCGTTCGACCGTGTCTCGAAGCGAACCGAACAAACTCGCTGAAATTTCAGATTTCGAGAGTTTTCTACGATATTTCGAGAATATCATATCACAATACAAATGTTATCAATACCTCCAATCCATGCATTAAAAAGCGGAAAATTCTTGATATCCTTAAATTGATAAAATTTGATATCCTCGCAGCTCTTTGACATGCTCATTTTTGCTGCCGTCACTTCAAGTTCCTCCTGAAAATGAGAATATCTTCAAATTATCGTAAAATACATCGCGTAATTCGCACCTTCAGTCTAGCTTTGAATCCCGGAACAATGGAAACACCGCCGATTAAAAGGATATTGCGCAAAAGGTTTTTTCGAATATCAATTGGACACTGAAAATCGTGAAATGAATATCCTAATTTAAGAAAAAAAAAACAATACTTTTTGCACAATTTTGAGCAATATTTCTGGTAAATTTCGATCAAAGGATTCACCACGAAGTGTTTCATCAAACATCAACTCCATTGAAGTTTCACTGAAATAAAACGTATATAGTGTTGCAATTTTCCCATAATTAATTCTTACAAGACAACTGGTGGGATAACAATATTTTTTCCGCGGGCCAATACACATTTTTCCTTGGTGATTGTCTCAATTTCAGGCTTCTTATCGGCTTCAGCTTCTTCCCATTCTTTCCATTGCTTTGCTTTCTCCATAGTGCAGCATACCGAATGGATTTCAATGGTTTCGACGAGTTTCATCTCCTAAATTCTCATATATCCCGCAAACTTGGAGTTTTCTCTGATAAAAAAAAAACTTCAATTTCTTGCCAATCTTCGATCTCAATCGGCCGCCGATTTCCATCTTTCGCCTCAATTTTCGCGTATTTTTGTAGCAGATATCTCACACGTTTTTCTAGTTGTTCACCGCACATTGAACGCGCCGATTCGAATTCGTTGAGCATTGTAACACCTTCGACAACCTAAAAAAAAAGAATGTGAAATTTAACAAATCTAAAATTGAGAGTCTCCTGTCGATGCGTTTTTAACGTTGGAATTACCCATTTCCGTTTTGGTACTAAACGATTATTTCTCGGAAGTCAATCTGTTTTAATGATGTCACGATGCGAAGAATGAACAATTGAGTTCGAATTTTGTGTTTTATTTTGAACACATACCGGCATTGCAATACATTCCGAATGCCCAATATCGACAACCAGCGCATTTTGAGTGTTAAATGCAAATGTGCAGGCGACATGTGATGGAATGAACATCACCGATCTACAACGGAGAGTTTCGAACACAATCTGAACACAATTCATCATCATTTGAATACAATTTCTAACTAGAAAAATTACTTTTGTAATCGCATTTCTTAACTCCGTTGACATGAAAACACTTTCAACAAAAATTACCGGTCTCTGAGAAGGCATAATTGCGAGAACACTGAAAGTTTCGAGCAAAATTCGCCTGAATTTCTTTTTGCTTACTTGAAAAAAATATGCCTAAAAAATTTAAGCAATTGATTTGTGTAATATTCCACAGATTTCTTCATTGTTTTCTGATTGTTCATTGCCATAATATCACTCGATGTGATCAAACTTCCATCTAAATCGCGGCATTCTGTTCGAATAATATGCCTCGGAGTGATTTCTCCAGCACATCCGAGCCTTAAACGGATAATTACATTTCATATTTATATTTCAACCACAAACTTTGTTAACTTTGCGCCTATTTCGATAACCACTGCGTTTTTTCCATTATCAATTGAACTAATTGCTTCTGATAAAGCTGTTGATGAAACAGAGAGAATCGAGGAAGGTGACACTCCAGAAGAACTTCGGCGCGCAGCTAAAATTGAATCAAGTTTAGATTGAAGAGCCGCCGAAGTAGATGACATGCTGAAAAAACAAAAATTATTGCGAAATATCACACATTTCTGCAGAACGGTGCACGGCTATTGAATGGAAAAAAATTAATTTGATGCCGAAAATTATATATAGCATATTTTTGCGTGGTTTCACCAATTAAAACTATAGACTTTTTTTTATAAAGCACGGAAATTCGTGTGAGAAAAACAACACTATTTTTGCGTATGAAAAATAAAATAAGAGATTTTTCCACCATAAAGCAGCCGAATGAACATCGCTGAAAATTTCAAACGTGAAAAACGCGGCCGTTCCTTTCGCACGGGTTACTGAAGAATATTTAATCAAAATATTTTTAATATTAAATAAATGTTGAAGTCGAGATACGCTAAACAGTAGGCACTGCAAACAACGAAGCAACGTTGCGAACACATGCTCACTCATTTTTTCGGCTCGCGTTCGCGTCTCTTCATTTGTTTTTATATTTCGTTCCGATTATAATTGTTATCAATGACATTCAGCAAACGAGTGTAATTAAAAACAAACAACTTTTTGGTGGGAATTCAAACTATGATTTATTGAAATCTTCAATAAAAAATTTCTCTGGTAAATGATTCCGAGTCGTATACGAAGAAAGCTCAATCGTATACGCTGATATCGCTCTTCAAACGCGGCCAAATACGATTGGGATTTCTTAATATACGATTGGCATTTCTTCGTATACGATTATAATTCTTCGTATATGATTGTGATTTCTTCGTATACGACTACAATTCTTCATATACGGTAACGATTTCTTCGTATTCGATTGGGATTTTTTCGTATTCGATTGGGATTTTTTCGTATTCGATTGAGATTTTTTCGTATTCGATTGAGATTTTTTTCGTATACCATTTCACTTTACACTACTCGTTTGGCATTTTAACGCTTTTAAATATATGATGTAAAGATTTCTATACCTGTTTATTTAAAAAAAAATATGAAAGACAAAAAAATGAAAAAGAAAAAGGAATAAATTAATTAATTTTGGTTGGCGCATCAACCATTTTTTTTCCACTGCTCGCGCTTTCGATCGTGAATTGTTTCTGAATTAAGTTCATTTGAATGATTAATCATGAGGCAGTCTTCGGCATGTGCAGATTTTGGAGAAAAACGCGAAAAATCTGATTAAGACTAGTTTAGCCGAATCTTTATAATGTTGTCGAGTTTCTTTAAAAGGTTTTTACTGCGTTTCTTTTCAAAATCTGCATAGGCCCACTAAAAAAGTGAAAACTCACAGGAGATAGGTCATATGACCGTGTACCAAATAGGAGATTGTAGAATTCGCCGTTTCGTCAGCCATTCCATCGATGGTAACCGTCTTTTGTAAAACAGCTGAAATTAATTTAAACATATTTTAAACATTTTTCGCGCTATTTGAGCATACCAATCGCTGTGTTGACAAACCGAACTGGAAGCGTTGCGTGCGGCGGAGTTGGCTTAAACGATGTTGAATAATTCACACGATCGTTATTGGGAATTGTCTGAAGATATTTTTTGCAACTTTAAATAATTGTAAGATACCTTATCGACAAATCTGTTGACTGTAGTATTTATCACATGCTTCAGAGCTGCCTTCATGAACGGAATTTCCAAAAATATTTGGGCGACGTTGATGTCTCCTGTTAAATGATTTAATACAAATTCAAAGCTTTCGAAACACAAAAAACCCACTATTTCCATCCAGTGATGGAATAATTATTTCTGCGTCTTTAAGAGCTTCAGGGTTGTATACGGCGATCACGTCGATCTAAATTTAGAGAATAGCAAAATTTAAAAAAATACTCACATTGTTTTTGTTTGGCTTTGCCGCGAATTTTTGGGATAAAGTTTCTATCTGGAAGTATAGGGTTTCTATAGTTTCTATTGTGGTACTATGCAGATTTCGCCAAAAACTCAAACAGCGGTAACCATAATTATAATGGTTTTTGCCGGTTTTGACGAGTTCTGATATTTTTTTACGGCTTTTGATGATTTTAATGCTTTTTTTCGCGGAATCTGGTACCATTACATTTGGAATGATTGAACAATAAATAAAACATACCGTGAACATGATTCCTTTCATTTAGAATGTATGGTTGTAGAATAACCCGGTCACCGAACTTCTCATTGAGGAGAAATCCCAATACATCGCCATATTGCAGTGAATTTCGCCAACGAAACATCACGACGCTATTATCCGAAGCAATATTTCTTTGTATTGAGTAGTGTGAGCCTTGATAGCTGTATTTCTCAGTAAACAAATCGCCTTTTTGAGCCAGCATTGAGTACTTCAGTGGTACATCTGTCGTTTTTTCGATATCATCATTCTCCGAATATCGAAATAGCAGTTTTCTCAGTTTCACGATAGACACATCATGTTGTTTTCTCGTTGGGTCCGAATCAAGTCTTGCACGAACTTCGGTCGTCAAATCTTGCAAAATTGCAGCACTAAAATTTTTCTACGGTGTACAATTTTATAATAAAGCATACTTCCGCAACATTCTTTGCCCAATTCCCTTTGTGATTTCTGACGATAATAGTCGTTTCAAACTGTGAAAATAAAATCTCGCGAAGATAATGCTTCCCATTGGCCTAAAGCGAAATAATTTCAAAAATATGCAAAAACGGTAACAACCTCTCGACGTAATGACTCTTTGCAAGTTGTCACAGCTCGACATTGACACAAAATCTTCTTCCGCGCAAGTGAGCTCATCTTCAGACGATTCTATAGAATCTATAGAAATTAAATCTTACTCTGTTTTTACTTTTAGTTATACCTGATGTTAAGTTTCTCTATTTTCTGAAAATAGTTATTTTCTTCATTTTTTCTGTTGTTATCACCTGTTTCTGTCTCGTTCCGATATTCCCTATATATTTTTTTCCATGATTTCTCGTGTGGTGTAACGATATCGCTTTCGATATGCAAATAGTTTTGAATTTTGCGACATATCTGCAAAGAAAATATAGATTTCTTAGAGCGGAGCCAGTAAAATGCACGATTTTTTTGGAAAGTATATATATTAAAACGCAATATACGCATAAAAATCGAATATGAAAAAATTCGAAAATTTTCGAAAATTGTTTTTCGAATTTAGACGTCAATTTTAATGCATGTCCGCAGTGTATAATTGTGGTGGTTACACTACTGTGATAAAATCCAAATCGTATACGATCCTTGCAATAACGTATACGACGAGGAAATGCGGATGTTTCGTATACGATTACAAACCATTCATCAGAATCGTATACGATCCTATACGATTCACATTAACTAATACGATTACCATTAACGTATACGATTTTAATTTTATCTTATACGATGAAGAAATTCGCTTTTTTCGTATACGGCTAGGAATCATTTACCAGAGTTTTGGGAATGTTTTTTTAACACCAATTTTAATGGGCCATTTAAAAATTTGCATTAATTCAAACGTTTGATCGGTTTTCTAAAAACAAATTGAGCAATAATATATAGTATCCTTTTATGGTTTTAATGTTTTGATTATTTAGAAAGAATCACAATTGCTTTAAGAATTATATTACAACCAATCTAACTTTTTTTCCCGAAAACTTGATTAATGGGCAAAAGTTATATATAATTGAATATTAAAATGCGTAAACTTTATTTTTGTTTATAAAATTTTTGCATTATTACAATATCTTCCCTAGTTTTAGAAAATACGCCGACTTTAATTACGTCATCAAATTCCGCTTCAGAAGCATTTTGTCGTTTTTATGATAGAAATAGATTGACCGTAGGAGAAATATCCGGATCCCCTCTATCCGCCGTACGCTCTCTGCGGGTCCGCTGAGATAGTGTGAAACGGCGTGAGAATCCCGCGAGTCTGTGTGCTCGTCGTTTTCTAAAAGTTACACACTTCAACACTTCCTCGCCTCCCTCTCCTTCATCCGTTTTTTATCGCGTCTCGTGAGACATTTTTGTTGTGTTCCCTCGTTCCTCCATATGCCTTATTTAAGGGCAATCTCATTAAATTCTTTTTTAGTGGCAAAAAGTGGAAACACGATTGTCAAAGGATGTCAAATGACGTCGGCGAAGAGTATGATGAAACATTTCAATCAACATCAAAGGTTCGATTTTTCACACGTTTTTAAACGATTTTCGCACAATGTTCTCCAAATTTACAATTTTCACATTACGCTAGCCAAGCATTTTTGAGCTTCATTAATTTTTTTTTTTGAAAAAGTCGTGCGGAAGTCTTAGAATATCCCCTCAGTTTTAATTGTTTTATGTCAAAGCTTTAAAAAATTTTTTACAACAAAAGATTGAAATCAAGTGTATAAACTCTTCATAGTTTAACTGATCGTTTGAAATTTTCAGAAAATTGACTTGACGAAAGCTTTCGGATTTGATGGATTCCAAGAAACGGCGACCGTCAATGATTTCACAAATGAAGAACTCATCCGTCTTTTGGCATTCATGGAAGGCGAATTGGAGGCTCGCGAGGATGCGATTGAATCACTCAAGGTTTTTCAAATATATCTCCTCGTTTTAAATAATTCAACTTATGAATTTTATAGAGAGAACGCACTAAAATCCTGCTCGCCGAAGCGAAATACGGCAAAATTAGTCTGAATGATCCGTTTTCGGCGTTAAGACGTGACTCAGCTATTAACAATGAGATGTTCAATGAAGATCAGATTGTCGAAATGTATGAATCGCAAGTTGAGCAACTTGAAAAACTCATCAAAGTGCAGAAAAAGTCACAAAAGCAAGCTGCAATGGTTAATTAAAGTCTTTCAATTTGTATTAAAAATTATTGTCTATTTCAGTTATTAGCGTCACTCGATAAAAAACACTATAAATTAGTGAAAAAGCTTGAAGCAGACCGAAAAGCGCAGATTGAGTAAGTTTTAAATTTTTTTTTGAAAATTCTTTATTTTTTCCAAGGTATGCCAAACAAGGAGACGATGTTGTCGCTATGCTTGAAAAAGAGAGGAGTAACCTAAATCAAAAGGTTTATTTTATTAGTTTGAATTTTTTAATTTTAGTTTCATTATTTTAAGATTGAGTTTCACATTGAAGAAGCTCGTAAATTCCAAGAAGAACGGGATAAAATGGAAATGAAAATGGTTTCCGAGAAGAAACGGCACGAAGCTATCGTACTTTATTTGATACAGGAGCGAAAACAGCTTTTGCTCAAAATGCACGAATTACGTGTGAATGCCGAACAATTGCTTCAGCAGCAACAACAACAACAACAGCCTGGATCATCAACGGCTTCGATTTCGGATCGAGAGCTCATCGAAGAACTAAAGAAGGAAGTCACGTTTCTTCGCGGAGAACGAGAATCGCTCATGAAAACCCAAAAAATGCTCAAAACTGAAAATTTGAGCCTAAAAGAAACTGTTCGTGGTCAAGAGTCGGACTTAACGGCATTACGGAAAAATCTGCTGTCGTCCTCAAAAATCCCTGAAAAACCGACAACACTGGTTAGTTTAACATTTAATTGAGACCGTCGAATGAATTTGTTCCAGTTGCCACAGCTCACACCAGATGTTGGCGGGTCTCTGATAGTGGCCAATCGCGGAGCAACGATTTCAAATGTAAGGCCGTCATCTGGTACAGCTCCATCGAGGTTGTCTACATCGAGTTCGTTTCCGATGGAGAAAAGCAAACTTCCACGAGGACCGCATCCACCGAATGTTGCGTCGACGTCACATTCTGCTACAGTGCCAAGAAACTCGGTTACTAGGTAAATCACTGTTTTCAGAGTATCTTAGACATTTGAATTTTAGCACAAGGACTGGTGTTAATAGTTCGCCGATTAAAAAGACTCCGGTTATGGGTGTTTCATCGTCGAATGTTCGACGTCCCGCAACTTCCTCTCCTTCCACTCCCCTCACACCTGAGCTGGAACAACTTGAAGCTGCAATACAATCTATGAATGGTTAGTAATTCGAATCCGTCCATTACTTTTAGTTTCAAATATTTTGCTGTTGTATTGTGCATTTAGTTGGTCCCACAAATCAGTCATCAATGGTTAAAAGAAGTTCAAGCATGCCGCGCGAGCATAAAGCACCGGTTAAAAAAGCAACCGGATCAGTTCGAAGTATGAATGTGTCGACAACGGGAAGTATCACGACTCGGATAGGTAGAGATAATCTTGTGTTGTTTTGCACGAAACAATGGGAATTGCTCCCAACTGATTTTTTTTCTTGAAATTGGCAATTAATGTTATGTTTTGATATCAAATTTCCGGGAGTGGTCTCGTTGAGCGGATTTTTTGAAACGAATCAATCGAACATCGCCGATTTCTGAAGATGAAACATTTTTTGTCTAAATACGTATTCGTAATCTCCTCATCAAAGCTCGAAGTCTAATTCATGAAATAAAAAATGTAATGTGTTTTTTGGTGTGTACATTTTTTGTAGAAAATTTCATTTCATGAATAACTTCATTAAAACTTCTCAAAATGAGTTAATTAACTAAAAATTTAGATGTGCTTTTTAGAAAGGCCACCGATTTACAATAATAAAAGGGCATGTGTGTTTTTTGTGGCAAAAATACCTTTTGCAATTTTCGTTTCAAGATGCTTCCGAATTTATAACATGCGTATTTTCAGCGAGCCCGTCGACAACGATAGCGGCGACAACTAAACTTTCGGGCACCGTCAAACGGAACGGGATCCTCGCCAAAGCATTCGGCTCATCTGACAAACATTGATTCGCATTCATCAAAAATTTCACAGCTCAATCTCACCCGCCCAGTAACTCATCTCTCTTTCACACAAGTGCACTTACAGTATATTGGTTTAACACATTGCAAAACTCTATAAAAATAATTTAATTTGTCAATATTTATGATCTCTGCAAAATGGCTACGACATCACCGCGTTTCGGGTTGAGAACACCCAGTGTGCTCGTTCCGAATAAGTAAAAAGAAATGAAAAATGAGAAAAAAAAACAAAAATGAACAGCAGCTAGAGGATTTTTTAATAGTAATTGGATATCATGTTGAATTAGTGAAACATTTCAATAAGAAAATAGTAACAAGTGGGAAAAAGACGAAACTCACGAACCCGTCAATTCGGCCGATCAAGTTGTATAATTTTTGTTCGATTTCGTCGAAAAATTCATGGATTACGAAAATGTTTAGAACTCGTCGTTTGTGGCGTTTCAGACAAAGAGAGGGAGAGAGAAGGAAATAGAAAGAGAAAAAGATCAAAGCGCTATACAAACCACTTAACTGAACGAAAAAATCAAATTGACTATGTATCCTGACGAAATGTACACATAAAACGAGCAGAATAAACCTAGAATAGTGGTTATGATCATGAAATTGATTTTACATTATTTGATTTCGATTATTTGCTTGAAAGTGTATTATCTGAATGGATCGGGTACTGTATATTTGAGATTCTAGGTGCACGATGGAATCACAGATGAAACTGATTGCGCGAGAATTCGTCGAGCCGAAAAATAGTCCTTGTAGATTTGGCCCATTGAGCTTGGAGCAGTCTGAAACACCATATTGAAGAAAAGATTCACTCCATAGTCCAATGAAGTTATTTCTCCAGAAGCGTATTAATGGACCTATTCGTGCAGTGAAAAAATTAGAATTTTTATTTTAATTTTCTATAGTATATGAAAAAGACGGCAAAAACTCAACAAATTGACATGTTTAATGTTCTGACGCAACTTTTTGCATGCGCCTTTAAAAATAAAGAGAATGACGATATATCGCTCCATTTTTTGATATTTTTCGGCACGCATAGAAAAATTAAATGACAAAAATTGAGATTTTTCATCATATGATTGGGTACAATCAGCAGAATGAATATATCACCGATTTTCAATAGTCACAAAAAACTGTTGTATAGTCGGCGTCCGGCGACTGCTGTACGCGGGTAGATTTACTTGAATGCGTCTTTCAAATTGGTCTCACAAAGACTAAAAAGTTATTTCAAATTTTATGAACCGCTTTGATAATTGTTTCATCGAATGACGTTGGAAATTCAAGGAAATGCGAAACTAATCAAGAAAAATAAAGCAGTTCACGTAAAAACAGCAAAATAAGCATTCACGTGTGGCGAGACCTTTTCAAGGCGCATGCGCGTAAATCTACCCGCGTACAGCAGTCGCCGGACACCGACTATAGTTCATTACCAAAACGAGGAATAATGTCAAAGATTAAATATTGGTATTATCACGGTCGCGAAATTGCTGAAAATTGACAAAACGCCAAAAAAAATAAGGCTGTGGTATTGGCACAAGATTAAACGTGTAGATTTACGGAATTGAATATAATGATAGATAAAAGGGATTGCGCGGTTAGTGCGTCTGGCATGTAGCTAATTTTTAAAGTCGCGAGACGACCAATAAGAAAATTACAAAAATTTCGCAGAATTTCAAAACGATTAGAAGAACAGTTAATCTTTAATTATAATAAAGCCTTCTATACGCGTGTTTAGAACTTAAAAAAATTTTCTTCGTCAAACGGATGAATAAGCTTTTCCTCTGATGAAATCAGTGTAGATTAACGAATGTGCAAAATTAGTGTCTAAATGCGTATTAAATGTGCGTATGCCAACACGCAAAGTACGCAGGTTTGCGTATTTCTGTGATCATTGACTCACTTGGTACGCAGCCAATATTTTTCAAATTTCGATTTTTTTTTCAAAAAAAAAATTAAATCGTTGGAATCCGATAATTATTTTTTTAATGAACGAACAAAGTATATTTTTTTAAGAATTACATAAATTTATTACCATCGCAAAAAAGATCACCTTGCAAAATTGTGGGTAATTGCACTTTTTCGAGGCGGTAATTAAAATTCGATTTTAAACAGTGGGAATTCGGCTACCGTTCTCTGGATAACCTGCGAAACTAACTCACCGTGAATCTCCACAAGGCGCTCGTTTTTTTTTTCGCGAGCGTAATATAAAAAACTCTGTTTTTGAGTAGTTGTTGTTCAATATTTCTTTTTAACAAAAACCGTTCTCACCTTGTTTTTCTCATTTAGGACAACATTGAGATCAGTTTGCCAGCAGGCATCGCCATTATCATTCTTATCAACACGGGGACACCAACGCTCGTGATTGTGAATCGGGTCGAACTTTGCACCGGTTCTGAACGATATATCAATGAATATTTTCAACGAACAAGCGACCAACTTCAATATGAGATCTCTTGCGCACAAGTCACACGATAAAGAAATGTAGCCTCGACGAGCTTTAGCGATTTTCCAGCCAAGAGCTGCAGTGAATACAAAGGCTGGACTAGCTTTGTCCATTTTCGGAACAGAAACCCCGTTTGGAATATCCTGAATTAAATTATTAATGAATAGTATTTAATCATTAGTTCTCACCACAGTCATATCATTCGCAGTAAAAGAAGAACCACCTGCCAGTCGTTCTTCGATTCCTTTAATTACTTCCGAAGCTGTCGGCTCTACTAACCGAAAAGGTGCCGATCCTGTCCGTTTGAGACAAGTCACTCGATGTGCGGTTTTCATTTTCTCATGAATATGTCTGAAATTTTTAAAATGATTTTAACATTTGCATTAGGTAAAAATTACTAAATTTTTATAAATTATAGGCCTTATTTTAATTATATGCAGATATAATTGTTATTCCATAGTATTTTCGACGTCAAACGATTGAACGAAAATTTAAAAAATTATTGGCTATGTGGCAATGTGTCTCGGCGAGAAGTACACGAGACTGTGTACATTGCATTATAGCGTACGCGTATTTAATATTCAGTCAACGATAAATTTAAATCCACATTTATGTGAAATATACTAAATTAGCTGATGGTAAAAATAATGGCAAAACTTTGTGGGCTTATATAAAAGACGTGTTTCCTTTAATAAAATAGCTAAATTGGTCACAATTGTTTTTACTTTCAAATTCAACTTTTTCCCAACAATTATCAAAATATCGTTTTTATTAAGTAAATAGAATTATTTCGAAATCAAGTCGATTGTCCCATCGATTTTCTAAATTCTGAACAGAATTAGTTTCCGTTGAATTGGTATGACGTTCATTACGAAATCCAGAAATAATTTTTGCTCATATCCATGGCAGCTCCGCACAACGGCGCTAATTGCTTGTTCAAACTTCTTGAAAGCTATTATTAATTTCAACAAGCTCTGAGTGAGTTGGGCCACGCCATTTCAACGTTTCTGCTGAGTATATCCCACTTTTCTTTCATTCCTCTTTTTAGAACTCAATTTTCGAAATGTTTCGCAATTTATCGATTTTTCGTTATACTTACTTGAGCGACGAATTGTAGACATTTATGCTAACAGTAGTGATATTTGGTAAGATGGTTGATAGCACTTGGTTACATTCGACGCACTTGACCGTATTCTTCTTAACACACGACCAACCGTAATCAGCGAGATCTCTCGGCGAGACCGCGCAACCGCACCAAACCGGAGCCTAAAACCGATCAATAAATGAAAAAAAAGAATAAAAGCAAACCTTGTACGTTTTAATGATTGATTTGTACCCTTCAACATCGCAAAGTTTTTGAGCATATGCTTTCCTGAAACAAAAATCAACAGGATTATAGCGAAATTTAGCAAAAATCGATACCTTTTGGCTGAAGATGATTTAGTAATTTCCAAAAGATCATTCATTGACATATTCGCTTTCCTTTTAAGAGCATTGTGTCGCTCTTTTATCGCGTCGACGTCCATTACCGAGTATCCGAGTAGCAATGCCTTTAAAAGGTTAAATTTTACAAATGAAAACGGACTATATTTAAAAAACGTAAGTAAAATAGGACGATTAAGAGTTAGAAATGATAAAATTTGCCAAGTTTCAAAATCAGTACAGTACTGAACGAAATAAAATAATCGGTGAATGGTGGTGGAAAGACGCATGGCTGAGTGCGCTCCGTGGGTCTCGCAACGATGCCGCCTCCCCTCTCTGCATTACGATTCCGTACCCTTCACCCTCTCCGCTCTTGATGCCTCCCATCGCGCAGCCCATCAATAATTCGCTTTGGCTTGACGTCCGGCTCAATTTTACCGATTTTCTAGTGTGAAATGCTCAAAAACCACTGGAATTATCGTGCTGAGCCGTGGGAAGAAGCCAACCTGTCCATTTTTCGTTTGAAAGTCATGTGACATCGGCACAATAAATAAAATAAGTAGCGTCGTCTGACAGCAGTTATCGATTTGCAAGCAACACTTTTCGTATGATTCATTAGCTTATTCACGAAATGTTATCAACTTTTGACGAATCTTGTTTCTCGAAATTTCGAATGCAGAATTTAATGAAGCGATTTCGTTAAAAAACACTTTACTCTTCTTGTCTCTATATTCTTTTTCTTTCATTCATCGATTTAACGATCGATAGTCTTTTTTTTAATTTCCAAATTACCGCTATCAGTTATGAATACTGATACGATAAGAAAACGAATCTTTCGTCCAGGGAAGTTTATTTCTTTCAATCGACGAATATATTTACGCAATAAAATTTGATTTATGAAACAGTTCACCTACATGTTCAATCTGATTTCTGTTATCGGAGAGAGCGAATTCAGGAAACAAAAAAAAAGGGTAGAATTGAACGCGAATCGAGCGATGCCATCTGGCGTCCCGCATGACCTGACTATTTAGTCTGCCAATTTTGTTGTGGCGGTGTGACGCCGCAGAGCGTCGTTACAGTCCTCACAGAAGAGTTTCTTGAATTCTTCGTGTTTCGTCGGCGTTGATTTTCAAACATCTCGTCGAAACCTGTTTGTCGTTTCTTTTCTCAAACGATCATTTTCCGTTACAAAACGTCGTTTCAAAAGTTTCGATCCAAATCGATTTTCGCTGATAGAGACGCAGATGGTTTTCCATAAGTTTGCCGTGCTGGAAGATGTTTTGCTTCGCGAGTCGCATGACCGTCCGTTTCATTTTTCTCGTTTATATACGCCCACCTATTTTATTTCCTTTTCATTTCAGATCTTTCATACTATTATCTGTCTTCCGCGTTCCTTTGCGAAAATGTCAACGAGCAGCGACGACCATTCCGACAAAGAGGTACAAAAAAGAGAATGATGAGCAAAATATTGAATTTATTTTTTAGTGTCCATTGTGCATGGAAGTACTTGAGTTGGATGACATCGACTTCTACCCCTGCAAGTGCGAGTACCAAGTAATGTTTCATTAACTCATCTCAGTTATATAATTTTGATTTTTTTTAGATCTGCCGGTTCTGCTGGCATCGGATACGAACTGACGAGAATGGCTTGTGCCCCGCTTGTCGTCAACCGTATCCCGAAGATCCCGTCAACTTCAAGGTAAATTTGTCGCAATATTCATTAAATCATGAAAAATTTTTATTTTTAGCCTCTCTCGAGCAGCGATGTTCAACGGCATAAGAACGAGAAGCGCATGAAGAAGCAGGCGGAGAAGATGCGAATCTCGGAAACGAGGCAACACCTCGCGAATTATCGAGTTCTGCAAAAGGTCTGAAAATAACTTCCTCCGAAGACTTGTTTATTCTTTTCTGTTTTAAGAATCTCGTCTACGTTGTGGGGCTCTCTACGCGTGTTGCCGATCCGGAGACATTGAAAAAACCTGAATATTTTGGGCGTTTCGGAAAAATTCTCAAGGTAAATGCTATTCATGAAAAAAAAACGAAATATCATCATTTTATAACCAAAAATTTAAGAAAATTCCTATTTTGCTTTCAACCTTGTCTCGTATCGAACAATTTTTTATTTTTTAAACTTCCTTAAATTGAAAGCGTTGATGTTTGCTATTGAAATCTCAAGATGTAATACTCTCTTTAATAAATAACATGAATTATTTTGCAAAATAACAAAATCAAGTTTTACTAAATTTGTTAAAAATAAATGAACATTTTATTTTCAGGTGGTGACTAGCATTGCGCCAAGTGTTTATCCCCATCAACATCTCCCTCCTAGTCATACGGCCTATGTAACCTACAAGAAGGTCGAAGAAGCTCTTCGAGCTATACAAGTAGGCAAAACTATGTTTTATATCTTAAAATTATTAATCAGGGAGTGAACAACTCATATCTAGACGGTCGACTAGTCAAAGCGTCATTAGGAACGACGAAGTATTGCTCGTCATTTTTACAGAGCCGGAAATGTTTCAAACCCGTAAGGGACTCTAGCTTTCGTTCATTCAATTATTTGCTTTAGGAATGTATGTACTTGCATGAAAATGCGGACCCTGAAATAAGCTTTACAAAGGACGACATGCACGCTGGAAAACATACGGAATATGAGAAGAAGTTGATAGAGACTGTGCTGAACCGTCCACCACCGCCGACTCCGACGGTCGCCAATATTATAGAGAAGAGTATTACTTTGTCAAAGTACATTGATTCAGTGTGATCTATTGTTCTATTGATGGTTCCCATTTATAGGCCGGCACCGAAACCAGCCCAACCAAAGACGATATCGCAATGGGAGGCAGCGAACGACGGCGGTGATGAGATGGACGACGCAGCAGAGAGCAACGAGGACGCCGGCGAGAGGTTAGACGATGTTCGAGCAGGTTCATCGCCTCAAAATAACTCGCCGAGCAAGTCGCCTAGAGACGCACCGGACAACACATCATGTAAATCAAACGATTCGGTGAGTTTTTTTTAGAATCAGCGGCACTCACTAAGAATAAACTGTGTTTTTGATTTTAAAAAATAACTAATTTTTTTAGACCAAAAACTGTCTAAATATTCGTCATTCAAAATGAAACAGCTGAAATAGTTAAAATATGATATCATATTGTTTAGGCTTCTGTGGAAGACCCAGCACCTTCAAATGTCTCCACACCTGCAGTTAAAGGACGTCGCAGTAATGCATCAGCCAGAGATCGACAATGGTCAGAAAGGGACGAATTTTCAGTGGCACAAGTAATTTCATTAAAAAAAATATATTTCAATATTTATAATAAATTTCAGAGTCACTCACCACCAACAGATCCAGAAGCAAACGACGCAGATGATAATAACATTAATAGGTACATTACTGAAGATTTCAAACCGAATTTTATGTTTTGTATCTCAGGCTAGACGAAATGATGTCGAAATTGTCGCACAATGACAACGACGACTTTAACAGCTTCTTCGGTGTTCCAGCACCAGCCGAGCACAATGAGGCTCCAGCTCCTCTTGTTAACTGGCAGACACTTCTTGGTCTGGCGCCAGCAGCGCCATTCCCTGCCCCAGAGCCTGAAAACCTGTTCTCATCGTTGGCTTGGCCACCGAGCACAGCTACACAGTCATCGCTGTCAACAACGACAAAGCGCTTGGCACCAAGTCCACCGCCAGGGCTCGCGAGATTCGCGTCAGAAGACGACTTGGGCTTCGATCCGTTCGCGGAATCCTCCAAGGGATTGTCTGCATTGCTGCAAGAAGAACAAGAGCAACCACGACACAATCATATGCCTGTATTCCAGCCGACATCTCTGACACAGTAAGATATCAATAATTTTTTCCGAGATTATGAGGATTATTTTCAGATTTTTGATGCAAAATCACGTGCCGCACCAACAACAACAGCAGCAAGAACAGGGAAAATCGTCGCTGATGCACGCACTCCACCAACAGCAACAGCAGCAACAACAGGCTGCATTGTTACAGCAACAGCAGCAACAATCACAAGTGCCGTTTGGTCAGCCGCCATCATCCATGGCTTCTTTATGGCAATCGTCAGTACAATCGATGTTCTCGAACAACTATTCTGCACAATCGCAACTGGCATCGAGAATGCAGCAACAACAGCAGTCGAACTTCGATCCGTTCTCCTCATCGCTATCGCTTCAGTTTTTGCAGCAGCAACAGCAACAGCTCGCGCAGGTGAGTCATATTTGTTTGGTGAATGAGTGACATTATAAAAGAAAGAAAAGATTCCGATTAGTCAATATTGAGACAGTAGAAGAACACGAAGGTACCATATGAAACAAAATTCAAAGAAATTTTGTAATAATTCAATTGGAATGTTTTGCAGCAACAACAACAACAGCAGAATCCGCAGCCGAACTCGTTCTTCCAGGAAATGGTGGCAGCTCGCAATGCAGCAGCCAACACATCGATGTTTTCGCACTTCCAACAGCCACATCAATCACAACAACAACAACAGCAACATCATCATCATGATATGTTTGGAATTGCTCCACCACCAGGTCTGCCAGCGCGACCATCTGCCTCAGCGACACAGCAAATGCACCATCAGTTCTTGTTCGGAGCTGGAAGTACACAACAACAACAACAACAGCAGCAGCAGCAGTCACAGCAGCAGTCAAATCAGAGCTCGTCGCAGAGTATGCAGGAGATGTTCAAGGCGCTGTTACCGAACGTCAACGTGCGGTTCATGGACGATTCGACAATGTCTCGTTTGTCGCATGAGAACAGTCTGCGATCGAACGGACAGAATCACAATAACGTCCTACCGCCACCGGGATTCTCGTCTGTGCTAAATCCCTGAGTTGTCCTGTTTTTTGCGCATTCATTTCTCATTTAATATTTCGCTCCTTTCCTTCTATTTCACCTTCATATGTTACTCTTCTCTGGCGCTTTTTCGTGGCTGGACCACCCGTTTCAGCGCTGGCTAATAGTGCAGCGAGCAGGCTGCACTATTTACCATCATGCTTTTTTTTTAATTTATCGATCCCTACCGTTGGCTGGTCATTCATTCCTTTCGATCGTCCATTCATTCTTTATACCACAGATTTAAAAAAAGAAACGCACAAGAAATGAAAAAGAAGAAGAAAAAGATTGGCGCGTTGTTGGTTATTAGTCGTTGTATTCAAGAAGAGTCCTCTCTAGTTTTGGTGATCCCGGTTGCCCCGATGTTCATTTATTTTTTGTCTTTTCTTTTGTATTACCGCGCATAATAATGGTTTTGTTCTAGGTTTGTGTTCAATTCTACTTGGTAGAGTTGGGTGTCCATTTGCGAGGTTTTCCAATGTATTCGACATATTTCCAACTGGCGCTTTTCCACTTTTTTCTCTGTCTCTCTCTCTCTCCTCTCCAAACTTGGATTCCATACTTTAGTGCTTCATTTCCTTTATTTTTTTTCTTCCAAGCCCCAATTCAATCTTGTTTTATTATGATTATTATTATTATTGCAAACTTCTTTTCTTCCCCCAAGCAGACACACACACACACACACACACATTATTCTTTTTCTTATTATTATTATTTTCATAACTATGAGAGAGATAAATGATTCGTCATTTTTTGTTCGTATCCATCGCTCTCTTTTGATAATGAGATTGATACCACGAATAAATAGTTTATGTTTTCGATTTAGGTCTCAATTTTCTTTTTTGGTGTTTTCCTCTTCTCTTATTTGTTGCTCGCATTCCCGGAATTATTGTTATTTTCAAAATTAAGATGGAGCGACCGTCGACATCGTTTGACATCGATGAATGGGAAAAGTCTTTTTGTGAAAATTTTCCCAACTTGGCTGAACGGATTTGTGAGTTGGATGAAATTGAATCGAAAAAGAGGGTTAGCAAAAAGTAAGGTTTCATTTTTTTTCAAATTGTGAAGCTCCTAGAGATATAAAAATTTTTAAAAAATCGAATGAAAACGTCGGAAATCGACCTAGCTAAATTATATTCATTTCGTTAGGAAAAACAAGTTTTAAGATAACATTTTTCTTTCTTTTTCAATTTAAAGATTAGTTTAAATTATTTTAGGTTTAAGTGTCAGTTGATTGACAAAAATGAGTCGGTTAATTGATTCGCTGACATTGAAGTTTTTTTTTATAAAAATCAATTTGAGACCCCTAAAATAGATTAGAAGTTAGGGTCGAATAATTAATTCACATTGAAGGCAACAAAAACGCGATCGCATCGCAAGATTGACGGAAATGATGAAAAACGGGAGAAAATTGTATGAGACGAACGAAATAGTGCGTCTGCCGAAACCGTTAGCAGCAAAAGAAGAGATTCGACGCGTCGAAACATTTCAGGAGGAACCGCTAAGTTTATTGAGGAAGTGTCAAGAGGAAAACAAACTGGTGGAGGTATGATTTTGTTTGAATCATTATTTGTTATTCATTTTATAAATTTCTATGGCCGAATTTAAATATATTTCAAATTGAGCTTTACTTTTTCTATTAAATGTTTACTGTTAATTTTTTTTTTTTGAATAACGAAGCACTTGCCATAGCAGTTGGAAGATGCCGTTAAAATTGGTAATGTTCCAGGTTCGGACGTTTTCCAAAAATGGGGTCGATCGAATTTTCGTCGGAACTCCGATTGCTTTTGACCGAAATCTCAATATATCATTGAAAAATGCGAAAGAAACTAGGCTTCTAAAAAGGTATTTCAAATTTTTCAAACAAATATGAAATTTTGCTGTTTCCGTCATTCAAAACCGCCGAAAACCTCAAAGCTGATTCTACCTTATCTTCGATGGACGAAAGGTGGATATTGGCCAATGAGTAAATCAAAAAACGATTTTGTTGAATCACGAAATCTTCGTTCTATCGTAATACAAAGCAAGCGGGTTCTTCTTATTCGTCGGTTATAAGTTACACACTAAAAATATTTTAATAAATAAAAAATTTATCTATAAAATAACTAAGCCGTGCGTTGATAACGTAACGAAAACCCGAATGGATGTCAAAGTTCTCGTGTGAAAGAGGCACTTAGATATTTCACTCTTATTCAAAACAATCAAAGGAGGCGGATAATATAAGACAAAGTGAAGAGGAAATGGTAATAAAAAATAAGATTAACAACATGGGTAGGGGAGCAAAATTCAACAAAAAACAATCGATATACATCTCAATTTTAAATAAAACAGTGAATTGAACATTGTTGTGTTGGCTACCCGGAAGAAAATCGAAGAAATTAAGGGGAAGCGACTACCTACGAAACAGTGAGCAACGGGTTATCATGACGGCATCTTTTTTTTCCAAAAATTGTGTTATTGAGTTTATTGTCGCTGTTGAGCACGAATGCCAGCGTAGAGATTCATAACCTGAAACGTCGCATTTCATTTAAAGAAAAAACTAATCGAATGGAATTCTCCAAAATCCGGAATTAGAGAAACTTTCAAAATTCTAACCTCCTTGTCCAGATTCTTTCCTTTCAGTGATGTCAACAAATTAAGAAGTTGATCAGAAAATCCGCTAGGGAGCAACTCACGAATTGCACACGAGAATCCATTTGGATCGGTTTGTAAAAGAGCAACCAAAGTCGAGCACACTTCGTGAACAACCTGAAATAGAATTATTGCGAAAAATAAGTTTTGTCTTGTCTTACTATTGAACTGCCCGCATCCGATGGTGATATGTGCGACAACGAAGGGACTTCCAAAGCGATTCGAAGAGTTTTCGCCGACCAATTGGGTAGAATTTGTGATACTTTTGCAAGACATGCAAGAGCAACCTTCTGCGAAGTCTGATCGGTCGAAAGAGCGAGTCTCGCGGCGGCTTCCAGCACATGCTCAAGCAGGCCGGTTGTCGCAGAAAGCGATTCAATGCAATCGCTGACAATTACGGTGTAGAGCAACTGAAGGAATGCTCGTTGCACGTAAACTAGCACACGTTGACTTTCATCTAAATTTTGAAATTTAATTAAAATTCAACGAGAATTTCACCTTTTGCCGCAGTAATATTTTCTTGTTCCTGCATCGAAGCTCTTGCAGCTATTGCGAGAACGTTTCCAAGATCAACGCCACTCGAAAGCATTGCCTTTTTGAATTTCGCAACCGCTTGGTGGCAGAAAATCAGCAAATGTTGCATTGCATCCAAATCGGTTGAGACTAGTGCCAATTTCTCAAATATTCCCCTCATAAACGGCATCAGTTCTTCCTCCATCGAAACAACAAGACGATGAGCAAATTGACGAGTTGATTCCAAAAGGAACGAATTCTCCACCGAGAGAGTATCAATGAAAAGCTGAATTTCAAGATTAATAATTTTAAAAAATAATTGAAAATACCTTAATTAGCCTTAAGTAAATATCCACACAGTTACAAGATTTCATTGATTGAACATTCGTAAACGCCTTCGACATTCGACTACAGTAGATGATAATGTTTGACATGAATGTCAAAATCGTTTGAATCGTCTCTTCATCTGCATTTCGACTTCGCGCTGTGTTTAATTCAGCAAGAGCTGCTTCGAATTTCGAGACAAGCGTTGAAGCAAGTTCACCGAAGTATTGTGCCTAAAAATTTGGACGAATAAATGCGGAAACGAACATTCCTTTCCGTTTTCTTCTTAATCTCTGGTAACTCAAAACCAATCGGATTCGACAAAATTCGGCTCCTAAATTAACCTTATCCGATTGGTAATTATACGGATAAGATTTTTTTGTCGAATACGATTCGAATTGAAATATTAAAACAAAACGGATTCGAATAATTACCAATCGGAATCGAAGAAAATCTAATCAGATACGACAAATTACCAATCGGATACGAAAATACCCAAAAAACCAATCGAATACGACAATTTTCCAATCTTATCCGTAGAATTACCAATCGGATAAGGTTAATTTCGGAGCCGAATTTTGTCGGATACGATTGGTTTTGATTTACCAAAGATCGGAATTCCGTGCAACTTTTTCTATTTTTTATTAAGTTATTTCTATGTACTGTTTTCACGTGAACTGCTTCATTTTTCTAGATGGGTTTCGCATTTCTTTGAATTTCCAACGTCATTCGATTAAAAAATTATCGAACCGTTCCATCAAATTTGAAATAAGCTGTTAGTCTCTGTGAGACCAATTTGAAAGACGCATCCCCGTAAATCTACCCGCGTAGAGCAGTCACCGGACGCCTACTATAATATAAATATAATTAGCAACTACATTCGCAAAAAAACGACCGCCATGTGGAAATTTTCAGCGAGTTGGCTTCGTAGGTTATATAGCACACAAATTCCTATTGTTTAAATTCAAATTTAAATTACCGCCTCGAAAAAAATTGTCCACAATTATACAAGTCGCTGTTTTTTTGTTCTAAGATATACGATATCGTTGTCATTGGTTTTTCGGGCATTTAGCCAATTTTTCGGCATTACGTATGTTGGCAATACGAGGATTCTAGGGACTCGAAAACAACGAAATGTTGTAATGTTGTAAATATATCTCAGGAAAATAACATAAATTTTCAAGCCAATAAGTACCTTCAAATCAGGAGACAAATCTCCAAAAACGATCAGCGTTGCGGTTGCTTCAAAAATATAAGCTTGGTCATCCGAAGAAAGCAGCTGATTTGCTTCAGATTGTGGAGAAACCGCTAATAAAGGTGCGAGGCGAGTAATTACCTGAAACGAACCCAATACATCACCAAAAAAAAAATAATAGATACTTCTGCAACCAACTTGCTCAGTACAACTTTATGAGCTTTCACAAATCGGCAAAACAAATACACTATACGAGTTCGAACGTTGATACATGGAATGGCTATTCCGCGTTGATCAAGGAATGCGGCGGCGATGTGTGTAATTACAGCAGGCTGTTGTTGGAATGTGAGAAGACGTTCATATCGGCACGCAAGCTAATCAATAGTATGTTTTATAAACGTTTACTTTTAAAAGATAAATCTACCTCAAAATATGTGACATGAATAGTAGCTGAACGCCCATCTAGTACCAAACCTTCAAGAATTGCGATCGGAATCCGTGCGGCCCTTTGAGCCACATCATCGCGAGGATTTTGAAGCATGTTACTCTAAATTACAAAAGTTTTACATTTCTTTTTTATTTCTGAATATCCTACTGGAATAATTTCATGAAGATGGAATACAATATGAAGAAGGGCTTCAATTCGAGGAACAGATACTTGCGATCCTCCAGTAGTCACTTCCAATGCCCATGGTTCGATAGCAGATATTATCACTTCTGGTCTCTGAAAAAACGAACGATTCTCTAGAGCAACACTTTATCACGTTTTACCTTAACACCAATAACATTGAGAATAGAACGAAGTTCTTTACGATACTCCTGAAATTCTGCTTCATCTTCACCACCACCATCCACATTCAAATCTTCTCCCATCACGTATCGTGCTAAAGATATTTGAATGGCTTTTGCAATAACATCTGTGCTCTGAAATTTATCTTTTAAACAGTACACCAAAAGAAACATACTTCTGGGAAGAATTTAAGAATGAATATGATATAGGCTCTCAGAATATCGATTGAAAGCTCACTGAGCTCTGGATTTTCGTTATTGAGAACGTCAAGAGCAGGCTGAGCAAGAGCAGCAAGTTCGGCGACGCATTGTTTCTGCTGTTCGTCCATTATCGAGTTCATGCATAGTCTGAAACTTCTTGATTTTTATGTGTTTCGATCCCAAAATGGTCAACAGGTAAGATCATCCATGCCTAATCCATTCCTATGCCTCGTAATCTGCGACGCATGACTCATTATGCCGTTGCCGCCGTCGGATACCAGTTCCGTATATCCCTTTTTCATCTCCTCGCACTTCAATTGGAAGCCTCGACATACACCCACTCAGATTTTCCTTTCCATATCGTTCACTTTCCAGGTGTTAATGCGCTTCTTGATAATATTTTCGCTATTTTTTGCAACTTCGCTTGCACAAGATAATTCTTGGCTCTGCGAATCACTAATCTGCGATCCGCCGAAGAAATGTGTACTTATTGATCAGGCAAGATAAAATTCAATGACTTAAATATTCAAGAAGAAATAGGTTGCGCAATGTCAAGTAGACGAATCAGCAACTCCAGCGCCATTCGGTACAATTAATGGTGGTCAATCTCTATTTCCTTCTCCTGGAGACAACACACCACCACCGTTTACATTTCCTTCTCCAGCTCCGCCGGCGCCTCAAAACACTCCGCCACCATTCACTTTTCCAACACCAGCTACAACTCCACCAACTCTTATACCAAACCCTACAACCACTCCACCATCTCCGTTCGCACCATTTTTAAACTTTTTAAATGGTGGAATGGCGAGTGGAGGACCAGCACCAACTCTTCTACCACCATTCACCCTTCCAACTCTTCCAACAACACCTCAGCCACCAACAACTCCGCGAATCGATATTTGCTTACTTCCGCCAGTTACTGGATCTTGCAGTCGTGCCAGAATAATGTGGTAAAACTTTACTTGAGGGTAATATTGACTAGAATTCGTAAAATTAAGGTACTACGACAACGAATCTCGAAGATGTGAGAGATTCAGTTGGAGTGGGTGTGGAAACGAGAACCGATTCACAAGCAAGCTTCAATGTGAGCAAACTTGCTCTCAAACATCACTTTTCCGTGGAAATTAGCATAATAATTTACATTGAATAATTGGCGTACAATGACGCGCGGCAGCTGCTCTACACGGGGCGATTTACAGGATTGTATATTTCTCTATGGTCTTTGACAAAATCATTTATTATATTGAAGACCCATTTCGATAATTTTCAATTTCAATAACGTTAGAGAAAAGAACTTATCTCTAAAAAACTAAACAGTATCCCATTAGTTTTAAAAAAGTATACACACGATAAAAGACTATAGCGAAATTCGTATATCCGTAAAAATTTACCAGCGTATAGCATTTGCCGACTATGTGTAAATATATAGAACTCTAATAAATGAACTTACTTTTGGTAAACGTCGAGTAGAACCAATCCCAAAGTGTTAACCAATGAACCGACACGAGTGATATCGTCTTCATCACTTGACTAAATTTGGAATGTCAGAAACATTTTTCAATTAAGCTAAAAATACCTCAGTGATCGAAAGGAGACCATTCGCGCGAAATACGTTCATCAGAGTTAATGTCAATCCGACTTTTTTGTCAGCTGGCATTCCTTTTTGCAATAGCCCGCAAACAGCATTTGTCGCCGCCTAAACAGAAAAGTTTTGGTGATTATAGATGATCTCTACCTCCGATGTCGAAGCTCTTGCAAGCCGATCAATGACTAAAGCCATGACCGTATCGTTCGCCACAAGATCAACTTCAATCCAATCAACGTAGGAAGCGATAGATTCCAAAACAAGGCACTGAACTGTGTCATTGTCGACAGAATTCTGAAAGAAAATATTTTTTACAATGTTAAAAAAATAATTATTTTGTTTAGAAGAAAAAGCGGATACATATAAAAATATTTTTTTTTATATTTTTTTTGAATTTCATATGCACCTTTTTCGTTTCAAGAAAAAAGAAACAAATAATAAACTACAAAAATAACTTGCAAAATTTTAAATAAGCTATTGCGTGACACTTTCACAGTATTATCACAATTTTTTTGAATAAAATGCATTACTTAATAATTGTTTCAAACATTATTCTTTTAAACGTTTTACCATGATTGTTGTCCAGCTCTGGGCTATTTGTGTAATGCAAATTTCACGCATGGCATCCTTAATTTTGACATTTCTTTCCCTTTCCTGTAATTTACTACTTTTAAAAATTTTCTAAAAAAAAAAGATTACATTTTTGGTTCGTTGAATATCCCGATCAACAACTTCCGAATCGATTGCAAGCAAAACTTTCAGATAGAAAAATGCAATTTTTCGATCTACGAAGTTTTGTGAAAAAAATCTTGAAATAAGTTTATGTGATTTGAAATTTTTAAATTACTCTTACAAATCTTGAAAAAATGTATTCCATTTATCAGGAAAATCGGCAGCAAAAGCGAGTGCAAATATTTGAGCCATTTTGTTTGTAAGAAATATTGGTGGATCTTCAGGTAAACCTTGAAACTTCTGTAAAGGGTTGTAAATTTCATTACGGTCTTACATTTACATGCTTACTTTAATATAATAAATAAAGAAATCTCGCATAATTTGCTTATCAGCCGGCAATGCATGATGATAGCGCGCCTGCAGGAAATCTTCAATAACTTGGAGCATTAAAAAGTGCTCTTCAGGGCTTCTGTAAATCAAATTTTTATAATTTTAATCAAAGAAAAACATACAATGCGTTATTGTTAATAATGGCGTCAATAGACTTTTTCCATCCGCTATCGTCTTTTTTTAAAGTTTCCAAATAACGATAAATCTGTAAATTAATAGTATTAATAACAATGAGAAAGATTTTTAGAAAACCTCGGCTTGTTTCGTAGGATCATTCAATGCAGCGACCGGAAACCGCGGCATATTCCCATTAATGCTAACCATTTTGATCAAATTTCTTATAAATCTCAAAAATACCCACTACTGCTATTTCATTAGACGATTTTTATTGTTTTCTGTATTCAAACTGTAAAAAATTAATTTATCTCGAAAAATACTTTAATTTCAAGCAAAAACGGCGAGAAATTAAAAAACTCAGTAAATATTTCCAACTATTTGGCAGATGGCCAGAACTAGGGTCTCGCCACGATCGGCTCGTAAAACGTCATGCGCCTTTAACCAACTTTTTTCCTTCTAATTTTTTTCCCGTGTTTTTGCATTTGTCAATCGGTTTTCGGTTTTTTTTTTATAATTTCAGTATTAAAAATAATTATTATATAGGAATGCACAACAAATCTACACATGTGCAATAATTTGTTTTTTGTATATTTATATTTGCTAGGTCTTTTTTCGCAGTTATTTATTATTATTATTTTACAGAAAATGGCCAAGAGTCTACGTTCAAAATTTAAGAGAGCTATGCGAGCTACTGCACGTATTAAGAAACAAGTGAAAAGCGATGCTTTATTGCAAAAAGTGATTGAGAAAAGGGAAATTTATGAAAAAATGGAAGCCGGTACGTTTGCCACTTAATCATTCCAAATTTTTGGAAATCTGTGTATTTAAAGCGTAAATAATTATTCGTTAGCGTCAAGAAAACAATTGTCTAATTATTCTGTCCGTTGCCTCGACAATTTTTTTGTGAAAAAATCGGTTACTAAAATTTACAAGAGAAACTCAATAAATTATGTGGGAATGATCAAAACACTAAATAAATTGTCGTTTATAAAGTAGAGTTGCCTATTTTTTTCTGTATTAAGTTGAAACGAAAAGTTGATTAATGATTTTTTTTACAATATTGGACATCTCTAAATTCGCCTTTCGATTATAATGCAAAAGTTTTTTTTCAGAAAAAGCCGCCGCGTCCACTTCAAATGACGCAGACGCGGTGAGTCCAGCAATCGCATAGTATAATCATTGAAAACCCTGCCCTCTAATTTAGATGGAAGTCAATGGACCACCAGCGACAATTAACGTGAAGACCATGAAGAAGGCTGATGGAACTTTTCCATCATGGCTGAACGGAAAGTATGTAATTGATCATTTTGACTTTATCTTAAATTGTTTTTAAGGAAAAAAAAGAAGGCTCTATCAAAACTCAAAAGCAAGAAAGGAAAAGGCAGAAAGCATGGTTTCTGATAAATTACTACTTGTAAATATTGTTGACCACTGTTTTTACATTGTTGCCTGTTGTATTGTTCTCGGTTTGGATAATTAATAAAACTGTTCCAACAAATTGTTTATTTTCTAATATTAAAGAACTTTACCAATATTTGTGTCACAGAATTGAAGATTCGCTCGAATTTGTTTGAATTTATGGTATTGTAAAAATAATGGCAGAAAAGCGTTTAAAATCTTAAATAATCAAATACTGCACGAAAACGAGCACATTGTACAATTGTTTTTCATCAATCGTCTTTCTTCACTTCGGAAATTCAAATTTCGATTTATTTCATTGGGAATTCGGGCGCAGTAATATGGATGAACTGTCAAACGCAACGAAAAATCTACGACTTTTTTTGGAAACGTAAATAAAAAAAAGCGTCCGTCACGCAAATTGCAGGTTATCAGAGAATCGTGTATACATCCACGAAAATGATTGCCATTGTTTGAATATCGCCATTATTCAAGACAGCATACTTCAGTCAACCAACCGAGTTTATATCTTGAAAGCACTCAAAACTAGACTGAGAATGCTTCTTGAAGAATATTTATTGGAAAACCATTTAAAGCGGAATGAAATAACGGTTTATTTTAACAATAAATTCGCATAACAGTAATTAGTTGCGAGCCAGGAAATCGTGGTGACGCTGGTATGGTGACTTCTCCAGAGCTTCCTCCTTCCAGAGATCTGGGGTGAGGTAGGAGTATGTTCTTTGGAGGGCGGCATAGGTGGCCTTGGCGAAGTTTCCAAGTGTGGCGGTTTGTCCCTTGGCAGCGGTGTAGCAGTCTTGGATTCCAGCCATTTGAAGAAGCTTCTTTGGAACTGGAGCCGAAACGATTCCGGTACCACGTGGAGCAGGGATAAGTCTAACCATGACAGAGGCGCACTTTCCAGTGACCTTGCATGGAACGGTATGTGGGAGTCCGATTTTGTTACCCCAGTATCCTCTACGGACTGGGATAACGGCGAGCTTAGCGGCAACGATGGCTCCGCGGATGGCGGTGGCAACTTCTTTAGAGCACTTAACTCCGAGTCCAACGTGTCCGTTGTAGTCTCCAATGGCGACGAAAGCCTTGAAGCGGGTACGTTGACCAGCACTGAATAACTTAAATTATAAAATAGACAACATCAAGAACATACGTGGTCTGCTTCTGAACTGGAGAAATCTTCAAAACTTCGTCCTTAAGATTGGCACAAAGAGTATCAATGATCTCGAACTCCTTGATTGGAAGGGAGTTAAGATATATCTCTTCCAAAGTAGTGATTTTCTTTTCTTTGACGAGTCTTCCGAGCTTGGTGACTGGAGTCCATTCAGCTTCCTTCTCTCCACCACGTCCAGCTCTAAATATATCCATTAAAAATATTTTAATGAAATAATAGAAATCAAACCTTCCTCCGCGACCACCACGTCCTCCGCGACCTCCGCGACCACCACGGCCTCCACGGTCACCGCCACGAGCGGCTCCACCGCGTCCACGGTCGCTTCCAAAACCGCCACGGAATCCTCCTCGATCAGCCATGATGTGTGTACCTCAAGCTGCAATATTAATAAATAGATATACAATAAACATAATAAAAAAACGGTAATTAATTTGCCGGATTAACCGAAGAAACAATCTTTTCGAAATCTCAGCCCAGTTAAAATTTAGGCATATACATTTTTTATATTCGAAAATTGGAAACCACACGTTTTTATTAATAATTGCCAAAAAACTTCAAGAAACATGTAAATTTCAAAGGAAAACCAATTTTAGGCGAAGAGAAATGAAATTTTTTGAGGAAAAGAATAGAGGAGGGGGAATCGTGGCGAGACCCACGGCCTGCAACGAGGAATGCCCCTTTCGCTCACTATTTCGTATAGTGCTATTTTCTCTGCTGTCCTGGTGTTTCCACGTGTTTTAATGGACAATTAAGATTGAAAGTCATTTGAGTATCCATTTTATATAGAGATAGTAAAACTTTAGAAAAAAGGGGAAAAGTAACATGCAGTAGAAAACGTATTTTTTTAAACATAAAAAAACTTATTTTTTACTCCATTGCCTCAAAAAATAGAGATAGAAAATATTGCAGATAAAAACTTTATTTTCCATAATTTTGTTGCTTGTAATAGTTTTTGTACAAATTTCCGTAGTTGTAAAATGAGATTTTGTCCTTCGTTCCAATTGGTTGATTCAAAGGCATTCCAATGTCATCGTCAACGGTTCTCGGCCTACTCCACACCAATCCCATGCTCACAAATGCAGCATCGGGCTGCGATTCGCCGATAACCGTGTCGTTATCGAAAAATACGTGCGATAACGGCGGGTACTCCTTAAGAAAATCCAGTTTTAGGCAATAGTTCACGAATTCTTACAGTTGTCGCCGCATACATCGAGCGAATGACATTATTACGTTGTTCGAGTCTCGCAATATTTCGTAAGTACATGTTATATGAAGAAGTCTGCAGTTGAATGAAATGCAGTTGTTCTCGTCTCGTCAATCCGCCGATTAATTGGACAAATGTGGAGAAAAGTAAGACCGCATGGACTTGCATATTTAGAATAAACTGGCAAGCAAATATGATAAACGGTTTTTGCTGTAACAATCAATATCACATTACACAGTCGACGATCTGATAAACGTGGGATAAAAAACGAAAACAAATGATTTTCGACAGATTACTCATAATTCCACCCGTCGGTGCTTAAAATGAATCTTGCGAAAATAAGATTCTCTCGATAATCTGGAATAAACCTTCGTATCCATTAGAAATGATTACTTTGTGTGGCTCATATGCCAGGATTACAGTAAGATGGGCGGCATCTAAGCTGCTCGTATAAATTCGATGAGTTTTCCACACATCGTAAACATATCAATTTGTTTTTTTTTTCATTTTCGGTCGTCTCGTATCAAAAATTTTCTTCAGAACATTTCATGTCGAAAATTTGGCTAATTCCCTTGCTGATTCTAATTTTCTATCGGTTGGCAAATTGTCAAGAAACTGAGGAGCAATTACTTGCATCAAATGTTTCGACTGATGAGCCATTCGTAGTAGGCTCAACGCCGAACACGAATCCCTTGTTTCTGGCAAATTCCACAAATGGATTGTATAATGAACAAGGCAAAATTCGCATCAAATTGGGGCATATTGGCGCATTCGGCGCTCTTCGCAATGATGTCAAAATTCTCGAGGTTTCACACAGTTCGTTAAAAAAAGAGGGTATTTTGGACGATGAATTGGATGTCGAGTGAGTTTGAATATCAGGATATGTTCTAATGTTGTTTTATATTATAAGCTAGTTTTTTTTTGAATTTTTTATTCTTTTCTATACTATCGAAATTTAAAAAAAAACCTACATATCAGTATAAACCAGTTTTTTGTTCGAGAACAAGTATCCAATAGATATGAAAAAATATCATCTTGGATAATTTTGAATTCAAACCTGAAAAGAAAATATGTACGAATCGGAAAAATGGCTTTAAAGAAAATAATTTTAAATCTCTCTTAAATGATTCAAAAATTCTACAATTTAGTATTATCTCTCAAAATGGATGTGGAGAATCATACGAAGGTGTTGCCGTTGCTGCCGATATGTACCATCTACAAAAAGTTAAAGCTTTCATTGGTCCCTACTGTAACGCGGAAATGGATGCTGTCGCCAGAATGGCCGCGTTTTGGAACATTCCCATTACTGGATATATGGCAGCATCGAATGCCCTCGCCGATAAAAATGCGTACCCAACGCTCTCGCGAATCTCGGTTTCTGCGATATTTTCTAAAAAATGATCCAATTCGTGTTAAGACTCGAACAACTAATTCAATTGCTGAGGCGACATGTGCAATGCTAAAACATTTTGGATGGCGAAAAGTTGCGATTGTGACGAATACTGGAACATTGGCTTATGACCGAGTTTATGCATTCGAAGAAGTTCTTCATGCAAGAGGAATTTCTGTTGTTAAAAAAGTTTTTATTCAAAAACAATTTTAGTTTTAATTAATTTTTGGCTAGGTTATGTTCGACGAGTTCGCCGATCAGAAGGCAATGATCGCTTCAGGATTGCTCAACGAAATTCGAAACAATGCGAGAAGTTGGACGAAAACTGAAATCGAGTTCAATTTCAAACGAATTTTTCAGTTATTATATGCCTCTTCTCGAATACAAGAGAATCATCGAGAGAATTTCTGACAGCTGCAAACCAGCAAGATATGTCCGTCAACGAATTCGCGTTCATCTTTCCATGGCTACAGGTTTGAAAATCTAAAAATCAAATTGAAAGTATTAATTTCAGACTTTTAAATTTTTTATTGATATATAAAAATCTGCAACTAAATTCTTCACAAAAATATTAACTAAATTATAGGATGGCGGCAAAGACGTTGCTCCTTGGACAGGCGCCGATGGAACGATGCTCCAGAAAGTGAAGGATCAATATGCAAACGCTATCATAGTAATTCAAGACCCCAATTTCAATTAAAGTGATTAATTTCAGGTGGACGATGTGAACAGTTTCGATAATACCATTGTTGGACCATTTATCGAGAGATTGAAGGAAGCCGGATTAACCGAAGCCGATGTTGACATTGTAAGTGTTTCCCTCATTTTGGCTATCAATTAATGATTGAAGGCAAATATTTATGGCTATATCTATTTGTTTGATGCCCTTAAACTCTATGCAATGACTGCTAGAAAAGTGTTGAACGAAACGGGAAAACCGGAGAATCTTTTAAATGGGCGTTTGATGTGGAGCAACATGCGAAGATTATCATTTGATGGAATGCTCGCCTCGTCTGGAATTGCTTCTGGAACAATTATGATGGATGATCGATCGGAACGAGCAGCGCTTTATAGAGGATTCTTTGTTTCTCCAAATTCTGAGCAAGTGATGCCGATGGTTCATATGGAACCGACGATGGTTGACAATTGCGATGGAATTGCTAACAAATCTGGTTGCTATGAGATTATTGTCACCGATATCATGCAAGACTTCTGGCCGTCAATCGACAGAAAAGTTCCAAAGGTGAGCAACTCGAATTTATTTCGATTCTTCGAAAACCTCACGATTTTGTAGGATGAGCCCGCTTGCGGCTACCGTAACGAGAAATGCGATTACACGCTTCTTATAGTTGGCGCCGCACTAATCCTGCTCTTCTTAATCGCCGTCGTATCCGCTTTCTTTGCGAAGAGGATTCTGTAAGATAAATTCGACGAAGCTAAACAAGCAAATCTTCGCGTTTTCAGTGAAAAGAAGGCGCTTGACAAGTTGCCTTTCAGAATATACAGAGATGATATCCAATTCATTGACGAAGAGCAACTTAAGAGTATGGTTAGTTGGGCGGAAAATGAGAAATAATCAGAAGAGAGACACTCTTTGAAGCTTTCCTTGGGAAGTACTCGAACAAAAATGAGCAATATGAATTACGGCTCAAGAAATCACGCAATTATTGGAACCAACACGCATGCAATTTATCATAAGTACACAAATGTTTTATTTAAAAAAAAAATCACATTTAATGAATGTTGTAGATATAATCAAAGACGGCCAATTGTGTTCAATCGTGCCGACAAAACGCTTTTGCAATTGGTAAAGCAGTCAAATTAATGTAGTTTGGGAATAAAGCGATTTTCAGATGAAAACCGCCGTTCATGATAATATTAATCCATTTTTGGGAATGGTTTGGAATGAAAGGGAGGAGCTTCTCCTTGTATGGAAGTTTTGTTCTAGGTAGTCTATCAGGTTTTTCTAGTTTCCATTATTGGGTCAATATTCAGAGGAACACTTCAAGATGTGATTTACAATGATAATATTCAACTGGATAGCAAATTTCACGGAGCGTTCATTCGAGATATCCTCTCTGGTTTAGAATATTTGCATGCTTCCCAAATTGGCTACCACGGTTCGCTGACACCGTGGGCGTGTCTAATTGATAGAAATTGGATGATTAAGCTGACGGATTACGGTGGGTTGAAACTCGTCGAAATGAATGTTGCAACATTTTACAGGAATTGCCGACCCATTGGAACGTTGGGAGAAAAATCAATGGGTTTCTCGCGACGATATTCAAGGAGAGGATGATAAATCACAAGCAACGCAATTTACAAGTGAGAGTCTGCCTCCTTTTTTAGAAGTTCAATTGATAACGATTATTAGGCATACTGTATGATTCGCCAGAGATGGTGAAAAATCGCGAGAAAAATCGACAGAGGAGGATCGACCAAGATTGGATGAAACAAAGCCAAAGTAGAAGGCAGCTCGGAGATATTTATGCGTTTGGAATGGTTATGTATGAAATCATTTTCCGCGCACTACCGTATCCGGAAGGCACAAATGTTATGGGTACGTCAGCAATTATCCCCCCCCCCAACTATAAACAAATCTGTAATTCTAGAAACTGTCGAGGCACTTCGTGATGGAACTAGAGTGATAAAGCCGTCGATTGCACAGAACAAAGTACTTTGAACAAGTACAAAAAACTGAAAATTATGTATATTCAATTTCAGATTCTTAACATGGATCTGAGCGCATTGATTCAAGATTGTTGGAATACTACACCAGAAATGAGGCCATCGTTGAGGAGAATCAAATTGAACATTGAATCGTATTTGAATGTGTATGTGATTGAAACAATTCACTGTTTGCAACGCCTCCCATCTTTTTTTTTTAGCAAAGGGTCGTTGGTAGATCAAATGACGCGAATGATGGAGCAATACGCGAATAATCTTGAGAAACTCGTTGCGGAACGAACTGGAATGTTGGAAGAAGCCAATCAGCGCGCTGATCGTCTGCTCAGTCAGTTGTTACCGGCGTATGTTGCCAATGAGCTGAAACTTGGAAGATCTGTACCGCCCAAGACATTCACGTCGTCTACCGTCTTGTTCAGGTTCAAGATTGGAAAGAAGCAAGACTAATAACAATTTCAGTGATATTGTGGGATTCACTGAAATGTGCCAACATGCTTCGCCGCTTGACGTCGTCACAGTGCTGAATGGAGTGTTCGACGGATTTGATCAATTCATTGCCAGAAAGGATGCGTATAAGGTGGAAACAATTGGAGATGCTTATATGGTTGTGTCGGGTGTACCGGAAGAGAATGGAAATCGACACATTAATGAAATTGCGAGCATTGCATTGGACGTGCACCGATTCCTCTCCGAATTTGTGGTGCCTCACAATAAAGACACCAAAATACAGTGCCGGTTGGGATTCCACACAGGACCGGTTGCAGCTGCAGTCGTCGGTCTCAATGCTCCTCGATATTGTCTTTTCGGAGACACTGTAAACATGTCGTCTCGAATGGAGAGTAATGGAGATCCCGGAAAAACGCAGATATCGGAAGCAGCACGCAACCTGCTCGCCAAAGAATATCCTGATTATGTTTGCGAGAAACGAGGAGAAATTCCTATTAAGGTATTACGACCAACTTTTCAGAGATTAACTGAAATTGTAGGGCAAAGGAATGTGCACTACATACTGGCTGACAGGCACGAAAACGGGTGGAGATGGATCGAGCGGAAACTATCTTTTAACGACGACGAAAGGTTCTGACGCAGCATTCGGAGGAATGATCGGAAGTGTATCGAAAGAATACTCAATGTCGTATAGAAACCCCACCGGATTGCAGAGATAAATTTTCTAATTTTCGAATAAAGCACTTAACCTGACTTAAAATTCCGCATCCAGTGATGACAGAAAGTGGTCCGGCCATATATGTACATCGCTTTAAGCAGGATCTTCATTTTGATAAGTTTTGTTATCTTCAACTGGAAAAAAAACAGAACAACCTACCGAACCAACCGATAAGGTTAATGTTCAAAAAAAAGGATCACATCAAAAAATCAAGCACCCTGCGTTTAGTTTTTGATTCACAGGTTGTCGGGGGGATGAAGTGATTGTGGTTCCTAATAGTGACTCAAAGCCCCGTTTGCCCTATCATCCCGATCAAGCCATAGAATATTTTTATCAGAATACAATATGAATATGATATGGAGTGGAAAAAATTGTTGGCTTGAACTAGTAAAAAAATATCAAAATTAAATACAATTATTTATTCAACGCATCAAAAACTTGATTCAAATGTTTCAAATGCATATTCCACGATTTTTGTCGCATTTTGAGCACTTCGAGCATGGTTTTCCTTCGATGTAAATCGGTTTATTAATGAAATTTCCCCTGTGTATCAATTCATTTTCGTATGCTATTGCCTTTGGTAATACCGTGGCCAATAATGGCAAACAACTGTAATTTTTTTAATCGGTTTTCCCGATTTTTTCGACTTCTCGTCGAATGTCGACAATCCGCATCCAATTTGATAAGTATCAGCCCATACCATTTGCGTCGCATGACCGATTCCAGAAGAGAACAGCTGAGAAGTGAGTTTATTCGTTTTCCAACCAAAATCCTCAAACTCCTTCAACCATTCCTCGCTAGCTTCCTTCCCCTGCGAATTTCTTTTTTCAATATTCTATAATTATAAATTCAAACATATTGATTGAGATCTTTTGGATTTGTTGCCCAATGCCACGACAAGTTCTCTCCAACATTTTTGTTTCCAGAATGACCTTCAGGATTTCGTGCTGCGTATTTCGCTGCCGATTTGGCTAATGTTTCGTTCCAATACTGAAAATGAATAGCGAATGCGAATCTAGTTATCTTTAATATACAATTTTTCGAAGATTTGCACCTTGTGGCTTCGACATGAAATGTCCATTGGCCAGCATTGATCGAGCATGATTGTGAACATCCAGAATCCGTTGAATACCAGCTTTTGAGAATTTGAAAGCTTCTATAATTATATGTTAAATGCAAACAAAAAGTTTGAAGCCGAACCGGTTATCACCACATTTTCTTCTTCAAAAATAATGAATCTTCGTTTTAGAAAAGCAAAATGTGGGAAAAAAATTTATCAAGGGGAAAATTGTCTAAGAAGTCCAATAAACGTATTTTCGTTTTTTTTGCACAGACCACAACTTTCATTAGCATTCAATAGATTTCTACTTTCTTTCTCAAGTTTCAATTTTGTTTCAACATTCGCTCAGAAAATCGAACAGCCACACAACATTGACATTTATTGTGATGATATAATTGCATTTTTCCACAAAATGAAAATTTGGCTTTATTCTTTGCAAGGCATTTTTAAAGTATACGTTACCTGTTTCAAAAAAGAAATTCGCTAGAAGAAATAGGAAACAGAACGGTTTTAGATGCATTTGTGAGGAATTCTATCGCGAAATCGTCCTGGCGAACCCATAATATTTACAACATTGTTTTAAAAGCGACACATGTTTTATTATTATTACGTTCCCATTTGGGTTTTTTTGTTTCATCATCCGCTAGGCGGAGATTATGCAAATGAAGCGACTCGATTGGTTTTTTGATCAATTGCCTCCAATTGGCCTATCGTTTCACTTTTCGCCACTTTTTTTTCTCGTGTTGTTCCATGTAAAATGTCAACGGTGTCGCCGGTGCCGGAGGAAAATCAAGACAAGAAGCTTGCGAATGAGCACATCAAGGTAAAATAAAAATATAGAAATTTGGTTAGATTTCTACTTTCAACTAATTTGAAGCACATCCCGTTTTTCTTCCTGTTTCTCTGCACAGTGTGCATGTGCTCAATTTATTCGAACACCACCGTCTACCAAAGCACCATTAATTTTCTGCACGAATACCGCAACGATTCAATAGAAGATTGTGAGCTCTCAACAATGATATTCGAGAAAAAATTAATCTGAATCGTTTATTTTTAGTCTACGAAGAAATCGATACCCGTTTCAATGCGGAAACCGAAGTCGACGAGAATGTTGTCACTAAATATGTTAACTACTTGTCGAACCCGCAAAAAGAGGGTCTGATCACTGTCACCTCGGTTGGCACAGTTATTGCAGCAGCTCCGATCACCAAAGCCTACAATAATATGGGATTTCGGTGAATTCGCATACGAGTTCAATTCGTCTAACATAAATTTTAGGAGATCGCTAGTAATGTGCGCAGTATTGAGTATCATTCCAGCAGTGTTCTTCCCGATTTGCGTCAACTCGAAAACATACTTATTGGCGATTATTCTTCGCATTTTTCAAGGTTTTTAAACGGTTATTTTAATCACTGAAGGTCGTTTCAAGGGGTCTCGCTTGCTGCTTTCATCCCATACGTTTGCAAGCTGTCGGTATTCCTACCATTCGATCACATTGCTATTCCAGCAATCGTTTTTGCTTATACTCATGTATTCCTCGCCAACTACAAATTGTACCGCGATGCCTTGAATTTTAGATAACTGAGATTTTCGTGCACCCAATTGCTACTCACATCGCTTCTTCGGGATTAGGTTGGCACGGAGCTCATTATGGTGCGAATATTGCCATCGTCATCATCTTCTTCGTGTTCGTAATTATCCATTTCGATGAAGAATTCAAAGATCGTGCTGCAAACATCGGATTTTGCAATGTATATCACGAAACTTTCAAAAATCCACTCTTCATGATTTCAGGCAATGTTTGAATATGAGAGAACTCGTTCTAAAACATTTTCACTCAAAATCCCGTACCTTTCGATCTATCAAGATTTCACCACTTGGGTCATTTTCTTCACCTCTTTCGCTTATGGCTGCGCACTTCAGCTTTTCTATCAATTCGGACCAACTTTCTTCCATAAGGTTTTAATTTAAATTTGAAATAAGAATTATTTCTTCAATTTCACAAATTCCTTTTAATTTTTAGGTTGCCGGACACAGTGAAGTCACTTCTGCATATCTCACCATAATTGCGCCGATTTTAAACATTGTAGTTTCAATGACATCGATTATTTTATTCAAGAAGCTCGCGTAAGATCTAACTTTTGTTTCTTTTGAATCGACGCAATTTTAGAAACGAGGAGCGAAATAAAATGCGATTCTTCAATAGTATCGCCTTCATCACTTGCGGCATCTTCCTATTCGCATTGGGATTCGTTGATCCGGTCAATAGTCCGGCGGTTGTCACAGTCATGTTCATTCTCGCTTCCTCGCTTCTCGGATGCTCCTACGCGGGCCATTTGCGAATGAATCAAATCCGTTCCGGCCACCTCCATCTATTCCTTCTCGTCAACATATTCATCGTCAACTCGGCTGCAATGTTCTTCTCTTCGCTTCTTAACGTCTTAATTGCTAAAAATACCGATTATGGTAGGAGTTTAATAACGAAAACCTAAGAATACCTAGTGATATTTATTTCAGCTTCATGGTCCACATTGTTCATTGTGCATGCTGTATTCCTCGTTATCGCCAACTTGATATTTGTGCTATTCTGCTCATCAGAAAGAGCTCAATGGGCCAAAGAGGGCTATGAAGATACATCGATTCGACCATACCGAGAGGAGCCTCTCCCCCAATTTCCTCTTTAATTTTTGCTTCACTTGTTGTACATAAATGTTTAAGTTATTAAAAGTGTTGAAATAATGCGAAGCCTACAGAGTAATGCCAAAAAAGGAAAAATCGGCTTTTTGCACTTTTGGGCTCCTAGCACATCGTAGAGTTAACGGATCGAAATGTAATCGGTACCATTATATACAGAATTTTATGCTCTATCAAATGACCGACACCGGCTTCTTCTTAATAAAAATTTTAAAAAATTGGTATTTTTATAAACCCTCGAAATTATGTTCCCCGAATAGAGCGAGGTGGAAAACCTATTTGATGCGAGTTTCATCGGACGATTTAAAGGTTTTGTTTTTACCAAAAATCCGAAACTTTATCGATTTTTCGCCACGGTTTCTCGCAAAATTTGCCACTATCTCGGAGTTTGCCAAGTGTATGTTAAGATGTCATAATTAGTATCTCATTTCTCGTATTGTGCGCAAGCGAAGTAGTTTAGAGTTTTTGGAATCGATGTTGTGCCTCAGCTTATGGCGACATGTCGGACGATCATTGTTCTAGGAACTGAGTGATCACAAGTTAACATATTATTTTAAAAAGTGAATAATTCGGCGTGTTCTCTGCAATATGACTTTGCATTTTTGAATTTGAATACGCATAAACAATGCAATATGCACTGAATTCGAGAAAAATCTGTAAGCATTTTTTTGCAATTCCCATATATTAAATATGAATTATTTAGATGTTTTTTTTTGTTAAATTTCGCCCGCCTCCAAATTTCTCATGGTGATTGTCGACGAATTAGGAATCGCATGGGAGCGCGACATCGCACACAAAATAACATCGTCAGTTTTGCGTTTAGTTCGATCAAATGCCTAACCATAATTTTTTTCTTCTCATATTGCTTATAAGTGGCATTGGTAAGCGTGTTTGAAATAATTTGAACAAATTAGAACGAGTTTCATTGGAATGAATAAATTTCAATTGAAAATAATTTTTTAGACACCATTAATAATGCTTAAAAAATAATGATTTTTCCATTATCAAATTTGCGAATTTTTCGTTTGCAGAGTGTTTGAAGTTTGATGAGGACGGGATTGTTGCAACAATCAATGCTCACAATAAGCTGAGGTCAAAGCTCGCAATGGGAAAATTGGTATTGAAAGGTTCGCCAGTGCCATCCGCGAAAAATATGATCAAAATCGTGAGATATTTATTTTTGACCGAAATTGAAACGTATTGTTTTTTTTAGAAGTGGAGTAATGTCCTGGGTGAGAAATCGCAAAAATACGCCGATAGTTGTCCTACAAATCATTCGCGCCATGCCAAATTTGGAGAAAACATGTACTGGCACACTACTAACAAATTGGCCAGCACACAGAGCTACGTAAGACGGTTGGAAAATATGCATTATAATCGCTAAAAACCAAGCACGCTGATTTTTGCAATTTGTCCTGAGTTAACTCAAAACCAATCGGATCTCACAAAATTTTGCTCCGGAATCGACCCGATCTGATTAGAAGTTATACAGATAAGATTGTAAACTTGCTGGATCCGATTGGTAATTGTTCCCATCCGATTAAAATTGAAAAACATAAAACAAATGGGATTCAAACAAGAACTACACACATTCGTGAAAAAAAGGAGTCCCTGCGTACGATTTACGGCGTGTTAGCTTCGCAGGTTATCCAGAGTACGGTAGTCGAATTCCCACTGTTACAATTCGAATTTGAATTACCGCCTCGAAAAAGTGAAAAATAATCTATATGTACCAAATTTCATGTTGCTATTTCAAAAAGTAACCGCGCAGTGATCCAAAACCGTTTATTGACCGGTGCAGAATTATAAACTACCCACGGGCTACCCACTTTTTACCCACCACAGACCTGTGTAATGAAAGGCGCAGGCAGTTTTTAGGTTAAATCTCGCAGCAGACGTTTCTGATGACAAGAGTTTTTTTTTCTCAGAAATATTGTCGGCGTCAAACGGCTGAACGAAATTTTAAGAAATTATTGGCTATGTGCCAATGCGTCCCAAGTCTGCAATGACCGCGAGACTACGTACATTGCATTATAACTTACGCGCATTTAATATTCAGTCAAAGAAAAATACAATGATTTCACGAATTTTCAGTCGTTTGATGCCGTGCAATATACATAATACTTCAATCAAACCGACGTTTTCAGGGGAGAATCGCTGCCGAAAGCTGGTGGCATGAGTTCGAAGTCTATGGATTGTCATCGATCACATATAGCGGAAAAAAACAGAAAACCACGTTGGGTCATGCAATTCAAATGGCTTGGCATGGAACACAATTCGTCGGATGCGGTTTGAATATTTGTGACGAGAATCAATTCAACAAAACAATGCTTGTTGTGTGCCGCTATTATCCAATGTTCGAATTGTCAAAAACAATAAAAGGAAGAACGCAAAGAATTTTTCAGGGGGAATATCGAATCCGAAACAATATTCGAAGAAGGAGAAACTTGCAGCAATTGTCCGAAAACTCATCCAGATTGTGAAAATGGACTTTGCCAAAAATCTCAATAAATTTGATTTGCTCATAAAATTTCACATTTTCTTTTCAATGATTCAAAAGATGACAGACTGAAAACGTGATTTCAAATAGTAAGTATAAACCAGAAATACAGTTTATCGAATAAATTAAAATAATTTGACCGTAATTTTTGAAAGGCTTGAAAATGGGAATAAATAAACATTTTAGGAGAAGAGGCAGGCTGAATGTACAACAACGAATTCGGGTGTCTAATTTTTAAAGTCCAAAGGATGAAGACGATTTTCAACGTTGAAAACTGGACAATTCACACATCCTTTCTGCCAACCCAATCCGTGTCGAACTGAGACAATCTAAAAATGTTTTGAATTCTTCACTCTTTTTCTTAATTTCAAATTTACCAACCTGGCTGCTTTCCATGTAATGTCCGCTATCGAGTTTCAGCCATGGTACAAGTCGAATTTCAGAAAAGAAGACAATGACGACATCGAAAATGATTCTCACGCACCATAGAATTACAGCGCCAGCGGCAACTGTCTCCATGCGCAATTTTAGAGTGACATACTAAAAAAAAACCAACTCATTAAAAATGTGTGAATAATATTGAAAATTACATCCAAAACATCACAATCCAATGAGAGCATTCGATGAATTTGATGGTATTCGCTGGCATTGATCATGGTGTAAATTGCACCAGCCAAAATTAGAGAAACGATCAACGCGAAAAGTGCCAAGTGTCCGCCAAACCGGAAGAATTTGTACATTCGTTTTCGTGTGATTTCCGGCTCGTTGTGCATTCTGAAGGATTTATTCAGTCGGCGTAGATTTATTAGGTTTAGTCCAGCTATTGTATGTATTCATAAATGAATGTCCTCACTTTTCGCTATGAGCAATATTTGCCATTTTGATGACTACTGTAAAATATGTCGAGATAACTGTGAACATTGAAAGACTGATGATGAATATCGCGGTTATCATCAGAGGACGCTGACACGATCGATGGCGGCAAACTGAAGCAAATGGAATGAATCAGTTGATGTTGGCCAATTCCATTCAGTACCTTGGTTTTCTTTTTCAGGATTCAGAATAATTGAAATGAATGGGGCAAATGAGACGGCGTAAACGATTGCAAGTGTCCAGGTAATGAATACAACCACAAACATTTTTCGCATACTGCAAATCGATTGAAAGCCATAAGGTCTTGTGACGCTGATCTGAAAATGAGGCGAATTAAAGATTGATCTTAGTGAATGAACACTTGCATGACGGAGAACAATTACTGCACAGTGTGAGCCGGTCAAATGAACAATGCCGAAAGTGCAGACAAACACGAAAAGTGTCAAGATCATGTGGGATGCTGAAAAGGAAGGTGAGGTCGTATCTAGTAATGATAAGTTGGATTAACCTGAAACAGAGTTTGCGAATAAGGCAGCGGCTGCGATAAGAACAGAAGAGAATATATCGGCAACTGTTCTTGATACAATTATGCTGAACGAATGAACCTTTTTGAATTTGGACCTTCATTCTTTCTACCTGTATTTCCTTGATGGGATTCTGCGTTTCAATAATGCAAAAATGACAGCTGCCAGCAACACCAACGAAAATACAAATGATACTAGAGCGAATATTGGGGTCATAATGAGGACCGTCGAAGTTGACTGTAATCAAAATTCATTGAAAATTTGATAAACGGCCAACCTTGTCGAGTCTCGCATTTCGACGTCGAACCTCGATGACTTCATTGGTGGTGAGAAGCTTCTCGCATTCTTGTGCTAGATGCGTCAAGTTATGCGTCATAGTTCCTTTGAGTCTTATTTGTGATCTAGTAGTGCATACTGTTGAAATCTGAAAAATAATCGAGTGTAGCGACGATTGTGAGCGAGTGTGGCGGCATGGTTTCGAGTGCCTCACGCTTCTTTATGTATCTATTTCGGGATTCGGAGCGATGAGAGCGACGATCCGCAACGTCAAGTAGTTTAATATGAATTGATAACGGAAAATAACCGAAAAATGGAAGTGACAAATGAGACCTAGCAAAAGAAGAAATGAAAAATGAGCATGTTGTGTTTGCACATGATGCACAAAATATGTAATATCAATGAGCAACGTCATGAAAAAAAATTCGAGTTACGAACAGCGAACAAAAGTTGGTAAAATGACCGAAGTGGACACTCAGCGGACAACAATCAGGCTCAACTTTCTCAGGCTGCAATGTTTTTTGTTGGGCGTGCGAGAGCGAGACGCAACATGATGGTTGGAACGGAATCGCAGGACGAGGTAAAAAAACAAACAAACGCTCGACCTGGTACCGAAACGAGAGACAAGTGGTCAAATTTCCGCGAGTTTTTCCACCTTCGGCTTTCACGTCCTAAATGGAATGAAGCCGCGAGAAAACGAGCCGACAGGGGTTTAATAGTACAAGGGTTTGACTAAAATTTTCAAAATGCATGATTTAACACATACACTCGGAAATAATTGAATATTTTTTAGAATCGAAGAGTTCTAAAAATATTGCAATTTTCTGGAGCTTCTTCTATCAATCAGAACATTTTTAGAGCCGTTTTCAAGCACTTTCTATTAATTATTTAATTATTCGATTGTGGTCAATACAAATAAAGTCTCGAGGCATATTAATTTATAAATAGTATGTTAAAGGCGCATACCAAAATTTCCCGCTACGTTTAAAATAAATAACTACATATGTAGTCGAAATTATTTAAATCTTCAACTGTTGCTTTTATTGTGTTCACATTTGCATTACATTCTTGTATCTTTAGTAGCTCAATCGGATACGAGACATTGCCAATCTTATTCGTGCCGATTCCGAATATCCAAATCTCACTGCTAATTTTGTTGGATGTGTTTCATCTTCAGTTAGAAATGCAATTTTTCTCTGCAATTCCTTCTAAAAAGTGGCCGAAAAACGAAAAAGGAGCTCAATTATTAGTGAGCTCACTGAAGCAGCGAGGCGAGCAAATGTCATAGCTCGCCAAACGTAGATAGGCGCAATCCTGCTCGCATCGAAAAAATGCGTAAAATTATTGTTGGGGGGTGCGCGTTCTCGAATTTTTGCTGGTTTTTTTGTCTCTCGAGAAGAAAATATGGAGAAGGTGTGCGCAAAATGTATTGTTGCCACGGAAACAGCTCGCAGTCCATTGTGCATTTCTCGCCGCCATCACATTTCTCCTGTTTAATCTTTCTTTCGCTCGTCAACTTTATCACTAATATATATTCGAAAATGTCAAAATATAATTTCACGAATTATCTTGATATCTTCACATCATTTTTTTATCAATTTGACCTCAAACTATGTATTCTCAATGTTTCTCATATGGTTCTTTTTTCTTAATCACATAACATGTTCAAATTTGCAGCGCATGTCTACCGAATCCGGTGGTCTTCCGACAGTTCGTTTGAAAACTTTCGATCCCACCAGCAACTGCCAATTAAGCCAAGACGATGGCGTTTGGATGACAACTGCGAGTTTCACAATATTCACAATGACGGCAGGTGAGAATGTTGGGTGCTTTCGAAATTTTCATCGAGGAAGCCCCCTTTGTGATGTTTGTTGTTCGGATCGCCAAAAAACTTAGATTTCTATGAAAAAAAAGCAAGGCCATCAAATAGAGGGCGAGAGGCAATAAAATGAAGGGAACTAGCTAGAATCAACGACACTCTGTGTGGAAAATGTTTTCCTTTTAGGTTTCGGATTGCTCGAATCCGGACGAGTTTCCCCAAAGGACGAGGTTAATGTGATGGTCAAAAATGTGTTCGACGTGATATTCGGAGGTCTCGCTTACTGGATGTTCGGCTATGGATTCACCTTCGGAAGTCTTCAACATTCAATGTCAAGATATATTGGATTGGGGGACTTCTTTTTCGATCCGGAACGCGGTGATGATTACACGAATGAAGCGGCAAGTAGTCGATTCGCAATTATTCAACAATCACGATTTTATTCAGAAGGGCGTTTCCTATGCATTGTTCATATTCCAAATGAGTTTTGCGACAACAACGTCGACGATTGTCTCGGCTGGAATGTCGGAACGAATTCATCTCAAATCGCATTGTTTCATTTCATTTTTTATCACTCTTATTCATGCAATTGCCGGCCATTGGGTCTGGGATCAGGAAGGCGTTTTTCGGCGAATGGGTGTCATTGATTCGGCCGGATGCAGCGCTGTTCATTTGGTCGGAGGTACTGCGGGTCTTGTTGCAACCACATATCTGAAGCCACGCCGAAATCGGTTCACGAAAAATGGGCTTCGAACAGTCAGTGATCCAACAAAGGCGATTCTAGGTTAATTTGAAAAATTCCCAATTTTTATATGAAAAATTGACAGAATATATGTATAGGGTTTCTAATGATATGGTGGGGATGGCTTGCATTCAACACAGCGTCCAACTATTCAGTAACACGAGGCCAATGGTCCGAAGGCACCAGGTCAGCAGTTGGCACCATAATGGCGTCTGTTGGAGGAGGTGCGTTTCATTTTATTTTATTTATAAAAAATCAAAAAATAATTTTCATAAGTCTCAGTTAATCCATATAATAATCCTACAAGTAAAGAGAATTATTGGGAATCGTTATACGACAAAAATATGCCTTTTTTGGTAATTTAAATATTAAAGGAGTTGCTACCGTTGTTATCACGCGAGTCGCTACTAAAAAGATACAAATGGACATGCTCATTGACGGTCTTCTTGCTTCTCTAGTGTCCAGCACTGCCGGATGCTTATACTTCACCCCTTGGCAGGCAGCAGTCGTCGGGGCTGTTGGATCGAGTTTAGCTCTCGCCGCATATCCGATAACAGAGTATTTGCAAGTGAGCTGGCTGAATCACAATGAAAAGCTCTTAATCCGCGGATTTAGATTGATGATCCGGTCGGTGTGATTCCAGTTCATTTGATCGGATCCATATGGGGAATGATTTCTCCGGCGATATTTGTTTATCAGAGAGAAATGAATTTTGGATCTGATCAATGTTACTTTCAGGTAACATTTCGGCCAAATTTCGTATTTAAAAGTATATTAAGACGTCTGAAAATTCAAATGGTTTATTACACGGCGGAGGAATCAATCTTTTATTGATTCAATTTCTCGCTATTATTGTAATAATTATTTATAGTGGGATGGCGTCATTTTTCATACTTTTCGTGAGTTCTCTTGTTGCTAATATTCAATTATTAATGACGAGTTTCAGATGTTGTCTCATTCCCCAATAGGTCTTCGAATTCCGTTATACGATGAAGAATTGGGAGCAGATCTCGTTGAGCACGGACTTGCCGGTGTTAACCTGATGACATATACAGTTGAGAAGAAATTGGATGCGAAGTAAGAATTTGTGGACATTTATGACGAATAGAACTGTTTAGAAGATTGTCTTCGGTTCTCATGATGATTGTTCGCTGGCGATCAAAAGCGCGAATCGGGGCGATTCGAAGAAAACAGATATTCGATAGTGGTGCAATCACACCACAAATGCCATCCGAAGATGGTGCAATTCATCGGAGACGTTGATTACGGATTCAATTTTGTGTGATTCGAAATTATTTTCTTTTACTGGTGCCTAATAAAAAAATGATATACGGAAAAAGTGTTTCGTTATCAATTTGATGTCATTGTAAACTTTCGTTCCAAAAGCTAACAAAAGTGAAATCACATTGAGCGATTCCTTAAACTGATATTTATTTCACACACGTCTATTGTCGAGGACGGACGAATTTAGGGAGGAGGTGTTGCTTATTATTCAAATCATTGATATATTATGAAATTTATTGAAAATTACAGTAGATATCAAAGGTGCACGCGACGATCATTCAAATTTGTCCAACTTGTCCGTCTTCGATGATAATTCTTTCGAAATTTATTGAAAATGTGACTCATTGATAATTGATTCTATCAGAAGCTTGAAATTTCGAGCCGGATTCAAAAGTTGTTCAGTGGGAGGTCTTTTTCAAAATTATTGTTGCTGAAAATAGGAACGACTTCAAGACTCTTCGGAAACAGGATTTTTGCAGTATCATTGCTACTGATATCAATGGGACCAGTTAGTTTGAATTTTTCCCGTATTATGCGGAGGAGACAAAATGCAAATACTGCTATCTCCGCGGTCTGAATCACCAATTCATATATAAGACAACCTCTTTAAAGTTTGAATCATTGAATTTTCAGATCATTTAAACTCCTCATCGTTTCAGAATGTTTCGATTGATTCTAGCAATCATTCCATTATTCGCGTATGTTTTAGCAGAGCCGTACGGTACGATTTTTAATCGAAATTAAAACTATTTAATTTCTTCTGATTTCAGTGTGCAGTCAACTCCAAACTTACGATTATGTTGTAAATAAGACAATTTATTATCCATCGACATGGAACAATACTGATTCTTGGAGTCCGCAGTTCGCTGCTGGCCAAAAATGCGAGTTTGTGGTAATAAATTGAAAATCAATAAGTTCAACTCTAAATTGCTCTTTTTCAGATCAATATTCCAGAATCTCAATATGCTATGATTAACATTTACGCAAATATGACCAATTCGACTTTGAGTGTCGTTGATTCCATTGGAAATGTTGATATGTAGGAATTGTCAAATATCACATTTGATAATAGATTTGCAGAGTCAAAGTTTCCAAAGGAATTCCGTTTTTCATGATTGCTCCATCGTGTAGGCTTCTGCTAGATGCTCAATCTGTTGAGTCGTTTGCATTCGCTCTTCAATATTACCCGGGTAAGACTTTCATTTTACCTATTCTATTCAGAATTGAGAAACATAATTATTCAAAACAAGAAATACAATTCTTGCAATGCGTAATCCAAATTGTTCAGTCCCCGCCTTTACGCCTAACAGTTATACGGTCAAGGCTGGCGCCGATGCTCTCGTCTTTCAAGATAAGGACGCAGACAATGGAGTTGTGATTACTGCTGACTCACGAGTTTGTTACCTTCCATCGACTTTCATTCATTAAATAATGTGTTTCAGGTGTCGATTGTCACGTTCGATGTTGATTATTTTTTTGCCGGGCTTGAGCCACTTTTGCGAACTACAGTTATTTTCGACGGGCCTGATATGAACTCGAAATTTTTGGGAAAGTTAGTCATTTGTCAATAAGACCTTAATGATATTTTAAATATTTAGTTTGTATCAAGCCTACATGTCTCAGCATCAGTTGGTCTCATCTGGAAAACAACTAACAGTTTTCACATTGTTTCCAGGTTTCAATATAGGCAAAATGTGGGTAGCACAGGACTATGAAGGAATTTATAATTAGGTTAAGTACTATTATGTAAATTTGCACAATTCAGATGTTAAAACTATTGTTGGAACATTCTCCGGTATTAAATGTTATACTAACATCATCTGTCCCTTTAGAGTGGATGCTGCTGATGGTCCATCGGTGGCTTTGAGCTATTCACCAGCCGATTATCTGACGAAAGTCAACATGTCGCAGGTATACAACAATTTTTTTTCAATTACCAGAGTCCCAAGATTGCGTTTAGACCACTTCAAAATTGTCAGTTTTTGATCGCGCTTTTGTTCCAAAGAATAAACTCGTTGAATATTCGTAAGCTCAGCACAAATATTTGAAATATGCAGGATAGCTTGAACATTCAGATCATCTGACTTCAATCACAGCCTTCCACAAAAATTTGCTGGAAATTTGAGATACTACTATCTTGACAAAGGAAGTGCGATAATTGATTTATCTCGATCTGCAATCGATTCGAAGTGGTCGAAAACAAGAGATGGTCGAAAAGGATTCATCACATCCAATAACTACGGATTATCGAAATCTAATCAAACAATGAATGAATTATTTGAAGGAAGTAGTAATACGATTGGGTTTTTAATGCCTAAAATAATAATGGGATATTCAGAGTATAAATACGAATTCACACTGAATATTAAATCTGGAGCAAATGGGTTGAATGGAAGTGCAGAGATGACGGTGATCGTGATCGGAGAAAATAATGCGGAATCTAAAACAAAGTAGGACAAATATAAAAAATGATCTAAACTTTTGAATTTGCGTAGATACTCAAAAGCGAATTTGCCGACGAATCCAATAGTCGTCGATGGTTATGAGCTAGGTGTGACGTATGATTCGAAATCGGAAATATCAAACGGAATTTTTGTGGATTTCACGATGAAACAAATCAATTCAGCTAGGATATATGGTAATAAATAAAATTTCGTAAAATATTCTTTAAAAAATGCTTCAGGACTTGCGGGCACTATTATGATGGTGATTTATCAGCTGTTTTAAACTTTAATTTGGAAAATCATAATAAATTATTGGTAATGATGTTTTGCGTAAAAATCTGAAAATAAAAACATTTCTTTCCTTCTCATTACAATCGCAATAAATTTCTTCGTAACATTATAAGAAATCGACAGTTCGATGTGTTACAAATGAATTTCACCGCAAACCAATCCGAATCCGCATTGTTCTTTGTCGTCTACTCGTCGTCGCGTTATCTCTTTCGAACAAATTCGATAGCCCGAAAAACTGTTGAAAAAATTATGCGGTACGCATGCTATATAAGGAAACGTGCGACGCATAGATAGTCTATCGGTTGGGATCAGTTGTTGATCATGGAGACCGAAGGGAGAGTCAAAGCGTATCGCTTCGTCGCCTATGCCGCAGTCACTTTTTCAGTTGTCGCTGTTTTGTCGGTATATTTCTGTTTTCCGATTCCGATATCATTGCTTTTGTTAAGGTGTGCATCACATTGCCGATGGTTTACAACTATGTGAGCCATGTGAAGAAGGGAATTCATCAGAATATTCGCTATTGCAAAGGATCTGCCAAGGATATTTGGTCCGAGGTTAGCCAGCTGCGTGCTGCTCCAAGAAACCGAACTACTCGTCATGCCTATGGAAATGAGGGACGCAATGGAGGATCATGCTCGGGTTGCTGTTTGCCAGGAGCCGCTGGTCCTGCTGGAGCACCTGGAAAACCGGGAAGGCCCGGAAAGCCGGGAGCTGCCGGACTCCCCGGAAATCCGGGACGCCCACCACAACAGCCATGCAATCCAGTGACTCCGCCTCCATGCAAGCCATGCCCACAAGGACCACCAGGACCACAAGGCCCTCCAGGACTTCCGGGAGACGCTGGAGCGGATGGACAGCCGGGACAACCGGGACAGGACGGCCAACCGGGGCAACCAGGACCAAAGGGACCACCAGGATCAAACGGACAACCAGGACAACCAGGACAAGACGGAAATCCAGGAGAGGACGCACCCAACGAGCCATTGGTACCAGGCGAGCCTGGCCTTCCAGGAGAACCAGGACCACAAGGTCCACCCGGACAGCCGGGATCCCCAGGACAGAATGGTTCACCAGGACAGCCTGGACCAAAGGGACCACCAGGTCAGCCAGGACAACCGGGACCAGACGGAAATCCTGGATCGCCAGGACAACCAGGTCAGCCGGGAACCACCGGAGAGAAAGGAATTTGTCCAAAGTAAGATATTTCTATGAAGATTGGAATAAAATGGGTCGGATAATTTCAGGTACTGCGCCATCGACGGAGGAATTTTCTTCGAAGACGGAACCCGCCGATAAACTTTCTAATTATTTCAATAAATATTTTTCGATTATTAGGAATGTTGGCAGTTTAAAGCTACAATGAGAACTGTACATGATTCGAACTAACACACGTTCAAGGCGATCTTTGTCAATCTAGTCGAGACCATAAGCAAACGACATGTATGGATTGAATCTGGAAACATTCGAATAAACTCAAAAACACATTCATTATACTGTTTCGACTTCTATATTAATTTGTATAATTTGTTAAAAACTTTCTTTTAAATACGGACCCAATTGGCAATTCGGTAGAATCCCATTGACGCACAGCCCTACTTCGCACATCCCGGGGCGCAAAGATTCAGCACACCCTTACGTTCACGACATAGAGTATGTCTATTCCACCATCACCACCCACTCATAGAAACTTTTGATCAATACCTTCTACTACATAAATCTTACATCTGCTTAGAAGCTTCCTTGACTAAATTAGACTCTACGGCTTTAACTGAAGGTGATAAAGTTACATTGTGTTAGTATGATATCGAATTAACTCCCTGCAACAAGCGACGAACGGAGTTCGAGAAGCGACTGTATTCACTAATCGCAAACTAGTCCGCCGATCTATAAACCAACTTATTCCAAAAGAAATTCGCGAATTTGCGACCGAAAACTCACCTCAACTAGACGACGGATCGAAGAAATCGGAAAAAAAAAACTGATGTTGCGATAAAACCGACCGCTGACGTGATGCGCAATCCTCCGAGAAACTGCATGAAACCGATGGATTATAACGAACTCGAATGAAACCCACCCTTCCATACTCCAACCCTCTCGCCATCAAGTTGCATCCACTTCAATTTCCACCTTCAATTCATTGTTCAATCGCCATCCCAACAAGATGGACGAGGAATTGAGATGGCCGTGGCCGAGGAAGAGAAAGGCTTTCCTAAGCCATTTCGGGTCATAACGCGTTAAAATTTTAAGGACGATGTTAATGGAAGAATGAATGAGCAACACGGCGGGTTTTGGCTTGGTAACTCGTCCGATTATTCTAATTGGTTCTTCGCATTGTGAGTTGTTTGTTATATTTCTCCACCTTCTCAGGCAAATCAAATAAAATATTTTGAGAATCAAATATTCAATAATAAACTCTAAAATATTTTGAGAAATTCTAAAGTTTGTTGATACTTTCCAAAACTTATTGAGAATCGCTAAACTTAAAAAGATTTTTTTATCTTATAAGATTTTCTAAATTTATTGAGCAAATTCTAAATTATCTCAATAAATTTTAAAATCTTGTAATATTTTCAAAAGTTGATTGAGAAAATTCTAAAATATTATAGAGACACGTTAGTTTCTCAATAAATCTCAAAATATTTTATTTGATTTGCCTGAGTTGTCCTTCGATTGTAACTGAAGTGGCGTATCCCTCATTACCTGTCCCTTACGTCCCAACTTATTGTTTGTATGATAAAATGAAATTGTGATTAGCCAAATAAACTCTTTTATGTAAAACCGTTGAACCACCACATAATATGATGCCGGCCCAACAGAGCCGTATTCTGCGTCACTTTTTCCATTAATTCTTTGATTTCAGACATGACGGTGATCACAATTCGGTTGGTTGGAGAACAAGAAGATCGTTTATTCGAAGGAATTGACGTGGATAATCAGGTTTTCCTTTGATTATTTATTCTGATTGCTTTATTTTTATATTTTCAGATTTTGTATGTTGACCTGAAGAAGCGTATTGAGACTATTACGAAGATTATTCCCGACTTCCAAGAAGTCCGATTCCGTGGTGAAAAACTATCCGTCGTGGAGTATCCTATTCGGGACATCAAGTTTGGCGAAGAGCTTGTACTGGTAAAGAATTTTTTTAAATTTACTATTTATTATTAGGAGATATAATTTTTGCAATTTAAGGTCACCTTTCACCCCTTTCACCTATTCCCTATCAGTAAATTTAAAAAAATGTATTTCAGAAACATTCTCTTCTGGAATCCTGGCGTCCGTATTTGTTGCTTTGTGAAAGCGCCAAAGATCTCAAAAAAGGAAAACATGAACGAACAAAGTGTGCGCAAAGAGCTATAGCCAATTCACAACAACTCGAGGATTCCGGATTTTTCGAAGCCTACGTGAACTTTGTGACAGTTTGGATCGACACTATCGGTCAAATGATGAGGTTTGCTAATTTGTTCAATTCCTTTTAAAAATATTGACAAAATAATGATATTCGCATTTCAGACTTGTCGACCGAACGCGAAACGCTTTTGAACAAAGCGCTACAAAATTCTTCACCAAGATGTTTCCCAATTCAACAATAAGCTTTAAGCCTAAGCAAGGCGGTAGTCGAGAAGGGATTGTGGTGGCTGTCACTTGCAATGGAGAAGAGACACTTTACTATATGAAGACTTATCATCACGCCGGTTCTTCAACTTCCCTGCGAAATGCATCAAAGCGTCACTTGCCGGATCTTTGCGAAATGTTCGCATATCGATTTCTTGAACTTATTGGAGTTGGACCTGTTGTATTCTTCCCATTCTATGATGGATCGACATACATTCACTACATTGCAACAAAGGAAGTCAAAGAATTCAAAGAGTTGGACAAAATTGAGGATGTTGTTCTGCAAAATAAACTAGTTGTTGAGGTGATACATTTCAAATAATTTTTAATTAAAAATACTTTAAATACTTATTTAAATAAAATCTGTTTCAGGCTTACCTGCTCTCACTTATCCTTGGCATACGCGACTTGAATGAGGGAAACATTGGTTCAACCAAGGAGAAAGCCCTGTCAATCATTGATTTTTACGTTCCGGATACTGACAACTTTCTACGACGGAAAATACTCGATGATTTGAAGAATAAGAGCAACTTTGGTGGACTAGGAAAAGCCAATGAAATTCTCTCTGAAATAGGCCATGAAGAGAGGATGAAAATAGTCAAGGATGCCCTGCCCCGTTGGATTCGAATCAAAAGCATAACAAGCGATATCATTGATATTGAGAAAAGCGAATTACGGGAACATGGAATAAAGTTCGGGACTGCTACAAATGACGTAGAAAATTATCTTCAAGACATCAAATTGAATTATGACTCGATATGTTTAGCTTTTTAGTAGTTTCGTTTATCATGTTCATCGTTTTTCTAGGATTAATAATAATCAAATAATCGTAATCAAAAACCATAGTAGTGTAGTAGTTTTTCTGTTTTAGATTCTTTTATAATACTCTGTGTTTCCACACAAGCCTAATTAATTTGTATTTTTCCCCATTATTCTTTCTATATCTTGCTTTTATCTTGCATAAAATGGGTCGGATAATTTCAGGTACTGCGCCATCGATGGAGGAATTTTCTTCGAAGACGGAACCCGCCGATAAACTTTCTAATTATTTCAATAAATGTTTTTCAATTATTAATTTAATAGAAATTTCATTCAATCGACGACTATTAGAAAGAATTGGGTGACCGGTAGGAAAGAGGGATGTTGGCAGTTTAAAACTACAATGAGAACTGTACATGATTCGAACTAACACAATAACGGAGACCAATGTACAGCGGAAAAAAACGAAACTAAAGAGAAAATATGAATATGAACAAAAGAAAATAATGAAACTAGCAGGAACTATTTGACAAAACAAAATCACTCGAACGTGTATGTACATTATGGGACAATTTATTGAATCTTGTAGAATCCATTGGTGTCGAGTTTGTCGCGAATCCATCGTTTAATTCGTTGGTTTCTCGTCGGCTGCCGACAAAGTCGTTCTGCAGCCGCCTCGATCTTCAGCGAATTTCGGCGAACATAAAGCATTGCATCATTTGCCATTTGTTCAAGGCGATCTTTGTCAATCTCGTCGAGACCATAAGCAAACGACATGTACGGATTGAATCTGGAAACATTCGAATAAGCTCAAAGACCCATTCATTATACTGTTTGTTCAAACATTTCTTTTAAATGCGGACCCAATTAGCCATTCGGTAGAATCCCATTGACGCACATCCCTACTTCTCTCATCCCGGGGCGCAAAGATCCATCATACCCTTACGTTCACATATAGAGTATGTTTATTCCAGGATCGCCACCCACAATCACATTTATATAGTCAATATAATGCATTCTATGACTTTGGTTACGGACACAGAAATGTTTGAACAAATTTTCATTATGATAAGGGTCACGTGATTCGCGAAATTCGATGACAAGCTTCAGTTTCTCAATTACAAACCTGTAGTAGACATTATGGGGCAGCATGTCGTTCACACTCATATGAACCCCTTCGGTATCGGTTGCCGCATCAATTATTTTCGATAGTTTGTCCTGGAAAGATGTCGAATTCATTGATGACACAGGATCGATAGCGGAGACCTGCAAAAAATGTTAGTAAAGCGCGAACCAAATGAAGAAATACTTACACATCGTCCATTTCCAACTGATACCACACAATTGATTTCCTCATCGGGCCACATGAGTTTTGTTTCATGGTAGGCAATTGATGTTGGATTATTGGCAACCACCTAAAAGTTAAAATTACTTCTGTTTTTTTTTTGCTTATTTATGACATACTCCTCCATCTTGTAACAAGAAATTGTCAACGATGACTTCCTTAAAATACAATGGAGCCGCAGCCGAAGCTTGGATAGCCGTCCATAAATGGTGTTGGGTCCCACCGCGATAATACGAGTCTCGACCAGCTGGATGCTCGTAATTTCGAAAAATGAAGGGTTGGATTGTTTGGAGGTTGACAATCGAGGCGACAACAGCCAAACGAGGCGTATTCATTTTTCGCGACGTATTAATCATTGTAACGTCTTCACCGGTAATTTCTTTGAGAATTTTGACCCACATTTGGGTGTTATAATACGAATGATTGAGAATCACACCAATGCTTCCTTGGAATTTCCCTTGTGAAAATAGTCTCAAAATGTGAAACTCGATATTCTGTTATTTGCTTTTGACTTACTTTTTAGAGATATCCATATAAATTTCACGGCACTCTTTAACTGTGTACTTTTTGACAGTAAGCAAGGAAGCGATGATTCCACCAGTGCTTACACCACATAGCATGTCGAATAAATCACAAATCTGAATTTCTCGAATTATTTTTGAAGCGAGAAAATCATTGTTCAACCTTCTTTCCAGACATTTTCTCGATTTGCTCAAGTACTGCCAAACCCATCATTCCACGAGTGCCGCCGCCATCGATTGTAAGGAGATTTACACCACGGCCTTTTGGTGGAGGATGTACACCAATCAACGTTAAGCATTGTCGGGTTTCCTCTTTCAATTGTTCATCACATGAGTTCAAAACTGTATGGAGAAGCTCAGAAATCAATCGTGGCTCCTGAAACGTGCATTTACAAAAGGATTGACGCCGAATGAACCAACCTGTGCTGCGATAATTCTAGTGGGCGGGAAACACATAATATGCTCGCTGAGCTCTCGAGTTCTTTGCAATTTCGACAGAGCAGTTTCGGCGATTAGAAACTTTTTGACGAGTGCTCGCGTTTTGCTGGTGACTTCTGCTCGTGATACTCGATTCTCATTTGCTTTGAGAATAACCCTTCAATATTTATTATATAAAATGCTAGCATACATATATCGAATTCTTACTGTGCTTTTGTCTCAGCTTTCGTTGGCTCAATTGCTTTGGTCGACCCGACATTTAAATACGTCAACGGATTCTATAACTGATACTGTTGGAGTTTATTTTGCGTGTGGTTTGTCTATGAATGATTTAACTTCGGTAACTAAAAACCAATAGAACAATGACAAAATTCGGCTTCGGAATCAAAATTATCTGATTGGTAATTCTACGGATAAGATTGTGAAAAATGTCGGCTCCGATTGTTTTTTTTATAAATTTTCTGATACGATTGGTATTTTTTTAAAGGTATTTTCGTGCCCGATTAGTTTTTTTTGTCATATCGAACATGATTGTATTAACGTATATCATGCTAATTTCAAATTAAATTTCGACGAAAGACGATTTCTACTACAGATTTTTTAAATAATAGATTTAATGTAACTTAGGTTTTCTTATTATTTTTTTTAAATTTTACCTCTACTTTAGAAACTATCGACTTAATAACATCAGAGAAATAACTGTAACTAGTTGGAACCACGCCAGCAGTTGCTGCTTGTTGTGTCGATGGGCCGGGCGGAATAGAACTGCCACCTTAAAAAAAATATAAATATATCCAATATATCAAAACTTACCTTGTGTTAAATTGCTGCTGAAAAATGTTCTGTGAGTTTCGAGTTCATTTGAATAAAATATCGCCTTTTTTAATAATGAAGTGCTTTTCCTTTGAATCGCACTTGTCATCTGGAACAACTGAACGATAGAAATATAACAAGTTCACGCAACAAGACAGGATTTCGAAAGTTCGAGAACTTTTGGGAGCGAAAAATAAAAAAAAGTGCGGATCACACCACCCGGGGGCAGCCTATATAGTGGTGACAAGGGAAAGCACTAACGAAACACAGACTGGGTTCGTTTTCGGTTGACGCGTCTCTCTTTCCGTTCAATTGTCTCTCTCTATCTTTCTATTTTCTCCTTTTGTCACAATGTCGGCGTCTCGTTTCTTTTATTTTGACCACGTGCGGACCGGGTGTCGGCTATTTTGGACAACAATCAACCGGCTCCATGTGATGAGCTCACGCTCTTAGTGTAAAAACGTGGTTAGATGATATATATCAAAAAACGTATAGAAACAACAAAGACGGACATTAAAGTGAAAAATAAATCAAACAACCACTAAATCTCCGTACTTTGACAATAGTGTAAATAACGTTACGTCACAATATGGAACTCTTAAATTACGTAAAAAAAAAACCGAGAGCCCTGAGCCGGTGAAATTACGGTGAAATTGCTTCGCAGGTTAACCGTATGACGGTAGGATCACAACTTTCGAATTACCGTCTCGAACAAGTACGATGGTCCACAATTATTCAAGGCGCCCGTTTTTCTTTTGCGATAATATGTTTTTTACCTTATAACTAATTAATATTATTTATACTAGCTATATTTCATAAGAATATTACTGGTTTTCTATTATATGAATATTGGTTTCTGATTAATCAAGAAGTCTCGGTTCTTTTAATACGCATTCTTTATAATAAAATATCTAATTTTTTAATAGAAAAAATGGCCTTGAAAATTAGGTTCGGCGACGGGCACGGGGTTAAATTTACAGTTTCGTGGAAATAAAAAATCGTGAATGAGCATTGGACATAATTTAAAAAAGTAGAATGTAGTTGTGTGCCGCACTTGCATTATAGAAATGTGAAAGTGCCGACCAATAATATTACCATCACAAAAAGTGAACGTTTTGCATAATTGTGGACCATCGCACTTTTTTGAGGTGCCAATTCAAATTCGAATTTAAATATTGAAAATTAGGCTATCGCACTGGATAACCCGCGCGCGACACGGTTCGCCGCATCTCATGTGGCCTAGAAAAATTGTTTTCAAAAATTAGGTTCGGCCACGGCCACACTTAATGGATTAATTAATTTAATTAAGTCGAACTAAATGAATACGTCTATATTTTGTGTGTTTACGATTTTAAAAACCAAATATCATAATAAAGTCGCAATTTCGTAGAAAGAAAACCGCGCCAAAGCACTACAAATAATTTAAAAAATTAGCATGTGATAGAGTGCCGCACTTGCAGTTTTTCTCAGAAATTGTGTGCCGCACTTGCAATTTTTATTTTTGAAAATATCGACCAATTTTTTCTAAGCCGCGCGTGAGCTCCGGCGAGCCGTGGCTAATCAAACTCATCTACATCGGCGCAGTGAATTTTTTACGAATGTAATATTAATCATTTTTTAAGATCTGTGTTTACTACTCTGGTAAATTAAAACCAATCGGATTCGACAAAATTCGGCTCTAGAATTAACCTTATCCGATTGGAAATTCTACGGATAAGATTGGTTTTTTGTCGAATCCGATTCGAATTGAAATATTAAAACAAAATGGATTCGACAAAAAAACCAATCTTATCCGTAGAATTACCAATCGGATACGAAAATACCCAAAAAACCAATCGGATATGACAATTTTCCAATCTTATCCGTAGAATTTCCAATCGGATAAGGTTAGCCGGATTTTGAATCCGATTGGTTTTGAGTTACCAGAGGAGCGCATTTCCGTAATATAGTGAATAACAGATATTTATTAAACTAAACTAAAGTTGCGTAACTCAGATATTTTATTTTAAGAAACGTTCATTTACGAAGGTAATAAAAATAGAAAACAAATTTAGCATTATGCAAGTTGACAGACGTTATGAACGTTGAGGCATTTTTAATTTCGAAGCAGGAAAATACTTGATCGGGTTCTATGAGATTGCGTTTGATTATTATACCAGGGTCTATCTCTACTGGACACTTTCCAGAGGGAAGCCGATGAAATCTGTGTTGAGCCAAAATACCGTTGGATACCAATTAGAGAGGCTAAATTGAGGGCGATGCGCAATTGGAGTGTCGTATTGATAATATAAAAAAAAAAGTTTTAGGATAAAGGAAATGAACCCGATCCGATTGGAAAATCGACGGGTAGGATTTTAAAATTGTCGGATCCGATTGGCTTTGATTTACCTCTGGTAAATCGAATAAAATATTTTGAGATTCATTGAGAAACTAACGTGTCTCTATAATATATAAAAAAAAAAAAAAACAAAACTTATTGAGAATCGCTAAACCTAAAAAGATTTTTTAAAATCTTATAAGATTTTCTAAATTTATTGAGCAAATTCTAAATTATCTCAATAAATTTTAAAATCTTGTAAAATTTTCGAAAGTTGATTGAGAAAATTCTAAAATATTATAGAGACACGTTAGTTTCTCAATGTATCTCAAAATATTTTATTCGATTTACCTGAGTAACAAATTATGAAAAATTTTGAAGTTTATTGATACTTTCTAAAACTTATTGAGAATCGCTAAACTTTAAAATTCTTTTTAAAGTCCTAAGATTTTCCAAAATTTATTGAGCAAATTCTAAATTATCTCAATAAATTCTAAAATCTTATAATAATTTCTAAAGTTCATTGAGAAAAATCTCAAATATTATAGACACACGTTAGTTTCTCAATGAATCTCAAAACATTTTATTCGATTTACCTGAGCTGATTAATATTTTCAGTGTTTCGATTTCAGGAATTTTAACAAGCTAATATTTTTTGTTTATTTTACTGTTTTTAAATCAACGCTGAAAAAATAATTTCCACACAAGTTACATTTGAGAGACTTGTTTCACCATGTTAAACGAGGAGAGAGTGCGAGACAACGAGCGTCATTCAAGGCGCGTCGTCTGCTCTAATGCTAATATCACGCAGCGAATTCTACAGTCTGCCTGCGCTTAGGAAAAGGCCCATTTTTCTATTTTCTTTTAGAACTTTCTATTTTTTGCGTTTTTTGCATGTTTTTCTCGATATTTCTACAAAATTTTAATGTATATCTATTCCTTGAAATTTTCTACGTTGGCCTATTTATGTATTTTTTAAATTTGCTTTTAAAACTCGACTTAGTGTTTTATTCTAATTAAATAGTTGTTTTTGCAGGATGGCCGATAACTGGGGAACTGAGGCAGTCACCTATGACGCTCAAATTGTTGAAGCACCAGAGGTAATTTTAGAAACAATAAATATCTGAAATTCATAACATTTTTATCATTTTGTGAAATCTGGTCATTCAATTTCAACCTAAATCGTCTAAATGTATTTTACGACAGAAAAAAAGTATTTTTTAAAAGTATCATGTTAACATCAAAGTAATAAACAAAAATCATCGAGGAATTAAATAAATTAAAGTATATCTTAAAATTTAAAAGATAAAATCGACTCAAGATTTCTTTAAAATGAGTTTCTTTTGAACCGTTTTTTTTTCGATTTTTCTCAAAAATAATCTATTTTGACACAAAATAATTATTTCTAAAATTTTTAATGTCGATGTCTTTTCAGGTTAACCTCTTTGGAAAATGGTCGCTCCAAAGCGTGAATGTTTCCGACATCTCGCTTGTCGATTACATTCCGGTTAAGGAGAAATCCGCTAAGTACCTTCCACATTCCGCCGGACGCTTCCAGGTCCGCCGTTTCCGCAAGGCAGCGTGCCCAATCGTTGAGAGACTTGCTAACTCATTGATGATGCACGGACGCAATAACGGAAAGAAGCTTATGACTGTTCGCATTGTCAAGCACGCCTTCGAAATCATCTATCTTCTTACTGGAGAGGTAAGTAATTTAGTAAAACGGTATTCTTATACGTGTTATTTAGAACCCTGTTCAAGTTTTGGTTAACGCGGTTATCAACTCTGGTCCACGTGAAGATTCTACCCGTATTGGACGTGCTGGAACGGTCAGAAGACAAGCTGTTGACGTCTCACCACTCAGACGTGTTAACCAGGTATACAATTTGTAACATTTGAAGTGCTATCGATATCATTCTAAGGCTCTCTGGCTTCTCTGCACCGGAGCTCGCGAGGCTGCCTTCAGAAACGTCAAGACCATTGCTGAGTGCCTTGCTGACGAGCTTATCAATGCTGCTAAGGGATCATCCAACAGCTATGCTATCAAGAAGAAGGACGAGCTCGAGCGTGTTGCTAAGTCTAACCGTTAAATATTGTTATATCTGGTTATCATCTTATTGGTCGAAACCAATAAAGAGTTGTTTGTTTAATTATTGCAAGAACGAAAAATGTCAAAAAATCAGTAAAACTATTTGAAGACAAGGGGGTAGGAGATAGTTTAAGATTTCGAGCAGAAGTCGAATGTGGAAATGGATTGCGTTGTTTTCTTTACAAATCTGTATTACTAATAGCGTGCTGAATACTGGACTTCAATTACGGATCGATGAATTTTTCGATACTCCAGGTAAAGCGTCTGAATCGTTGTATTGAGCCCAGTTACAATAAACCATTCTTATAAAAAGTCAATAATAATAAAAAATAGAAGCTGATCAGTTTATGACTTTAATTTTGAGGACATACTAACAACTGGGCAGTTCTCGTATGTACCTCCAAATTCTGGTTCAACTATCGACACGTTTCGAATGTTCTTGCCCTGTACCATTCCTTGAAGAGGCTGGGAATACCTGATAGGTATTAGGTTCAATAATCGATTGACTGTTTTCTTATTTAAATTACAGCAATATAATTATAATGCTTGCTGAAGATGTTCCGTGCAATGCGAGAAACCCTCGGCCGGGAACGGTTTTTGCAGCACGTGCTGGAGTAAATTTATACGGTGAAGATGTGGAAGTTGATTATCGAGGAGATGAAGTTACTGTAAGTGTTTTCATGGGAATATTCTGAAAAAGTTTTTAATTTAGGTTGAAAATTTCATTCGAATTCTAACCGGAAGGCATCAAAGAGATACTCCAAGATCGAAAAGATTACTAACGGATCATCAAAGCAATGTTTTGGTAAATAATTCGTATTTACAAAGTCGCGCGACAACGGAATATTTACTAAAAAATATTTACTACTAGATTAAAAATGTAGAATTACGGGCCTAAGCATAATGATAGGTTAAAGGCGCACACCGCGCACCATCTCCTCTATTTTTTTTGGCATTTAGCCAATTTCCCGCAGTCGCGCGACGTCGACAATAATTAAGCTAAAAATTAATTATAATTATTGGGAATATTATGTTTGGTCTATTTCTTAATTCAATTCTATGCGTTTAGATATACTTAACAGGCCACGGTGGTGACAGTTTTATGAAATTCCGTGATTCTGAGGAATTGACCAATGTCGATTTGGCATACGCAATCCAAACAATGTATGAAGATAATCGGTTAGTTTTTTATTCACGAAATAATCAGAAAACCATCGAATTTAAAAGATATCACGAACTTTTGATGATTGCCGATAGCTGTAGAAGTGCGTCGATGTTCGAATGGATTGCATCTCCGAATGTGATATCGCTGTCAAGCAGTCTAACGCACGAAGAGAGCTATTCGCATGACATCGATCCCGATATTGGTGTTTATGTTATTGATAGGTAAAACCGGAAAATATTGACTATATAAGGCATTATATTAAAATGTTGAAGATACACCCATTATACGGTTTCATTTTTAAACAAGGAAGTACGTGCACTTAATTCCACAGCCCACATGCAAGACTACATAGATTCTTGTCCTTCTGTTAAATGCATGTCAACTACTGGTAAATTAGTTCAAATTATTGACTTAAAATTTTCTTTTTTAGGAGTTCGCCGTGATAATTACCCGAAAGATCCTAATCGGGTACGCGTTACCGATTTCTTCGGCTCTGCACGAATCATGCAGCCCCTCACCGAAGAAATCGAACTCGACGATTCATTCTGGTCAATGTAATTGCTATATATGTGTTTTTTTTTATTCAATTAAGAGGTGTAATACTCTTTAAAAAACAAACGGGACCCATAAAATTTTCGTCAATATAACCGCAAATTAACGAGCTTTGCTTACACGATAAGCCAATCCCGCATAACCGATAGCATAGAAAAACAAAATAAACGCGGACATTATTATGAGGTCTGGGTAAAACATATCGACCGAGAAGCTGAGTTGCGAAAGAATTTCATCTCGTTTCTGAAAAAAATGTTTGTTCTGAAGACCACGCAAAGATTTTAAAAACAATGTTACCTGATCTGACCACGATGTCGAGTTTGGCTCATTCACACTGCTCCATTGATTAATCGCAAAAGCTTCAAATCCATATCGGAACCATGACAGGTACTGAATCCAGCCAATGTATGGCGGGAGGGCTCCGACATTTGCGTAAAGACCTCCAGTTAGAGAAAGCAGGGTGAGAAGAGGTCCAGCGGTCGACATGGCGACCTATTAAAAAACGATGCAATTGATTTTGAATAAAATAATACCGGCATGTTTGGTGAGATACATGAGAGCATAATTCCGCATGCTGAGGAAGATTGCTCGATTAGAAACGCGATCAAACAAGCGTAGAGCACCTGAATTAATCAATTATAAATAATAATGATTGGGAAACCATGAAGTTACTTGTGTGAGTGATGAAGAAAAGCCGACTAGCCAATATGAGACCAAAAGCATGGTTAAACCATCAGCGGTGAATAGGGGGAGATATGAAACACAGCGTGCGACGTAGTAGCTGAACACAGAATAGAGGCCATCGTGATATTCGCGGGAGACGAGCGGAAAATCGGTGGGAAGAAAATTAAGAATTCCTAAACACACAATGGATAGAACAGAATACGTTTCATGTTGTCTGAAATTACTCACCAAAAATAGTCGAATATGTTAGTTCACAGACAAGATAGAAAAGTGCTCCATTCAAATTTGAAATTCCAACGGATGTTAGTGGACTCTGCGAATCTCATTTTTTTTTTTGGAAATTCCATTCGAGAAATACCTGTAAGTACAACAACCCAATGAATAATCCCATTATAGTCTTTTGAATGACTTTTGCTCGTGTAAGCGACGGATTTCGCCATGTATCGATGGTAGCTCTAAAAATTCGACTATTTTACAAATAACTTTAAGGTTTTACCGTCGAAGGAGCGCTGAAATTTGAGTGGCTATACCCATTTTCTTTCGGCTTGATGGCAAAGAGCCCTCATGGAGACTTTGAAGCTGATTTTCAAGGCTTCTACCGTAGGAGCTTAACGTATAACATCGTTTAAAATTTAAAAAAAAAGTAGAAATCATTGAAACCTGCGAGTGAATTTTGTGCAAATCACTTCAATTCTTTGCCAGCATTCTTCTTCTTCGTTCGGAATTACGGCCAATGTGTGAATGATCAAATCGGCTGGATTATAATTATGCGGACATGTGTAGCCGCTATCCTCGAAAAACTGGAAATATATCAAATTAACATTCATTTCTTGAATAATTCAAACCTGCACAGCGTCTTTTGGAGACCCTAGGAATGCGGTTCTGCCACCTGCCATGAACATTACTCGATCAAACATTTGATAGAGCTGAGAAGAAGGTTGATGAATAGTGCAAATGACGGTTCTGAACGAAAAGTTGTATGATAAAAGTTTAAAAGAAAAACATAGGTTCAGCACCTTCCAGATTTTGCCAGATTGCTGAGTACTTGCACGACAGATTCAGCCATATACGAATCAAGCCCGGTGGTCGGTTCATCACAGAAAAGAATCGGAGGATTAGAAAGAAGCTCACAGGCAAAAGTGAGTCTTCGCATTTCGCCGCCTACAAATTAAAGTTTTGGGTTTGTAAACGAGAAATCTGTTACCCGAGATTCCCTTTTTTCCTCCAATAGTCCCAATTCTGGTGTTCTGGCATTTATACAATCCGAGTTGTGTCATAACACTCATCACTCGTCGTCTTCTCTTTTCTTTATCACCATTAACTCTTAATTCCGCCTAAAAAATGCACAAAAAGTCGTTTTTTAAGATAAAAATTTTACTTGAATATTTAGGTATTCTTTCACAGTGAGAGTGCCAACAAACAGTTCATCCTGTTGAGCATAGCCAGAAATTGCCGTGATTTTACGTCCAAGCTCGTGCCCATTTATTTTGACACTTCCACTAGCTTCAAGACCTTTTAAATTTCGCGCCAAGAGCATATTGAGCAATGTGGTTTTTCCTGCACCGCTCGCACCCATTAGCGCCAGTAATTGACCTGGACGAGCGATCCCATTAACATTTCGCAAAATTTCTTTCCCATTTTTGGCGCGGATGCTGAAAATGTGAATTTTGAAAAAAAAAAATACGAAAAAAATTACTCACCAAATATTATGCCATGTTAATGTGACAGGATCGATGGGCTCAAGCGCAGAAGCAGATATTGATTGCGCAGCACCATAATCGGACTGACCATAAGAAATTAAGCTACAATTTTCAGTCGTCATGCCCTGAAAATTGATTCAAAAAATCAATTTTAAAAAATTCGAAAATAACTGTGCAATTGGTCGTAATAGTGATTACGGATATTGCAAACTATCGTAACAATATAATTACATTTTTGAATAAATTAGAAATCACAATTATTAATTGTGCACAAAGATATGATAGTATCAACAACAGAACAGAATGCTCATTGATAACATATCATTGTGATAAGAGAAATGCGTAGTCACTTAACAGGCAGCAGGAGGGCTCGAAAAAATCCGTCGAAGAACCGAATTTGAAACACGATATCGAAATAATTGTGAAAACGTCACAAAACGACACATTGAAAATCGACTCTCGCTCGAAAAATGCAGTCCCATCAAAAAATGGCGAATTCACTCATTTGTTTCAAATTTTTCGCTTTCTCGCGAGCTTTCATCGTTCATTGAGTTTCCTTATTTGTTTGTTCAGATGGATATCTTAATACTCGTTTTATGATGCCTTCAGGCGATCCATTTTCATTTAATAGCCCATCTTGCACTTCATAAGTGCTCATTCGAAGTTTCAGCGGCCTCATGTCTATTGACGATGCGTTTCTGAAACCATCCAGTTCTCAACTGTTTGGCCCTGAGCCACCAGTTCGTCTTTCACGAGCACCACCGCCACATCCGTCCAAATTCTGCTGCAACACACTAAGCTCGTCATGCGCGGCGTACATGATTTGCTGTGCAGCGCAGTGCGAAATAATTCTAAGTAATATTTTATAAGATATCAGTTTTTAATTGTTTTTTTTTTTCATTTTATTAATAATTTCAGGTCTTTTTGCGATGACAATCAGTACAAAAAATGACGAGCAAGTATGGTGGCATAATGCGCAATGGATTGTTATTCTCACGTGCCGCCTTCTTCAGTTTCCCTCGTGCCTCATTGCTTTCGTCGGCATTCGAAGAAAGAATCCAGCACTTATTGTTCCGTTCATCATGTCGCAGGTAAGTATTTCGAAAAAGCCGTGGAAATCGTATCAAATAAATTTTCTTTCGGAAAATAATCTTTTTTTTTGAAACTGCTTAATTTTTTTTTCATCGTTGCAGGTTTCCCTCGGCAGTTATGCAGATCTGCATACCTACATCCAACTAATTTCTCATTGCGCATCTTCATCGTCTCTTCTTAAATACTCCGCTTCATCTCCCATTCTCTTGATTGTTCTGCCAATTGTCTTCTACGCAATTGTTTTAATTCTTTTCATTTATTTTATGTACCGGATTGTGCGAAGCATCACGATTCAAGGTGTCGCCTACGATATTCGTAGTGCGCCAATCGAAATTTCAGTAACCAATGATTTCAGTTTGTAATTCAATTTATGAATAAATATTTAAAAAAAAAGCAACCCGTTTTGAATTATAATAGCTGATCTCCGGCACGATAATCATTCTCGCTGATAAGGATTTTCGATTGAACACCGCTGTACATATTATTGTTGTTGCGCACCTGGAATAATTAGTTATTATATATAAATAAGGAAATTGCCAGTTAGAAATGAACGAACAATAAGATGTGTTAGTTATTTAAAAAAAAAATTCTAGTGCCATGTTGTTGAAATCGATTATATTACATTCGCAAAAAAACGAGCGCCATGCGCAGATTTACGCTGAGTTAGCTTCGCACGTTATCCAGAATACGGTACCCCAATCCACAATCCGCAAAAATGACATTTCAGCTTTTAAAATTATTCATCAACACAGGTTCTGAAAGTTTGCGTCAAATTCGGTGTTTGACACACATTTGTAGATTTCGAAATTTTCGTTTTTCCGTTCAACAGTGCTACTGTTTAAATTCGAATTTAAATTACCGCTTCAAAAATGTGCGATGGTCCACAAATATTTAAGGCGCTCGTTTTTAGTGGTATCAAATTGTTATATTAAAGGAAAACGATTCTATTCAGTTCTTGCAAATATGCAATTTCTACTCAATGCAGTCACGTCAAATTTTTTTCAAATTTTTCCCAAAAACAATGTCAATTTTATGCAAGCAAAAGAAAAATCACCTCATTAAACGACGAAGGAAACGGAGCAGATTTGTTCGCGTTCTTCGCTTTCTTCGACTTGAACAGTGTCGTGATACTCGTTCGAAATTGCAGATTGAACCATGAATAGATGATCGGATTCAATACGGCCGAGCACATCGCGCAAACATGACATAATGAGAAGACGGTCGAATACCACGGAGTTATCGATCCTCCGTAAAGATCGCGATACAAATTGATTGCGTTGAATGGCATCCAGGCGAGAACGAAGCCGACAACCATGACAATCATCATTCGATTTGCTCTCGTCTTTCTGCTCACCAGCTTTTCTTCTGATTCTGGTCTCAGCTTATGCCCCCGTCGTCGCTCTAATTGACTTGACATCACCTAAAATATGATAAGCACCTAAATGATTCCGAACAAAACGCATGATACCCTGCTGATCATCCAATAGCAAATCGAGGAAATAATGGCAGGTATACCGAATTGCAAGACAAGCACTGAGAGCCCATACGCCCGTCTTGTGTTCGACTTGCCGTCTTCCTTGTAATCAGGCCTCAAATAAGTGGAACGTTTCAAGCAATTTGCGAGCTTCTTCCTCATACCAAACTTCTTCGCAAAATGTTCCACAAATTCCATCATAATTCATTACTTCGCTATATATTCCGACAGGCAGCGCCATCGTGTAGCCGAAAAGCCAAATTGCAGCAACGACGAAACTGGCTCGAGAATAGCTGACCACCTAAATAATCAAAACGAATGAAGGTATTATTTGAAAATTGAGTGAATTTACATCTTTATTTGGTCGAACAATCAATATACATCTATCGAGAGCAATTACTGTTAGTGTGAATGAAGACACAAATATGCTGCCGCCCTGAAAAAAAAAAAACGCAAAATTTCGAGAAGTCTTATGAATCGGAATTACCTGAAATACCCCGATAAGTTTGCAGAAAATTTCAGGAAATATCCAGACTCTTGAGAAAATGCTAATTGCTGTGATCGGAAGCGAGAATAAACACATAAGAAGGTCCGAAGCAGCTAGACATCCGACGAACACCGTCCGCACTGATAAGGAAACCTGAATGTGATTGATCATCAAATGGTCGGCAATATTTTTTTTTGTTTATTTCTGAAATGTCTATTAAAAGGAGGATCGTCTCAGGAAGAATTCGATGATTCCATGGAATTTTATTTTACTTAATGATGTTTCCTTGTAATACAGGAAAGGCGATGATAAATTTTTTTTGAGACAAAATGAAATCAGAATATGGAAAGAATATGTTTAGATTAACTATTTCTAAACAATTTGAAAGTTTATAATCTTATAATACCTTTGAAATTATTCACCTAATTTTGATTTTTTTCAATCTTTTTGCTCATAATCTTAAAAAATTTGCGTATTTGTGTGAGGAAAACGAACACTGAATAATTAATGAAGAAGAGGTGAATATTTTCGGAAAAGAAAATGACATAAATACAGAATATCTGAAAAACTGCTATTTGAGGCTCATTTTATCCAAAATCCACAAATGCCCGGATATGGTATTCAAGCTTTTCCAATTACTCAAGAATTAAAATTGTCTATTTTAATAAGTCTGATGGCGCGTAGTTTTTCATCTCACAATATGATGTCTTTTGACATTCCTCGTTATTTCGAGATCCCCTTTTTTACGCATCAAAAGTTGTCAGTGAGCAAAAAAAAACAGAAACATCCAACTTCGTTCTCTCATTTCTAATTCAGTCGGTCGGCCGACATAGTGTGTGTGTGTCTTCTGCAACTCGTATTGTTTCAAATTAGTCTCATTTGTGCACTTCACATCCATCGATTCTCATCTCATCCGCTGTCGCCGCAATAATTAGTGCGGCAACAAACGCAAAACTCGACATGTCGCCGACTACCTAATTTATTGTCTTGACCGGGGGGCAACTCATCAGACCATTGAGAAGACGACTCGAATCCCTCATAAATTTTCGCCTTGCGTGCCTCCCAGCGGATCGCGTTATCATACCTGATTAAAAGTGAGCACATAGAGCACAAGAGTGTTGCCGACGATCGCCGCCACCCATACGAGGAGGTAGAGGACCGAAAAGACGGCGCGAATCTCGTTGAGGTCGTTGTATTCCGGCTGGTATTGTTGAACTGTCGAGCAGTTCGCCTCATCCATCAGCGCCTAAAAAATCCGCATAAAAATCAATATTTAAAATCGAATAAAATATATAAGGGTATTAAAATTGAGTTTCAGCACTAAGGTACAGAATTATGTGTAAGTATTTTGTGAAATTAAATTCTGAAATCGTCGGATTCAATTTATACCGGAGATGAATTATCCTATATTAATTTGAAGATCCTAATAAAATTATTCGCTTCAAAACAATGTATAATTGTATCTAAATATAAAATTTAAAAAAAGTTGAAACGGGATTTGTTATATTTTAGACAAAAATGGGACCTGACAAGTATTATTACTATTTTTATTCGGTGAAAAGGCAATTCGATAGAAGCGAAAAGAGTTGAAATAAAGATTTATGAAGACGAATCAACGCACTCCGAATTGAAATGATTGATGTGAATTGAAGAAGTCGCGGACCATTGAGCGAGCAGAGCTCCGCCGAGGTCTCATTCATAGTTACAGTAGTCACAAAAGGATATTCGTAGTTTATGAGGTCCGATGTCAGGAGTAATATGAAAATGATGATGCGAATGAATGAAGGCACACCATAAAAAATGAAGAAGACGAAGAAGGCGGATGAGAGGAAAATAGCAAGACGAGGCAACGCCCTCCGATGTGACTACATCAAGCATTCTAATTTACTAGGAGATCGACAACTTCGAAAAAAAACCAAATGATCATCCTGTATATGTCCGGTATTCTCGTATTCCGGTTGATATTCAATTTCAATTCTTCACAATTTCTAAAACTCTTGAAGAACCGCGAGAAATTCTCACCAAATTTCAGCTAATTTTGCATTGATATTGGCCACTTTACAGCAATTTCGAAATATCGTTGAAAAAATTTTCAGTTTTTACTTTTTTGGTTCTAGATCAGAAATTTGAAATTTGAAAAATTCTCATAAAAGATTTCAAATATTTATTTTGAAATTTCTGCCTCATTAGAAATGACATTGGTTTTTGGCAGTCGAATGTTCAAAAAAATTCCATTTTGACGTCAATCATGTTTTTTGCAAAATTAAAGTTTTTTTCTTCAATTGGGAGGCTTTGATAGATTAGGAAGAGTGCTTCGTTCTCCGATTTCTTTTCGATTATGCCAAGTTTCAAGAAATACGAAAAAATAGTAAATACTTGATCTGAAATCAGTATACTAAAAAAACGTCCAAAATTAGTTGTAACAACGTTTTTTTTTTGAAAAACTAAAAAAAAAGAGAGGGATAGATCGACTTCTAAATAAGCCTAATTTGAACGCGAGTCCGAAAGATTGCGAGTAGGCGAAAATTAGGGTAATCTGGTAAAAAGGAGGAGGAAATGAGAAAGCAAAAAAAGAGCAAAAAGTATTGAGCGAGAAAAAAAACCGGAAATGTTGAAACACGTTCGACACTTCGTCGCCCATGCATGTATTGGACGGACCTTTTTCGAAACTTCATTTTCCGGAAGAAAGGTAACGAAGTCGAGAAATCTGGGTGCGACACACACACACACACACTGCGCGTAAATAATTCGCCTGTGCTTCTCTTCTCCGTTTATGGGTGATCAGGTGCGTTTTTACTATTTTCGGGCTCCTCTTCTTTGCAATGACGCCGACCAATATAGAGAAAATAAGTGGAAAATGGATTATCGTCCAACGGGCAGAGTTCACAATATCAGTGAATGAGAAAGAAAGGAAACCAAACCGAAAAATAATATCGCTGTTCTTCGGTGTGTTCAGCAAAACAAAATAGCCAGTGGTTTGCACTTGATTGGCAAAAAATTTGGAAATTATTGGAATTGCCTAGCAACAACGACATTCGACTGTCTACGATGCTTCTGGTGCAATAAAAAATAATTCGGAAGAAATTGGCAAGCAGTTTCAATCAAAGAATATGCATCTTTTTTTGCTCGTCGAACATGGACGCTATTAAATTTAACAAGCATCAGTGAGCAAAAGCAGGCGACAAAAACCGCAGTGGGATAGGCGCTCAAAGATATTGGAGTTGTGGCATCTCCGGAAATGTGTTGCTCACGATTCCGGCGCGAACAAATCCTCGTGGGCGAGACACACCAATCGAGAGTTAATTGGAACGACGAGATGGGATAGGAAAAAACTTGAGTGGTGTTGGTGGATAAAAACACAACGCGAGAGTACTATGAATGAATGCACCATTGAGAATATTGGATAAGCTTCGGTTTGGAATACCCCAACTATGGGCATCATTCCAATCTATCATTAGGCAACAAAATCATATCAAAAAAGTCTTTCTGGGTTTTCATTTTTGAACGGAAATGTTTAGAAGGAAATTGTTGAAACAAACGCATATTTTGGGAAATGTTTAGGACATCAAAGACTAGAAAAATATAATAAAATTCTCATTTTTAAAATGAGTATTTGAGTGTATTAAAATACTACATATATGCTTGTAAATAAATTCAAATCAGAATACCAGAATAAAGATTGATCAAAGATCACTACTAGCACGTCTGAAGTTCAGATTCTAAACATGATAAATATCATATTTCAACCAATTGCATATACGAATTCTTTTATTTCTTGAAAATACGACAACAGGCGAGCAAGGACCAAAATTCCTTTTTTTGTGTTCATAATTATTAATTTTCTATTTTGAATATATTTTTTAAATTGGCTAAACAGCTTTTAGGAGAATCGCAGAAATCATAAGATGTTTGATGTAAAAGGAGAAGCCGAAATAAAAAAGCATACCAATTTGTGAGCGGGTTTGCGACTAACGACATATTTTGCTCATATTCGAATTGAATAAAATAAAAAAGGGAAAAGAAGAAACACAACCAGAAAATGACAGAAGGAGAAGAAGAAGAAGAATCGAGCAAACGAATAACGAGTTCTATCGCGACATATGCAGTCTATAATTATCGGCCCGAGATTCAACTAAGAATCCGTGGGTGAAGATTAGAAATGACGAAAGTTTCTCGAAAATAAAACCATTTTTTTGGGAATCTCAAAAATGAAATTGTCAATGCTTAAAATGCTCGAAACTGGTAACAATAAAAACCCGTTTGCACTTTTCTTTTGAAAAACAACAAATTTTCATATTTGGACAATAAACGATTGACTGAAATTCCAAAGAAAAGTAAAAAGGGATTCGGAAGCCTTTTGTGGTAGATGTTTGAATTTCCAAATTATTTCTAATTGGTGATCTTTCAAAAAACATGTTGGGATTCATATGCAATTTTTTTGCGCCTTAGTATTTCGGACAAAAAAAAACGAAAATTGGGGGTCAGAAATGTGCAAACATGAGTAGCATAATTAACAATTTAAGGTTAGAATGATAATATAATTTGGGAACATTTTCAGCTATTAATATTCTGCTTGTTAGTGTGATCGCTGCGGTCTCAAATGAAATTCTCAAAAATTCTTAGAAAATCGAATTTGCGTTCAATTCCTATGGAAAAGCTCATGGAGCAAAGGGTAAAGAATAATACAACGATATCTCATTAATTGACATTAATATTCAGATGCTAGATAAAGACAACCGTAATCTGAATCCTGTCGGAGTAGCTCTCGAATTTCAACATCGGACCAAGCCTAGGGTTTTTTGCTCAAAAATATGTGAAGAATATTTCGAGTTACTGGATCCAATCAGTTTGTTTCATTTTCGTCCAATTCAATCAAGTCAAATTTATTAAAAAAAAAACTATTTCGACTACTATGGTTCATAATCTCTGCTAGATTTTTGTCAACCTAATAGCTGTTAATAATTTACTTCGGAGCATGAGAAGGAATCATCAGGGCTACTATCATCAGGATGAGCAACATGTATATTTAATAGTTTCTATGTATCGTCATAGGAGTTTGTGTGGTTCAACCGGTCGGTCAGAATGGCTGTTGACACTAGTATTTCTTAAATATTTAATAACACATTTTTTCATGAATTCCTTAAAGTATTTCATGGCTTCAAAATGAATGAATAAACGATTTAATATTTAAGCTCGTAGGCGCAAAAAAGGAATGCAACTACATAAGAAGCTGAAGCATAAGCTTGCCAACGACGAAAAAAAAGAAGTGTTCCGAAAATTGTAAACACAGCACTCTAGAAATTTCCGTTTTCTCAAACAATTAGGAAGAGTCATGAAGCATGTGATTGGCATCCGGCGACAAATGCAAAACTTGCCAAATGTCCGCAGCATGATAATTGTTTGTCGCCTGTTCGAAATGTTTTCGCTTCAAACAAAAAATCAGCAAACAAAACGCGAAACGACTGTCAAATTCGATTAGAGATTCTCGTCATTTCCTGATTATTAACGACAGGCGATGGGCCCAAAAAAAATCTCGACGAGTTCTTGAATCGGCCGAAAAAAACGAGTGGGATTTGGGAAAGAAAATATACATCAATTCAATTTTCGGGGGGAAACTCTTAAATATGCTCGAGGTGTCTTCGACATATGGAAACTTGGTGGCCAAAACATGTCTGAATTATGTCGCCGAGGGATTTTGTCAAATGCTGGTGTCGTCCATTTGTTTTGAGACAAAAAAGGCAAAACGTCGAACCAAATAGAAAAAGAAATCGAGAGAAAAAGAGAGAGATATCGAGACTTTGCCAAATAATTGCTAATTTATGAGCAACAAGATTCATTATTCGAAAAATACGTTAATTCATCGAATCACTTCAGTTTTGGGCGAACTGTCTTCTCGAAATCATTAAATTTTTGATCATCTTCGGAGCATCGCAAATCTCATATTTGTATCAAGAAATTCATCGAATTAGCATCCCAATAAACTCTCCAGAGTTGTTTTTGGTGCAAAATGAAATTTGCGGCATCTTTGCTTTGACATTCAATTAGTATAAGCTTAGAATGTTGCATTGGCTGGATGGACAATAAGAATCTCAAGTAGTGTAGTCCCCGTGTGAAATCACGCCTCGAACCACCACTTATGTTTTTTTCGAACACTGGTAGCTGAATAGATTTATAAGAGAACCATATTTTGAATATTATTTCTAAGAATGTTCAATATGCATTATTATTTATTTTATCCGA